ACTTTATAACTCTTACTAATAGTTATATATAGTCTATAGTTCTTTAATAAGCTCTATTTAATTAAGGGCATTTATTATCTTATATATTATATTACTTGTATTATCTGTAGTTTAGTAAAAAATAATTAGAAATAGTTCTAGTATTTTAATAAGGCTATTTTATTAATAACCGGCTATAGTTTATAAATATTCTTTCTTATAAATATTTACTAATAGCTAATTACGGATATATGAATAATCTGGAACTAGTATAAGAAGTATTTCTATAATAACTTGGCCTATAAGCTAGCCTATAACCCGTTAATTAACTTCTTATTACCCTTAGTTAATTCTTATTATAATTATAGCCTTTTTTTACTTAGTCTCGGCCTTATAGATCTCTAGTAAATACTTATAAATATTACTTTACCTGAGAATACCTTTAATTAGATTATAAGCTACTATATAACTAATTTATAAGTTAATTATACTTATAAGATATTACTAGTAATTATAATATAAGCCTAGCTAAATATAAACTAGTACTTTTACTTTTAGATAATTATAATAGTAATTACGGATAATTTATAAACTGCCTACTTTTACTTATAAGACTCTAGTAAGACTAATAAAACATTTTTTTATAAGACTCTCTATTATTATTACTATAGCTAAGGTAAGGTAGTCCTATATATAATATTAATATGTATTATGGCTTTTCTTTTCCTGGATAAATATATGTTTTATTTCTAGTTCCAGATCCTGCTTAAGCTTAATAAGTTATTTATAAATATAATTATTAAGACTAGCTAGCTTAGGGCTCTCTTATATTTTACAGACCTAATTATCTAGAATATAGTACTTATATAATACAAGTATTATTTTAAGGTAGTATACTAGCTAATAATTAATTTATAATTAGTTATAAATAATATTCTCTTTAGAGAAATACTTATAATTCTCGGGAGGAACTTTATCCAGATTTTACTAGTAGTCTTATATGATTTATAAGCTAATATAGTACGGGCCTGCTTATAGTAGATATAAATCTAGCTATGGCTTTATTAGTTATTATTACAGATTAATATACGGGTCTATAATAACTTGTCTAAATAAGATTTTATAGATTAGATTAGTAGTCTATTATATAACCTGTCTTTAAATAGACAGATTATATTCTCGTCTTTTATTTCATATATCTAGTTAGTTATAAACCTAATTAATTATATCTATTTATAAGAGCGACTTTTGCAGGCCTTATATAATTACTAGGCCTTTAGTAAATAAGTAATCCTATTAATCCTAAATAATATAGTCTGTAAGCTTAACTAAATAATTCTAGATATATTTCCTGGCCAGAAACAGATATATTTTATAGTAGATTTAGCTAATATAAATAAGACAAATCCTAAGATTATAGAATTATCTCTAGAGATCTTATAAAATATCTATTTACTAGATCTACTTCTTTTTAAGCTATAACTCAAAATTAGTATATTCGTAATACTCTTATAAAATCTCTATCTATAGAAAGGGCTTTATAACAGGTTATAAATATTAATATATAGCTTTAGGAGGTTCTTAATTCGGGTATAGCTATTAGGTAGTAACTTTAATAACTAGTTACGGACGATTTCACGAATTAAGCTCTAGTCTATAAATTAGTAATTATCTTTTATATTTTCTCGTAAGTAGTTTCTATTTACTTTATTTTTTATAATAACTATTAATAAGTTATAAGGCTAGTTATTTGAGGTAATAGAAGTGGATTTATAATTACTAGTTTTTTCTTATAACTAGTTCTATATAGCAGCCTTATAAATAATCTTATAGGCAGGGCTTTATATTCTTTTATTTCCTAATATAAATCATACGAGTAATATAGTATATCTAGAAATATTATAAGGTCTTACTTAGCTTTTAACTTACTTATAACTAACTTTATATATTTATAGCTAACTTTATATACTTATAGGCTATTTTTCTTCTTATACTATCTGTAAAGAGTCCGTAAAGAGTTCGTACTAGCCTTTATTATATTCTAATCCCACTCGGGACAAGTTTAGGGCAAAATTATTAATTAGCCCCGGAGCTTATATAAGGCCGCTAATTAATAATTTTAGTAAAGCGGCCCTAAACTTGTCTATATAACATTATTATATAGTCGGACTACCTATTAAAATTCCTGGTTATATAAAGAATACCAAAACTTAAGCCTATTCCCCTATATATTACTTGCTCCAGGAATACTAAAGCTCTTTATATACTCCTACTTACATGCTCCCTACTTGCATGCTCCCTACTTATATACTCCCTACTTATATGCTCTCTACTTACATGCTCCCTACTTACATACTCCCTACTTGTATGCTTTACTTATACGCTTCACTTGCATACTTTACTTGTATACTCCCTACTTATATACTCTATTTGCACGCTCCCTACTTATATGCTTCACTTGTACGCTCCCTACTTACATGTTCCCTACTTATATAAGTGAGGCTTAGGAGGGCTGGACAAATAAAGAGGGCCTGTGGGAGGAAAGAGAGGGCTTTATAGGTATAGGTAGGAGCTATAGCGGTTTATAGGAGGGAAGAGAAGGTTTGCAAAGGGAGAAGAGCTTAGCAGAGGGCTTGCAAGGGGATACGGACCGGGAGGAGAGCTGGGAAGGCTTGACGGACAAGGAAGGGAGCTTTACGGGCTTGCAGAAGGTCTGGGGGGTTTCCGGGTGAGAATAAGGCTTGGGAGGGCTTGCGAGGGGAAGAGAGCTTTGCGGGTAGAAGTGAGGCTTGGAAGGGTTGCAAGAGGAAAGGGGGAACTTTGCGGGTGAGAGTAATACTTGGGAGGGTCCGCAAGAGAAAAGGAAAAGCTCTACGGGAAGATATAAGGTTTGGGAGGAAGTTACGGGCGAGAGTATAGGTAATAAGGGGCTTGCGAGGGCGAGTGAGGCTTGGGAGGGCCCGCAAGTAGAAGGGAAGAGCTTTGTAAGTGAGAATAAGGCTTGGGAAGGCCTGCGAGAAGGAGAGAGCTCTGCGGGCGCAAGTAAGGCTTGGGAGGGAAGGAAGAGCCCTATAAGTAAGGGTATAAGTAGGAGTGAGGCTTGGGAGGGGCCGCAAGAGGAAGAGAGCTTTGCGGGTGAAAGTAAGGCTTGGGAGGGAGTTACGGGTGAGAGTACAGGTAGTAAGGGGCTTGCAGGGCGAGTGAGGCTTGGGAGGGCCTGCAAGTGAGAGTGAGGCTTGGGAAGGCCCGCGAGAGGGAAAGGAGAGCTCTGCAGGTAGGAGTGAGGCTTGGGGAGGCCCGCGAGAGGGAAGGGGGAGCTTTGCGAGTAGGAATAAGGCTTGGGAGGGCTTGCAAGTAGAAAGGGAGAGCTTTGCGGGTGAGAGTGAGGCTTGGAAGGGAGCTACGGGTAAGAGTACGGGTAGTAACAGGCTTGCGGGGGCAAGTAAGGCTTGAGAAGGCCTGTAAGAGGGAGGGAGCTTTGCGGGTATAAGTAATACTTGGGAGGAAAGGGAAAGCCCTATAAGTAAAGGTATAAGTAGGAGTGAGGCTTGGAAGGGTTTACGAGAGGAAAGGAAGAGCTTTGCGGGTAGAAGTGAGGCTTGGGAGGGTCTATAGGAGGGAAGGGGGGATCTCTGCGAGTGGGAGTGAGGCTTGGGAGGGAGTTACGGGTGAGAATACGGGTTATAAGGGGCTTGCGGGAGCGAATGAGGCTTGGAAAGGTTTACAGGAGGAAAGGGGGATCTCTGCAAGTAGGAGTGAGGCTTGGGAGGGCCTGCAAGTGGAAAGGAGAGCTTTGCGAGTAAGAATAAGGCTTGGGAGGGTCTGCGGGGGGGGGAAGGGAGAGCTTTATAAGTGGGAGTACAGGTAATAAGGGGCTTGCAGGGGCAAGTGAGGCTTGGGAGGGCCTGCAAGAGGGAAGGGAGAGCTTTCCGAGTAGGAGTGAGGCTTGGGAGGGAGGTATAGGTGAGAGTATAGGTAGTAAGGGGCTTGCGGGGGCCAGTGAGGCTTTGGAGGGCCCGCGAGTAGAAAGGGAGAGCTTTGCGGATAAGAATAAGGCTTGGGAAGGCCCCTAAGAGAGCCGGGAGATCCGAGAAAGCTTTATAGCCTCGGTAAATGGCCTGCAAGAGTAATATTACTTCTCCTATAATCGAAAAAAGCCTCTTATAGACTTTGGCCGGTTCTTTACTTATAATATATACCGGAAGCGGAACAAGAAAGCGAACCGGGCCCGGTATATAAAGCCAAAAGCTAAATATTTAAATAAAAACTCTTAAAAACTAATTTTTCTTACGCTTATATATTATATTAGTACGAGCTTACGAGTGCAATATAGCTATATTTAATAAGAGAAAGGTTTTACAAGTAAGAAAGAGAGCTTATAAGTAAAAGTAAGGCTTAAAATAGCCTATAAAAGGGGGAAAAGAGCTCTATAAATATAATTAGAGATATAGCAGTCCGTAAAGAGAGAGAGAGCTCTATATTAAAGCTAAAGTCACTCTCTTAATCTCGAATCGAGATCAGGGCAAAATTAAAGACTGGCCCCGGAGCTTGCGTAGGGCCGCCAGGATTTAATTTTAGCGAAGCGGCCCTGATCTCGTACTGTATATTGTAGTACATATAGTCAGTGGATATAGTCGGCCCCTCCGTCTCCCTAGTAATGCCGCCTTCGTGCCTCTTGCGCTTCCGCTCCCTTTCCTCCCATCTCTCCAACGGGCGGCTGGCCCCCCCGAGCGAGAAAATGGCAGCGCTGTCAGTGGCGGCATCTGAGGGCGATGTGCAACAAAGCTCGCCGGAAGAGGCGTGAAACAGCGGCTGATTGGCCGTGCGATGCAATGCAATGCCGGCCGGCCATTTGAGGCGTTGAGCCACTCGGCACGTTGCCTGCAGCGCGGCATCGCATGCCATTCCATGCCATCGTGCCCTCCATACACACGTGACCACCGCGCTCCTCACGCTCTATCTTACAACCGAAAAGTCACGTCACGTCACGTTCCTCGTGCTCGTGCCCCCCCTTTTCCCACCCCCTTTCCCCCTTCGAGAGGAAGGCCCAATGCCCCTCCCGTGTCGCCATCTTGCAGCTGTTGCGCCGCGTCGATTCTTGACTTCCACGCCCCGAAGCCGGCCGTTGCATGCTCTCTCCCCTTGCGCAGCTCTTCGACATGCTCCTCCTCCATCACAGGCTTGGCGAGCAGCCCAGGAGAGGGGCAAGAAGACCAAGGCTACTGTCAAGTTAGACGACCTCCCACAGGGTCTTATCCCTCTGGAGCCGCTAGCTCTCGAGCCTGACACCCACAAACCCTTTCCCACCGTGGTGCGCCAGGCGCGGAGTAACATGCAAAGGTTCGAGAATTGCGTTCTGCTCACTCGAGTCGGTGGTTTCTATGAGCTGTATTTCGAGCATGCCGACGAATTTGCTCCTCTGTTAAACATCAAGCGGGCCATAAGAGTCTTTAGTGCTGGTGAAGTTCCTATGGTAATTGTTTCATTGCTGCCTCGTCTACTCATGCTCACGTTGTGGGAAGGCCGGCTTTCCTTTCTTCCAGCTGGATCGCTATCTCAAGATTCTGGTCCAAGATCTCAACCGATACGTTGCTATTGCAGAGGAATTTCCCAATGACAAGGGCAACCCAGGGGACTTGATGCACGATCGAAGAGTCTCTCGAATTATTACTCCAGGAACCCTTATAGATGAAAATTTCATGGATCCCTTCACAAATAATTATGTTCTAGCTATCCACATAGAAGATCATGAGCAGGAATCAACACACCAGTCTGCTCGGCCGAATGCATCCCTTCGCGTTGGCTTGGCATGGCTGGACCTTTCAACAGGCCAATTCTTCACTCAATCCACCGATCTCTCAGCTCTTCCATCCTACCTAGCACGCATCGGACCACGGGAGATTGTCTTGGGTGAAGATCTTCAAGCATCTAAAGATCATGGCATCTTCAATGTCCTTGCTGAGGATCGTCATCTCATCACATATACAAGCCCTTCGGAGGTCCAGAAAGTCTCGGGGTGGTCACCAATGCTGGAATCTCCTCTTCCCCCGCGACTGGAGAATGAATTCACAATCGAAGAGATAGCAGCAGGCAGTTCTTTACTCCAATATGTCAAAACTCGGCTTCAAGGCTCGAATATGAAGCTTCAGCCACCTACACGACAATTAGACGTGTTGGGTATTGACAAGAACACTATGCGTGCCTTGGAAATAAAGAAGACCATGAGAGAAGACATGGTCACAGGCAGTCTGTTGCATATTATTCGACGGACCGTTACAAAGGGTGGTGCACGGCTGCTTGATAATTGGTTAAGTCAGTATGTCGTGTGCGAGGCGTAATCCAGCTAATGATGATAGGTTCACCGTCTACTTCGCTGGAAGTGATCAACTCCCGGCTCGACTTGGTAACTTTCATGTTGAATCACGAGCTCCTTCGAGAACGTGTGGTGATTCTCCTGCGAAGATGCCATGATTCCCATCGTCTCCTGCAGAAATTTGCATTTGGGCGAGGTGATCCAGACGACCTCCTAGCATTGAAAAGCACCGTGTATGCCACGCAAGAGCTCGTTGCCAGCCTGGAGCAAGACAGCGAAGCAGAGGCATGTATCCAGGCTATGGTTACTCGAATCAATTTGGAGGGACCGAATGAACTTGCCAAGCGTATCAGAGATGCGGTAGACGAGGAAGGCCTGGTTCAACAACACCGCTTAGAAGATGGAGAAGCCGGGGAGATGCAAGCTCTTGCACAAGCGGTGATCAGTTCCGAAGGGTCCGCCGAGGATTCTAACATTCTTCCAAAAGGAACACGGAAGAAGAAAGCTTCGGGCGGTCTCAGAGACTATTACTCCGACGACAGTGACGCCTGGATCATGAAGCCAGGGGCAAGCCCGGCCCTCGAGCGGCTACACGCAGATTTTGCTGCACTTGCAATCGACAAGACGAACCTCGGGGAAGATCTCAAAAAACGCCTGGGAGCAGAAAGCCTTACTCTGCGTTTCACCCCTGGCATGGGTCATATTTGCCACGTTAAAGGCAAAGACATGAAGCTCGACCTCTCTACCGTCAGAAGTGTTGGCTCCAGCAAAAGCACTCGCTCTTTTCACCACCCTGAATGGACGAAACTTGGCCAACAAATCGATCAATGCAGAATTCACATTCGCGCAGGCGAACAGCGGGTCTTTCACCAGCTCCGAGAACAAGTAATTCATAACATTATCAAACTTCGTCGCAACGCAGCCGTGCTAGATGAGCTAGACATTGCCTGTTCCTTCGCCACTCTGGCGGTAGAAAAGGACTGGACACGACCGATCTTGAATAAGACCTGCGCACACAAGATCGTTGGTGGGCGCCATCCAACAGTTGAAGGTGGGTTGGAGGAAGAAGGCCGAAGCTTCATCACCAACGACTGCTTTGTTGGAGATGTGCAGCGGACCTGGCTTGTCTCCGGCCCGAACATGGCTGGCAAGAGCACGTTTCTTCGGCAAAATGCACTCATCACGATCCTCGCGCAAGTGGGGTCATACGTCCCAGCCGAGTACGCAGAGATTGGCCTTGTCGACCAGATATTCAGTCGCGTCGGTTCGGCGGATAACTTGTATAGAGACCAATCGACGTTCATGGTGGAGATGTTAGAGACGGCTACGATTCTCAAGCACGCGACTCGGCATTCCTTTGTCATTATGGATGAGATTGGGCGAGGGACCACGCCCGAAGATGGGACGGCTGTGGCTTTTGCGTGCTTGCATCATTTATATCATGTCAACAAATGTAGGACGCTGTTTGCGACGCATTTCCACGACTTAGTGGATATGGTGGTGAAGGGGGACATGGAAGGAGTGGGGTTCTATTGCACGGATGTTCTGGAGGATAAAGACGGCGATGGGTTTATGTATGATCATCGGTTGAGAGAAGGGGTCAATACGAGGAGTCATGCATTGAAAGTTGCGAAGTTGGCGGGCCTGCCAGAGGAAGCTATTGCAGTTGCAAAGAAAGTGTTGGATGGACGTGTAAGATCTGTGTAAGAAGATAGTCAGCAAAAGGTCAGATAGACGTGTAAAGTATCTAAGATATCGGAAAGCGCAGTCAGGAAAAAATTAGAGTTGTTGTTTTTGGTCTTCAAGGAGCAGGTCTCCGTTAAGGGTTAAAAAGCTTTTGATTGAATCATCATAATTGCTTGGGAATTGTGCTGAGAAGCGAGAAACTTTGAACTGACCTTTGAGCAGGACTGTGAGAGCTTATTTTCAGCATGTCACGCCATAAAAGAATCACATTTCGTGGACGCCGAAAATTGTCCTTATGTGCTTCGTGCGCTACATTAGAGAACCTGCATATGCTCTATGTGAATTCATGGTCCGTGTCATAAAATACCAGGAGAACCCATTGTATCTATGCAAGATCGACTTAGTCGAACAAGCCGCCGAAACCTTCATCGCCCGACTCCTCAGCTTCTGAGTCCGCCTTCTCCTCTTCCGCGGGGGCGTCGTCCTTGGCAGTTTCGGTGCTCGTGACAGCGGGTCCAGCAGAGGCGTAAGCATCGGGGTTGGCAATGCGGTCCTTCAACTCCTCTATCTCAGGCCAGCTGTACTCGGTCTCAACGGCAACGGCCAAGACCTTCTTGTAGCCGTTGACGACTGAGTGCATGACGGATGGCAGGGTTGGGAAGTTGGCGGCCAACGAGATGCAAGCAATGGTGGTGATTGCGCTAGAGAAGGACTTGAGGAGCTGGGATTCCTCGATGTCGAGAACGCTAGGTGGGAAGGTGTTGCCTTGGTCGTAGACCTGGGAGATACCCATGCCGTAGGTGAAGGGAGAGATGTTCAACATGTTGAGAAGGGTGGCCTCGGAAGCTCCGACCTTGCTGCCAGCCTCGACGAGCTTCAAGTCGGCAGTAATTTCGATGGTACCACGAGCAATCTTGGTTGGGACACCGAGAGCCTGGAAGAAAGAGGTCTTTCCGGGTTCCATACCAGTGTTACCAGCGGGGACGAAGACATCGTCGGGAGCGACTGCACCAGCTCTGGCCGGAGCAGCAACCTTGTTGGCGAGGATCTTATCACGAATTGTCTGGAGCGGTCTTAGAATCATTCCCAAACAACGTGGTAAATGAAAGATCGAGATGTAAATCTTGTTGATCGTACCTTAAGATCGGCATTGGTGAAGACGAATCCCACGTTGCCTTTGACGAAGGGAAGAAGTCGCTCATAAGCAGGTTCTTCACTGATAAATCCCTTGATGGCGCGACGAACCTGTGGAACATCGAGGGTCAATTTCCGTGTTACCTCGAGATCCAAAGATCATCATACCATGGTATTCTTGCCCATCAAGACAACACCCTCACCGCGGAGGGCTTGTCGAATCTCGTGCATCTGCTGGGAGCTGACATTGTCGACGGTGACGACGAAGATAGAGGTGTACTCTTCGAGCAAGCCCTTAAATAACGATTAGATGATTGAATTTGTATCGCAGAAGCAGTCTTCTCACCTTAAGCTTGTCGAAATAGCCGGCCTTGTTCTCGGATCTACTGCCCCCCATATCTTCTTAAATGAAGGTAGGATGTTTAAGGGTCAGTATTATGGTGTTCGTTGGGATGTTCTCGACTTCGAGAGGTTGGATTGCAATGTAATTTTGTAACATTTTTCGCGAATTCGCCTGAATTGTGCGGAGGCTGCGGAACAACCTGCGCTAGGATCAATATTTCTCCGTGGCCTCGCCTTTCGACCTCTTTTGAAGGGTCGCTTCAAATTTGATGAAAGACTGAACAAGTTGAATGAACGTGCAAAAGTGGTGCAATTTCGTGATCCTCGTATTTCCGGTAGTAGTTGGGGTTGGATCTCATTCCAGGTCTACTTCCCATCGCCGTGATGTCTCCACGAATGCCATACCAGTGCATGGTACAACGTGGAAATCTCCTCATTGCAGCCAGAGGTTCTAGCATCGACTCATTCCGAGACGGCTCACTTCTCTCGACATGGAAATGCCCTTCTATACAAGCGGCGGGAAGTACCAGGCCTTCTCTAGAAGTCACAACGGAATTGGTCACCCAACACTACGAGACATCCTCCGTGGAAATCTACACTGATTCTGCTCCGCCAGCAAAGAAGAGGAAATTATCAACATCAGGGCCAGTTGAGGCAAATTCAGTCACAAAAGAGGGGAAGAAAAAGCAAAACAGTAGATCTGATGCAGTTCAAAGTGGCCTCGAAGCTCCAGCTGTCATTGCGTTGGCCATCACGAAGGATGGACGTCACGTGATTGCGGTCACTGGTGAGGATAAAAGTATCCGGGTATTCGAAAACGTTCAGGAAGATGGAGTACATAGGTTGAAGCAGTTGAGCCAAAGGTAAGTTATTCTGATACTAGAATCGTGCCAGTCATTTATAAGGAACAGAGCCATGCCGAAGCGCCCATGTGCTCTTGCGGTCACAAATGACAGTTCTACCATAATCACTGCAGACAAGTTTGGAGACGTCTATTCTCTCCCCTTGATCCTACTGGAAATCTCTGGAACACCAAAATCAGCCACCCATACTCCCGAGCCAGCAGCGAAGAGTTTCACACCAGCTGCAAACGAACTCACTATTCATTCCCAGAGAAATCGCAAAGCACTGGAAAACCAAAGACGGCAGACCAATAAAACCGCCGAGAAGTCCGAACCCGTCTTTGAGCATAAACTCTTACTTGGCCATGTCTCTATGTTGACGGATATTGCTCTGGTTGCATTGGGGGTTCGAAATTATATCATCACCGCTGACAGAGATGAACATATCCGCATCTCTCGAGGAATTCCACAAACGCATGTTATCGAAGGGTTTTGCCTTGGCCACTCCGAATTCGTTAGTCGAATCTGTGTTCCACCGGATCGACCACACCTCTTGGTATCTGGTGGAGGTGACGATGAATTGTTCGTGTGGGAGTGGGAGTGTGGAAACTTGGTCTCCAAAGCGGATCTGAAGGGGTATGTGTCTGCTGTCATGCAAGAATTCGACAGAACAGAAGAGAGTGATATTCCAGTCGAGTCGTCAAAGATTGCTGTGTCGGGTATCTATTGCACCCAGCAAGCTTTGAATGATAGCTTTCAAACTATCGTCGTAGTTACTTGCGAAAGGTGAGTTCTCTTCAATGAAGACCTTTAGTGGATTCGAGCTAATCTTAGACAAGCATTCCTGCCGCCTTTGCCTTCGTGCTGACGGCTGAAAACCGGCTGGAGTACTTGCAAACGCTCAAATTGCCAGGCAATGCACTCGCTATTGTGTTTGGCACCTCACTAAAAGAGGGCGAATTTGACGTCTCAAATCGTCTAGTTGTATCCATCGACACCACTCACAAACTTGGATCGAGAACGGAGGAAAGAGAGGATGCAAGTCAAAATCTGAATCCCTTGCAGTCATATATTTTCCAAAATGGAAAGATTGTTCAGGACGGAACGTTTCAGCTAGCTATTGCAAAACAAGATGAGGGCGAAGCGAATGGAAGTGGTGCCTCAGGACGACTCACCAATCTACTGTACAGTCTTGAGAATTTGCGAAAGAGGGAGGGAGATATGCGGGAAGAATAATGCAAGCAGCTTTGCCATGTTGGCTCCTATTTCTAACGATGATATGCGTCCAGTAAAGCTCGAAAGTCGACGCCTCTCTCACTCGTATATATTCACTAATCTATGGGTCCTACACGCAACACATTCATCTCTCGTGCCTTTCGTCGTGCCTCCTCCTCCTGCTCTTCCGCCAATTGCTCATTCCAATAAGTTACAGCTTTATCTGTGATTACTGCAACATCAGTACCCTCGGCCACCTCGATAAGTCCAAGTACCCAATCCAGCAGCTCTTTGCTAATCCACTCCCCAGCAACAATTTTCCGAGTAAAGCCAGCGTGGGAGATAGCCCTAGTTAACTCTGGAGTCAAGGGCGCGTTGTGTCGCCGAAGATGGTGGAGACATTGAACTACGTTGCGAAACGCTACCCTCTGACATCGAGCATCTGTTTGTGCGAAAGCAATGGCCACTTTCATCACGAGTTCTATCATGGCTGGCGACAGACGCCTTGTAGAAAATGCCGACCTTTTGGATGGTTGCATCTTTTCGTAAAAGGGCACTCCCATTGCTTTCCAGATTTGTTGTGGAGAGAATCGACGGTGGTTCACCATGGAAACGATGAAATTCGAGTTTAGATCGGGTCGCAAGACTTGTTTGTTGGTACGAAGACCAGTATAGAACATCTTTTGTATGCGGTATGCGAGTTGAAGATCATATTTGCTCATGATCTCGATTGTTGGGCCGATAATATCTCTTGGCAGTTTCAACCCTAGATCCTGTATCTGTGCAAGAATTCCGAAAACCTCTCTGTATCTTTCAAGATTGTGGAGCAACTTGAAAATACCCTTTGTTTGGCGGAATACCTTCTCTCTGTGTTTGTCGATAGCGGAAAGTACCAATCCGAGGCCAAGGGGTCCACTGTTCAAGGAAGAAACCTCGAAAGTATTCCTGATCAATGCTCCTCCTTTCCCTAAGTATCCTTGACTAATCCAGCGACTGAGGACAACGGCACCTGGAAGAGGTTGTTCGCGTACTCCCTTGCATTTCCCCATCCTCTTTACGATGTTGACAAACATCTGGTGAGGCAATTTCGGTACTTTTGCCACAAGAGACAGCCATCCATAGTACAAATCTGTCACAGGGTTCTCCATGCTGTTGTGAATGCGGACGATGTTTTGCGTGCAGGAAGCAAGTACCCGATAGAGATGATCTTGTGGCAAGTAACCTAAGATATTTGCCAGGGTCTCAATAGACCCGTTTCGGGGTACAAGGGCTTTCTCAGCCTGGACAATATGCTCCAGGGCGCTGTCAAGGATCACCTTTGCTTCCTCAACTGCTTTTTGAATCGTGGAAAGATCCTGTCGATCATCATCCTCTCTGCTGTGCATTAGGCTTTGAAGACGATCAAGTCTATCCAAGGACTCCGATAAGTCTCTGCTAGCCCCCAAAAAGGACAGCCGGGGATCACCAGGAGGCTGCTCGTGTAGCCAGCTTCTAGCCCATGCTTCCACCAAACGATCGACCCCCCTATTCATTTTGCCGAGCTGGGTGACAGATGCTGCATGCATGACGTCGTGGAATAAAGTTTGGACCTCCGTACAGCTAGGTAGGTTCCCGAGATAGGATAAGAATCTGTTTAGTAATCTGGCATCCAAGTCGACGGGCTGAAGCACTTTACAACTTAACACTCCATCCCAAAAGGCTTGATAGAACGAAAGAAGACGCTGAGTGTCCCCGAGACCCGAGTCTGAGAATGCGAGGCGTATGTCCCGCGATATGGTATTGAGAGCTCTGTGCATTGTAATTCCGGAGACGAGGCCTAATCTTAGACTTTGCTTGTACAACTGGTTGAACTCTTCACATATGTCGTGCAATTGATCTGAACTAGCAGCCAGAAGCGTTGTTCGAAATTTGACAATATCTTCCTCAATTGCAACTGCCTCTTTTGTAGGCTTATTCATTGAGCCTTCAACGACAGCCGACTCGGGGACTACCTCTGGGGAAGTGTTCCATTCCAAGAGCCAGGCGGGTAGTGCTGCAGTAGAGGCCCCTGTTGATTTTCGGGTTGTAGGCGCCTCCCACTGCCATTGGGCATTGCCTACGTCTCCAAAGAAGCCCCATAGGGGCCCCGTGTTGTGTGCTGGTGCCGGAGCGGATTCGGTGAGGTGTGCCATTCGTCTTTTCCCAAGCCTGCGGCGGCTCTCTAGAGGACCAGGAACGAAGCTCCCATAACGCTTCCCGGAGCGTGAATTAACAAATCTCTGAAAAGCATGGCGAAGCACCTCGTCGGATACCCAGATAGAGTCGGACGGCTGAAAGAGGTGTCGCTTCACTGCTGGACAGCAAGCCGCAGGTCGGGGAAGCATGAATTAAGAAGTTTTGGGAGACATTCGAGGCGTTGCGGACGGCCTTCAAGCGGAGAAAGTGTGTGATGGAGCCAATTGGTGAGTTCCAGTTGTGCGGAGGTAGCTTCGATCTCCAGTGATTCGAATTGTGGCTTTTGATGAGATGTCGAAGGCTGGCTCCGCAGCTGGTTGAAGTTTCCCCCAAGTTGCGCGTGATGCCTGACAATCGTGGCTGGCGCCGATTCCCACAAGGACTGTGCCACCCCTGCAGCCAGTCAAAATTCAGGCACGACGCTTCACCAGCCTTGGCGGGGTGACTGTTTTGGTGCAGAGAAACGTGCTGATCCGGGACCTTGATCGTACAACAAGACGGAAGCCATGGCTCACCAATTTGAGCCTCTTCAAAATGACTTGATTATTAGGACAGCATGGGGTAGGATTCCCCCCCCCGTATCAATGAGAAATCGTTAACTTCTGAAGGCCAGAAAGTCGAGAGACCTCCAATGTGGGTGATGCGTCAAGGTACGAATAAATCTCTTCTAGGGGAGAAATTTATACTGATGTTTCTCTCAGCGGGGCGATATCTACCGGAGTACCATGAAGCCAAAGGAAAGCACGACTTCTTCGACTGCTGCCGCTCCCCCGAAATTGCCTCGACCTTGACCCTCCAACCCATTGAGCGCTTTGCCGGTCTCGTGGATGCTGCAATCATCTTCTCGGATATCCTTGTCATACCTCAAGCCATGGGAATGGCCGTCGAGATGGTGGACAAGGTGGGCCCGCACTTTCCGAATCCCCTCAAAGACCCTGAAGACGGCCAGTACGGCAAGGTCATGAATAAGAAAGTGGATGTCGCCGGAGAATTGGATTATGTATACAAAGCCATTACTCTGACGAGACACAAGCTTGAAGGGCGAGTCCCACTGTTCGGTTTCTGTGGTGCACCGTGGACCTTGCTCTGCTATATGGTTGAAGGCGGTGGAAGTAAGATGTTCGCCAAAATCAAGACCTGGATCTACAAATATCCGAAGGCAAGCAAGGATCTTCTACAAAAGATCTCCGAAGTCTGTGTCGAGTATCTTGCATTGCAAGTTAAGGCTGGTGCTCAGGTACGTTATTCTACCTGAAGATGTCGGAGTCTTGTCACTGAAGAATGCCCAGCTAGTTCAAGTCTTTGATTCGTGGGCTGGTGAGCTATCGCCGTCGTCATTCAAAGCGTTTTCCCTGCCATACCTCGCATACATTTCGAAACATCTTCCCAAACGATTGAAGGAGATGAACCTGGACCCCGTCCCAATGGTTGTCTTTGCGAAAGGAGCCTGGTATGCACTCGATTCCTTGTGTGATTTAGGGTACCAGGTTGTTGGTTTGGACTGGTTACAAGACCCAGCGGAAGCTGTCAAGATCAGAGGCAACAGGCCAATTGTTTTTCAGGGCAACGCAGATCCTGGTGTATTATATGGATCGAGAGAAGCTATAACGGTAGTCGTGGAAGACATGGTGCAAGGCTTCGGTGGTGGAAAACAGGGCTGGATCGCGAATCTGGGCCATGGTGAGTTCCGCATTTGTTGTCTTTCTACTCTGTGCTGACCTCTTCAGGAATCACCCCCGGCGTGAAACCCGATGACCTGAAGTTCTACTTTGAAGAGATTCATAGACTCGCGGGAAGCTAATGGCTCTATATCAACCATCAATTGCACCGCTTCTCTGCAAAATCGTTGATCGATTAATTCATTCGTCTTCTCATTTCAATTCTTTGGAGTAAACCCTCTCCTCTTCACCAATGTCCTCGTTCCTACAAGCCCAATCAGCCTCCGTGTCTCGGCATGCCTCGGACCACTTACCAGACTTCGGGCTTCTCCTTAATGAATAAGTCCATCAAGTCTTGACATTCCTGACTCTCCAAAACAACAACCTCAACGCCTCTTTGCTTCAGGTAGGCTTCGCCGCCAAGGAAAGTCTTGTTCTCACCAATCACAACTCGCGAGATTCCATAGAGGATGCAGGCCCCCGTGCTGTTCGTGGTTGGTAATCAGGAATATCTCTTGTAGGGATTCATACCACATATCACAAGGAGAGAGGGTTGTAAACATGGTAGCACCTCTGTATGCCTATCCGGAGTCTCGGGTCAGCCTTTCTCAAATAGGTAGCTTTGGTGAGATAGGCAAACTCGACTTACTGAAGCGGGAAGCCGTCCTGAATTCTCTAGTGCTGCAGTTTCCCCCTGATACCATATTAATACTGCCCCAAAATCTAAATCTAAAACCCACATGATGGATTGCTGAGCCTTTCTGCACGCGCATGTTGTGCCCCCTCCCAAGCAGTTTGCCATCTTGAGAAACCAATGCAGCTCCAATCTAGACCAATCATCTCAGAACTGGAAAGTCTCACTTAGTTACTCGAGAGTGCTTACCGGCACGCCACCTTCTCTGTAGCCCAGCCGAGCTTCCTCAAGGGCAATTGCGAACGCTTCTAGGTCATTCATTGTGAATTGTGCTACTTGAATAGCGATGAAGAGCAAACCGAGTATCTTGTATCTTGCATCTCGAAAAGAAAAGCTTCATTTTTCATGCTCCACATGACTTGACTTTCCGTTGCCCCTCCAGCCACTCCAGCCCCTCACTCACAAACGTTGTGTCATTCATCAACGGTCTCTTATCATCAGCGCGATAAGGGATTCCTGACTGGGGATCGACGCTGATTGGCAGCCCTGGCGAGTGTCCTGCAGGAGGACTATGCTATTTTTGGCCTGCGATGGATTTTCCATCTGCTGGCCACCCACTGCACCTTGATCACGATTTCACTTTTTGGAAGGCCGATAAGAAAGTCACTGCCAGCTCAGTTCGAGAGTCTGCTGTGAGGGCGGAGTGGAGTGGGTGTATTTGCGGGCGAGGCTGCATGGAAGTTTGCCTGCTTTTGAAGCAGAAGAAGAGTTTAGAACTGTTTGGAAGATTCGAAGCCACCCTTTTAGCGACGCCTTTTTATCGCTGCCACTAACTCCGACCAAATTCAATCTTCAGCATCAACCTTGAACCACACACCCAAGACACCACAAACTTGTTGGAGTTTGAGTCGATCTTCTACTACTTCACCTCTCGAGTACATTCACAATCGATCTCTTCCTGAGAAATTGATTGCGAAAGCAACGCAGGAAGAACATTGCGCGCGGCAAGGCCTCAGCCTCATTCTCGAACAGTGAGTGGATCTCTTGGTTGCCTGGATCTAAGAAGTCTGCACTCTTCTCCTCTTATCAGGACCGGGTCGCATCCTCTCAAGATCGTCTACCTTCTTGTGGCCTGACTGTACACTGACATTGTTGCCATAGAGAGTCAGCATAAGCTCGATACTTTTCGAACCCCTGCCTCAACGGCGCAAAGGACAACTCTCGAGACGCAACCCTCGCCGAGAGCCAACGATACAGGATTCAGGCTTGTCGAATCTCCCTTCCCGTACCTCTAAGTTGGAACTATGGCGAAAGACACCAAATTCTACGACATCCTCGGTGTAAGCAATTTACCCCCCTTTCGGGAAATGATTGCTCATCTTCATTCTAGGTCTCTCAAAACTGCACCGAGGCAGAACTCAAGAAAGCATACAAGATCGGTGCCCTGAAGCATCACCCTGGTTAGTTCTGGGCTGCCTGTTTGGATTCTGTGCACAGCTCTAATATCAGTTAAGATAAGAATGCCCACAATCCCGAGGCAGCAGACAAATTCAAAGACCTTTCCCACGCATACGAGGTCCTTTCCGACCCACAGAAGCGGGCTATCTACGATCAATATGGCGAGGAAGGATTAGAGGGCGGTGCTGGAGGCGGTGGAATGAACGCCGAGGACCTCTTCTCTCAATTCTTTGGCGGAGGATCCGCATTTGGTGGTGGTGGGCTTGGCGGCATGTTTGGTGGTGGTATGCCTCAACGCGGACCCCCGAAAGCTCGCACAATCCATCATGTCCACAAGGTTTCCCTCGAGGATATCTACAGGGGCAAGGTTTCCAAGCTCGCCCTGCAAAAATCCGTTATCTGCCCTAAATGTGATGGACGTGGTGGAAAGGAAGGTGCCGTCAAGAAGTGCGCTGGATGTGATGGCCACGGTATGAAGACGATGATGCGCCAGATGGGCCCTATGATCCAGCGTTTCCAGACCGTCTGCCCCGACTGTAATGGAGAAGGTGAGATCATCCGAGAGAAGGATCGATGCAAGACCTGCAGTGGCAAGAAGACAATCGTTGAGCGGAAGGTCCTCCACGTCCACGTGGATAGAGGTGTTCGCACAGGTCACAAAATCGACTTCAGAGGAGAGGGCGACCAAACGCCTGGAGTCCAACCTGGTGATGTTATTTTTGAGATCGAGCAGAAGCCCCACGCAAGATTCCAGCGCAAGGACGACGACCTCTTCTATCACGCAGAAATCGACCTCGTTACAGCGCTTGCTGGAGGATCCATATTCATCGAGCACTTGGATGATCGGTGGTTGAGCGTGGATATTCTTCCAGGGGAGGTTGTTGCACCTGGTAAGTGCTGCGCACCACTCTAGTTCCTCGAGACCTATTCTGACTTTTTTTGCAGGATCTGTAAAAATGATCCGAGGCCAAGGTATGCCCTCATACCGCCACCACGATTTTGGCAACATGTACGTGCAATTCGACGTCAAATTCCCTGAGAAGAACTTCACCGCCGATCCTGCGGCGTTCGAGGCTCTGAAGGCTATTCTTCCCGGCTCAAAACAGACCGTTATTCCCCCTGGAGAGACCATGACCGAAATCGTTGACTTCGAGGATGTCGATCCGAGTCAACAAGCACGAGCCCAAGGTGCTACCGGAATGGATGAAGAGGACGAAGACGGACATCCGGCAGGTGGCGAGCGGGTCCAATGTGCTTCACAATAAGCTTGACGACAGTGGCTGGATTCTAATAGCAGCGTGGTTTCCTTTGGCATTTTTGCATTGGTCTGGGTTGTCTGCTGTTCGCAGCGAGCATCATATCAGGTTTGTTACGTGGCTTCGTGAGGGGTATACGGATCACCGCATGGACGACATGCAGAAGTTCCGGCCTTCATGACAAGCCGACGGCTTATTGGCTTTGCGTTCTTCAACCGCTGTTCTTTCCAGGGGCTGCCCGGGGATTGTTTCGTTGGCGTTTAGACGGATAGATAGCATGGAAAAGAAATTTGGTCTTTACATCATCTTCCGCGTGATGAGTTTGCTTTCATGCATCCAAACATCTTGGTGAATTCAACACATTTTCGAAAACTTGATATGGTATGAAAACTGGTGGCGGGAGCTTAATGGTGCGAGATAATTAATTGGCTTGGGCATTCAAGTGGCTGAGGGTTTTTTGATTGAAATGAAAGCCCACAAGTCCCGAGTAGCTCTTCATGTTGACCCATCACTTACGACTTGGTGGTGGTTGCCCGTCGAGTAGTCGAGTCCAACACCATTGGTTGAATATTGTGAGGCTATGATTACCAAAGCGCACTCAACCTCCAAGTAGGATGCTTTCGGCCGTAAATTCGCTTTTCGCTCTCTAGGGACTCCTCGAATTTGTCTGGGTATTGTGCATTTCATAAAGCCCCTTTAAGCGTACGCATAGCCCATAGGTCACTCTCCAGCGGTGTCAGGAGCCTGGGGCGCCGGCCCATCCGCCAAACGCGTTCTCGCTCGCCATATGGAAGCTTTCAACACAAACAACAGCCAAGGGCCATTCCCCGAGGCCCAACCACGGCTCTCTGCACCCTCTTCCAATGCTCCTGCAGTCGGTCCTCCATCCGGTTCACCCCCTACAACCGTCCCTTCTGGCGCGAGTGCGCCGTCGGCCTCGTCCTCGGCAGCGCCACGAATCAGGAGGAGAAACCGCATGATAACGAGTTGTCTAGAATGTCGACGCAGGAAATTGAAGTGTAATAAGTCTCACCCGTGCGCGAATTGTGTTAAGTTCACGCGAGACTGCGTTTTCCTCTCACCGGCACTAGACCAGGCAAGTCAGCTGAAGCTCACGGAAATCAAGGAGAAAGTTGGATCTTTGGAACGACTGCTTGAACGCGATGTGGCGAAGAATGTTGCTGCTGTCCCTACTTCTTCAAGCCAGGATAGAGCTCTCCCAGGTGAGGAGGATGACGATCTTCCAGCAAATGAAGATGAGAAGGACCTTGAGCCTACCCCTCTCGCTGTTGTTGATGCGGCGTACGATGAGTATGGCGAGGACGATGACCTTTTAGACCTGGGTATTCAGCTGGGAAAGATGCGAATCACAGAACGTATTGGTGGTTTCTTCAGACCCAAGATATCACAAGAGGTATGTCTAAGTTTTCTCTGTTGCTAGGCTTGATACTGGACATGGATTTCATTCTGTATTATCAGAAGCCATAGCTAACTAACCCTTCTTACAGTTGGAATTTACCATGTCAGATACTTTCATGTCTGGAAATAAGGAACAGGACGAAGGACGAGCCTTTTCACCGCCTCAGCCAATGGCACCCATCCCGTAAGTCTAGTTCTAGCAGTGTTTCTTCCTCATACTTTTCTTTTTCCTAAGAGCCGTGGTCATAATGGCTTCTGTGGAGCCTTTGCGCTCGTGTCCTGGAAACCGGGGTAGTTCGGAAACTCTCAGCTCCTTTCCACTCCTCTCAGATATACAGTGCTAATTTACTGCAGGCCTGCCTCCGAATGGTTGAAGCCCGGGCCTGCGTATATCATGCCTTCCTCCGGATTCTTTTTCGGGGGAACTGGTTCACAAAATGCCTCGCTGATTGACTTTCTCCCTTCTCAATTGGCCGCTGATAGACTAATCAAGCAATTCTTTGATTGTGTACACCCGATTTGCCAGATAGTTCATCGCCCCACGTTCGAGAGAGAATATCACAGCTTCTGGGATGAAGTCTCTCTTGGCGTTGAACCGCCTAACTCAGTCCAAACGATTGTCTTTGCAGTAATGTTCTCTGCCGTTGTAAGCATGGATGAGAGCACTATAATCCGTGATTTTGGAGTCTCGAAAGCTAGTATGATTGATAACTTCAAGTGAGTATTTGTTTCTTCGAGGAAATCCAAAGCAAATTTTCAACTCCTGGCGGTGTTGTGAATCACGGCCCGCAAGAGAGGGGTTCGCGCTCGTGGCCTATTGCGGACGTATAATGCGCTAGCCGTCTCCAAGCAACATTCCTCGAAGCTTCTTAGGTCCCTTCTGATTAAGGCCAATGAACCTTTTCAATGTCATCTCTCGTAGAAAATACCCAGAGAATCTCACGCGTGATTTACGCTGGTGTTCATGCTGACTTTACTAAGACTTGGCACGGAAACTGCTCTTGGACGGGCCAATTTTCTCCGCACTACGAAGATTGAAACGCTTCAGTCATTTGTGATGTATCTAGTGAGTTTTCGTGCTCAATACCCGAGATCCATTACTAAGTGTTTCACCAAGATCCCCCTTTGCAGGTCAGAGCTCTCCAGAGCGCATTCGGTTCTCCTTGGTGCAGCTATACGAATGGCAGAATGTATGGGGCTTCATCGAGATGGTGAGACCTACGGGATGAACCCACTCGAAACCCATATTCGCCGTTTAGTATGGCATCAGCTGTGTTTTCTGGATATCAGGACTTGTGAAGCCCAAGGCCCCCGGCCAACGGTAAGACGTGATGAGTTTGATACGAAATTGCCTCTCAATGTAGACGATATCGAGATCAATGCTTCTGGAAAGCTCCCTGCAAGTGCAGATCGATGGACGGATTCAACCTTCAGTCTCATTCGCTTCGAGGTCAATGAAATGATGAGGACAATTTGGGTCGACAGACCGAGAATCGAACGAAGGAAGATAAGTCTCACAGCTGTTCTAAGCAAGATCGAGACATTCCGTAACAACATGGCGGCAAGATACGATCACCTCATGGATGAGAGAATTCCCGTGCAGAAATGCGCAAAAGTTGTCAAGGCACTGCTCCTCTCGAGACTTCATATTATGGTCCTGCATCGTTACCACAACTCTGTGGTGGCACCAATGCCGGACCGTCTTCGAAATATTATGCTTGCATCAGGTACTACACTTCTCGAGACTGCTGTGGCTTTGGAGACCCTCCCCGAGCTGAAACCGTGGTCTTGGTACGCCGGAGCTTACCAGCAATATCATGCCGCCTTCCTCCTTCTCATGGAAGTATACGTCTACCCACAACGCAAAGAAGCTGACCGGATTTGGGCTTGCCTTGATTGGATCTTTGAATGCAATCCTGAGGACCCGCGACGGGTGAAAGGGAGGAAGATTCTTTCAGAATTGCAGCAAAAGACTGCAGTGTACCAGAGTATGCGAGGCATGCGAGCTCCAGTGCAGATGGAGAAACACGTCGGGCAACGAGAACCTCGAGTTTCAGACAGCAGTGTAAATACAGTCCAGAGTCATGGGCTTCATTATATGACTTCACCTCGAGAAGAAAAGCTTCCAACTCCGACTGACGCGCCCCTGGTCTATGGACCTGGAGGTATCATGGGAGTACCCGGCCCAAGTGTTGGCAGGGTGCCGTTGGTTCAGGCCGTGGTTTTTGCAGGCAGTGCGAATGGGGAATCCTTATGGGCTCTCCCGAGTTCTCAGAGCCCGGAGGCAAGCAGTGACTCGGCAAGTGGATCTGGACAACCTCCTCTTGCAGTGCCTCCTGGGGCAGACGACTTGATGGCTGATATCGACTGGGTATTTCTGCATTCTCTTAAAAAGTGAGGATTGAGCTGACAACATTTTCAGGATGCATTTGACGCCCTGTTCCCACCTGATCAGCAAATTGACTTGGATGCTTCGGGGTTTTTACCAGGTGTTGGACCATATTGAGCCCTTTAAATGTCGTATGCGGGAATCAGTTGGAGGGCGTTGGCTTCTTCTTTCCCAAATGTCAGGCTAGACTAACAAGAGGCTGGGGAAATCTCTTTCTATAAAAAATTATATGAGGTATCACACGGGGTCAACTAGTGGGAAAATAGTTTTGGAGCTTCAGCTCTTCGCGAGGCAGTTCATGAAGAGTGCATTGTCGAGTGCTGATGGTACAGTGGGACTTCTGCGCCGTCTTTTCCCATGCCAGAATGTTAATACATTGCGAAGTACCTCCCATCCTTCGTCTAAACGTCAAGATCCATCTTCTCACCCAACGCCGTCTCATCACCCTTCAGCTCATGAACTGTCACATATTTGCTGATCTCCTCCCTCGTAATGATCTTCTCATTCAAGACAGCCGTAGTGCCCCTCTTAAAGACATAGCTCTTTTGCTTCTTGCTTCGCTCGTTCGGCTTGATGTAACCTCTCTTCAGCGTAGTCTTGTCCTTCGTGATGACCGCAACATCGACGTTGGATCCGGAACCCAAATCGTTGAAGATACCGGCCTGGATGGCGTTTGATGCTAAGTCGATAGCCTCTTGCTCCGTCATCTTTGGCTTCCATTGCGTCTCGAATACTGACATGGCTGCGAGCGAACCACTTCCCATAGTGACATATGGAAGCTTGTCAGTACTGCCATGTGCGTGAACAGTGAACAATCCAACACCAGTAGGATCAACTCCAGCCACGACAAGATATGCGCCAATATGTCCTTGGTACCGGAACAGATGTTGCTTGAGCATCGTCATGCAGGTAACGACTCGGGGTTTGCGGCCAGTGGAAAGTGAGTGGAGTTCGAGTTGTGAGGAGATGAGGGAGGTGGTGAATTCGGTGTCTGCAGCTGTACCAGCTCCTGCACACCAGATCTGAGGGGCGATATAATGGAGCTTCTCGCAGTTCTGTTGAAGTTGTTAGCTTTGATCTCAAGCTTGATTCAAGGTGTAAACGAACTTTGTCTGCTACTATGGGACCACTTGTAGCTCTCGTATCTGCCGCAATCTACGCGGGACAAAGTCAGCATTCATTCTTGAGTTTGAAGGTTTGCTCTTGAGCGATAAGGCCAGCCTCCAGGAACAGCCACAAGTCATGGCCGTAAATCCTGGATTTGAAGCTTGGGATCAGGATTCAACTCACAACAACTCCCTCGTGCCCATTACCCTGGAAAATACATCCTACAATCGTGGTCCCTTGGCGAATTAGTACGTTATAATGACCTGAAGAAAGAATGGCATACCTGTTGATGTAGCCTTAGGTAATGGGACACCTCTGGCATGGAGGGCAGAATTTCTGGAATGATTTGAGAAGTCAAAGCCCGGCATAGTGACTGAAAGATCCTAGGGAGCTCGACGCTGATCGTATTCGCTGATGTATTGGCAGAGCTCGACTCTGGATCGTATCCGTCGGTATGCTGGCGGCAATGAACGTAACTTTCGAAGTACGAGGGGCTTAGACCTATTCGTCGATCTGTTGGCAACAATAAATGGAAATTTCGAAGTAGAATCAGATAGAGTTGAGATGGGAGGTGGGAGGGTGTGAGAAGTTGGGGCTGCTGGAGTCGAGGCAGAAGCGTAGTACGACGCGGTTGTTCACGAGCGTACCTGACTAAGCTAGGAGCTTCAACATTGTTTTGAGAAGCTCCAACCTAGGCAAGATCAAAAACTCCCTTGAGGACCGGAACATTCACTTTTCAAGCTGGCGTTTGACTCGCTTTTGTTTCTCCAGCCATAAATAGGCAGCAGCTTCTACCTCAAGCGCCCGATAAATTTAAAATTACAACCTTCGCGCCTCCTGGTCCCTCGATTTCCTGTCCTCGATCTCGATCTTCAATGCGCAGAAACATCTCATGAACCGTTGGCCCTCCTAAGAGTGGCTATTTTGCGTCCATCATGGCATTCAGCTTCGCAAATGCGGGCATGGGCGGCTCCCCTGCAGCGAACGTACAAGCCGGTCCTCCTCTTGAAGATATACAAACAGAGGTACTTTATCCCTCAAGACTTTTAGAGAAGCACTCCTCACACTTGCTATAGGCCCTTGGTTTCTTGTCATTTGCAGGAGAGGCTAAGGTTCAGTTATTGCCCACATCATGGCCTTCAGATCAGCTACCCCCGCCAACGTCTTCTCTCATGAGCATAGCCTCACAACGAGGTCTCGTGGCTGCTTCAGGACCCGATGCTGTCATAGTAGCAACTACAGAGTCGGTACGGAAAGCTTTCGAGGGTCCGAACTCAGGAGATGGCAACCTAAAGCCCTTTCAACCACAATTAAAGCTGCCAATGCCCATGAGAGTATCGCAGCTCGCATTTTCAGCAGATGAATCCTACCTGGTACTGTCGGCCGAGACTGGAGGAGGGTTGGCAGTGTATGACGTTCAGGCGCTCTTGCAGGGTTCTACACAGTCGGCTTTCGAGTTATCAACCAACGGACAAGCTTTGCGAGCTCTTACGCCCAATCCAACACCAGAGAAGGGAGAGCTGTTGGCTCTAGTTACGACTGACGGTAATTTAATGATGGCCAATTTGAAGGAGCGGAAGTTTGTAGCTGGGCCGAACGGACAGGTATTGAAAACTGGAGTGAGTTGCGTTTCCTGGAGCCCCAAAGGCAAGCAGCTAGTTGCTGGACTCGGAGATGGAACCGCGTACCAGATGACCCCTGAGGGCGGAGCCAAAGCAGAGATTCCTAGACCACCAGATGTGGACAGGGGCGATCACGGTAAGCACTCCCAATCCACACACTAGCATCTGTGCTGACCTCGAAGTTTCTTCCATCACTTGGCTTGAAACTCTTGTTTTCCTCGTAGTTCATACTCCGTCTTCCTTCGACAATAGCCAAGCATCAAATTCAACCTTCCACCTAATCACCCGGCAGCTTCCTTCGAGCTTTACATTTCAAAAGGTGTCCGATCCTGCCGGCCCCTTTGGCCTCAATCGATCACCCCCACATCACTTCCTGCTTCGTCTCAAGGACTTCCCACCAAACCTGCAGGATGTAATACTGGTGGCTTCAACCGCATCTACTGATATTGGCCTATTCACCAAGTCTAAAGTTCCTTTGACCAGCGACAAGCCAGCAGACAAGATTACAGACGTTTTTACTATGACGGAAATGTCTGATGATTCTCGCCGTGCTCAACTCCCCATGACTGCCGAGTTGACCGACACGTCTCCTATTGGATTTGCGTTGGACTTATCTAGTAAGGAAAAGGTGGCCAAGCCAATTCCAGCAGATGAGATGGACGAATCACCAACTCCGCTTCCTGCTCTTATGGTTCTCAACAATGAAGGAGTTTTGGCCTCGTGGTGGGTCATCTACTCTGAATCGATACGGCAAGGAACCGTATACCCTGGTCTTGCCATTGCAGGAGGTACTGCACAGCCTACGCAGGCCCCCCCTGCAGCAATCCAAGCTCCAACATCTGCGTTTGGCGCACCAAGCACCCCCGCATTCGGGGCATCTGCCTTTGGCAGTACAGCCCCGGCGTTCGGTAGTACGACTTCAAGTGTCTTTGGAGCTCCTTCACTTCCAGGGATCACTGGAGGTGCCTTTGGTGGCCCATCTACTCTTGGGAAGAGTCAGTCTCCATGGGGCACACCTTCCACCTCAACTGCCCCATCCACCAACAGTTTTGGAACATTCGGTTCAACGCCATCGGAAGCACCGAAGCCCGCATTTGGTGCTCCATCATTTGGCACTACCAGCACGCCTTCCTTCGGGGGACTTGGAAATCGAGTGTCACCTTGGGCTACTGGAGGGTCAACTGCCCCAAATGCAGCATTTGGCCAAGCCGGTGGTCTCCCTAAGCCAACTTCAGTCTTTGGTGCACCGGCTTCAACAAAAAGTACTCCAGCTCAATCCTCTGGGTTTGCTGCGTTCGCTTCAAAGGGCGGCTTTGCTGCCGCCGCTGGAGCGGCTACCAGTCCAACTGGAAGCGTATTTGGTTCGAAACCTACTTCGAACGCTTTTGGCTCGCCGAGCGCTGGTTCCATGAACACAGGCAATGTCTTCGGCGGAACCGCAAATAAGGTAGAGAGCAAGCCGACCTTTGGGTCTAGTGGTTTTGTACTCGGGTCGACATTCAAGGCCGATCCAAACGCAAAGGATGATGTTGCCGGAACATCAGGTGAGCCTAAGGACTCATTCTTTGGAGGCGGGTTCAGCAATACTCTTGGAGATTCATCTAAAAATGTTGAAGCTCCGGTGTCTAAGGAGACTGAAATGGACTCGGGTGAAGCCCCAAAAACAGAAGTGCCAGCAAAAATCGAAACTACAACACCATCATCTACGCCAGCTGCACCGAAAACCCAGTTATTTGGATCCACCACTCCCGCCACTGGGCTCTTTGGCACTCCCGCAACCTCATCCACCCCTACGGCTAAACCTGCATTGGCAGGATTCAGTTTCGGCCAACAAACTGCTGATAAACCACAGACAGCAGGATTCAGTTTCGCCAATCTGAATGCAGCTCCCTCTATTGCTCCAAACACGCCTACAACCGCAGGTCCTGAGCCGTCGTCCAAGCCAGATGTGACGCCTGCATCTCCTCAGATTAAGGAAGAGCCAACACCAGAGACCCCACCCCTGAACAAGAAGATTCCAGAGGCTCCTCTACCCCCCGACTCAACAAGTAAAACAAGCTATGCCGCAGGGGAATCATCAGCTTCATCTGTTGAACCCGATGCGCCTCTCCCTCCCGACTTCATTCCCAAAGCTGCTGTCAAAGCTGCCCAACATCCAGAGTCTCCAATCACAGGAAAGGCCGCCGAGAAGCCAGTTCCGGCAAATCTCCCTCCTCCCGCCGATATCCCTGCCGGACCAGAGGACGAAGGAGACAATGAGTCTGAATTCCTAACAGAAGAGGAAGGGGAGGACGAGAGTAAAGAACCCAGCGAGGAGGGAAGCGGCGAAGATGTAACCAAGGACATGAGCCCTACATCGGAAGCTAACCAGACGCCTGGTTTCACACCGCAGAGCTCCTTTGGCGGAACGAAGAATCGTGGTTCAGAGAGTAATATGTTCACCAAAATTGAGAGGCCGGGTGAGGTGCAACCACAGCGGTCACTGTTTGGTGAGATCAATCGTTCCACTGCTCCCATTCTCCCACCCCCGAGAGTGCAACAAAGTCCTCGATCACCAAGCCCCGTACGCACTTCTGTACCCCCTAGAATGCGTCCTGATGCATCCCGCTCCGTCAGTGCTCCAGGTGCTGCTTTTCAAGCTTCTCAAATTTTAGGATCTCAGAGAATTGGAGGTCGGTCAATGATGTCTACACAAAATCTGCACGCTGCGTCTCGGGATGGAGCCGAACAGCAAGCGGAAGCCAGGCGCCGTGAAAACAGAGCTCGGAAAGAGGAGGAAGAGACGCGAAGTCTTCAAGACGATGAGGATGACAAGATGCAAACATATCTTGCCTCAGATATCAAGCCTACTTTAACACTGGATGAGTTTGTTGCCCATGCGGATTACGTTGGTAATAAATCTATGGAGAGCATACCAGCACAGGTCGAGGCCGTGTACAAAGACATTAACTCGATGATCGATACATTAGGCGTTAATGCTCGGGCTCTCAAGTGCTTCGCAGAAGGGCATGACGTTCTTTCCAAGGACGAGGGCCGTACCATCCAGGATCTCGACGAGGGTATAGGAGAGTGGTGCTTGGTTGAGGTCGAGGAGCTATCCAGACTCGTTGAAGTCGAATTTACTCAGGAACTCGAAGAGTGCCGGGTAAAAGACTTGGTTGCTAAACTCGATGCCTGCAACGACCTACAGAAAGATATGATCAGGCTTCGTGCAAAACATGAAGATATCAAGAAGATCATTGATTGCTATCGAGACCCAAGCCATCTAGCAATTGCTCGGGGACAACCTTTGAGCGCTGAACAGGCTGCCCAGCAACATGATCTTCGCAGGGACTTCACGAAATTCCAGAAGCTTCTTACTGAAGCCGAGGAAAGTGTGACTGTTCTGAAAGCAAAGATTGTATCTCAAGCCACGTCTCATGGGAAAAGCAACGGCTCGGCGGGTCCTACGGTGGAGGCTGTGATGAGAACGATTGCGAAGATGACAAGTATGGCGGAGAAACGAAGTGGCGACATTGATGTTCTGGAAGGCCAGATGCGCCGGCTACGATTCAGCTCAACAACCAGTGCGGGAAGCCGGGAAGGCTCACCTTTCGCAACTCCGCAGAACAACAGGACTTCGCTAAGGAACCCGGGGACATCGAGTACGTACGGGCTCTTTTACACTCCCGACAGTATCAAAGACACCCCACAGCGATTCCAGAATTCGCTGATGTCATCGGTTGGCTCTCAGTCTCGAAACTCTCCACCTCGCAAGAAACTGAGTGGCTATACAGCCGAGGAAAAGACTCTCCTCAAGTTGAAGTTGGCGAGAAAGAAGGAAGTTACGAATAAGTTGAGGACAGCTTTGCAAAAGAATGGAACGAACGTTCGCCTTATGGTTGATGAGGATGATGACTAAGACTTGAGAGAAAGAATGAAATCGGGGTGTCAGCATGGATGATTGATTATTACATCTGGGACGGAAGAGGCATGTAACAACACCACAGCAGAAATCGGAACCATAACTTGCGTTTTTCCATTAAAAGTGGCATGCAAAACTGCAATCCAGTCTAGATAGGAATAATTCATGAAACGTGTAAAACACGGGTGTCCAAAGTGTATTCCATAGCGAGTCTATTCAATGGGAGATAGAAAGCCTTTGACCTTTGAATGGAGTCATAAGTACCGTCCTAAGCATACAAGCGAGGGGTCATATTTGATTTTGAGAGCTAAACTGACTTGGGACATTCGACTGATCTTGGAACACTCCAATTGATTGGGTGCACGGTTTGTTCTTATATGGGGGGGGAGGTATTTTCTATCCTAAATTTGCTTGGCCCCCGAAATTTCATGCATCATTTTCGTCTCTCACTCATATCGGCTTCAGATAAGATAGTTTTTGGTCTCCGTCCCAGCAGCCGCCCTTCATCTCGTCTCCAATATCCTTCGGATCTGGTTACGATCGTTTGGAACAAGGTGTCGCTGGAACCCCTTGGCCGACAGGGGTGTTTACTCGCTTTGCCGGTTTTTGAAACGAGATGGGGTCCAAAACAATTGTTCGGGCGAGTCACCCCAGATCAGACGAAAGATAACATTAAATTCGAAATGAGGCTCCAGTTTTTGCTGATTTGAGCTTGGGCGTGAGTATAATCGTCTTCTGAAATGGATTGTGTTCTAGAGACTACGATTTCTCTATGAAGCGAAACAATGACAGGCTGGGCCAATTTTTACTACTTATACAAATATTCCTACTCTTCCCCAGCTCAGGATCTGTGATCATCGTCATTCGTTCTTTTTCTACCATTCGATTCTCCACAACATATATATCATCACTCTCATTCTAGCGGCGTCTACATGCACATATACTATTCCGATCCCTTCAGTCCATCAGCCAAGACCAGTTCGAGGTGCTTCATCTGCATGCATCAACGACCGAAAACCCAGATGCAGTAACAGGAACGACCTGTCTCGATACTACCGCGTAACCATAATTATAAGGCGTTATTTCTCCGAATCCCAGCTAATCAATCACAGAAACATTGTGTTCCACGATCAAACTATTGCCGAGCATGGAATTTGTGGCGGAACAGGTCAGCTTCCACCATTTCCTACACTTTCAGGAACTATTATGGCAATGTAACCGCACGACAACTACTAGAGAGAGAGCTTCTTGTCTCTTATCCTCAAGTGAACGTGTTGACTGTAAGCGCAGCTGGGGCTATTACTAAGTGTAGTGGGAATCTAACAGCCACAACTGGTTCATCGGGAACAGAACTCTTCAAACTAAAAGCCACAACTTCTAGAGCAACAATCAACGTCAGCAAGAGGCTGTGGGAAGGATGTGTTCGAGCGGCTCGTGCAGTTTGTCCGACCGGCACATTTAACTCGACTTGCATTGGTGGAGCCTCTTATTGGAAACGTGGCTTTTACTTTGTCTGAAAATTGACAAAGTGGAAAGTTGTATAGCAGACGAAGAATTAAGGTACTATGGAAAAGAAGAAATGAAAAAGAGACAGAATTCCACCTACGTGCATATAGTGCATTATGCAGAGAATCCAGCTTGATGTCTAACTTTTCTTTCCAATGTGTCAGCGAAGAGGTGCTCCTCCAAAGTTGGGAAAGGCACTGACTTTTTCCCGTTCAGGCCATTCCTCCACACCTCACACAGTGACATTCTACCAGAAGGTTAAAAAGCGCTGATCGGCCCATCACATCTCAATGTCCAATGTTAAACCAGGACAATGGGAAGTTCCTTCCCAAGAGCCCTCCGAGGTCGCTGCGAGATGCATCATTGTGATGCATGAGTGGATGGGAAATGCCTATCATGAAAAGTTGAACAATGAATCAAGTCTTCGCCTCTTATCTCTGTTGTATGGCGGATATGATATTTTGCGATTAAATGACGGTCTGCTCACATCTGCGCTGCACGTGCAAGTGCGAGTCGTGGACAATGGACGATGCCTCCTCGCTGCAGGAAGGCTGCTCAGCCTGCTGGTGGGTTGAGGCCGCTTACCTCGTTACATAGTCGCGGGCTCTTGAGATGTAACGGGATCATCAGTTTTATTCGCATTCCTCGCCTCCCCACACTTGCCGCGGTCAAACCTTTTTGCAGGTCCTCGAAATTAAGATCTTGATCCGAATCACCTTAATAATTGCCAAGACCTCTTGCCGGGCTGCACTGCAGCAACTCACGCACAGTTATATCTGCTTGGCATGGCTACCATCCGGATTGCCGAAGACTTTCGACCAACCAGGTCGAACACTGGGATTGGTGGCGGTATTTATCCCATCAGCGAAAACTCCATAGAGCGATCCCGCCCTAGAAGCCGCTCGAGAGACGCATGACGTAGACTCAGTGACCTCAAAGATCCGGAAACTGAAGAGGCCGGGCTCACTCGAGATGGAGACTTTAAGGAAAAAACAGGTCACTTGTTCCAGGAAATTGCGTGACTGTGTACTAATATCAAGAAAGGGGTTCAAGGGGAGGCTATTGCTCTACCTTGCATACCAAAGTATTGGCATGATATATGGGGACATTGGAACCAGTCCTCTCTATGTCTATAGTTCCACTTTCACGTCTGAACCATCTCATGAGGATCTGGTTGGAGTTTTCTCAGGTAAGGAAGTCAGCATGCTACTGAGCAAATCCGGCAAGATTGTATAATACAAAGCAAATAATAGCAGAAACCCCAAGCCGAATGCCCCAAACTCCTTATACCATAATCATATGCCATTATCGGAGCACTTCCTGGCATGAAATCGGTACTCACAGTTACTCTCCTAACCTAAGTTCTTGCGTGCTTCACATACGCCACATAGAACAACATCTCCAGCATTGATGTACTGGCTAACTTCACAAGTTGAGCTCTTGCATCGCCAGGAGCCTGGGACGAAGTTCGGTTTAAGAACATTGGCGCAAACCACACAAGTAAGAGCTTGTTTTTCGTTCACAATGGAACAGACAGGACAGGATCCATTTGGGTTGGAGGATTGTGGCACTGTCGATTTAGTCACCTCGTCCTTAACAATAATCGGAGCACCGCTTTCTTTACCTCCCCCATTTTTCAAAGGTTCTTTCGCTTTAGGTCGACTTTGCGGCTGTGTATTTTGGATGGGACCTTTCAATGCTTCCGGCGGTCTCGAGGATGCAGCATGAGTAGATGGTGACAAAACATCGGAGGTTTCCATCCTCTTGAGAGACCGGGGTTGATGAGAGGGTTGTTGGGAGCGACTAGGAATGTTCAGGAGCTCTTGCAGTTCATTTTTTGCGTCATTGTCGTCCTTATCTTCGTCCTCGCAAACTCTGACCTGAAGGAGAATTAGTAGTCTGATTGGGAGAGTTTTGAAACCGCCGGGATAGTCCAAACTTCCCCGAATACTTACCATACCATGTCCCTTGCTATCCAGTAATCGCTCCCCATTAATATCAATGGCATCGTCGAGTTCGGGTTTGATGACGAAGTCTTCCTCCCCGTCACTCCCAGTCTCGCTATCGGTGACCAAGTATTCATCCTTAACCTCTGGTACATCCTTCTTGACCTCGAATCTCGCCAAGGCTGCTGCAGCACGCAACTCTCTTCCCCTGGCGCTTCCCGCAACTCTGGGCTTAGCTGTCGTCCTCTTGCCTTTCTCCAGCTTTGCCTTGACCTCGTCGTCTGCTCCAAGTGCAGTTCCATGCACGCCAAACTTCTTCTTGATTCTCTTTTCTTGCCTCTCCTTGTGAGTGATCTTCGGCTTGACTGCCCTCTTCCCGCCATCTCGGGATTTGAAGGTTCCACCACACATGTGCTCAGGCAGGATTTCTCCCTCTTCCAGTGTCTCACGATCAAATAGACCGTTTTCCAACAGCACCCCTCTTCCCCAGAGGCCATCGCCAGTATATCCACGGCCCCACAAAGCTTTCATCTCGTTGGAGAATTCGTTTCGGACTGCCCAAAATGCTTTCGAGTGATTCATTTGTTTGTTGTGTGCCAACTCATGCATCATAACCATCTGTACGAACTTAAAGGGAAGCCAGTGGCCAGTCGAGGGCGATCTAAGGACGAGTTGAATGCATTCGCCATTATTGAAGTTCCTTCCTGGACATGGTTAGTTTCTATATTCTCCCAGCCCTACCCCGGATAATGGGTATGTAATGATTGTTCCAAGCGGGCATGGTACAATAGCAAAGTAAGCTTACCCCAGAACTCATGATTAGGCTCATACTCCTCAAAGGACACAACTGCGAGGTGATGCTTGTTCATGATGGGTAGACATTGAGCTGCAATCCGTTCAAGATAGTCCTGTGAGATTTTCTCATAGGGACCTGGCAGGGGCTTGATAAAAACGACATTTTTATTCGGAGTCGACTTCTTATTGTTTATTCTTTCCCAGCCGCCGGGCATATTTGAGACCGTGGGTAAGTCTGACCAACTTGCCCGAGAGGATATGACTTATTGCAGTCGACCGTGACGAATGTGAATGCGCGGCTGGTATGTGGATGAAGGCCTCCGATCAACAGAGGTCCAAGAACGTACACTCTGTGGGGGTTGAACTGGCAGTTGGATGGTTGTGTTGGGATGACGTTGATGAAGCCCGAAGTACGAGACGTGATCGCGACTTTTATTGTGACGCCAGGTCACGTGAACACGGACACTACTTCATTCTTCTAGAACGAGGCACTTTCCATTGTTTCTAGTAATTTCGGAAGCTTTGTAGTTCAGACGCAATCAACTCTTACTAACACTTGCCGTTGAACAAGGCTTGCGTTCAACCATGGCTGCTTTAGGGAAGTCCTGCGTTGCCCCTCCTCACTGATAGGGGACAGAAAAAGCGGCACCCATTTTTAATGTCCCAAGTCAAGCTGGACATTGCAAGTCCGTGCTACCTCTCTGAATGTGCGTATGCGATATTGTACATCGAAAGTCTACTCCCTGTAGACGTCTCGGAAATTCCAGAAGCTTGATTTCAGCTCCTCTCCTCTCCAATCAAATGTTCCCATTTGACTTGGGACTTTCAAAGATGAGTGCCGCTTTTTCTGCCCTGCGTTACCCCTCCCGTTCTCAAGTGCCGTGTAAGAGCATCCGCCAGATCAGCTGTATTACCCGCCGCCTATTCTTCGTCTTACTTTCTACTTTCTTCTATTTATACAACGCACCACCATGCGGTTCGTCTTGTACATAGAGAATCTTCCTCTAGCTCTATCTTTACGCGTTGCAAACACTTCTTTTTGACAATTACGAGTAGTCGGTCTTTATGACGTGTGAGTTTTGCTACCAAGCTTCGAGCGAGACCCCACGTTAGAGCCGGCAATCCTCCAGTGAATTGCATTTTAATTGCTACATTTTCCCCTTCTCTTCTTAAATGATCTAACTTCTACGCCTTCCCTCTCCAATTGCCCAATGGCTCCATCAGATACTCGCGAGAAGCCTTTCCATGTCGCAGTCTGCGGTAAACACTACCCCTCACCCGGCATCGGCATCTCCGCTCTAACAAACTCTAGGTGGGGGCATTGGAGGTCTTTGCATGTTGATCGGGCTTCTACGCCAAAATATCTCCTGCACACTCTATGAATCTGCTGCGGCCTTTGCAGAAATCGGCGCAGGGGTTTCTTTCGGACCTAATGCCGTGCGGGCAATGTCCTTGATAGACCCTGATATCAAGAAAGGCTATGATAGGATAGCTACCGGCAACGCATGGCCGGCGAAGAAGAACCTCTGGTTTGAATTCAACCTTGGACCTAAGGAGGATGGGTGGAAGGATTTGAAGGCCCCTGGAAAGGAGGGCCAGCGAATTGCACAGGTCGTGGCGTTGGATGTGGGGCAGAGTTCTGTGCATCGGGCACATTTTTTGGATGTGCTTGTCGACCTGGTTCCCGATGGCGTTGCGCAGTTTGGGAAGAGAGTTGAGAAGGTGGAGAAGAAAGGCCAGAAGATGCTCCTGACCTTCCAAGACGGTTCCACTGCTGAGGCGGATGCGGTTATTGGCTGTGATGGAGTGAAGTCTCGGGCGAGACAAATTCTTTTGGGAGAGGACCATGAGACTACAAATCCCACTTTCACCGGAAAGTACGCCTACAGAGGTTTGATACCCATGGAGAAGGCAGCAAAGGCTTTAGGAGACGAGCTGGCGAGAAATAGTCAGATGTATTTGGGTCGTCATGGACACGTCTTGACCTTCCCGATCGAAAATGGCAAGACTATGAACGTCGTTGCGTTCCAGACCAAGATGGATGGAAAATGGGAGGATGAGAGATGGGTTTTGCCAATGAAAAAGGAGGACATGTTCGCTGATTTCGAGGGCTGGGGCGAGAGTGTTCAGAAAGTCCTCTCAGTAAGTTCTGTTAACTGTGAAACCTTGATCATTGCATCCTAACCGCCCTAGCTTATGGAAAAACCTGACGTCTGGGCATTATTTGACCATCCTCCAGCACCAACATACTTCAAAGGACACTTCGCATTACTTGGAGACGCCGCCCATGCATCAACCCCACACCAAGGCGCCGGCGCAGGCCAAGCTATCGAAGATGCCTTCATTTTGTCCAACCTCCTGGGACAAGTGAATTCGGTAGATGAAATAGAGAGAGCCTTCTATGCATACGATGCCGTCCGGAGACCCAGGAGCCAGAAGGTCGTAGCGACCAGCCGCGATGCCGCCAAAATTTACGAATTCGAAGACGAGAAACTTAAATCCAATTTGGTTATGATTAAAAAGACGTTGGAAATGCGTTATGACTGGATTTGGAACGAAGATCTTCCCCAGCAGTTGAAGACGGCCGAAGCCATCATGGGTAGTGGGCAAGCTTGTAGATAGGAAACCTTAATCGATCGGATCGTCCCGGAGAGTAAATAGCTCCTTCAAGACATCTTCCGTCTTACCTCTGAGGGCATTGTGATACATTCCATTGGTGATGTACTGGCGACAGTTTTTGACCAATCTGGCCGTCTGCTGTGCGATAGCAAAATCGACGTACATATCGTCAATGAATGTGGCAGCGTAGAGGGGTACCTGTACACTTTAGGCCCTGTACTACTCCTGTACAGTAATTATTTGCTTACCTCGTTTCTAGCCAGTTGAAAGAGGTCGTAGAGTTCAGGCCACCCTGAATATTTGGCTATATCATCGGCAACTACGGCAAGCTTCTCGAGCTCAGGAAAGATGTCGAATAAGAAGGGAAATATCATTTCACCAGAGAAGAATAATGGGGCCTCGCTCACACTAGAAGCGGATTGCGGTGCTCCGGAAAGCCCTAAGTAGAAGATTAGCCATTGCTTGATAAAGGTTGTCCCGGAAAGATTGGCACATTGAGAGGCTGTCCCCGGAGAAGACTATGAATCGATTTGAAAGAGGAAACGACTCTCATACAAGCGAATTCCCGCAAGCTTCGACCCACTCGATCAGCCGCCCATTTACTCGCCCCGTTCTCACAGTAGATCGATTCGTGAAGGACGGCGTATATGACATTGTCATCAAAGCTGAGAGCGCTTTCAAGCGCCGAGAGAGTCGGACGAGTGATGAACTGAAATTGATGAATATCTCTGGAGCCCTCGGATTAGTATCAATAATTCCCAAATTGTAGAAGGAACTCAGGAGCCCTGGGAGCCGAGCTCCAAAGAGAAATGCGCATGCAAGCTCCTAGACTCTGAGCTTTGAAACATAAAGTAGCAATTAGGTATGGAGGTAAGCTTACCTCTTCATTCGAAAGACTAGATCATGGACCGAATCCAAACCGCCGTGCATACCGAAGTTCCTTCCCAGTGTCAAGAAGCCTCTTACTGTCAAGACACCGCCAGACGGCAATTGAAGACCTCCTTTGCTCTTGATGTGGAAGGCTAAGCCATGGACTGCGTCAATATCCTCGGGGTATTTCTTGTAGTAGGCTTTGTTTCTTTCTGCGCACTGGTTGACTAAGTCAGTGTCATGACTTTTCGATTCGAAACGCAGACCAGGGCTCAACACGCAAGGGTCAAAGGGATAGTAGTTCTGACCTTTCGGAAAGTGGCTCTGTAGACTTGTTCTGGAGTTTGGCCGATAGGAGGAAGTCCCCCAGTTGTAAAAACCTCACGGAGGCCGTGAGGGGCAAAACTCAAGTAGCTTAATGCTACGAAGCCGCCATAGGATTGTCCAAATATTGACCTGTAGCAAATAACGTCAATACATATGGTATTCAGGGGCATTGAAGGCTTAGAGACCAGTTGAGAAGATGAAGAAAGTATGCAACGGGTAAATGAAAAAAGACCAGTGCTCTGCTTGACCTGTTCCTGTCACACTGCAGGGGACACGTGCAAAAGCATCCTTACCATTTCTTGAGCTCACTTGGGTAGTCCTCAGTGAGTGTCTTTCTGACCGCTTCGCAATCCTTAACGATGCTATCTGCCCGGAACAGTTTCAGATAGTCCACTTGTCTGTGAACATCTCCTTGGAGGCCCAGGGTAGCTGCCGATATAGGGGTGCTAAGGCCAGTTCCACGCTGGTCGAGATATAACATCTGGTACCCCTTATCAAGGATCACCTGGGTCATTGGAGCTTCTTGCGGAGGTGGGCAGCCGAAGCCTGGTCCACCTTGGAGATAGACCATCCACGGCTTGTAGGACTTTTTACGAGCCTCCTCTTCGGACAGTGGAGCTGCTGGCTTCTCATACTTCGATACTGAACGGCCGAACAGCTGCAAAGTACCTCTATCTGGGTTGGAATAATCTCTGGGAACCTCAAAAAGCAGTTCCGAGACCTTGAGCTTTCCTGAACATGCTGTCAGCGCTTGTCTTCTGGTATCTCATTAATGAAAGGTTCCAGGGGAAGAAGACACGCTTCCCATTGCTCACAAAGCTTGGGAATATTGCTCGGCAACCGTCTTTTTCTCGAGGCCCTAGAGAAATCCCCACCCATGCAACCGCATCACCTGACTCTGAAAGCCTTACCAGGTATGAGGTGGGACTTGGACTCAACTAGCCTAGCAAAGGCCATGGCTAGGCTAATATGTCTAGTTTAGGACAAGGTTTGACTTCGTGAATAAAGCGAGGTGGGGTGATGTGGGTTGGTAGAATGAGGCTTGTTGAGCATTGAAGAAAGCCTTTGAGATCGGAAGAATTTCGCTTCTGCTCGCGCCCGACTGCGCACACTCCTTCATAGAATTCAGCCTTAAAGTCACAACACCGCAAGAGCCTGCTAGAGAAGATCTGAGGTGAGTAACAATTTGTCCTGGGCTCGGGAGAGCATGTCAGGGTGATAGGGAATGGTCTCATTGTCGTTGTCCAGCGCTCACTCCGTTCATTTAGAAACGGGCTGAAGGAAGCTCCCCTCTCTTGCACCAATAGCACTCCAAGTGTAGTGCGGGCCTTTGTTTGACCTGTCATTCAATCTCTCGTTACAGTGTTATTCAACCGCTTCCTTTATGGACTCTGGCTTAACTTCTTGCCTACCAGAGATAACTTGAAAATTCGGACAAAGTCACGTGGCCGGCACTTCTCATCTCATCTTTTGTGACAAAATGGCAAAAGACAAGAAGGGAAAGAGCGAGGGAAAGAAAGCGAAGATAGCAGAAAAGAAGCAGAAGCAAGAAAAGAAAGGGGTGAAGAAGGAGAAAGTCAAGAACTCCAAAGCCAACGACAGCGATGCCGAAGACGTCGACCTCGATGCCGTCCTAGCAGAATACGCCAAGAAGCAAGAGCAATTCCTCAAGGTCACAGAGTCACCCTGTGATCCACCAAGATCTCGAGCTTCTTCTACCTTGATTGCTTCACCTACGAACGACAACGAGCTTTTCCTGTTTGGTGGAGAGTATTTCAATGGAGCATTGGCGACTTTCTTTAATGATCTCTACGTCTACTTGATAAACCGAGACGAATGGCGATTGATCACATCGCCCAATACTCCTCTTCCGAGATCAGGGCATGCGTGGTGCCGTGGCGGCAATGCTGGAGGCATCTATTTGTTTGGAGGAGAGTTCAGTTCACCTAAGCAAGGTACCTTCTACCACTACAATGATGTAACCATACACTGTCTAGTCTCAAACAGATTCGATGCTCATACTTAACCAGTTCTGGCGTTGCGAACCCTCAACTCGAGAATGGACCAGGTTGGAAACCAAAGGCAAATCACCACCCGCAAGAAGTGGCCATCGAATGACATACTACAAAAACTACATCATCTTATTCGGGGGCTTCCAAGACACCTCACAGCAGACGAAGTATCTTGCAGATTTATGGCTCTATGATACTCAAAACTTCGTATGGCACGATCCCATGCTTCCGCTTGCGACGCAGAAGCCTGATGCCCGTTCATCCTTTACTTTCCTTCCCCATGAATCTGGAGCGGTGTTGTACGGAGGATATTCCCGAGTTAAGTCTACAGTGACTGGCAAGCAGACAAAAGGAGGTGGCCAGGCCCAACGCAATGTCCTAAAGCCCCTGGTACATCAAGATTGTTTCTTCCTTCGGATAACTCAGCCAGCCGCAGAGGCCCCACCCAATTCTCCTCCTACAGTCAGATGGGAAAGAAGGAAAAAGCCAGCTAACGCACCAAATCCCCCGCGTGCTGGAGCTACGATGGCCCATCACAGGGGCCGAGGAATAATGTTTGGCGGTGTACATGACGTGGAAGAGAGCGAAGAGGGGATTGATTCAGAGTTCTTCAATGGCTTATTTGCATGGAACATTGAACGGAATCGTTATTTTCCATTGTCCTTGAGAAAGCCTCGAACCAACCAACGCAAGCCTCAAGAGACGAGAAGTGGCCGTCGTGGAAGAGGTCAGGCAAATGAAGATGAGCTACTACGCAATCTCGCAGCACTGCAGACTGGAAAATCACTGGCAGATGCTGATGAGATGGATGTTGAGAAGACGACAGGTGATACGGATGAGAAGCAATTACCAGCCAAAGAAGTGCTTCAAGAGTTTCCTCATGTGCGATTCAATGCTCAACTCACTGTACAGGTACGTAGATGAAGATATCCTCTTCTTGCTCCTATAGTTTCATGTTTCTCTCTCTACACAATGTCCCAACTCTCCCAGGCAAGCGTTGATCAGACCTTTACTAACTTCTCCATCGCTTATAGGACGATGTTCTCTACATCTATGGGGGCACCTTCGAGAAAGGAGACCGAGAAATGACATTCGACGAAATGTACGCTATCGATCTCGACAAGCTCGATGGAGTGAAGCAGATCTTCCACCGTGAGCCAGACAACTGGCTCGGATCTGATGACGAGGACAGTGAAGAGGAAGATGGCAGCGATGAAGATGACGAGGACGAGGACGAGGACGAAGAGGACGAGGAGGGGGATATCAAAATGAGTGACGAGAAGCCTCTGCACACAGAAAGTACTCGGAAGTCGAAGAGAAAGGACAAAGTCGTTGCTCCTGGGGACGAGGCTAACGAGATGGCTTCGATACCTTCTACTTTCGATGATACGCCTGACGATGCCACATCCGCAACTTCTCCCGACGATAGCTTCCCACATCCTCGACCGTTTGAGTCCAGAAGAGACTTCTTCCAGCGGACCGGGAATGAGTGGCAAGAGGCGTTGATGGCTAGCTTGAGGTGGAAGGGTATACAACCCGAGACTTTGTCAGTCAAGGAGATCAAGACTAGGGCTTTTGAGATGAGTGAGGAGAAGTGGTGGGATTGCCGCGAGGAGGTCACCGCACTTGAGGATGAGCAAGAAGCTGCGGGAATTGGAGAGGTTGTTACACTGGCTGATAGGGCTGAAGCAAGTGGCGGGGTTGGAAGAAGGAGATAATGAAAAAAGAAATTGTAAATGAGAACGGGTCAACTTTTCCTTCCAGGCAATGCCGTAACGTGATAGAGACAACTCTTGGAGGGTGACCGTTCTTGCCAAGGTTAATCATGAAGAAGAAATTATGCTAGATTCTTCATAGATTTATTCTTACTCATGCGGGAAGAGCAGTCCCGCTCTGAAAAAGCCACAACGCCAAATTCTCCATTCCCCATTCCCCATTCCCAGCCCAATTTTATGCACCATACCTAGTAAAGCACTCCTCCTGATGAACCTGCAAACACTCCAAAGCGCAAACCCTTCCTCCACACCCTTTACACTTAACCCTCCCCCAATACCCACAAACCTCACAAAACTGCCTGATCGGCTTCATCCTATCCTCGTACACCCATGGTCCTCTCGCCTCGTTATAAGTCATTGGCGGCGCGGCCAAAAGTTTCTCGATCTCCTCTTGTGCGGGCATTGTCGGTATCCTCGATACCAGCAACGGATCTTTGTCTCCTGGGTGAGGGGTAGGAATTGTGGAGTTCCCCTGGGAGAGCAGGGGGGCGTCGGGCATGGGGATATCTTGGCTGGGTTCAGATTTAATGGGGAGAGGTGTGGAGGATTGGGAGGCGGTGGAGACTTTGCGGAGCGGGGTCGGTGTCGAGACTGTATTTAGGTCTTTCTTCTTGTGAGAACGGGTCCCTTTGCTGGTGAGATGAGGGGCAGTTGCGGCTGCTGCTAGCCCTGTTAAAGTGGGCGTGGCTCGTACAGCTGGTGCAGCTGGTGTTGAAACTGTAGGCTGGGAGGGCACAGGGAGAGACGAGAAAGCTTCGAAGTCGGAGAGATGGTTTGCGAAGGTCTTTTGGGACTGAAGGATCTTGCGGACGGCGGGAGTGCTTTTGCCATGGCTTACTGGTGATTGTAATTGTCAGATATGTTCGGAATAACTAGCCTTGGGAGGAGCTGGATTTATACCTCGTCCAGCATTGTCTTTATGCCGTATTGGCACCGGGATAGAGACGTCACGGTGGTTCTCGCGGTCCAGAGCAGCAAGCTCTCGTAGGATCTTCGCCTCTTGTTTTGCGGTGGTCTCATGCAGGCTTGCTGTGGGCTGGTTGCGAACGCGTGTGCGGGAAGAAGGCTGTAAGGCTGTGACCGAAGCATTGACGCTGGTATCAGGAACATAGGCCCATCCTGGGGCGGCTGTAGCCCTCGAATTTGCGACCTCTCTGACGCCGAAGTTAATCATTGTGTCATAAAACCATGTGTGTGGTGTTGCACTGGAAACGTTGTAGATGACAAGTCGCCTGGGGTTCTCGAAATGTTTTTCAAGGGTTGAGGCGAGGCTAGCACTTTCACATGTATCTTTTGAACCTTGGACTTCAGAAATGCTCAATCATGGAGATGGTATTTGAAATGCTTGCATTACGCATGTATTTGCTGCCTAGTATCCCATGCTTGCAGTCATAAGACTGCTATCTCCTAACTGTTGGTACATCCACAGACTTGGAATTTGCCATAAACCACTACTGAGTAAGAAACCGCTCCAAATTCCACAACATGCACATTCTACCGTATTATTTCATGTCCGTGCCCACTTATTTCTTCTTTTTGTTTAACTCATCAATCTTCTCCTCTAAACTTTGAACGTAGGTATGGACCCGTTGCACCGAGGCCTGCAAAGACTGTTGGAAGCAAGTAAGCAAATGTTCAAATTACTCGCGAGTCGAAGCAAAGCTCCGCCGATTCAGAAGGTCATCTACTGTGTATAAGTTGCGAAAAGAACTAAATGCAATAACGCACGTAGATATCTTCCGTCAGGAGCTCATTCGAGACCTTGTATTCCTCCAAGATGTAGTAGTAGACCCCGCCTCCTGCCAGTGTGCTTCCGAGAAGAAATCCGAACAATCTGGAGCGAGGCAGTATCAGCTAATGTGGTCGTGGCAAATTTCCACAGGGAGGAACGATTGGAGATAGTTTTGGACAGCTCCGAAGCAACTGGGAGGGCGGAAGTATAGGATGAATAACTGACCCTCCTCGAAAGGCACCGACTGGCTTTCGTACTGGCAACGGCGCGGCAACATCTGCGAGTCTTCGGGAGGACGGTTGAAAGCTTCTGGTAGTCCGGAGAGCTGTGCATGGCGACGCGACAGCGCGCATTGCTGGTGAGAGTATCCGCGATGCCATCGTGATTATTACGATTGAATAGAAGAGTTCCGGCGTGGAGGAGTTTGGATTCGAAATGACGAAGGTTGGAAGCTCTTGTGATGATCAATTGGTTGCTCTCGTGATGATCTTGCCCAAAGCTTGACGTCCTCCGGAAAAAGGGTGGAGCTTCCGCGGAAGCTCGCGGCTGACAAACGAGGCAAATTTAAGGGGAGAGATGGCTGGCAGGACCACGCGCATGTCATTTGGAGCCAGGACTGTAAACTGCTGTGTTTTTTCATTGCCCATTTGTTCACGTTCACGTCAACTATATTCAACTAATGCACTGGTTTCGGAAAATGCAAATCTCAAATCCCAATGTTCCCAGGACCAAATTCATCACTCCGAGAAGGACCATGTATTGCCAACACGCCTCTGAGTTCGCAGAAGAGAGATAATACAGAGTGCAACGAAAGATTTTTACTCGAATTCCTCCGCCCCTACAACTCATCATGGTCCTCAGCTGCAGCGGTCTTAGCAGCTTCAGTTGCCTCGCTCGCCTTGGATGAAACAGTCTCCTTGACCTCCTCAGCAGCGCTCTTGACAGATTCGGTGGCAGCAGCAGCTTGCTCGGCCATTGACTCAACGACTGGCTTCTGTGCCTCCTCGGTCTCTTCTTCATAAGCGACCTCGATCTTGTATTTGCCGTTCTCCTGGACAAACTTGATGAGATCCTCGATACTACGGCTTCCGCTGTAGGTAACTGGGTTCTTCTTATCACCAGCCTTGTAGAGCTTGATGGTTGGGAAGCCCTGGATCTCATCGGGGACATCGTTCAATGTAGCATCGACCTTCGCAATGGTGATCTTGTCCTCGTGGCCAGCATCAACATACAACTTGCCGAGGATGTCATACTTGGGTGCGAGAGCCTTGCAGTGTCCACACCATGGCGCATAGAATTCAATCAGGACATCCTTGGCATCATCCAAGACAATGTCATCGTAGTTCTTGGCAACAACGATTTGGACAGGGCCATCTTGCTTCTCCGGAATAGGCTCGGACTTGATGCTGGGCTCAACATTTCCATCAACGAAATCCTGAACAAACTTGCCAATGAGCTCGGCGGTGATCTTGGCCTCCTGGTCAAAGGGGAATTTCTTGTTGTTGACGGTATCTTGGATGGCGAAAGCAGGGAATATATCAGCCTTGAGGTTCAGGTTGCCAGCGTGGGCGCCGAATGCCTTAGCATCAATAGTGGCAAAGCTAACTTTGCCTCTGTAAAGCTCGGCAACGTCTCTGAGGGCAGTGGAGAGGGTGGTTCGCTCCTCCTCGGTCTCGGCGAAGATGTATGCCAACGGAATGCCAGTGGCCATGTAGCCAGCGTAGGTCTCTGGGCCAACCTCGCCAATCAATGGGATGGATGTGGTCTTGGCGAACTTTTCAATAGCCTCTACATCGAAAGCCTCGCTGAAAACAGCTTTGCCCTCATCGAACGACTTGTAGAGAACAAGAGATGGGAATTCAACACCCTCAGCCTTGGCGACCTCCGCATCGCTGCTCGCACCAAAAAGGTAGTCGTCACGGAGCTTCTCGGCAACGGTAGTGAATGTGGTGTTTGATGCGTTATCATCAGCCGCAAAGTATGCAACCAAAACGACTTTGTCGGCAGTCTTGAAATCGGGAAGTGTCTCAGCAGTCAAGATTGACACGGCAGGGAGGGATTGCTTGGTCATATACGAAACAATCCTAGACGTGAAAGTCAGTTATCGACAGATCGGAAATATCTGGATTCACTTACGCAGGAGCCTTTCGTGCACCAGAGTATGGGCTAACATTGTCTGGGCCACGGAAAACCTTCAGTGTTGGGTATCCCTCGACACCAAAAGATTGGCAGAGGTCCGCCTCCTCGGTACAGTCAACCTTAGCAAGCTTGATGTTCTTCTCCTTCAATGTGGTCGCCGCCTCTTCGTACTCGGGAGCAAGAGCTTTGCAATGGCCACTGTTAGAATCATTAGTAATCTAGTGAGAACAGGTGTCTTCCAGAGAATTTGCTCACCACCATGGCTGGATTGAAGAGCAGGACGTTAGCAAAGTTCTGAAAATGTGCGGGGTCAAATGGGACATACTGCGAAGACTAAAAGGCCAAAAAGTGTTAGCTGTCAAATACGGGTTGAGGTTGCGCCGAGGCTGAAGGTGGCTTACACTCTGCAAGAACCAGGTCATTCTCCTTGACAAAGTCGGGGAAGGTGTCCTTTGTGAGGGAAGCAACATCTGAAGCGGAGGCAATGGTAGCGCTCAAGAGGCCAATGGCCACTGTCGTGAAAGTCCGCATGTCGACTGTAACTGAAGTTCACGGGCGGGCCTGCCAAAGCGTCAGGACAACGTCAGTTCCAGAGTAATCCAGGAATAGATCGATCTGGGACGGAAGTAGAGAGTGGGCAAAGTGCAGCAAACAGGTGGGTAGGCAGAACTGACCTCTGGAATGGTTGTCAAAAAGAAGGTGGTTTGGTTGGAAAGCAGAATGGCCGAGGAGAATTGAGGAGATGTGGTCCCTTTATTCAAGCTGGCTCTCCAGCTTCGCTAAAAATATACACCCTCCGCCTCCGCCTCTAGCGTCTTTTGATAAGCAGCGGGAGTTCAGAACAGCGTGTCTTCTACGACAGGGGACATGGAAGGGGAAGGGGGGCATGCGCCTCCGGTTACTGTAGTCGTGATGCACCGAAATCCGGGCCGAAAATCGTCATTTTCTATAATAACTTCCATAACAATGACAATTAAATTTTTACAATTTTACAGAAGGCAACCCTATAGACTGCGCATTAATTGATTTTATTTTTTAAAGGGAACCTAAGTGTGCTGGCTGCGAAAGAAATTAATCGGGGGTTTGATTTTCAGGCGGTTGTGTATCATGGCCACTTGTCCTATGCGAACACTCCCTGTTTTCGGGCAATTTCACTTAAACCTACTTTTTATTGCAAAACTGTTTCCTAACTGTCGGAATAGCTGCACTGCGAATTTCCTAGTCATGTGACTAGTCATGTGAGCTCGCGTCGCAGGCGTGACTCGACCGGTAGACTAGTCCCCTTTAGGCTTAGCAGATTTAGGGATCGCATATCAACACCACGATACTGCGATCCTTACTTCTGAACAACAACAACTTCACCAACCTTATGCAAATAGCACTTCCACGCCTACGTGACGGTGCCATGCGTTACTGGTGAACCGACACTAACAAATAAAACTTTACTACATTACGGCCCCTATTAACAAGAAGTATATCAGATTCTAAATAGGTTCTTCATTAATTTTATGTTGCAGGGCAGGCTAGCAGGTTCAGGTTGGCACTTGCACGCAAGCGAGTCCTACTTAGCTAGTTTCTCAGACAGAACTCAATGAATCATCTTTCACGACAACCATATGCATTCAACATTTCTTTTAAACTCTTAGACTAATAGATATTCAAGATACATTAAAGGAGGCCTTTCCAAATATTTACTTTTTATTAAGAAATTCGTGGTAAAAGTTAATTTATAGTTTGAAAAAGAGATTGGCAGTCAAAAATTGCCAGAAAACAGGGAGTTTTCGCATGTGACTGCAAGCGGAGGTCCGTGGGGGGGGGGGGGGGTGGCAAAGCCCCTGTGGCGCATGAACGAACTGTTTAGAAAGTCCATGAGGTGGGCTCATCCGTCATTAATAAAGCACTCCTACACCACACCAGACATTTCTAATCGAGTGACAAAAGGCAATGTCTCGTTATATAAGCCCCAGCAGATGCCCACGATAATGGCAGAGGCATGACCCCTTGACCTCCCGCTGACTACCGCTTCAAGAATTGAGGGAGGACACGCCACCGATCCAATCGTGGCTGATGTCCGCGCATGCCAGAGTACTATGGCCATGGACATTTCAAGCGCACAGCCAAACTTACCGGGGAAGATCCCTTTCCCAAGCCATTTAAGCATCCATATTCTTTTTGATGGGACAGGCTTGGATAAGGCTGTGGTATCAGCGCATCCCCACCGAGCCCCTTTTGACGAAGACGGCTCGTAATCGAGTCAACATTACAGATAGGGGGGTCCTGTCGGCTCGATCATCGGAGGCAGCATCGATGGGTAAATATCAAGAGATAGCCTTCTGTTGGGATATAATGTTTTGTACTAATACGACTTAGATTGAATTGTTAAAGTCTGAAAATAATATCTGGCCTCTCTCCTTTAACAGATGCCACGTACCACTTCGGTCACTAGGAATTCTTGCACTATCTGTTACACAATATAGTTCAACTCTGTTGTTTTCATTTCTCGCCAATATTGTAGAATTGCCGCCTCGGGAGTCAAAGATTGGCATTTCGCAAGTCTCTCCTTCAATCTTTGAAATCTCCTTGAAGCTCTCCTTGGTAACTTTTGGGATTGTCCATAACCCCTGAATGAAATAAAACAAGTAGAGAAGTGCATTTATGCATCGCTAAGTAGACGCCCTTGCTTGTTGGGCTCTCTGCAACATGGCATCAAGAGAAAACCCCTGATCCATACTGTCGAACAAGAGCTGGCGGGATGGACCACAGAGTCTCAGCAGATCCAGACTGGCTCAGATTTGCAAATAGGAAGTTGCCACTTGATGGTGTGCTGATATGTCTCGCCTCCTAGGCAGAGAGCCTCAGCAATGCAACTGGGATGGCAAATCCATCTTCAAGTTGAAGTTGATTAACTTGCTCAAGACCAAAAGAATCCTGGCAATGTTCACGGGGAAGTCGACATGCTAGTTCAGCTGGTGGCCATCCCGGTCCACGCCATCGATTATTTGTTTGTTTGCTTGCTTCGAGCTGTTGTTGTGAACCTATCATTGAAAATGTGAGGTGGCATTACGCTTGTGTTGTTACTTCCCCTTTCGCAAGGTTTTGCTAGTCTCGAGCAAAACAACCCACCAAAACTGTCCCTGCCAATTCTGATTCGAGTCAACCTCCATCCCCTACTATCAGGATACCCTTTCCCGTCTGTTGCCAACCTTGGTCCGACCCCGAGATCTGTGGCTACGTCTATCATCAATGGCCACCTATCTGCGACGTAGATCTTGCACCGAGTGAGGTCTCTCTGGAAATTGGTCAGGGTATTGGCAATGGATATTCCACCCCTCAATCGACCCGCCAGCCGCGACAAAAGCATCGGTGAGAGCTTCACGATGCGTCCTCGAGCTGGAAGTGCGATAGACCCGACCGTCAACGGGCTGATGGCTCGGGGATCTGACGAGAATCGGTCTCCTGCTACCGTCCCGAGGGCATTCAAAAGCATGCTGAAGACTACGACAGAGACCGGGGATATCGGAATGTTCTCCATCAAGCCGTCTCGCGTTCCACAATCCATGAGTACCCCTCGAAGAATTGGTGCGAGCTACAATGAAGACGGCTTGCAGAAATCGAGACAAACCTTCCATCCGTTTGGAGTACCCAATGTCGACGACAGGCGGCGATTGCCTTCGTATGCGAGAGATACCACATCAGAGGTCATTTCCATGTACGAGACTGCAAGCCAGAAATCTGCTAGTCGACTCTTCAATGACCCTGACTATCGATCTTATTCCATGACACAAACATCATATTCAGCTTACACCTTGTCGAATCATCGCTCATATGCAAGTCTCCGAAGCCAACAAGACGGCAGTGGACACCTTCAACGTCCGCGGTCTCCCTTCGCGTATCCTGCACGGCTCAGGCGCCCTGGTTTTCGTCCATCATCCCCAGCACTGACAGATGGTGGTATTGTTGATTACAGCCGCCGTGCAGAGATTGATCGAAAGGCCTATGTAGGTTGCCTTGCTCGCCGTCTGTCATGGTCCATCATTTTGATACTCCGCCAGACTTCAGGCGCAAGTCACTAACACATGGCTATAGGGAGGTCATAGTACTTCTTCACCATCATCTCTTTACGCTCAAAAGCGGAAGCCTCCCTTGTCACTTCGCCAAGACGCCAACAGATCTACTCATTCTCTTCTCAGCCAACCTTCACCTCCACGCCGATCTCCGAGTCCTGGCCTAAGGCAAAGCAGCGGAAATATAGCCCAGGACTGGAGTCGGAGAAATGGCTCGTCCGGAAATACCTCACCTGCTCGAAGCACCTTCAGCCTTGCCTCAACAGTCAATCTTTACGCCACTGTGTCCGGGACATCGAATGCCACAACACCAGGAAAATTGGCCCCGCCTTCTCCGCTGTACTACGACTACACGGAAGACTTTGAGGTCGATGGCTACAACCGGGCAGAAGAGTCGCTGGGTTCACCGCCACATTTCAGTATCGACAAAACGATTCCCGAGGAGCGGCGCGCAAGTGCTGAGCGTCCTCCATCCATGGAATCTCGGGTGCATCGATTGAGCAGTAGTCCTCGACCTCCTTCTTCCCCAACACCAACACCGGCTAACCCAAAGCCATTGGAAGGCACCCAAAACCGAATGGTGGCTCTGCTGAGTGGAGAGCAGTTTGAATCAGTCCAGCCTTCACACAACAAGAGACATACTTCAATCCGAGAAACCAACAATTCCATCGATAAGAAGATTGTGAGATTGTCAGGTCTAGGATTCGGGGCTCAAGAATTGAGTACACATGTTGAAGAAGCTTTTGGACTTCTCCCAACGAATTCGTTCGAGGTTTCCGTATCTCAAAATGAGTCAGAAGAGGTTACTTCTGGAAACCTGAATGGTGAAGTACTTGGAGGAAAAAGGGGCAAGATTGCAGAAACTCAGTTCATGTCGAGCTTCTCCAACAGATGTGATGCGTATCCACCTCGTTTATCGTCCCTTCCTTCAACCAGAAGTGGATCACGGACCGATGCCATCACAACTCATGAGGGAGAGCGGAGCATAGACACCACGACCCATGCCCGGGCCTCCCCAGATCCGGTCCAGCTTCCTCGGGCTTCGACTTCTCTGCCTGACTCTTCCAGGTCGAGAGATATGGAAACAGCTGCACAGGGGTCAAACTTCGCGTCTGCGTCGACTTCAAGCCAGAGTCGACTCCGCTCTAGCAGTGGATTCAAACCCATGGATCCAGGATTTGCTGAGTTGACCGACCTCCTAAAAACTCTTGAGCAATCAAATCGAGGAAGACACCCCGCGAAGGCGCAGCCGGTGTTCACAGCTCCTATTGAGACCCCAATCTTAACCCCACCCTACCCGAATGGGTCGGTGCTATGCAGCACAAATATAAATCACGCTCAGTCGCCTATCATCACTTCCTCCAATAGACCCTCTACAAAAGAACTTCATGCTAGCACTCAGATTCAACCAACGAAGCGAAATCAGCTTTATAATGGAGGTCGAAAAGCAGTTGCACCGACTCTTGCGACATATGAAGGATTTGATGCGCCCATATTCAACAACCAAACGGCAATACGAGCTATACCACGTTCCAGTTCTCCAATGCTCGCCCCGAAGCCAATATCACCAGCAAGGCAATTGAAATTGAAGAACAGTGTTCCCCAATTGATGAAGGCTCTGCCAACTCTGCCGGCTGAACCGCTGGTCCGAGCCACATCACCAATTAATGCCCTCAAATCAACTGCACATGAGATGCCATATCATTTCTCTCCCTTGATACCAGAGCTGAGCCCTCCGCCGGTGCAAGAATCACGCCACGAATCCCACAAGGTCGTGTCGGCCCAAGGGCCTCCGGTTCCTCCAAAGGAAGAGGTATTAAAGGCTCGGGCTGCGTTTGGGTCACGATCTAGTGAAGCTATTTCGGAGCAGCCACCGTCTTCAGGTTCGCCGACAATATCACAACCTCTGCCCCGCCTCAAACTCAAGATGAAGAGTTTTACGAATCTGCGACCGCGTTCCCCACCCAGTCCCAGACCGTGGGAGAGGGAGGAGATTCAAACTTGCTCGATTCCTGACCCAGACGCTCCTGTACAGGAACCGGCCCAAAGCGAGAAACCTGCAAACCCTAAGCCACCAAAGTTCAGACTGAAGATTACTCGAGCATCCACTTCTACCTTTGGGACTGTTCGTGTGAATCGAGAATCTGGAGAATCAGGGGTGGCTGCAGGATTCCATTTACCCAGCCACAAAGACTTGTTCACATCCACTTCTGGAATTGACAACATTTTCCGACAAGTAAGCCAGCATCTTCACTCTAGAAAGACTAGTGTGGCCAGCAATACTGGATCCGAGTCCTTTCGTCCCTCAACGTCATTGCTAAGTCCAAAGTCGCATCTTGCACCTAAAACCACATCTCCGACCATGGATTTCGACATTTCAAAACCTCAGTCAACAAAACCCTTACTTGCCCATGAGGCTCGTAACGTCCTTTCTGACAATACTTCTCATATGCAAGGCCATGGTGGTATGCGAGGCAGACTTTCCAATTTGACGGCTCGGGTTGCACCTCCCTATGCCAATAGGATTGGGTCACAATCGTACGATGATCTCACGTGGAGAGACAGAAATCTACCAGAGGCTACAGCACCAATAGCACAGAGATCTGCATGTAATCTGCACAGCAGGAGCAAAAGCACCGAGTCCAAACCTCTTCGCCGTTTTGCCGAAAGAATGCATCACCATAGATTGAGAGAGAAAGTCCAAGGATGGGTTAAGGAAGCTCGAACGGTCATCAAATCTCGTATGAAGTCAAGAAGCACCACTGGATCTGGCCAGGATGAGGTCGGCCCATAGGTGCGGAATGTGGCGTTTGCTCTTGCGTATTGTTTGAAGTTAAGGTCATTGATATTGCGCTAGTTGCTGTTACTTTTTGTCTAGTCTGTGCTGTCAGGCTGTCAGACTCTCTCTCTCTCTCATGGAGCCATTATGTTGTGGAGTGCAGGACCGCTAGAGGATGTTTGTGGCCGTAGGGTTGAAGCTAGGCTGGGCGGCATGGCACTAGGGTACTTTGAATCGTTGCCTGGCCCCAACTTATCAATTCAATGAACTTTACTACAGTCCCTCTTGCATCATGGAAGAGCTTTAGGTGCATAATTGTGGTCCCTGACTCGTCGATATAAGGGTCGTGTCTCACCACTTGCAACAGAAGTCGCCTTGAGATCTAGACCGTAGTGGACCGTAGTGGACCAGAGTGTGATGATTACTGCCGTGCTGATAACTGGAGAAATGACCTTGGAGCACAGACATCGATGCTTCCCATGATTACAGGACTTCTTGAATAGTGACTACGATGGAAAAGACTCCGCTAGAGAAGTCCCACTTCTTCAACAGAACCAACCCCCTTTAACATCCCGGAGTCGAGCTCGTCGGACGATATTAGCTAATTAGAGTGACCGACCGACCCCGGTTTCGAGTTTTCCAATTGAAATCTTTCTATCTATTTACTGTACGCCTATTTGAGGAATCCGAACTAAGCACTCCAACGCTAGGAGTCGCAAGAGCTCCGGAATAAATGCATTAGTGAACACTGATACTTGAGAATATGGCACAAGCACCAGTTTGAATCAAAACTTCGATTCAGCCTACACATCGAACACTGTCTGACAGTTTTTGAGCCTTCGGTCAACAGTAAGGGCCCTACAATTCTTCCAGATTGGCCACTGACCAGAGTCTAGAAGCTATCCGACAATCTAGAACTCTCTTGGTCCAGCAAATCCAACGTGGCCCTCCTACGCAAAGTACGCTATGGACACAACAATCTCCACAACCGAAACGTATAACGACCCTCGTGTCAAGGCAGCCGCCTTTCGAGAACATGCCGACATGCCGTATCTGTCTCGACCTGAATCTCAGAACAATAGCATGACAGTACCGGTGTACGTCTTCACTGAGTTCACCGAGTACGGAAACTACACTCGAGAGACAGTATACACTCGTCCATCCACTGAACAGCCAGCTACGACTTCTGAACCCAACTCCTGGAAACGGAAGTTCTCACTCCCCGCACCGATCAAGAAAGCTCACAGCGAGAAGAAGCGGCCTGCAGACTTAATGGATGAAGAACCCAGTCCTCAGCGCTCTCCTGGCTCCGGCTCCAAGAGGTTCTTTCCTGCTTCATACTTCCATCGACCTTCGATCATCAGACGAAATGCCTGGATAGGAAACCCAAAGAGAGAAGAGATCGGGGAGTGTGAGCAAGCTGATGCTACAATGACTGGCATAGAGCAATTCGCGTTGCCTGGGCCTGCCCTCGCTGTCCGCGACCCGCAACCCGAGCCTGCGGGTACAACTCAGCAGCGCCCAGTTGAACGTATTAATGTGAGTGCCACCCAAGAAGAAAGGCCCCGGAAAATGGCTCGACTTAGTCCACTTGCATCTGTTCCCTCGTTGTAATTCTGTAAGTTCGTTTTTCCCCACGCTTGAAGAGTATTGTGGCCTCGGAGAAACGGAAGGAAGGAAGGAAGCGAGCGGTCAAGTGATTATATTCTTGAAGAAACTTTGCGAAAAGGGTACTGTGGTGGAGATTGACTTGGAACTTTCAGCCACATGGTGTTTCACCAGTCAAGCACCTTTTCATGTCCCGTGCATTTTCTTTTCTCTAAAAATGGGCGAAGCACAGCTTCATGAGTACTGTTCTCTTGATGCTCCTGATTCAGTTCATAAAATCCACCAAAAGAAAGTTGGGCACACTGTGTCAGACTGACTGTTCCTTGCTCTCATTGTTTATCGAATTTTTGCACGTAACGATATGGAATCAAGATGCTGACGATTTCATTCAGGTCAAGGAGGAAGTAGCCGCTCAAATTGCTGAGTCCAAGTTGATGCTGCGAGACTTCACCAGTCCACCACAGAAGACCAGTTGGTGGCGAGTTAGAAAGTTTTCTTTTTAAGATGTCCTAGAATACAGCACCGCCAATTATAAACACCCTCTCTTCCTCTCGTTTCACCCACTGGATGACTTTGTTTGCGCCCTGGGCCAGGCCAGCTCGCGAGGCATTTGGACCCGCGACGCAGTAGAACTCAAAGACGGGCGTTGTCCAGGCGAGTGAGATGCTGTCGCGACTCACGCAGTGGAGTACTTTGAGGTGTGAGTGTTTGGCGTGTGTTGATGCGTGCAAGTTATGGTATAGAGTCATAAGTCTGTATATCTTGTCAGCTTCGATATTGGATCTAATGTACATACCCTATATAACCTGCCCGGAGGAGCGAAATAAGATGTGGCTATTATGAATTAACGTACCTTCGTCGAGCAAGAAGATTGCTGAAGTGAGGTGAGAACGATGGCATGGTAAATTGAACATTCGCCCGCGATTTGTAAAGAAAGTGCTTCAACTGAGTTCCTGGCACAATATCTGTCGCGCTCGGACGCCCTTGACGGACAGCAGTCTTTATGATCTCCATGCTGCCGTTCTTTTCTAATTGCTTGACTAGGTCGTCTCGCATCTGCTTCAGCTCGAAGAAACTTTCCTTATCTGCACTGATGAGAAGGATTGCAATCTCATCCTCTCGGCTTGTGCTATGCGCGGTTGAGGGTCGCTCATCGAGATCTCCACCGTCGTCGAAAGCACTCAGAAAGCTCACGTACATGTAGAGATATCCTCTGTTGTTGAAACCTGGAAGGCAAACTGGAATCCAATTTTCTCCACCACCAGCTTTCACGCTCCCAGCTTCGAAGAGCATGTTGAAGATTAACTGGAGATCACTCGGATGGAGGGAGTGCCGCTTAGGTCTCACCACACTAACAAGTCGCCCGCCAGCGACAATGAGGCCGTATAGAAGCTTCTCGGTACGAGCTTTAAGCAGAGTATTGTTGATCACATGGCGTTGCGATTTTCGGATCTTGAGACACTCAAGAGCCGAGAGGAGGGCGGATGGAGAGCCCTTGGTAAATGTGTCCGCGAGAGAAGAGAGAAGCGTCTCGGTACCTTCGAGGGGTCTCCGAAGATCCGTATTGGGCCGATTTGTGAAAAGGTGCGTAAGCGTAGGTAGGGTCAAAGTTGAGAGAATTTGCATGTATAATGCTTCCAGTTGAGACCTGAGCTGCGCATCGCTTTCCCCAATCCTGCTAATAGCAACGAAATATAGCGGCCCATCAGTCGACACCACGAACCTCGTCTTTCCAGCAGTAAATCCCATCAGCGGGTCTTTTGAGCCCTGAAAGAAAGAGATAATGGTTTGTATGATCCCAATGTAGCCATTGATAAGATTTTGATCTCCGTGTCTACTATATATCGGCTTCCCAGCAGATGATAGAATCAGATAGTGCTTGAGTTTTGATTTCCACTGGAGCAGAAGTTCTTCTGATATAAGTATTAGCATGGACTGGCAAATTTGAGCAATAATACCACCTTCATTGCCCCCCTTTTGATCCACGGCTTCTATCTCATCGAATTCGTGATCAAAGTCAACCAGGGACAAGTCCTCATAGTCCACTTTCTCAAAAGGATTCACAGTTTCGGCTTGAGTACTTAACAGCTTCCAAGCAGGACTCTGCGAACTCAGCCCCTCATCTAACAGGCTTGCGAGATCCCCATTTGCCCTCAATGTTGGCGCATAGCTCATAAGGCTTGTAGCATCGTCAATGTCGCTCCCATTGCGACCCTTCCTGCTCGGTGTGCTCTGTCCTCCAGAAATCGCCGAGATAGATACCGCCTCTGAAACAGTCCGACTGGCTGGCGTCGAGAACGTTCCCCTTGTTCCATCTGGGAAAGATAAAGTCTGTATATCGACCGAGGATATTGCCGTCGTAGGTTTTGCCTGCAACGCTGGTCGCATCGTTGAAGCCGAGGGAGCACTCGGCAGGTCTGCCTGCAGGAGGGACGGCCTTGGGGGGAGAGGAGGTCGCTGCTCTTCTTCTTCATCATGGTCCCCAGTTGTGCCTGCAGAGCTCGAGGTGGCCGGCCTTGTATCTCCCGCTCGCTTTGAAGCGTCTTTGCCTCTGTTGCCGGTCATCGAATCGCTGGTGCCATTCTTCGACGTTGCCTGCACCGTCGGCGTTGTATCATCTGCCGCATATACTCGGTCATGGAAATGGGTAGATGCGCTCGAGAAGTCTGGAGAAGTTCCCATAGAACCAGCGGGTCCCGACGGTTTGGTTCATCGCGGGACGTCATCAGAATTGCCCTGCAGGAAGGGCGTTGGTGCTGCAGGGATGCGTTGAAAGTGAAGTTTAGCGAATAGGCAGCCTGCAGCAAGAGGCCACGCACAGCGCGAAAGCTTCAGCCTTGAGAAGCAAGGAGCAGCACCTTGGTGACACCTGTCTTGTGACTTTCTATGAAGAAGATGCGCACTCCATTCGAAAGATGCGAATAGCAGCCGGCATCTCTTCGCACTCGAAGCCTTTCGCCCATCATGGCTCTTGAGGCGGGCCGCCAGTCGGCCTCACCAACGAGCTCCGGGAGAGCTTCTCCCATTTCAAGGAAGTGGAGGAGCCAAATTGCTGCTGGTAGTGCACTTCTTTACCAACTGAACGCTCTGTAAGCTGACTTCTTGGCCAGATGAACCCCCAAGCAAGGACAAAGCTTTCCGCAGATATGCCTCTGGTGTAGAGAGATCACTGTCGCTCTTCGATACAGCCTTGCAGGAATGGGCGGATTACATTTCCTTCTTGGCTCGTCTATTGAAGGTACCAAACCGGAGTTGGGTCCTTCTGTCTTTCAGAATAGAGAAGCTAATTCAGTTATAGTCCTTGCAAGCACATCCTGCTACAATTATTGCCGTCCCATCAAAAGCTATTGTCACAAAGCGTCTGGCACAATGCTTGAACCCCTCACTCCCCTCTGGTGTGCACCAGAAGGCCCTCGAGGTCTACGCATTCATTTTTTCGATGATAGGCAGAGATGCCCTTTCAAGAGACCTCCCCCTATACCTCCCCGGCTTGTCATCCACTCTCTCGTTTGCCTCACTCTCTGTACGAGGGCCTTTCCTTGACCTACTTGAGAAGCACCTTCTCAAACTCGACCCCCGAGCGCTTCGCCTCGCTTTGAAAGCTATCATACTTGCATTGTTACCAGGCCTTGAAGAGGAAACAAGTGAGGAGTTTGAGAGAACGCTGAAACTGCTTGAGGGATTCAAGGCAGCCATCAGACCACTCGCTGCTGAGGATCTTGGGCAGAATCATAGCAGTGGAGATGAATACTTCTGGCAATGTTTCTTCCTAGCGGCTATAACGAGCAACAGCCGTCGACTTGGTGCTTTGGCGTACATGGTTCGAAACATGCCAAAACTCGGCCAACCTCTTTCAAGCGAATCTAAGACTACGCCTGCAAATGGGTCGCATAAAGGGGCTGAGGGTGAATCTGCTCGCTTAGCCGAAATATTGACCTCCCCTGAACCAGGTCTCCTGCTCAGGTGCTTTGCTGCTGGTCTAGCCGACGAACAACTCTTGATACAGCGTGGCTTCCTGGATATTCTGGTGACTAACCTTCCTCTGCATTCCAACGTTCTGCAGAAGAGGGTCAAGACCGAGGATCTGGAACTCTTAATCTCAGCTGCCGTTGGAGTAGTTTCCCGCCGAGACATGAGTTTGAATAGACGTTTATGGACGTGGCTATTAGGACCTGAACTCGTGCAAAACGACAACGAGGGTGGCCCTGAATCTCCAACATCGGTAATTGGAGATCCCTTGGGATCAGTATCATCCTCGAGGACACGCTACTTCGAAGAATTTGGACTGCAACATTTGACAAATGCTCTATTGAAAATGATTGAAAGGGATTCATCGAATTCTGTGGAACGGGCAAGACCATTCCGAATCTGTCTATCCTTGATGGATAGGTGGGAGATTGGTGGGCTTGTTGTCCCTGATATCTTCCTACCTGTCGTTGATAGTGTTCGTAAGTTCAAAGAGCAGGCCGCGTCAAAGGCGGAATTTTCTGAAGTCCTTCGAAGTGCCAGTGTCTTTTTTGACGGCGTTGAGAGTGGCTTGATCTGGGGCGAGATTATTGGATTGATTGCACAGGCAATTGGACAAGGAAGGCTATCAACAGAGGAAAGGATCGACAGGCTCTCACTGGTGAACTTTATCATTGCTCATTTCAATGTGCGGGAAGAGGAGATGTTGTTGGTACATGCTCCACTGACAACACTGACGATCTTGACTATGCTCGAAGATGCCAAGGAGAAGGCACAACACCAACAAGGAGACGCTGGTACGCCCGAAGATGTGTCGCGATTAGCCCTAAGTATTGCCTTGGACTTGGTTGAACTAATTCCAGACCGAGCTTTTCAAACACGGCCATCAACAAGTCAGTCAACATCTACTACCTATGACGAATCCCACGTTCGGAATCTTGCCAATCTCGAAATCTTGCAAAAAATCAAGGCGTTTTACGTCCAAGACCAAGGGAACCTTGATGCGTTCCCACCTCCATACTCATTTCGCGATGTGAGCGAGCTTCTTCTACGGGAAGCTGGCAGCATCACTTGCCAAAGCTTATCTGAGTCGGTGTCAAGTGCTGATGCTGGTCTTAAGAGTAAGCTTCTGGTAATGATGGTGTCAAAAGTTCCGAGAGTGAGCAGCTTAGATTCAGCGAAACTACTTCTGTCGATGCATGACAGGTTGGCCGCGCCATCTCAAGTGCCATTCCTGTCCTTTACCTCAATCACGTCTCTTGCTACCAGTCTATATTCAGCGTCCTATCTTTCAGCAGTCGAGCTCTCATCTCTAGTGCAGCCTCTGGTGCGGCAGGCGTGGCTATATCTATCAGCATCCCAACCAAAGTATCATGTTGAGACAGTGCGATGCCTCTGGCAGCTACAGACGACCCTCACGATGAACAGCCACGAGATTGAAGCTGCCATCTGTGGCATAATGATTGAGCACGACACAGATGGAACATTTGCCAATCGGGATGCCGATCCTGGAAAGAGCTTCAGCATCTTGTGGACTCATACACTTCAAGATAATGCAGGTCACTTGGATCGCAGGGCCTCGAAGACATCTACCAGTGAGAACAGACTTTCTGGGATTGGAAATTATGAGGTTATGCTTGCTAGGCCCTTGTTCCTCCTGTTGGACGCCCTGCTCGACGAGCGTACTCAGCTTTTTATGACGGTTAGGACGTGGTTGCAAAGCCTTGTAGGACTTGACAAGTACGTGACAGATTCAGCCCGTGTCCTTGCGCTAACAAAACCCAGACTCTTGCATCTCTTCGTTGCAAAATTCTCTGAATTCAGCTTCCTCCAAAAGCTTCCCGAGGATGGGTCTCGTTCCATGGATAAAGATGTGCAGATATACTCAAGCGACGACGATTTAGACCAGTGTTTGTATTATCTGCGAACATTGTCCAACATGCTACGCTGGTCTTCAGATGGCATGTGGGCAGCTCTTGCCCAAAACAGCATTTCCACAGACTCGAGCCACCGGTCGCTACACGCGATAAGTAAGTTTCCATCCACTATCGCACGGGCACCCCTGACAAAACCAGCTGGTCGTGATGGAGAAATTACACTCCTCGAATTTTTTCTCCATGTTTGCTTGCGAGCAATTGCTGGGAGTTATGACCCTGACAATTCCGATTTGGAACCTCGCGTTAGCCAGCTTCATAGAACTGCCTTGACGACACTTCACCAGATTCTGTTGAGCCCGTACTCTCCACCTCTTGCTGAGCTACAGCTGGAACACATTCTGATTGACCGCCTGGTTCAATCACTGAATGGCCCTGATCCATTCATTCAAGTACTGCTCCTGGACGTCGTCTTCGATGCTCTCAAGATACGCAATTCAATTCGGCCAACTGCACCTCCACAATCCCCTACAACAGAAGTGAAGCGACCCATGACTCAAGAGACTCCCCAGAATTCGAGGCTTTCGGTGGTCACAGAGCGCCCGGAAAGTTTCTTGAATTTTCCACCACCTCCGCCATCACTGGTGAAATGCCTCCAGGCTGGTTTCGCGGCTCCGAGCAGTCGCCCTGTTCTGGAAAGTTGGGTTAGTTTTCTGACAGAATGCCTACCCCTTTATTCGGATACGATCTTTCAGATCCTCATACCTTTGGTCGAAACCTTTTGCTCGCAGATCGGGAGCACCTTCAGCGAGTTGCAGATGACCTTCAAGAATTCTGCACTCTTTGGCGAGGGTTCGACAGCACCCGAATCGACACTCATATCTTTGCTGAACGGCCTCGAGCACATTCTAGCAAAGGGTCATGATCGCCTCTTACTAGATGAACTGAAATCGCTAGCCGTCAAAAGTCCAGAATTACCTCAAGGCTTTTTTGGAAACATGGTGTCCGGAGTATTTTCATCAGAGACGCCTCAAGCACGGAGTGTGACTGCCAACCATCGCTTAACAGTGCTTCTCTCTTTTCAAGATGCTGTTCGCATATGCTTTCTGATTTGGTCTTGGGGCGGAAATGATGGGGATTTCCAGGACACAGAGTCCGCGGCCTCATTCAATTACACTTCGTTACGAATGCGGAATCGTGCACGGAGACTCCTCGAACATCTTTTCGTGGCAGAAGCTCTAGAATGTCTCGAAACGGTCGTCGAAGTCTGGCAGAAATCCGCTAGGACTCCAAATGATATGAGATCCCCGATAGTCTTCAATCTTCTCCATGTTCTTGACGGTTCCAGGCCCAAACACACTATTCCTGCTATTTTCAATGCCATTTATAGCCGTACGAATCCCAGTGCCCTGGAACCGTCCCGAAAGTCTACCTTAACGTCGTCACTTAATGATACAGACCTAGTTATATTTTTGGTTGAGTACGCCCGTTCTTTGGAAGATGATGCAATGGACGAGATTTGGGCAGACTGTATGACATTCCTGAAGGACCTGCTCGCAAATCCGTTCCCGCACAGGCAGACACTCCCAAGCCTGCTAGAGTTTGCCGCGATATTGGGTGAAAAGGTAGACAACACCAATTTTGGCGAGCAGCGGCGAATGAGAAGAGAACTGGGAGTAAGTAAGCAACTAATCTGAAAGGCACAAAAAGCTGATTGTGCCCACACAGGACCTCTTCCTTCGCTTACTCACTGCTATCTTTACGACGAGACCAATGGGCTTCACTGATATCTCATCTGACAATGACGAGAAATCGAATTCATTGGCACAACGCCAGGTTGCTAGAGCCGATGACGTAGTCGGGATTCTGGCTTCTATTGCACCAAACCTCCCAAAGATTCTTGTTGAACCCGACCGCATAGTGGCAGCTGCGAATACAATCTCCGCAAGTGTCATCGGCCCAACATTTAAATCGAAGTCATTCCCTGAGAATGTCTCCAAGAGTACTTTGGTACTTCTGTACCAATTAGCAAGGCTTCCAAACACCCAGAAATCATGGCGAAAAGACTTGGGAGATGCTTTTAACGACGCCAAATTCTTCGGAAACACAGTTTCTCTTGTTGAGAGTGACTGGCTTCCCCTTCTCAAGCAGTGGACACTAAGTGACAAGGAGCGAATGCCTGAAATTCTATCCCGGCTATTACCTCCCACTACGGCCGGCATAGTCTTTGGTGTAGGGGCGACCTCAGCGAGATTGGAAGCTGATCGGAAGACACAGCTTAACCTTCGCCGTGCAGCGACATTGGTCTTAGCTACCATGAACGACAATTTCGTTTCAGATCTACCTGTTATGCAAGAGAAGATTGTTGAACTTCTCTCTGCGACCACGACTTCGTCGCCATCATCTACAACTCGGGCAGATATCTACCTCCTTCTCCGAGCAGTAGCCCTCAAAACATCTGCAGTTCATCTTGCAATGCTATGGCCAATTGTTAATGCAGAGCTTCAAGCCGTCATTTCCTCAGTTGTTGCAGCTGACCACAGCGCTGCAGCAGAAACCTACAATAATTACTCCATTCTTCAGGCTTGCAAGCTTCTCGATACCTTACTCTGCATCGCACCCGATGATTTCCAACTCCATGAATGGCTTTTCATCACAGACACCATTGATGCCGTCTACAGACCTCCACAGTTCCAACCTATTGCCCTAGTAGACGAGCTCTCTGAAGAGCTGGGTTCAACGGCTCTTGCCTCTACGACACAAATGGAATCAGCAGCCATGCAAGCAACAAATAGCAGTAGCCGTAGACCCCTGATAGGACCCGGCGGTATCAGTGACGAGGGTACGTGGGAACGAAAGGATGAGTTGGTGGGGAAGGTGTTAAGACCGTTCTTCAGCCAGCTGAGTATTTTCGCTTTCGAGAGTACGTACTCGATGAGTGTGCCCGACTGGGAGGCATGCAGGATGAGTATTTTGAGAGATCTATTCGACGAGAAAAGTATAGTCAGGGCGCTATAGACGAGTTTAACGAGTCATTCGAACACTGCTGCCTTGAGCTTGCCTGTGAGTGCGCGCCTATCGCTTGTTGTCCACGGATAAACAACTAAAGTTCATGTCTCACTTCGTACAATGAAGTAAATATTGACTTTGGACTCTTACACTGTTTTGCAATGACTGCGATTCAGTCCACATCTCCACAATTGATGTGTCGGGTCCTGGTTCATGCCAGCCTGCCTGAGGAAGACAAAAGCGATTTGCAACAAAAGTCTGCCCGTTCCCAAGAGCCTTCTCTCTCAGGCGTCAAGGCACAACATTTCCCACCAAGCCATTCCCTTGTCCAAGTTTCTTTTCATCCTCTCCCGTTGCTGTTTCATGAAGTTGCCGCTACAACGGCTGGAATATAAGCAACAAGGGCTTTGCTTGCGCCTTCCATACAGTACTGTACCACCTCAATCTTCTCTTCTCCTGGTGCTAATTTGGCGATCTGTCGAAGGTCGCTGGTTCTTGGGAGATAGAGCGCTGAGTCCATTCCTTTACAGGCATTCTGGATCTGCTTGATGGAATATGGTGACATGGTGTTCAGATTGAAGATTTTGTCTGTTGTGTAGCCTGGTCCGCCCCAAGGAGGAGAAGCGAAGATCACGGTCTTGGAAGGATCAATTGTGGACGAGTTGGACTCGAGGTAAGAGAAAGAATCATCCTTGATCCAGGTAATTTGTTCGTAGACTCCGTAGATATTGGCGTTGTGCTGTGCGCATGCGATGACTGAGGGATCTTTCTCAATGGCAATAATCGTTGACCAACGCTTAGATAGGGCAAAGGCTATGACATTGCCGCCAGCACCAGCAAACATGTCGATAAGAACTGTTTTCGATTTAGATGTCAAAGCAGCAAGATCCTCAGCTACTTTACTATTCGTTGTCAGAAACAAGCTTGTTTTAGGGCAACGTGGTTCATACTTCGCAACTGGCTCGGGAGTTACACCAAACCACGCATCATCAGTCATGTGTATGCCCTCATCGTAGAGCGAAAATATGCTGTACCGCTGAGCCCAGTACCTAGATAGAAATTAGAAATCGGGATTATTGTATAACCGGGCTACTTACTTCTGGATATCCCAATCAACGTCACTTCGACGAGTGTAGTGATGGCATTCTTCCGTCAAAGGGAAGTAGTCAACCACAGCATTTTCTGCATGGGTCATATTGTGATCAACCGAAGCTGGTTCTCGTTCTTTGTGGTTCTTCTCTCCATTTATAAGGGAGCTTTCTGCCATAATGGTCTCGTTCTCTGAGGTCGAAACCTTAAAGTTTGTCGGCTGGGACCCTGGAACAGATTGTTGTGATGCTGGCGCTAACAGCGTTGGAAGTCGCTCTTCAACCGTTGGAGTGTTTGAGTAAAGTTGGCCTCCTTTAATTCTCGCAGGTGATTGCTGCGTTTCTGGTGGAGTAGCTGTCTGAATTGGTTCTTGACAAAGCTGTTCCTCGACGAAGGCTTGCTTTTTTGGAGAGCTGCTTTGCTTCCAGCCTCTTCGTGATTGAGACAGGGGCGACTGATCTCGAAGAGTCCGGGTAGCAGTTAACTTGGCCAATGCTTTTTCCAACCCTTTTAATATCCCGGTCTTCGCCTTGCCCGGGCGGCTATTCTCTTCCTTGATTGCTTTCTCGATGTTCCGGATCTGCTTCCTGATCTTCTTATCTGAATCAACGTGATGAGACACCAACTTTAGACTAGCTCGACCGTGATGCGATTGCGTTGGGGTGGTGTTAGAATGGTCTATACTAGCTGTCTCTTGAGGCATCTGAAGTTCTTGAGGCTGCCTTCTGAAGGTAGTTTTTCAGGGGCCGCCAACTTTTTTTTTGGAACAAACCTAGAGCCCGTTTTCATGGACCGCAGGGGTTGAATATCCTCGGGAATGTTCAGAAATCAACTCGGGGACGAGTCCGAATCGAACGTGTTCCAAGAAGCTGAAGGCTGGTGCTTCTGGTCTCCGACATGAGCGAGCTCGAGATGGGCCCTTGAAATCAGACTGGGGAAGCCTGTGAAATAGTTAGAACTCCAAGTGACGCAGCAGATGATTTATAGAGATGAAACCTACTGCTCTCAGACATATCATGTTAGGACGAACATTGCCTCGTCAATGAAATTAGGTATTTGGGAGACATCGCGGGTTCACGTGATGATGATGATCCAGGGTGCCGAGACGAGGCTGGCACTAGCGGTCGAGAGCTTCCAGGGACCACATGGCTTGAGCTTGTGAACAACACCACCCCATAATTCAACTTCCACCAATTTACTTCAAAAGTGAACAGTGCTTTTGAACTTGCCAAAACTCTAACGACATGTTCAACGCTCTAAATCGTTTTATTTCGCGTCTGGACTCCGATGCTCCAACGCATCACTCAAATCAAGGTGGATGGGGTTTCCAAGTCCTTCGAAACAAGTCCCAAGAGCTAGCCATTGAACCTTGGTTTGATTTCATAGTTGGGATCAATGGACGTATGATCGTATGTTGGTGGATACTCATGTTTGAAGGTTTGCTAATTGGTTAGGACGATTCTGATCCCAGTCTGTTTGGTCAAGAAGTTCGCAACTGTGCTGGCAGCACCGTAACTCTTGGGCTATGGAGCGCGAAAGCAAGGCAAGCCTATACGAAGTTGTATACAGTTACTAATTATGCACCCAGGGTCAAAGGACGAGAATGATACATATTCCAGTCCCACCAAACAATCCCTCCCTAGGCCTCACTCTGCAATGGACCTCTATCTCCACCGTGTCCAATATATGGCACATTCTTGACGTCCCAGCAAACTCACCAGCAGACTTAGCAGGACTTCTTCCGTACAGCGATTATATCCTTGGCACTCCGGAGGGCGTATTGCATGGAGAGAGTGGTCTAGGAGAGCTGGTCGAGGATCACATTGGGCGGCCTTTGCGATTGTACGTCTATAACAACGAATACGATGTCACGAGGGAAATCACCATCCATCCAAGTAGAGACTGGGGCGGAGAGGGTGCATTAGGTTGTGTCTTGGGATACGGAGCATTACACAGATTACCTGCACCTCTCTCTGAGCCAGTGGCAGCGCCTGGAGAGACCTTGTTCGAGACGGAGAACGCTCGATTTTCGAACGAAGAGGCGAGACCTCTATCTGGCGATGCCTCCCAATTCTTCGTTCCCGCGACTGCTGCAGAGCCTGGCGATTTCTTAGTACCTGCACAACTGGCCGCTGGCCCTCCAAAGTCAACGCACATCAAGAAGAAAGACAAAAAGCATGGCCATAGTCCGAACAAGGCATTCATGGATGATTACTTCACGGAAGGGGAAAAGAAGAGTAGGGAGTTAGATCACGCTCCAAGTGCGAGGAACACACCACCCCCTCCACCCCCAAAGCAAGGAGGTCCACCAAAAGCCGGAGGGCCACCCAAGGCCACTGAAGGAGAAAAGAGAGATGCAGACGATAGTGGGGTAGACTAGTTTGCAAAAAGCTCATAAACTCCTATGCAATGTATTACCATTTTATGCACCTCAAACTCCTCGTATTGTACCATGACTTCTGGGAAGATTTGGTCTAGCTTTTTCTATTCCTACATCCTCGACCTTGTATGACGCCCGACATATTTCACAACTCAGTTGATGAAGTTAACACAAAAGAAGTGTAGAATCAAGCTTCCGAATACGTAATCCGCAAATGCCCTAGATAGTTGTTAGAACAAATTGATCTGCTTGATGGTACATCTCCTTACCTCTCTGGTGACACCTCGCCAAAATCAGCCTTGTTCTCCGCATTTGTCTGTATCCGTAAAGAAGCTACAGCATGTTAGCAGGCGTTATTTCCCTAGTAGAGCTCCACGTACCTGTCAAAACAAACTGTCCCACCGTCGCCGAAAACCCAGACAAGAAAGCATTGAAGGGCTGACAATTCCACATTAGCATCCGTTCCTCCTCCCAATTAATCAAGAAGTACGTACGTAATTCCCAGCAATAACGCAATACACGAATTGCAGCCCTCCAACTACAACCAAAAACGCCATGAACACATCAATCAGCTTCGTCCTCTGTGGCGTCATATCCAAATAATTCTGCCATATTCCTAATGCAATTTGCTGCGGGCTCTGATTGCTGCTTGACTTGTGGGAAGCTTTTGATGAGACTGAAGGAACGGAAGCTGGTGAGGAGGATTGGGCCGTAGCTGTCGAGGAGGGTGTGGGTTCGCGGGCATTGCGTTTGGGTGCCATTGCCTATTCTGATGGAGCTCGAAGAGTTGTGAGGTACTTTTGTGTTGCGTTGTGAAATCGTTGTGAAGTTGTGAACCTCTTTGACTTGGTACCTTTTTGGAGCTGAGGAGGACACGAAGCCTTGATGCTGCACGGACCAAGCGAATTGGATTTGAGCGGCCAGGGAAAGCGCGGACCGAGGGGTACCGATCTTTGAGTAGGCTCGAGCTTGAGACGAGACGATCACGTCTTCGGATGTAAACACTTCACTTCACGACTTCATCTCAATATTCGAAAGGACGAGCTTTCGAGATACGCTATTTGAGTTCTGCAAGTATCCAGAATACAGAAGAAACCAATTGCAAATATGGTGAGCATTCTTTCTGTCAGCGCATTCAGCCGGTCAAAGAGTCAGCTAACAGATCAGGGAATTGAAACTCCGGCATTCATCCTCGGTGCTCTCACTGCTGGTGGGGGAACTTTTGGATACATCAAGACGGGCTCAGTTCCATCAATTGCAGCAGGGGTTACGGTTGGTGTGTTGGTGAGTAGATTTACATATATAACATCTAGATGCCGGGGCACACGACTAATAGCCTACAAGTATCTCATCGGTGGTTACCGCATCCAAACCAAGCAGCCATATGGAGTCGAGCTCGCACTCCTTGCCTCAATCGTCCTTGCTGGTTCCTCTATCCCAAGAGCTTTGAAGAGCCAAAAGCCTCTGCCTACGGGATTGAGCTTCCTAGCGCTTTATGGCCTCTATACATTTGGCAATGCATTCAGACAGAAGTTGTGAATGGCGACAAGTGGTTGGCCAGGCTTTCGTGGAGTTGGTGGACGAAAAGAGCTTGGCTTTCGAAATGAGAACTGTTGATGGCAATATTTTGCTCCATGAATTGTCCTTCCACTTGGTGACCACAAGAGCTGCTTTTATAAGCCGGACCTTCCCAATTCTGCCACGTTATGCCAATACCCCATATATATATTATTTTGATCGAATGGTCGCCGGATTGAAGTGAAGCCGTCGCCTCTGATATTGTACAGGCCCAAGCCCATCCGACGCCGTGGCGTGATGCCCTTCAAACGCCCGCAAGTGCCCCCAAATTTCAAGTACTCCTCCCAAACACCCCTTCTGTCCATGAGTTCCCAAAGCCCATTTGTCCATGATGAGGCCTGCCCTTTCGGTTTTCCTTGGCCTTATGAATTTGCATCAATCTCAGCCCACTTCGCCCTGACCTCCTGGTTCTTTGCCTTCGCTGCCTCTCGATTGGCCTTGGTTCGTTCGAGTCTTTGGGCTCGCAGGCACTTGTTGACCGCAGTCTTTGCTCCATTGCACATGCCCATTGACTTCCACAAGAAACCTCTCGCATGGCATTCATCCAGCGCATTCATGACTTCCTCACACGCTATGGTGAGTTAGTCATGCTCAATGGCGCATCATCGTGCTTGCGCGGAACAGCGTACCTCGATTATCTTTTGTATGCAAATGAGGGTGCATTTTGGGCTCTTGAATTTGTAGTTCCCTGTGACTAGATTTTGTGAGTGCTGTTGAAGAGTCATTCCTGCTGAAAATCGCAAGGTTGTGGCTCGGCCGCCGGAAGTTGCCATCTTGGGGAGGCCCCAAAGGAAGCTCTCTGGAAACTTTTTGGACAGCCACTACTCTCTTCACAACACAACCATGGCTCAACAACTAACTCAGAGAAAGCAACAAGGCAAGTCACATTTGGTAATTTGGGCCCTAGCATGATGGCCCAACGTGTTAACAAGAACCGCGATCCAGAGCTGCAACTTCAATACACCAACTACAAGAACGGCCTCCAACAGATCGCCCAAAAGATTGGTGACGTTGAGCAGGAAGCAGAAGAGCACAGTTCGTAATCAAGTCCTTTCTCCTGCAAACCTTGGTCTATTCAACGGCACAGTTCCAAGGTTTTTGTTTAGCCAGCATTGATCCTCTACCACACCGCTAGGAACCCCCGCTCACCGCCATTGTGTACACACAGAGCTCGTCCTTGAAACCCTCGAACCGCTTCCGGCCGACAGGAAATGCTTCCGGATGATAAATGGCGTTCTAGTAGAGAGAACGGTGAAGGATGTTGTGCCGGCGCTGAAGACGAATTCGGAGGGCCTCCGGAAGGTGCTGGAGGATCTCGTTAAGCAGTACAATAGCAAGCAGGTTGAGATGGAGAAGTGGAAGGTATGGGCCCAGCGTGAGAAAAGAACGTAGATCTCATCAGCTGACTTTGATGCAGAAAAAGAATAATATACAAGTTGTCCAGCAGTGAGGCATTTAGCACGGGACGGGAGGCTTGGACTGCGGCATCGGCAGGCGTTACGAGGATTTTCTTGCTGTGCAGGAGTTACGTCAATTCTGAGGCGCATGGAACGTAGGGCTTAGAAAGGTTTGGAGATTGGAGTTGGCGGTCAACCCGGCCGGGTCTCACTTTGTTCATGCCCAAAAGCTCTCAGATAAATGGCAAGGCGACACACGAATTTCAGACATTCCGATCCTTCTCCGCATCACGAAGTTCTGTGCAAAAAAAAAACGGCATGTAACATCGTCCAGGACCCAGGTTTGATGTGCTGTACAATCGGAAAGTGAGGCTTAGAGGCGCTTGATCAGCCAACCTTTGCCTTGTTCTTTTGGCGACACTTTGAGATTGGGCAGCAACCGCTCTAGTCTGCCACTCTAGTTTGCCAGCGCATCCCAAGGGCAGGGCTGACACTCTGTCCCCTGCTGCTCCTGCATTAGTTGGAAGTGCAGGGAAAATGTGGGAGTGTGGGAGATGCTCGACAGGGCATGCCTCGAAGTGCTGTGGGAAAATTATTCTCCTTGGAAGTATGCATCTGATCGGATGTTACGGTTGCTCGGTCCCGGTCCCACATATAGGCAAATCGGGAGGAGATTTGGTACTAGACGCTGACAAGAGTTTGTATCTATAGACGTACTCAGTAGCAAGTCCAGTGGACGAGATGTTAGCTAGATGAGAAGAGAAAAAGAGAAGGTTTGGGGAAGGCTTGGGGGAGGCTTGGGACAGCCTGCTGTTGTAAGAAGGACGGGCCTTGCCTTTGGTCTTGAGGCTGGGAGCCGGGCGGCAGCTTGGGCCAATCAAATATCGCGAAAATCCAGCTGAACCGCTTCCGCGGCTGCCTGACCTGCCTTTCCAATCTTACGAAGACCTCCACCGACCTGTAACAATCCGCTCCTGCGCTCGATTTTTCTCATTGGACAAGAAAAGGTCGTGCAACCACTGTTGGGGCTGTTCCTGAGAGAGAGGCGACCGCGTCGTGCTAGCATCCAGCAACCAGCTACCCCCCCATCAACACCGCGCGCATTGCGTAGCGGCGTCAGAGCCATCAAGCACTTTGTGCTGCTCCTCCTGCATACAACGCACCACCACGCATTGCTGTCCGCCCTGAGCATCTCTCCCACTCTGTCCATCTTGTACCCATTAATTGGGTCATTGGCATCCGCGGCCGCTGCTCTCCAGTAGCCCAATCACAGCGACTCGGCCCTCGACCCAACGGCTACGGACAGACAGACCGCATATTCGACCAAACGCAGGGCGACCTCTCTGACGCGCTTGCTTGCAGCAATCCACGCATTTCGACGCCGGAGTCTTGCTGTACGGCTGCATATCGGCCTTCCAATCCCAAATTGGGAAGACTGGGGCTTCAGAGATCTTCGCCTTGACTTTTTTTGCCACGTTGGCATAGCCCTCCAACAGAATTCGAAGCCACGGACAGTGTCCTGCAGCTATCCGAGTAAATAAAGTCATCATGTCTTCTCCTGCGAAGTCCCCTCCCGACGTTGAACAAGGTGGTGTGCAATCCGGCGAGGACCCAGATGCGCAAATGAATCAAGACCCACATGCTTCTGGTCTGGGTTACGAGTTCGAGGTCAAGGAACAAGATCGATGGCTTCCAATAGCAAATGGTTAGTCTTTGATACCTCTTTTCTGATTTGCGCACAAAGAATTCTCCGCATGTTGAGCCTCCTTCTTACTGGCATCGCTTCCACCATTACACGCGCATGTCCTACGAATTGGCCAGTCATTGAGCTCGTTGTGCAAACGCTTTACCTTTAGTGGTGTCACGGCGGTCACAAGTTCTATCATGTCCCACGATTCTTCGTCTCATTCCCCAGAGACGCCTCGCGTTTCCAAATCGGGGAAACAAGATACCTCTGATGCTAACATAAGAAACTTTGCTCCAGTGGCTCGTATCATGAAGACAGCACTCCCAGAGAATGCCAAAATTGCGAAGGAGGCAAAGGAGTGCATGCAAGAATGCGTGAGCGAGTTCATCTCCTTCATCACAAGCGAAGGTACGACCCCTCACCAGTTCCAAGACAACCTGTTTGCAGAGGCTAACTATCCTATCACAGCTTCGGAGAAATGCCATCAGGAGAAGAGAAAGACAGTCAATGGCGAGGACATTCTGTTTGCAATGACCTCATTGGGCTTTGAGAACTACGCCGAGGCACTGAAGATCTACCTGTCCAAATACCGAGAGGTGAGCTTCAAGTTCCCAGAAAATTTTACTTCAATATTCCAGCGAATCAAACTGACTCTCTCAAATAGACTCAATCGACCAGAGGCGAGAACCGACCAGGAAGCCAAGGTTTCGGATCAGCAGCAGCAGGTGCCTCGGGGGCAGCAATCCAAGGCGGAGCTGAAGGAGCCAACAGTATTCTCGGGCAACCGGGAGAGGGTGCTGAACACGATGCAGGCTCTTACGGAAACCTATATGGACAAGCAGGCCACAACGGCGCAACTGGTGGAGAGGGTTACTAAGCGTCCGAGGGATTTCTTCGAGTACATAGGCGTACAGGTTTCGGTTTGGCGATGAGAAGAGCAGTGCGCTACGTTCTATTGAGTGTATTGACTAAGGGGTATGGTGTTGGGACGGATCGCGAATTTCGGATGGGATGATGGCTGGTTCTGAGATACCTCTCAGTTGTAAATGAGGACAGGGCCAAAAGTATGGTGGAATCTGGATTTGTTTTTAGATTTCTTGGCTCTTATGAGCAATAGTCGCCGCCGAGGGTAGCTCAAGGTCTAGAAGATCATATGAGCACAAGAAACAGATGTAGGATACAGCCCCATACCAGTGCAAATATAATTTCAGGCATCCCTTAAGGATCTTGCACTCAAATAATGCTCCTGAATCATCGGGAGATCATGTTCTGATGTCCATGTATTCAACCTGAAGAGTGGCCCCTGAACGTTGTAGGTTTCGAGGGCGCTCGGTGTATGGCTTCACGCCTTTGCAGAGAGAGATAACTCAGACTTTCCCGATCGGCGGAGCCATGACAAAGTATAAAAGTTCGTCAATAAATTCCAGTAGCAGGCGCGACTACCAAAGGCAATTTCGAGTTCGGTTAAGGTTCACCTGAAGGAAGACCCACTCAATCTTAAGACTCACTGTCGCAGCCTGATGAAATGGTGGGGTCGACGGATGCTGCAGATCTTGGTGAGGTAGCACGTGCCCCAAGGGCTCAAATCTTAAAAATATTTCAGAGGGGTGGCTCGGAATCTGGTCCTCCACAGCAACTCCTCCTACAGTCCACAACTTGCCATTTAGTCCTCGAATTCGCCCCAGCACCATCCATGATAACAACAAGTGTCCTTTAAGTCACTCAGGAATTGTGGCCACATCCATGGTGTCCCTGGTCCCGATCGCTCGGCCTCCAGTGCCTGCAGCAGCACCGAAACCAAGCAAACCGCTTCTGCGTCGAGCAACATTATCTGGCACGATCCGTAAAGCTGAAGATGCAGAGTTAGACTCGGACTTCTTGTCTGCGCCGCCGAGTCCAAGCAAGAGAGCCCGAGTTTCCTTCAACCCCAATGTCGAGGAGAAAGTCGTGGAGCCATACCAAGTCAAGGGCAGGAGTCTAGAGTCGGTGAGACTAGAAGTCAGGAGCTCGATCGAGGCACATCTGAAGGGGGACAGCGAAGGGTATGATGTTATCAAGGAGGTGTTCTCGCCCCACAGAGAAGACGATGAGGATGAGGATAGCGAAGGAGATAAGAGGGTAGATATGAAGACGTATTTGCTTGCGCTTACAAGCTATGCGTCTTTATTGAATAAAGGTTGCTCGGGACTGGTTAAGGCAATTCTAGCTTGCGAGTGGATGGGCAGAGACGAAAGCTTTGTCAAAGCCTATGTGCATTTTCTTGGGAGTTTGACAAGTGCGCATGGCGCGTATGTGGGGATGGTGCTTGGAATGTTGGTGGGTCAATTTTACGGGGGTGAGGCATACTGCGTCAAATCTTTACGGAACTTGTCTGATCTTCCAATAGTCCGATTATCCAGTGGCCGTCTAGCAGGTTGTCCTGATCTCAACCGGGACCAGCTTTCCTCCAGGGTCCATGTGGCACTTAAATACTTGCTCCGACTCATCCCATCTGCCAGCAGCACACTTTCGCCAATCCTTGCTGCTAAGTTCCCATATGCCGAGGAATCCAAGAAACTCCAAATCACATATATTCAAAATCTTCTCCGCCTCAGCGAATACGCTCCAGAGCTGAAATCTGATATCCTGGCCCTCATCACTGACCGACTTGTCAAGATCGATGTACAAATGCAAGTTGATCTCGACGATCTCGACGATGATGTGGCTGCTGCAATCGTTCAGGCTATTTCATTAAACCCGTCTCGGCAACAAGAAGATAATGGTGGCGACTCTGATAGCGATGCAGATTCCGTCACCAGCGACGAAGGTGTGAACAGTGATACGAAACGAGTAAAGGAGCTTCAAGGCAATGTGGAGAAGATGGATGCCATACTTGACCTTCTCTTCACCATTTACAGTCCCCATTTTGAAGATCCAAATAGCGCGGAAGCCGCTTCAACGTTCGAGACTTTACTGGGCCATTTCACGAACATCATACTTCCAACATATCGCTCTCGGCATACGCAATTTCTTCTCTTTCATTTCGCACAAACGGCTGAACATCTTGTGGACCAATTTGCCGGGACTTGTGTTCAATTGGCTTTCCAATCTGGTCGGCCAGCAGTTCTGAAGCAATCCTCTGCAGCATATCTAGCCAGTTTTGTCGCACGAGGAGCACACGTACAACCACATGTTGTACGCACCGTTTTCGAGCTCATTGGAAGTAATCTTGATCATATCCGCGCAGAGAACGAGGTTACCTGCCGTGGGCCGGACCTTAAGCGGTACAGCACATTTTACGCTATGACACAGGCATTACTCTATATATTCTGCTTCCGTTGGCGAGATCTCATCACCTCCTCAGATATCTCAGAAGAAGACGACCCTGCAGCGTTCGTTACTCAAGACTTGAACTGGACACCAGGAATCAAGGAAACACTCTCCCGGACTATATACTCGAAACTCAACCCCCTCAAGATCTGTTCTCCCCCCATTGTTGCCGAATTCGCCAAGATCGCCCGTCACTTACGATTCATATACGTGTACCCGCTTCTTGAGAGTAATAAACGAGTACGCCTCAGTCAATTCTCATCAGGTCACGGAAATGGTGCGCTGCGGGATACTGGCAACGAAGGGAATAGTGAGAGTTGGCATCAACTGGACGCATATTTCCCTTTTGATCCTTATCAGCTCCCGGTCAGCAGGCGATGGGTCGAGAATGACTATGTCCAATGGAAGGGAGTACCCGGACTCCACGAAGAAGAAGGGGACGAAGATGAGAGTGGTGAGGAGGAAGACGAAGAAGAGGTTGATCTTGACGACGACACTGCAACTGATGCAGACGACGATGAATAATTTCTCAGCATCCTGCGATTAGCGATTTGCTTGGTTCGGAGTTAGTGGTATTGATTTCTATTATTGTCTTCCTGGCTTAGCGGGTGGGAAAAAGGATCACATGGAAAATTCTAGCGCTGAGGATCAATGCTCTGGATAGACGCATTGGAGGCGTTTTGATATCGGTACATTCTGGTACTCGATTTGTTAGAATTGTTCAGTGCATTTACTGCTGGTGGCGGCGCAGATGGACCTTGATATACCATAGAATCAGTAGATCTTGAGAGGACTGGAGTCCTAAGGAATAATGGTCGATACATGGGAGTGGAAGGCAGCAATGTAAATGACTTTCTCACCTGGCATCGTTCTTTCCTATCAGGGGCGTCTGCAAGTTGTTCAACTAGCCAACCAGAGCTTTCAGAACTACACCACCACAGCTGGGCACAATCCAGCTGCAACAGCCTCGAAGCCTGCCTCCATCATTGTTGATCATTTCTCCCCCGTAGATTTGCACTATCTCTATGCTACCCAACTTTGGGGTTCAATTTTGAGCCCATTTCAAAGAGGCTCCAGTCTCCAGTGCTTTTCCTGGTACCTTGACTCGATCAAGTGGGCACAGTATGACAGTCATGTTCGGCCAACGCATCAACACGGCCTCATTGGTAGGCACATGGCTTTGATCTCTGATCACTTTGCTTGGCCTACTGGCTGTCTTTACTCAACTGCGTACTCTGTTGAAGACCTTTCAATTATCGAGATGAACGAGTACGAGTCCGGTTCCGGAGCCTGAGTCTTGTGTCTGCAGAGCCTTCGGGCCTCAGATAGTGGGGTCTTAGAGGGGATCGCACCGTCAGTGGCCCCGTGGATTAGGCATTATTACAGCCACGGAAGAGATATTGATATGACACCCCTCGAAAGACAGTTAGCGGGAGGACAATCATCTTGGAGCAGATTATTTGCTCGACTACAGATTCGACCTCAGGAGCTGAATAGGATGGGAGAATTGAACTCGAGGCGCAGCTCAGTAGACTCCATGTCGTTTTGGAGTAGACCGGGTTATATCGATCTCTTGGTTGAGGGAGAAAATATCTCCTATGGCTTATACAGGGAAACTTTAGGACGTTGATTCCATTAAGTTAGTGTTTGAAGGTGCATCGACCTCGCATTGCGAATTTTTCGATTTGACTGTCTTGGTCGTCCTCGAGCTGCTTGTCTTGCCCTCGGATGAAATAGGTCTTGACAGTTCTAAAACCCCGGTCTATACAACGGAGAAATGTTTCGCAAATGGCCGTTGAAGAGACATCTTGCTGTCCGAAAAAATCTCACGCACCTCACCGGAGGAGAATTCTCCCAGAATCTCGTTTACGACTTGACCAGAGATCGCATCTCGAATTCCAAGACATCTTTTTCAAGGAAGAAGGAAGAATCGTGGAAAATACCTTCTGCTTGGTTACACTGCAATTCGACATATTTGCACATGAAAGATCTGCTTCTACCCTCCATACGGCGATGACCATTGCAGTTGTTTTGGTCGGGTTACAGCCATGGGGATTACGGTCGTGGTTCCTCGAAGCTTAACCGGTGCCCTTTGTCCTTGGCTCTGGGAGTCGTTCCCCAGTCTCGCAACAGATCCACCGATGTTGAGTCGTAAAGTCTCTGAGCTGCCCCGCCGTACAATAAGGCTTAGGGTCTCTAGTTGGACCTGGGTGTCACTTGGCGGAGCTCTCGAAGGGCTTCGCGCCGTCAGCTCACAGCACTTCTCCGGCCTCAATTCTAGGTGACGTTATATTACTATATGATGGTCTTCCAACTCATCCTCAATAGCATACACATACTAACAGTAAATTGTGGGCTAGCCGCACGGTGCTTGGTGCTCGGTGCAATATCTAGCATCAAGGTGCAGCGCCCCACCTGGGAACGTCGATGTAGATGCTTGGGGAAGCTAGTGCAGAGCTGCGATTAGAGAACGATTAAGTGGTGAACTAATGAATGAGGTTCCGCAGTGGGCTTTGGAAATTTGACTGCATTTCTTCATGGTTAATAAACTCTCATCCGATCAAGGAGGACTTCAGGACTATATTTCGGAGACCGGTATTTCTGGGATGATATTTGGAAGTGAGGACTTGATCAATATCTCTCAATAGGAATCTTCGGTGGATAAGACTATTCAGTGTGACTGCCAGTTGATTCTCTGTGATATCTTCCCACCCACCCAAGCATGTACTCTGCTGTCCCCCAAGCGCTTCTTCAGCAAACATTTTATCCTTCGAAGTTTTGGAAGTCTCTCAAGTCCCAAGCTCTTTCTTAGTTCCATAAGCATATCCCTTTCCTCCCGTCACTCTCCCCCGTCTAAAATTATGCGTGATGTGTCTCCCCCCACTTGCCTCCAAAAATCCAAGGAAATACTTCTGCAATGCGACCCCAACTTCCTCCTTCCGTGATGTAATCATCGCTGTCTAGCCCTCTTTCTCAGAAAACAGGTCCACCGTCTCCGGGCTTCTCGTTAGGTGAAAGTCTGACTGTATATCTGGCGCCACTGCGTCTCCCTAGTTGGAAGTCGACCGTGGGACACCTTCCCTCAGAACGAAAAAGGGATATTGCATGTCGCTGCTAATTGAAAAGAAACCTCTCAAAGGCCGTTGATCTGATCTGCCCTTGCCAGGTACCTCGCGTTTTTGTGTGACAGATATGCGAGCAAAGTTTGGCCCTCATTCATTAGCTCGAAGCTCGTTGCCTCTCTGGTATGTCCTCGTTCAAGGCGAACTTATCTATGTCCCCCTCCTTCTATTTCCTCATCTCCTATTGCGGATCCAGGCGGAGGGCAAATTGGTCTCGCTAGCAATTATCCATTTCAAAGGACAACGGTCATCCCGAACTAGAAACGATGAGAAAAGGTTGGTAACTCCGGAGCTGCTCGTCTTTGCAACAGGCTACAAGCAGGAATATCCCTCCCCAGACTCAAGTTACCTCACTGGCGAAGGATAACAAGGAACACCTGGGAACCTGGAAACGAAACCGTCAGATTCATTGGTTTCGTGCCACCCAACTTCGGCTCGTCTCTCCCCTACGTTCGAACTCCTGCTGATCATATGAACGTGCCATCCAACCACTATCAGAACCTACAATTGCCGAGATCATTCCTCTCGACCACGATGTGGATCCGATTTGAGATGAACATGTCCCTTGAATCAACGTGGGAAAAGTTCTATCAGATGTTCTTGAATCAGCCTCTTCTCATCCATCAATGTGGATGAATGCTTTCGTTACGAGACCGGAAGCCTCATAGGCATGGGTTCATCTGCTTCCGGGCTCCACCTCTATTTTGGATTCTTTCTCCATTTCTTCCTCCTTCTCTGGACATAGAGGGAGTCAAAGAGCTACTTCTTTGATGTGCTTCGTTGCCCGGCCAACCACGGCCGGCCCCCCTATTCAAGAGTAGGGGTGAGCGATGAGCCCGTGACTATCACATTAGGGTCGATTGCCTCCCTTTCAATGGTCTTGATTTGTCAGTCTCATAACACACTTGGTTATGCTTTTCTCAGATTCAATTTCTTTCGTCTCCTTAGATCCGGATTATCATAGCTCCGACAAGCTCTGAAAGGGGAGCTTGGGCTTGACGCTAGTAGTAAACGAAGACGAACCCGACATCGCTCACCTCTTCACATCCAGCGCGTCTCGATCTCAACACCAAACACCCCATTCATAAGATTATGCGGTGCTCTCTCCTTTGCTGTTGCCTTTGCACTCACAGTTGATCTACATTGTCCAACTTACTCCCTGAACATTGCAACTCATTGTGGTAACTACTAAGTAGAACAATGAAGCGGAACGGCGAAGCGGCACCGACCCACACAAGGTTCAAATTCCTCCATGAACGTTGTAGTTCATTATGCTAACTGCTGAGTAGAACAATGGAAGAGGGCCACACTGAGCCAGCACCGATGCGGAGGCCTTTTCTTTGGGAAAGCGACGAAGATGTTGTAGAGACACGGAGGAGATCGAGAGACTCATCACCCGTGAGCCAAGGATCTACCGCTTATTATGCCGAACTCTTTCAGGGGAAAGGGAATCCATTTGAGAACGTACACCCCTTGAGGGGTCAGAGGTGGAATGAGGCTGAGGAAACTCTCAATCGAAGAGGCCCACCAGAGAAGAGGATTTCGGACGTACCGACGGAGGAAATCCGTCGAGTTATTGCCGGGTACTGCAAGAACAAACAAACAAGCCTCAGCGACAAAGATCTATCCGGCCGAATGGAACGTTATTCGGATGGTATCCAAGATGCTTCGCTGGATGCAGTAGGATACCCCCTAAATCGAAGTATTACGCCCACCTCAGAGGTGGAGGACTCTGATGCAAGAACTCTTAGATTTTGGTCGGCCGATGGAAAGAAAGTCCTGAGAGAAATACCTCTCAACCAAGCACCGCTTGGGCTAGAGGCCAACTTATCGCCCAAATCTTTTTCTAGAGAACTTGAAAAAATGGATTACACAGGTCAGCTGGGACGTCTCCGGCATGAAATCCGCCGAATCGGTAAATCCCCCAGGTTAGCAGAACCAATGGTCTCCAGCGACAAAATGGCTTCACTTGCGCTTCGCAACACCACATTCGACGAGGCAACTCATCCGGAGAGGATGAGCCCGGACGACGGTTCGATGACTGCACCAAAATCACCGAAGGAAGCCTCCATGGCAACGTATCCAGACACATGTCGTCCTGCTCTTGCTCAGGCTGCATCGCCATTGCAATTGCCAGAGAGAATCAAATCTCTTGAGGCGCAGGCCAAGTCCGTAGGAGACTGGGACAAAATCTTCGAAGAGACTGGAGACCCCAAGCTGAGTGAACCAGAGTACTGTGCTGCTCTTGTCAGACCCGAGAGAGTAGAGCAGACACAGGTAGCATTCAATGCGAGATATGATGCGTTGATGAGGGGTGACTTTACGAAGACAGGAGCCAACGGCAAGCTAGTGAGGATTCCCAGGCCGGAACTACCATCCAGATATCACTTCAGACCAAAGAAGCCGATCTCGCCATCAACACCCGCACCCGCCTCGGCTGAGCACAACTCCATTCCTGCAAGCTCTACTCACAACACCGAAGGCGTAGACGACGAGAGTACGGAAGTCGACGATCTGCCAGAGTCCTCAGCTTTCATCGGCTGGAAGCACCTCGGCTTGGCCATGGATGATTACCCCGGTCCAGAGAGACCTTCAGGTCAGAGCGCGTCCATTGGAAGGGAGAAGCAGGTGAGTACAGAACATGGAATCAGCAAATCAAATAGGGAGACAGGCAGCTGATCTGTTCCTTCAGAGTATGGAAACAGATGTAAGACGCCAACCAGATGTCGATACATCCCAGGTGGGTGGCTTCCTTGTGCGAGAGGCAGCGCAAAGCAAAAAAGGCTAACAGACTCTCAAGCACGAGGCCAACCTGAATTCGGACGAACTGTCGCCAGATTCTCCTCTGGAAACCATGGTAAGCAAGCGCCTTTCCTATGCAAAGTCGTCGAGATCATGAATTGCTAAAGGGGGTTCAGATGGAACGTTCTATGCGACTCTCACAGCGGCTGGATTCAAGAGCTTCACTCGAAAAGGATTATGCATTAACAGAGGTAAATTACGACCAAAGCGTGATTCCTAGCTAGCTGTTAAGTGATGAGAGGAGTGCGGTACTGACAACTTGCAGATTCGTCCGGATGCAAAGTGCCCAGCAGAGCCGAAAGTAGAGAGCTATACCGCGCTCCTTGCCGAGCAGAGCAGAGCAGAGCAAGAAGCTGGTTCAATTGCGGTGGAACAAAGCAAAGCACAGGCAGAACCAGTTAGTGAGGCCGCGGTTGACCACCATGGCTTGCCGTCAGGACCTATTGGCGATGCTGTGCGTGAATACAGTAGGCGTAGATTGATTCACCGAGTGCAGACAACAACTGCAGACCAAACATACAATCGTGGACCGCTGTTCAATCCCCACCGGGCCCCAACGGAGGAGCAACCCGCGCGTCCAGACTCCAGAGGGTCCAGTGGAGCATTCTCGGGAAGACAAGACGTTCAGTCTCTGTCACACGCAGAGAGAGTACAGATTAGCATTGGTTGGGGCATTCCGCTCACTGAGGAGCGTGCCGTTTACGAGAGTGAGAAGTCGGAGCGATTGCAAAGGGAGATGCGGGAGCAACAAGAGAAGAAGAGATTGGAAGACCGCCGGAGAGCCAACGAAATCTATCCAGGCCACAAGGGGTTTCGCGGGGAGGACTACAAAACCATGATGAAGGAGCGCAGCAAGCGGAAGGCCGAGATGGAGATGGCGAGACATGCGGTTGAGGAGAGTGAGAGTGAAGAGGCAGGAGAGAAGAAGGTCATGGGCCGTCTGACGGCAGAGGCTCTGCACGAGCTGGAGATGCAGTACCGGATGCACGGACCACCACGCGGCCGCCCCACCGACGCCGACCTCGAACTCTCCCAAAACTTACGTGCATTGGCGAGATCGGGGGCAGCCCCTTTGCATCCGCAACCTCAGCCTCCTTCCATCAATGTCACTGCGCCAACTCCTCGTCCTGATAGCATCGCCGACTTCGACCATACGCTGGTCCCCGGCCCCCTTCGCCCTTACCCTCGCCCTCGCCCTCGCCCTCGCCCCCGCCAAGGTCAAATCCAAGACTCGAAGTCTTTTTTAGGGGCGCGCCTCGCATCGAATAGAGACAGCGACATGGACAGACTCCAGGTTCGATCGACGGAGTTCTCCAGTGTCAAGGCCAAGGCCGTCGAAGATGCGAGGCAAATGCAAGCACATGTGATCGAGGAGTGCACCAAGGCTGGCAAGGACCCGCCCCCCTACGGTCTGGTCGAGCTGATTGGAAAGGGCAGCTTTGGACGTGTGTACATGGGGTAAGTCGCCGCCACCGCACGACAAGTCACGTGGGAGAGCATAGGTACTGACGACGGTGCAGCAAGGACATGAAATCCGCAGCCATCGTCGCCGTCAAGATCATCGATATTGATGAGAGCGATACCCTCAACCCACGCACCGCCGATTCGTACAGCGAGTTCCTCAAGGAGGTCAACGCTCTGAAGATCCTCAGCGAGAACAAGGCCAAGAACATCAACCATGTGATCGAGGCTTTGCCTGTTAACCAAGCTATGTGGATGATTACGGAACACTGCGGCGGTGGAAGTGTTGCAACTCTAGTAAGCGAATTTCGGCAGCAAATATTGTAACCCAGCTAAATTGCCCGAAGATGAAACCTTCTGCTCCTGCGGGACTGATGGAGAAGTGGATCATTCCAATTTTACGAGAGGTAGCTGAGGCCCTCAAGTGGGTTCATCAGGCTGGTATTATCCATCGAGATATCAAGTGTAGGTCTTCCGTAATTGCCATGCCGAGCCCCTTCTGATGCTGCCCAGGTGCCAATGTTCTGATTACGGAACAAGGTGGTGTACAACTTTGTGACTTTGGCGTTGCTGGTATCATTGAAAATAAGTTGGACAAGAGATCGACTATCATTGGAACACCCCATTGGATGGCTCCTGAACTTTTCAACGACACACCCAGTTACGGCAAGGAGGTCGATATCTGGGCTTTTGGTGCTATGACATTTGAGATTGCCACGGGGCTCCCACCTAACGTCGCAAATGGCATTCCTTACGAGCGCCTGGGCAGTCATCTGAAGAAGAATGTCCCTAGACTGGAGGGCGGTGATTACTCAAACGAACTTCGCAATATGGTAGCTTACCTACTCGAGGAGGATCCCAGCGCAAGACCAACTATCGAGCAAGTACAGAAGCACAGGTATATCGCCAATACTAGCTCAACCTATCCTACAACCAATCTGCGGTCTCTTGTCGGCTCGTTCAGGGTGTGGGAGTCACGAGGTGGTGACAGGAAGTCTTTGTTCATGCAGCACGGCGCTCAAGGGCCATCTTACGCTTCGTCTGGCCAGGATGAGTGGAACTTCAGCACCACAGAGGTCTTCGATCAGAAGGTCATGGAAGAGTTCAGCGCCCAGGATGTCTTCGATGCCTACGGTCCATCCATCAGTTTTGATGAGGCTACTGCTCGTCCTAACCAACGTCAACCCACCAAAGCCTCAAGACGACGCCCTCCGCCCGAAGCCCTTGCCCGCATGCCTGCTCCTTTAGAGAAAATCTTCGACCCCAATACCATGACAAATTACGAAGACAACAGCAGGGTCCACTACGGAAAGGTCATGACCTCAGCACCTTCTACATCTGACTTACCATTGAGAGACGATTCGGCTCAGACGTCTATCAAGGATACCATGATTGATCTCGGTGGTCACGATAGTGAGACTGGTATATCCAGCTTTTCTGATATGGACACCATCAAGGCTGGACGCCGTCAAGATGAGAACGAAGATCAATACAATTCCACCTTGCACGATTTCAGCCGACCTGCTCTGAGCGATCCCGCCGATATTAACACCAACAGGAGAACTCAAGACTGGAAGTTCCCATCTATGGCGCCGCCCGCTTCCGCTGATCCCGAGCTGTCACGATTCCCACCTGCTAGCTACGAATTGCCACGCCCTGCTGTTACTCCTGGCTCCGGTAGCCGTCCCACCCTCGTTCACCATCCCACAGAGCCGGTCGGTGCCTTCGGCGGTGGCCTTCTCGGCACGACTACATCTACAATGGGACGAATGTCGATGCGTGAATCGTTGATTGACCTCGACATGAGCCTTCCAGACTCCATTCCCGAAATTCGTCGCCCTTCGACTGCAAATTCCGATGTCTCTGCCTCAAGTGAGCAAATGACCTCTGCAAACCCTTTCGAACTCGAGCGTCATGCCTCGCAACTGTATCAACCCGTCGCCGAACGAGGCTCGGATCATGCCATTTATATCAGCGAGGAGTCTGCTGTTCCAACCCGACTCCGAAATGGCAATCTTCATCAAGACATCGCCGACGTGTCCGATTTCTCGGCTTCTGATGTTGAAGGCCCGCAAGCCAATGGTCGCGCTAGACGTCTTCCGCAGTACGACGGCGCCGATGATTCTGATTACCAGGCTATGCCACCGCCTCCTCTCCCCAACCAAGCAGAATCTCAGACTTCTGGTCAACCTTATACCATGGCCCACTTCCCGCCTCTACCCCCTCATCCATCGGTTGCAGCTCTTACAGGCACTGCCTCCAATACAGAAATGCAGGACGAACTTAGACAAGCTCTTGCAGGTCTGAACGCACAGCTCTCCGCCTTCAAGGATGTTTACAGCAGCGCCGAGGGCCCTCCTCGCCGCGGTTCTGCCCCTGCACGCCAAGAGAATGCCCAGGATTGAGGAAATTCATATCTTGTTAGTTCTTGTACGGATCCCATTAAAATGTTCTCTTTTCATTCAAAAGTCATCAAAAGTCATCATAGCGACGGCGTTAAGAGGTGTAACAAGATGATGACACTGGATGATACCATAACGAAAATAAAACGAGTAAATCAATATGATTCCATTTGAAATGTGGCACTTTCATGCAATCAATCATAAAGATTTTCTTCGATGTCCACTTGGAGGCTTTTATCGAGATTTGACGTATTTTTGACATATTAGTGTTGATTTCCATACCACTCTCATTTCCAACTAACGGAGCGACGTACTAGCATCAAAGCATAAGGCCATTGAGACCCTTTCCTTCTGTCCAAAAGGTCATCAAGAGGTCACCATCGTAGCGAAGGCGTTTACGGGATGTAACTAGATGGTGACCATAATGACACTACAATGAAATATAATGGGTAAAATGAATCCTAGTTCCATTTGAAAATGAGACTCTCGTGCGATTTAGGTTGGAAATCGTCTTGGATATCAACCTGAAGCTTTTGAGACGAGAAGTCTTCCCAGTGTACTTTCGGTGTCCTTGATCGAGTTGGGGCAATCAACTAGGTTCTAAGGGAGAGTGATTCAATGTTCTGGGATTTCTGGGAATCAAGGGAGTACTTGTCCTTGCTTGCGAAATGCAGTAAGAACATTTTAAGGGGGGTATTTGAAAGGTCCAACGTTGGCATTGGACCTTGAGAACAAGTGAGCCCTCTATAATACGCCAAGTTGCTTTATTTCGTTTAGCTGCAGGCATCGTCTTCTAGTGACACTCATGCCAGGGAGCTTTATCTCCTGTGCTACACCTCTATCAGCACCCCAATCACCCCTGAAAACTCGCCAAATCTCCCATAAGTAGCGCCTGGTACTTCTCCACACTCTCCCTAACCCTAACCAGCACGCCTGCCGCAAGCATCCTCACCCTCTCATCCTCCTCACTTCCTCCGCCCCCAACCCGCCCAAACACACCCTCTACCCACTCCTGCGTCTCAAGCATTTGGCGTCCGTGCGCTTCAACTACTGGTCTTTTATCCTCGTTGATCTCGAGTATCGTCATGAATCCGAAGAGGAGCGCCTCGATTACCGTGATGTCGCCGATACTTTGCGTTCTTAAGCTAAGCAGTAAGTCCCAGAACTCGGAAGTCATCTGCGGCAAACTCATTGTAGAGGGTCCTGAAGCATGAAGCAGTAGAGACAAGGTCTTAATAAAAAGCGCAAGGAGGTAAGGTTGGAACACCACATTGTGATGTGACGAGCCGTAGGCTTTCAGATGCATGAAGAAGCGCCCGGTTAAGGGGAAGAAGAAGCCATCGGAAACTACTTTAGCGAGAGAATTTGCGATGGGCTTTTTGCGCTTCTGTTCTACGGCCATGCGGGAACTGAAGGTACGGATTTTGAGGATGGAGGGCCCGGTGAGCTTGTCTGCTAATTCGGTGGCGAGGGGCGCGATCATTTTGTTTTGGAGCTGGGTTGAGAGGGCGTCGACGGCTGTTTCTTTGGGTTTGGTGCCGCTGTAGTAGTTGTGCAGGCTCGAGGGAAGAGTCTTTGATGGGAAGGAACAGGGAAGAGGCTTGGTAATTGTGAGAGTGCTGTCTTCGGCGCCGAAGCCGCCGAGTTCGCGGGCCCCGAGACCAAGGGTAGTAAGTACGGAGGCTCGTTGAGAGATGGAGAAGTCGCCGTCGAAGAATGTTTTCGAGAACCATTGGCCCATTTTTAGGGGTGACGCGATTAGTATAGCAATCATGCCTTGCAGACGCATGTCTTGGAAGTTGTCGATCTCGTATTTGTCTTGCAGACCGACGAGGAGTGTTGCCAGCTCTTCTGCGTGATCGGTGACTTCTGTTCCGAAGGTTGTTTTACGTCGGATGAGGGGTGCTGCTGTTTCTAGGCCTAGCTTTTGGCGGTCGTAGTTCTCGGTATCTCTCAAGTAGGAGATCAAGTCTCTGATGTAGACGGGAGAGGTGTGTTTATTTCTGGTGATGAGGGTGGGATCTTCATCCGAATCTTCTGCATCAGAATCCGGCTTTGCATAGGGAGTCAAGCCATCATCATCTGACTCTTCTTCGTCCGTCTCGATCTCCTCGATAGAGATGATTTTGGATCCTGTTGACGGAGCTTGAGGCTTCGTTGCTGCTTTCGAAGATCGAGGTTTCGTATGCTTGGCGAGATTTGCCGCTCTGCCCGACTTGAGAGGATCAAGTGATCCAATAGTATCAGAAACGTTCACCAGGCTCTTGAACCACCTAGCCTCAGCGGTACTCATTTCGTCCACTTTGAAATCCATCCTCTTGTCCCCTTTGTCCACAAGTCCTGACAGAGCTTCTCCTACCACCATGCCCAAAAAGCGAGCACGAGGTGATGATGCAGCCAATCTGTTTGAGATAGCATTGAGGTATGCTCCTGATCTCATCATCATTGATAAATGAAGATGGGATATTCGGTGGACGTAGCCAGCAGCAAGGAGTAGGACTTGTGTGTGAACTTTCAATGTTAGCACTCCTGTTATAAGAATATAGAAAGATTTATCTTACCATCTTGCTGTATTGTGGGAGTATGTTTAATATACAACTGATCGCCAAACTGCTGGAGGCTCTTGTCCAGGACTGTCTCAATGTCCGTCTTTTCCATGGATAATACAACAACTACTGCCCGTCGAATAGCAATACCATCTCCAAGGCCAGCTCCCGAAGAGCTAGTAAGCCAAGATACCAAGTGCTCTTTGTGATGTGGCATATTACCGCCCACTATTTGGCTGATTAGTGATGCTACTGAAGAGACCACTTTTGTGTCAGACTGCCACCATTGAGAGTCATCTTCAGTTGTGACTGAAGTGGATAAATACAGTCCAGGGGCGACCTTGAGAACCGTATAGAGAAATTTGCGGTATTCGAAGGTTGGAATAACATTCAGAAGTCCAGTTAAACGAGTAGAATACTCCTGTCTGTCGAGCGGGAGGGAGGCCAATAGCTCCTTGACAATATTTTCTGAAAAGTGTCAGCTCTAATTCTCGCATTACCAACGTTCCATCTACTAACCAGTATAGCCAAGGCGGAAAGCCTTGCTGAGCAGCTCTCCACAGTGCTTTAAAAAAGTCTCGGAATCTGCTGACAACATTTTGATCCAAAATGTCAGGTTGCGAGCCAGCCAATGGCTGAATAAACCACCATCCGCAACCCAATGTTTCTCGCCGACTTTTTTACTGAGTTCATTGATGACATCCTCTGCTTCGGCGGCAATGCCAATTATCTTTCCGCTTCCTACAAGGCTCAGAAACTCATTCCATACCGTCTTCTGCTTTGATGGAGGATCAGATGCTTCATAGATACTTTTCCATATAATCTCAACAGTCTGGGGACCCTCGAGAAGTGCTTGCAGTAATAGGAGAAAGATTCTCAACAGCTCTTCAAAATTCGGTCCTCCCACAGACTGCTTGCTCTCTTTTGATTGCTGAATGTGCCGTTTTAGGCTCAATAACACAGAATTTATGCCCGAAACGCTCCGCAAGCACGACAGTACCAACTCAAATCCAGATAGTTTGCTTGAAGATCCTTGTTTGGCTGGTCTGTAATTTTTTCCAGCTTGAAGGACATCCCAGTAATTTGGGACTATTTCGGACACCAAAACATGGACCAACTGTGAAGCTAAAGGACTTGGTGACTGGATGCTAAAGTCTGGATAGTTGGCAAGGAACCGTAGGGTGGACACCAAAGTGTCATGGTCAGGTTCACTCCTCAACAGCTCCAATGCTTCTGCTGGGGTGGAAGCAAACTGAAAAGAGGGACTGGGAGCCTTTGACTTGGCACTTTCAACTAGAGTCCTAGAATCTCAAAGTCAGTTACGTTTCAAGGCATAATATTTGGCAATGCCACAATGAGTACGTCAAGACTAAATATCTGGTGGCGTGTTTGCTCGCATGTGGGGTGTCTTAAAGCTGGAGGGGTATGTAGAAGAAGATATACATACAAAGCATCCTCAACCGGCTGATCAGAAGATTTGTAAGAGGTACTCACGGGAGTGAACAGCCCGTCCATGGCTACATGAGGCCTAATTTGTTTGAAGAGTTTCGGGAGCCTGGAGGTTGCGGGTGAAATATTTAAGCTCGTCCAGTGTCATGCAGGCGGATAAGCGATAAGAGGTGCCAACCTCCCGCTCCAAAATCCTTTCTTCAACACTCTCACATCCTCCAGACAGAGATGTCGCAGCCCATAATGGTCTCTGGCACAATATCGGCCGCGATGCCAATACCGGCAAAACGTTGGTAAGAAGGCTCTGGCGCATCCGGCGGAGAGAATGGAGCTGACTCTTCCAGGACCTATCTGAACAATGTTCTTCAAAATCCGGGACCGTTCACAAATCCAGACTATGATGCGAATGAGGTTGCAGACCGTATGTCAAATATGAAGTTACTGTGAGCTACTACAAGATTGTGAGAAGAAACTGCTGCTAACGCGATGTATCTAGAGTAATGTTGGTTGTCTGCCTGGAGCATGATGAATATCAGTACTGATTCTCGAGCAGAGGCGCTGGTGGTCTTGGTTGCGAAATCCTGAAGAATCTTGCTCTTTCTGGGTTCAAGGACATCCATGTCATAGATATGGGTTAGCAGAATCTCCGCCGCTTCTGTTGAACTGAGCTGACTTCTCGTTGCAGATACCATTGACGTCTCGAACCTAAACCGCCAGTTCCTTTTCAGACACAGTGATGTTGGCAAATCGAAAGCCGAAGTTGCAGCCAAGTTTGTGGAGAAGAGGGTGAAGGGAGTTAAGATCACGCCGTACAACTGCAAAATCCAGGATTTCGATGATGCCTTCTACCTGCAGTTCCAAATGGTTGTCTGCGGTTTGGACAGCATTGAAGCTCGACGATGGATTAACTCTACGCTTGTGAACCTAGTAGACATGGAGAACCCAGAGAGTCTGAAACCTCTGATTGATGGAGGCACCGAAGGTATACATTTCGAGCGAGTTTGATTATGGGGATAATACTGAGTAGCATACTAGGCTTCAAGGGACAATCTCGAGTCATATTTCCTACCTTGACCTCTTGTATAGAATGTCAGTTGGACATGCATGCACCGCGGGCCGCCGTCCCTCTTTGTACACTCGCAACTATCCCTCGCCAACCGGAACACTGCATTGAGTGGGCTCATATCATTGCTTGGGAACAAGAAAAACCGTTTCCAAAATTGGACAACGATGACCCCGAGCACATTACCTGGTTATACAAGAAAGCGTTGGGCCGAGCTGCAGAGTTTAATATCACAGGGGTCACATACTCTTTGACACAAGGTGTGGTCAAGAATATCATCCCAGCTATTGCGTCAACAAATGCTATCATTGCTGCAAGTTGCTGTAATGAAGCTTTCAAGATCGCAACATCAACGAATCCGTCCCTTGGACCAGAAGATAATTATATGATGTACAGTGGAAATGACAGCATTTACACGTACACATTCAAGCACGAGAAGAAACCTGATTGTCCTGTTTGCGGAAACCTGGCCCGAGACCTGGAAGTCGATCCGACTTTGACCTTGGACGAATTCATCCAGTCTTTGGCTGTCAGACCAGAGGCGCAGTTGAAGAAACCATCCATTCGTTCGGAAGCCAAGACTCTCTACATGCAAAGCCCAGAGAGTTTAAGGCTCAAGACGGCGCCGAATCTGGAAAAGAAGGTGGGAGATCTGGTTGTGGATGGAGAGGAGATTGGAGTTTCCGATCCCTCTTTGGGCTCAGTGGATTTTAAATACAAGCTCAAGTTCTCGAAGCTTTTCACAACTGCTACTAATGCTGCTGCGGAAAAGGCCAATGGAAATGGAACAACTGCGTGAACTAAGGCAAGAGCAACATGATTGGCGAAATGGCGGGGGCTCTTTGTATTGCATAGTTGCTGCGACATCCCGGGGGTGGACTTATAGAGTTATGAAGACATGGATCATGAGGGATTTGGCTTTTAATACCGACAAAAGCGTCAGCTCTTGATAGCTATCAAAAAAGCCATCCAACGCCAGAACCTACAACTCCTACAATGCTCGTGATATTGTCCGCTCTATCGTACCATGTTCGTCAAACTCCTCTTTAGCACATCACACTTGCCTTTCAGAATTTTAACCGACTCTAAGAAAAGCTCGTCACTATCCCACTGACCCACACTCTCCACCGAGAAGATGAAGTGGTCTCGTATCCTTCCTAGCTTGACTTTTCCCTCAAACTCTTCATGCCTTAGGCATTCCCTGCTCACAGTATCCTTCATCGGATCCTTCACGACGGCCTTCTTCTCGCCCTCATGACCTTCGTATCCGCTTCCCTTCTTTGCAGCCTCCTTCTTCGTCACCGTCTCAAGCCCAATAACACCCCGAGGAAAACATCTCGCAAATTTCTCAGCATCCTTCCCCAAAATCGGCTTCAGAATCGTGATCGTAGGCATAAGTCGATACGAAGCCGTAGCCACAGGCGAGTATTTCGCATGGTCACTTCCCACCCCCTTGATCGCATGCATATCCACATCAATCTCCTGTCCTGGTCTCAATTTTGCAATCAAGATATCCGGATTCGTGGGCCTGATCTCATCTCCCCCACTAAAGTAATTCCTTTGGCGGCCGAAAGGCTTGAACAAGATATCTTTAGCGTAGACATGTGCGTTATGGTACGCCTTGAGCGGATCAGTCTCTCCCTTCGCAGCCATCTCGTTACGCGTGCATGCGATTTTGAGTTCCAAGAGGATGGTGTTCGAGTCTATCGAATATGGAGCCTCTCCTTCTGCCGGCGGCGAACACCATTTCAAAAACTCAAGTAGACCTTGCTTGCTTCCCTTCAGCGGTATGAGACCTAATCTTTGCGCGAGAACTTCATCTTGAATAATAGAGGTGTTGTTGGCTACGAAGACGGTTTCGATGGCCAATGTCGGGATCTCTGCGATCATGATGCGCCGGAAGGCATTTGCGACTGCGGCGTCTAATCCGATGAGGGAGAATGAGGATTCGAGTGGTTCATTTTTGTAGATCTTCACTTCGAAGTTATCCTCAAACTTGAACTTGTCCCAGGAATGGTCCTCTCCTAATGGCAATTAGTTCTGCTTCTTCTACAAATCCAGATGCGTCAACCAACCCGGATAGTGTCCTGGATAATCGGTCGAGGAGACATCTGTAACTGTTTCGGCGTTGATCCCCACAATCTGATTTCTTGGTTAGAAGGAATGAGAGAGATATTGGGTAGATCTACTTACTTTTCTGCGGTCCAGCTCAGCTTTCGAGGGCTGATACGGTGCCATATTTGTTCGGGTAGAGGTTGATGGCGGGGTCTTTGATGGGAAAATAATTTTGACTGAAAATTGGTCGGCCACTTTTTACTCCGACTCTGTGCAGGGTTTCTGATTGGCTGTCACTAGCTCACTTCGTCCGAGCTTATTTCGTCGACCTCATCATGGACTGTCTTGAAGGCAATTCAACAAGACATCACTGTCCCTCCTCAAGGTGAAATACGAAGCCTGAAGTCTGGGATACAAACACCCAGTTCTTCTTGCCTGTTGATCGCAATGGCAGCCTCAATTACCCGGCTGGCCGGCCGCAATGCCAAACGACTCTGCTTGCGTCCCGGATTTTCGAAAGCCTCCACCTCACGAGCTTCAATTCGAGCTTTCTCTGCTCTCCCCTCTCAAAGATACGCAGAGCCGTACGAGGGAACGAGGTTAATTCCTACCGACAAGCACTTCGCACACCCCTCGAACTCCGGCGACCCCCAATATATGAACCTTAATCCCGATTCGAATTTAGATGGAGAAGCAGTCGAGAACAGGAAGATCCGTCACTATACGGTCAATTTCGGCCCTCAACACCCTGCAGCTCACGGAGTATTGCGGTTGATATTGGAGCTGAATGGAGAAGAGATTGTTCGATCAGATCCTCATGTGGGGCTGTTACATCGTGGGACTGAAAAGTTGATTGAATACAAGACATACCTGCAGGCCCTGCCATACTTCGATCGGTTGGATTACGTCTCTATGATGACAAATGAGCAATGTTTCTCATTGGCGGTCGAGAAGCTATTGAATATTGAGATTCCCGAGCGGGCGAAGTGGATCAGAACGTTGTTTGGAGAGATTACCAGAATCTTGAATCATCTCATGTCCATTCTATCTCACGCAATGGATGTTGGTGCACTTACTCCTTTCTTATGGGGCTTTGAGGAACGTGAGAAGCTTATGGTAAGCAATAATGATGTTTGATTAATCTATGTTTGCTAAGCTCAACGCAGGAATTCTATGAAAGAGTTTCAGGAGCTCGCCTCCACGCAGCATATGTTCGCCCAGGCGGTGTCCACCAAGATATTCCCGTCGGTCTGCTTGATGACATCTACCAGTGGGCCACCCAGTTTGGAGATCGTATCGATGAAACCGAGGAACTGCTCACTGACAACCGCATTTGGATTGGACGAACAAAGGGAATTGGCGTTGTGTCTGCAGCCGATGCCCTGAACTATTCATTCACGGGTGTCATGCTTCGAGGTTCAGGTGTGCCATGGGACGTGAGGAAGAGCCAGCCTTATGATGCATACGGCGAAGTTGAATTTGACGTTCCTGTCGGCGTGAATGGTGATTGTTATGACCGGTATTTGTGTCGAATGGAGGAATTTCGTCAATCGCTCCGGATTATCCACCAATGCCTCAATAAGATGCCTGCCGGACCCATCCGAGTAGAGGACTACAAGATCTCCCCACCTCCCCGTGCGGCGATGAAGGAGAATATGGAGGCCTTGATCCACCACTTCTTGTTATTCACCAAAGGATATACTGTGCCACCTGGAGAGACATATTCAGCAATTGAAGCACCTAAGGGGGAGATGGGTGTTTACGTCGTGAGTGATGGAAGTGAGAGACCATACCGATGCAAGATTAGAGCACCTGGCTTCGCCCATCTAGGTGGGTTCGATCAGATTTCGAGGGGTCATTTACTGGCGGATGCAGTGGCGATTATCGGGACGATGGATTTGGGTGAGTTGAAAATGAAAGAAAACTATGACTTGTTGCTAACGAAGATGCAGTGTTTGGAGAAGTCGATCGATAAAAGCAAAGAGATGAGCGGAGTTGTCATTTGTTGTTGTATATTGATTAAGAAACTTCCTTTGTTTGTACAAGTCTACGTCATTGCTGAGTTAGCAATGCCAGCACAAACTTTCGAAAATCACCCCGAGATGTGAACTTACTGGATTGCCCCTGTCCATGTGTCATAACTGGGCCATGTCACTGCTGACAATGGCAGGCTGCTGAAGGTCTGGAGCAATAGCTACAGCATCGGCCACGGTAACGGGCTGTGTGAAGTTAAGTGCAGGGGAAGCAGGGTGGTTGATCTCCTCCGGAGGTTCGGACTTTGATCTTTGCCAGGTGCGAGGCATCTTGTCGGGAATGCTCGTGGGAGATGAATAGAGATCGGGCATTGTTGGCATATTAGCTTCATGCTGCTGCGGATACCACTTCATACCAGCGCCTGGTTGACCAATTTCCATTTGACCCTCCCACAAGTGCTCTCGGGGGACAACTCCACCAACCGGGAAGCCATGTCCTGCCGCGACTTGATCCAAATCCATTTTACCAACTCCACCGCCAGCAGGATATCCAGGTCTTTGTGCCATCGGAACCAGGTCCATCTGAGTGTTTCCTCCACCTGGAAATCCACCTCCCTGTCCATATTGAGCCATGTGCGGTCCATTTCCAGTACCGTTGGTCTGGTATCCCACATACTGGTAAGCTGCCATCTGAGCATCCGGAGCCCAATCTTGACGGGGCTTTCTGGGTCCAGCTTCAGTGACACCACGGTGACCAGTATTCGGAGTATCAAGTCCATGTCCCTTCTCAGACGCACCGGCGACACCAGCTACACCGGCGACACCAGCGACACCGGCGACACCAGCGACACCGGCGACACCAGATACGCCGGCCGCTCCGACTTCTCCCTCATCTCCACCTTGACCTCCGAATTCAATACGAGCCAACTCCTTCCCCTTCCCCTTTCCTTTGCTGCCTCTGGGTCGAAGTCGTCTCTCGCGCTCCTCTGCATCGAAGATAACTTCACAGTGGCACTCTCGCCGCTTGTGCATTTGTCGGTGCTCTTCCTCCTTTCTCAGCACCTCCATGTTCCACAGGACTCTCTCGCAGCTGTGGCAGTTTTCATTGGTATAGATCGGTCGCTCGGCCGGGAATTTGCAAGCTGGGAAAGTCGGGTTAGACGCGGTGACCGGACACGGCCGGAGGTAGGGCATCGAGCAGTGCCCGCACGAGTACCCTAAAAACTCCTTCACACACATTTTGGCTGTGATGGGTGAAGTGTTGGTCAAGAATAGGTGAATAAATGTTTTTAGCTTTAAAGACACAAAGCGGATGGGAGTGTCTTGCTAAAGATTTGTTGTGTTGTAACTCGAAAGGTCTGTTCGTTGTGACTGCTTGTCTTGCACAAAGCTGGATCTCTCGGGATGACTGAGGGTTTTGTTGTCTTGATTGCCTCTTATTAAAAATCAAGGTCAGCTATTCACTAAATCAGTTGTTAAGAAAACATGTATGATTAAAGAGTTGAAGCTACCTTTGAAGCTAGTTGCTTGAAAGAAGGAAGTCTCGAAGAAGACCTAGCTGCTTGAGGGATGACGTTTCGGTCTCGAAGTGGGGGACTGAAGGAAAGTTGGTCGCTACTACGATCTGAGCGATGGAGGAGCGAAGCAGCTGTGGACGCTGGTCGGTCAAAAAAGTTCAGTTGCAGAGTGTCTTTTGCTAGCTCAAAGCTTACCTTGGTGAGTCAATGAAGGCTTGCTTTCAGTCGTTGCTAAGTTAAGCTGAATATTTGAATGTGAGCGTGACACAAGAAGTGTTATTGCATCTTGTAGTACAAGGATATTTGAATTAATAGTATGCGAATGAGAGAAGACCGACGACGAAGGTCGAGGTATTGTTTTGAGGTTCTTCGAGGAAGAGCGTTGTTGATTGCGAAAGATCGTCGTGAATTGGAAGGAGGTTGTCGGAGGAATGGTGTTGTTAGTTGCGACAGGTTGTCGGTCGTGAATCGGATGAAGGTTGTTGCGGGTAGGAAAATGGTAGCGATGGCACTCTCAGGAAGAGGGCTGTGGAGGAAGATGGTTGTTGCAGGTTGAAGAAGTGGAGCGTTGGCGTTTTCTAGAAAGAGGGTTGATTTGGGTTAGAAGAATATCAGAGATGGTGCTCTCCAGGCAGAGAGTTGTTGAGGGTTGTCGAGGTAGGGAGAAAATGGTTGTCGAGGAGGAGAGTTGTTCAGGGTCGGTGAGGTTATGGGGGAAGATAGCTGTCGCGGCGGAGTGTTGTCGAGGAAGGAAGCTGTCGAGGCAGGGTGTTGTCGTTGTTGAAAGAAGGTGGTTGTTTTCAGGAGGTGCTAAAGATTTTGCAGCACTTTAAGCAGAAAGACGAGGCAATTACATAAAGTGAATTGGGCGCTACTCAGGCAGGAGGCTGTTGTTGGGAGAAGCTGGTATTTGCGGGAGGGGCTGAGGAGCTTTTGGCCTTTTACTACTTCATGAAGTAGATGGCAGCAAGCAGAAGATTCGTAAATGATGGACCTGGTTATCTTGATTGGAACTGAATTTGTTGAACAGGAGTCCAGTTGATAAATGAAGGGGTTGTAATTAGAAGAAGATTATTAATTCTAACAGAAAGTTGTAGTTGTTGTAAGAAGTTGAAGAGCTTTGACAACCATTACGTGTGAATAGGAGTTGAATTCCTGGACTTAAACCAGGCGATTACTCCGACTGAACTTTGCCGAAGGAAAAGAATGGTGGATAGAGGGAGGGCCAAGCTTAAGTCACTGAGGGAATGATAGTTTAGGTTTACAAGAGACCAAGGTGAACGGGTTCAATACGGTCGAGAGAGTTTTATTGGATGAATTCGCTTATGCTAAGCGAAAAGATAGGAGTCAAAGCACCGCTATAGTGAAGATCTATATATGAGACGGTCACTGTCAGTGAATTTCTGCAAGGATTGAATTGTCAGTGAAGGGTTAGGTAATTCTCGAGAGTTTGGCAAATATTAGTAGATTATATTCGGCCGTTTTCTTTCATGTGCGCCCCTTTCACGAGCGATGGAGAAATCGGGGCGAATTTTACATTTCCATCACCAGCTGAAAGTTGAATACAGAAGTACTCAGAAATTGATGGCAGAACGTTGATCCTGGAGAAAGAGTTTGAGGGAGCTCTTTCATAGTGCCAAATGAAACTCGTTGTTGCTTCAGAGGGAAGGGAACAAAGAGAGCAAGGTAAATGCACTTTTCCGAATCCACAATCTAGCCAATTGTCTGTCAAGAAAATGATTTATAAATGCTGGGGAAAAAGGCGGAGTTGAGGTCCCAGTACTCCACGATGAACCGCACGAGAAAGAAGCCAAAGGTGGTGACGAAGCATACTCTAAGAATGAGTATCGCACTACATGTACAGAAGCCGATAACTTTCCCAGAAGGGCTTCCCTCGACGCAAAGGAAAATGAACACTTCCCAACATAGAGCATTTAATACTTGAGGTATTCGGTATCGTTTTTAGGAACTGCTTATCGAACTTCTTAATCAACAAGTGTAAAAATGAGATAAGTCTGACTATCTGAGGTTGTAAAGTTTGTGAATCATTACAAAACGCCGAGGGAATGGACCCTGTACTTCGGGTTTTTTCGCAGTTGCCTCTCTCCACCTACAGCAATTCGGTAGACAACTCAGAAGGGTTCCACGAGTTGCTGCACACTCGGATCTGAACGCAGTCAATTACAAACAAGCAATTTCTCCTCCGCTTGAAAGCCCCAAACTTCGAAACTCAAGCCTCCTCCCAGTTCCACCCTTCACCCTCAAATGAGAATGCGTCTTCACTACAGGTTCACTCACGCCTGTGGACACACTGCCATCGGCCCACTGATCTCTGGCACCTCAAATCAAGCTTCCTCCCCATCGCCAGACAGTCCCGTCAGCGAAAAGTTCACAACAATCCATCTCGAGCTCCCGTTCTCCTGTCCATATTGCCAAGACCGCAGCGGCAAATCCAACCTGGCAATACCAGAAGTGCCACTCGGCCATGGCATTCTCACGATAATCTCTCCAACGTATCCTTGGAGCTGGTGCATCATACGAAGCTGCAGATATGAAGACGTAACACCACGAGATTGGACACAGTCGATGAGTGGGAATGGGGGTTTTAGGCAGATTGCGTGGATACCGAGGCCTTGTGGAGAGGTCAGGGTGATGGGGGGATTGGAGGAAGTGAGGAGCGAGGGAAGGGTAGTAATTGGCGTGATAACGGAGGTTTCTTGTGCTTGGAGACAGAGTGCTGGTGAGCCAGTGGGAACTAGATTTACCGGACTGTTATCGCAGTTAAATGCTGCAGTTCTGTCTGGGGATAGGGCAGGGCGATAACCGGGGAGTGGGAGAGGTGTAAACAGTTCGGAGACAATGAGGGAATTCAATATGTGCTTCACTTGAAGATATATATCAGGCGTAGAACATAAACGTTAGAACGATGGGTTCCGGTTACTAAAAGGTAGAAATCAAAATCCCATTCCAATCGCATATTGATCGTGTGTTGATATTTTTTGCAAATATCTCGAGGTTCAACTTAGGTTTTCATGCATTGATACAGAATGAAATCGGCTCTATCAGGCCAGGAATGACCAGAAACTCTTGACTAGACTACATATGCACAAACCCCTTACTCTTCCGAAGCCGCCGCACCAGTGATAATTTCGACCAACTCGCCGGTAATGACGGCTTGACGTGTTCGGTTGAAGAGAATCTGGTATTTGGTGATCATATCTCCGGCGTTCTTGGAAGCGTTCTAGATTGGGGTCAGCACAAATTCTCGGAATGGCGGTACTACATACATCCATAGCATTACGGCGGGCAGATTGTTCACAGGCGTGTCCCTCAGCGAGTGCCCAGAACAGAGCGTTGGACAAAGCATATTCGCGGAGGTTGGAAAGGACTTCGTCGTCGATTTCGAAAGCAGCGAAGTTGGCTGTCAACTTTGTTAGACAGGATATAATGCCTCAGCTCAACCAACTTACGAGAGTTGACAATAGCCTCTTCGGAGAAAGCCTCAATTGGGGTAGCCTCGTAACTGGTGGCATTGATGAACTTGTTGTAGACAATCTGGATGGATCCATAGTCCGATGGGAGGAGAGAGATCTGGTCGGCAATCGCTTGAGCGTCTGCAAACGTAGGGATATCCTTCCCAATACCAGCAAAGCTCAATTGTATGTTTTTGGCGCTCGATCGAGACAATTGCGCCTTGCACTTCTCGCCCAAAATAACGATATCGGCGTTTGGCTTCTCAATAAGCATTTTGCGGACACGCTTTGTCAAGCCGGAGTGGATACCACCACAGAGGCCCTTGTCCGAGCTGGCAACAACGATCAATGTCTTCTTGTCATCTCCCTCCAATGGCTTCGTCTCGGCTTGCTCGAATACGGTATTGGATGTTTGGCCGTACTTTCTCGATTCATGCATCGCACGTTGGGCCCTCGTGAGTTTCGTGGAAGCCACAATCTTCATGGTATTCGTGATCTTTTCGATGTTACGAATCGACTTGAGTCTGTCCTCAATCTCCCGGAGCGTTGCGAAAGTTCTACCCAGATCATTAGCATTCTTCTCCTTCCTGAGCTTTGAAACAGCTTACCGCAAGGGTGCCACAGCTTTCAAAGCTGGCCGTGCAGCTCGAGACAACATCATCTTGAGCGACGAGTTCAATTGATTGAAGCTGGGTGAAGCTTCAATCGTCAATGGTGGGAGCTGGTTGGAGTTGAAGTTCGGACGTCGGTTCATTGGGAATTCGGCAGCTTCTGGATTTTAGTGTAAAATCACATGACCTGGCAATTTCATCGCGTGTTTGAGCGATTTCTCTTCTTGTGCTCCGAACATAAACTGAACTTGGAATTTCACGGATATCGATAGTGGATGCTTCCGACGATCGACCGACACCTTCTATTCTCAGCTATGTTCACAGCAGTGCTATGAGATATGCGCAACACTGGGCTTAGGGAGCACTAGATCGAGCTGATCAGGAATCGGATCTCCCCATTCGGAAGAAGCGCATACACCTTTGTTGAAGTAGAACCACATGAACGGAAGATTCAAGATTTCAAACTCTTTAGCATTCTCATGTCTGTTCCAATGGACTCCTTGGGAAACGCTACGGTTCCTTCTACAGAAGCTCTCACATCCACCATCCAGAGCATCATACACTTCAACATTCTCAGTGCTCCGGGCACGGAAACTTTACGTAGGTCCTACATACTGACCCGCTGCCCATTCATTGCAAAGAAATCCTGTGTCCGACCCTTTTCCTAAACCCAGACGGATATGCAAGGAAATGACAAGACTGTCAACGGTCTGCTCAACTCTACTCACGATTTCTTTCAGCAACACGTTTAATGTAGCCAATGTCATACATAAAGCACACCTCCGGTCCGAGGCCTGATCTCTATAGCCTAAGATTGTGCTTGTCAGCATGATTGAGTAGTGAGGGAGAGGACGTTGGAAGGAGGAATGATGGAAGGGGGTGGTGGGGGGAGTATAAGAAGGTTGAAATAGGGAAGAGTAGATTCAACGTGGAGCTGAATCAAGCAGGATGCGAATGTAAGACTAAGGAATGGAACAGAGGTAGATTGGGAACTTGTGATTCAGGACGTCGGGAAAACGAGAACTGAATTGTACTCCAAGTCTCCAACAAAAAAAACCGAAGCCCAGGTGTTGTTGACACGTGACACTTACACACTGGTTGGCCGAAGCAAAACGCTACAGTAATCTTAGCGTACTTGAGAGATGTTGAAGAGCCGACTTGGACTCTTCTGGCACGCATGTTCCTTCGACGCCTTTTTACTCAACAACAACCGGTCCTGCGGCAACTGCGGGCTGTCACGTTACCAAGCTCCGTCAGTGCAGCTTGGATTCGCGCTCAGAGGCAGGTTCTAACCTTCTAGGCGATTTATTTCGCGTCGATACGTCCACGTATTGACTTCGACTCAGCTCGCACCCTCGTTTCACGCCTTCAACTCTACCTCAACTCATCCCTCCATTCCCCTTCAAAATGTCTTCGGACTCGGACGACGATATCCCTCTCGCCAGAACGAATGGCCGCGGTGAGTTCTTTTCTCAGTCCCTGGTTGATCACCCTTCCTTTCCCGAGCCGCATCCACACTCCCTACCCTTGATTGCTTGATGCTACAAATCTTGAACACACACATCTCGGAATCATCTACTGGATCTCAGAGAGGCATTGATGTTCATCTGCGAGTGCTGGAATCGCCTTCTCGAGCTCACATTCAATCCAAAGCCTTCGAACAACATTCACTTTTGTAGGCCTCAAGCGAACCTTCAAATTTTCCTTCAGTTGTCTCCTTCCTTCCCGACACAAACCCGCACCCACACCCACACCCACATGCAAAATCGACAGCATGGAAGCTGACATTCAAACCCCAGTCTCACAAGCACACATCTCGAAGGATGTCGATAGGGCCATGGACAAGGCTGATGCAAAGTTCAACCACGTCCCATCAGGAGTTGCTGTCCGGAATGGGCCCGTAGTGGAAGACAAGATGGACGTTGATGAGCCAGCGACGAACGGCAATACAAAGCGCAAGGCCCGCACCAGCACATCAAAGGCACCAAATTACGCCGACAGCGAAAGTGATGAGGATTCAGTCCCATTGGTAGGAATATTCCCCGGATCCGCGTCACCTTGTTACCAAACTTTTCTTCCAAGTCCGCCAGCAGTATGCTGACAATGTCACCAGGCCAAACGTCAAAGGGTCTCTAAAAAGGCCGCTGATTCTGATTCCGATGATGACGTCCCATTGGCAGCCAAAAAGAAGCCAGGAAAGCTTCCCCCCAAGGTCACTGCTGCTGCTTTTGGCGAGGAGTCCTCAGGGGACGACGAGCCGCTGACAACAAAGCTTGCCAAGAAAAAGGCCTCGATCGAGAAGAAAGCTGAGAAGGAAGCCAAATCAATACGTGCCAAGGAGAGCAAGGCAAAGAAGGCAGCAAAGAAGGAAGAGTCTGATAGCGAAAAGGACGTCAAGCCCAAGGCGAAGCGGAAATCGAACGGCACTGCATCTGCGAAGAAGTCAAATGGAGTGAAGGCCGAGTCTGATTCTGATGAGCCGCTCAAGAAGTCAACCACCAAGAAAGCCAATGGCAAAGTCAAAGTTGAAGAATCTCCAGCAAAGGGCAAAGGTAAGAAGGACGACAGCGAGGACGCCGAGGAAGTCTATCGCTGGTGGGATGCGCCAAAGAAGGAAGATGACAGCATCAAATGGGAGACTCTGCAACACAATGGTGTTATATTTCCCCCAACTTATGAGCCACTTCCCAAGAACGTCAAACTTCTCTACGATGGAGTTCCTGTTACTCTCTCTTTGGAGGCTGAGGAGATTGCTGGATTCTTTGGTGCTATGTTGAATTCTACGCACAACGTCGAAAACCCCACCTTCCAGAAGAATTTCTTTGAGGATTTCAAGGAAGAAGTCAAGAAGACTGGCGGCGCGAAAGACAAGGACGGAAACAAACTTTCTATCAAGGATTTCTCCAAGCTCGATTTCAAGCCTATTTTCAACTACTACGATGGCAAGAATCAGGAGAAGAAGGCACGTTCCTCGGCAGAAAAGAAGGCCGACAAAGCTGCCAAAGACCTCGTCGAGGCGCCCTACACTACCTGCATTTGGGATGGACGCAAGGAGCAGGTGGGAAATTTCCGTGTCGAACCTCCTGGATTGTTCCGAGGCCGTGGTGAGCACCCGAAAACTGGAAGAGTCAAGAAAAGAGTCATGCCTGAGCAAATCACTATCAACATTGGCAAAGAGGCTACTGTGCCCGCCCCGCCGGAAGGTCATAAGTGGAAGGCTATCCAGCATGACAATAAAGCTACTTGGCTTGCTATGTGGCAGGAGAATATCAACGGCGCCTACAAGTATGTCATGCTTGCTGCAAAGAGCAGTATTAAGGGCCAGAGTGACTACAAGAAGTTTGAGAAGGCTCGTGAGCTGAAGAAGCACATCGATCGCATTCGAAAAGACTACACCAAAGATCTCAAAGCCGAGCTCATGGCTGATCGTCAACGAGCTACAGCCGTTTATCTCATTGACAAGTTCGCGTTGCGTGCTGGTAACGAGAAAGATACCGAAAATGAGGCAGAAACAGTTGGCTGTTGCTCTCTTAAGTATGAACATGTCACACTCAAGGCGCCACAAACCGTCATCTTTGACTTCTTGGGCAAGGACAGTATTCGTTTTTACGAAGAATTCATCGTCGACGAACAGGTCTTTAAGAACTTGAGGATCTTCAAGAAGGCTCCTAAGAAGGAGGGTGACGACATATTCGACCGTCTCAATGTAAGCTCCTTTCTACACGCAATAAATTTTATGCTTACAACTCTCTTAGACAACCCAACTCAACAAGCATTTGACGAATTACATGCCTGGTCTTAGTGCCAAAGTGTTCCGTACTTACAACGCTTCCTTCACCATGTCAACTCTTTTGAAGGAGCTCATGGATACCAACATTTCCATCCAGGAGAAAGTCAAGCTCTATAATGACTGTAACAGAAAAGTTGCCATTCTTTGCAACCACAAGCGTACAGTTGGTGCCGGCCACGAGGTCCAAATGGAGAAGATGTCAGACAGAGTACGTTTCCTACTGAACACCCTAAAAATCGGCGTTGCTGACAAATATCATAGATCAAAGGCCTCCAATACCAGCAATGGCGCCTAAAGCAGATGATCCTTGACATTGAGCCTAAGCAAAAGAAGAAGAAGGGTGCTGAATGGTTCGAGCTGGACGAAGGCCTCACACAAGAATGGGTTCTCGAACACCAAGCCTTCCTCGTTCAGGAGATGAGAACAAAGATCGAGAAGAAGTTTGCCAAAGAGAACGAAAAGCTCGTCGCCGATGGCCAAAAGGAAATGAAGGTTAAGGAACTGACCGAACGCTTAACGGCTGCCGATGACCTCGAAAAGAAGCTCAAGAAGGAAAACAAGACGAAAAAGGTTGAGGCTGAAGGCAAAGGAGCATCTGTAGAGAAATGCGAGGCGAACATCAAGAAACTTGACGAGAGAATTACTGCCATGAGGCTTCAGGCTGAAGACCGAGAGGGCAACAAGGAGGTCGCCTTGGGCACCAGTAAGATTGTAAGTAAATCGATTCTGAATCCGAGTCAACCCACTGACCCTCTCCCAGAACTACATCGATCCACGCCTCACAGTTGTCTTTGCCAAGAAGTTCAACGTTCCCATCGAGAAGTTCTTTTCGAAGACTCTCCGTGAGAAATTCACCTGGGCCATCGAATCAATCGAGGATGAAGATGATTGGGAATTCTAAACCTTGGGTAATGTCACGCAGCTTTCACGACCTTAAGACATACACTCAGCGTCATCACAACATCACACCTTCACCGTTATCAATACTACGCTTAGTATAGGGCCTGAGCCCACGTCAATCATTTCCTTGAATTGCATTGCATTTACATCAGGAGCGCGGAGGCATAATCGCATTATCTAGCACGCCGGGTGGCGGAGAACTTGGAGAAGCGACTGGACGGGATCTCCCAGAACCAAACATTCAGGATGATTTCTTGAATACCGGTTACTGCTGCTCGTCCGCTATTGCTAGTTCTCTGGGGGCAAAGTTCCATGGTGGACTTTCTTCCGCTCGGTTCAGTCCACAGTCTTACACTGCATTTTACATAAGACGTCGTGAAGGGGAAGTTTACATACATGCACATACGTACTTTAGTCAAAAAGCTTTTCAGCAAATCGATGAAAAACACAAAAAACCTTATATCCTTTTGCCTCTTCAGATATTGTGCCTATCTAGATACCTCCAGAGCTATTACTCTGCACGTGACCTCGCGAAGTGCGTTTCCGATGCCCTTCCGAATTTCAACAGCTACATCCATGTACACAACTCACTCAGAACAAGTCATTCAATGGCACAATGAAACCTACCACAGCATCTGCCCGGACTAGGCAGCTTGGGAACTATATCTGTAGTAGCTGCAGCCATCAATTACGACGACAAAGACGAGGCTATGCCTCCGTGACACAATCCATCAAACCATCCATCTACGATGTGGTCTGCGTAGGCGGAGGGCCCGCAGGACTCAGTCTTCTGGCAGCTCTACGTACGTGCCCCTCTCTCCAACTGTAAATCTTGACTAACGTCGACCAAGGCTCTTCCCCTGCAACAGCCAACCTCAAAGTCGCCTTGGTCGAAAGTCAAGATCTCAGCAAAACACGCGACTTCTTGCTCCCCCCGAATCAATTCTCCAATCGATGTAGCTCTCTCACTCCGTCATCGGTACGTTTTCTTGATACGATTGGTGCCTGGAAACATGTGAAGAAGGAAAGAGTGCAAGGGTACACTGAGATGCAGGTTTGGGATGGGATATCCGGGGCGAGGATTGAGTTTGATTGGCACGCAGAGAAAGAGGCTGGAAGGGGAGAGAGGCCGATTGCTTTTATGAATGAGAATCTTAATCTCACTTCCGGGCTGCTGAAGAGGATTGACGAGTTGGGGGGCGTGGAAATCATGGACAGGGAGAGGGTTGAGAATATTGGGTTTGGGGAGGAGAGCGAGGAGGTGGATTTGAGAATGTGGCCTGTGGTAGAATTGAATGGTGGGAGACGACTTGCCGCCAGGTTGCTGGTTGGTGCAGATGGGGCAAACAGTCCTGTGAGGGCGTTTTCTGGGATTGAGAGTCGAGGATGGGATTATGAAAGGCATGGGGTTGTCGCTACGCTGGAGACGGAGGGGAGTGGATGGGGAGGAGATGCGTCCAAGACGGCATACCAACGATTCCTGCCTACGGGCCCTGTGGCAATGCTCCCTTTACCAGGAAACTACTCCACTTTGGTTTGGTCAACTACGCCAGCACTGGCAGCACATCTGAAGACGCTGAGCCCAAAAGACTTCATTGCTATGGTCAATGCAGCTTTCAGGTTATCACCGGTCGACCTTGCATATATGCATACGCAAGCTTCAGGCCAAGCCGACGAGTTCTCTTGGAGAGCACAACACACGGAGTTTGATATGCAACGGATTCCTCAGAAGGCGGTGGGTGTACAAGAAGGCAGCATAGCATCTTTCCCCCTGAAGCTACGTCATGCAGACACATATATCGGCGAACGTGTCGCTCTCGTTGGAGACGCTGCGCATACTATACATCCACTGGCGGGTCAGGGACTGAACCAGGGGCAAGGAGATGTTGAAAGTCTGGTAAAGACTATCGAATTTGCTGTCACTCATGGCCAGGACATTGGAGTCGAAATGTCTTTAGAGCAGTATAATGTGGAGAGATATGCAGCAAATAATATGCTGCTGGGAGTATGTGATAAGCTGCACAAGCTTTATACAGTTGAGAGTGGCCCTTTGGTGGGGTTGAGGAGTATTGGGCTGAGGGCCATCAACTCTCTGGGTCCATTGAAAGCGTTTTTGATGGCGCAAGCTGCTGGGACTGGAGTCAAGATACTATAGCATTACAATATAAGATAATGACGTCTTGTGGAGGATAAGATGTGTGGCAGAATCCTCATTGTCGGTTCATCCTTTGCTCGCTTCGGAGAGTTCTTCATCACTGCTTCTGGGAACTGGAGAGATGAGCATCTTTACGCACACGCTGATCCCAGCGACTCCCATTTTGGAAGCCTCTTACGGGCGCACAAGACCTGGTTCGAGGATTGGAGGTCCATTATTCTTTCAAGTGAAGGACATTCGACATGGTTTCTTTTTCTTTCTCGGAATAAGTACCGGACGGGTGTATGGGTCCCGCCAGCCTCCGAGAGAGATATGTCTCCGCAATTGTGAGCATCTCTCTCCTGCGTCAATGCCCCTGACCAATGTGGCTTTGCAAATTTATTTTGTTGCGAGTCTTATTAATCGACTCCGTGGATTCTAAAATAGGGGCAACGCTCCTCCGATGCGCTGTGAAAAGTTCTTTCCCCCTTTTTGTGCAGATGCGAAACCTTCTCTCGGACAGCAACCCGTTACACCTGCACATCAGTGCGCAAGTGCCTCCATCTTGGCGTTTTGTGATCGTCAGGGACGGATCACACTGATCAGATGAACCTCGGACAATTGCGCACAGAGCCCACGGACACTGAAAAGTCAGACGAAGCAACGAAAGAGGCCCCTACCTCGCCTTCTCGCAGCATCGACAAGGGGCTGTGGGCACTCTTTCATCCATGCGCTCCCGTCATTGTTCTGTTTGACCTCCACTTTTGGCTGATCAATTTGACAAACATCCAGACATGAGGCCTTTTCATGCCATCGAGTGATCCGAGAGGCTTCGTGGAGGCGTCTGATCCTGGGTAGCGATGTGCTGCAAGGGCCTCAGACCTGGACAAGTGTCCCAAAAAGGAATCGAGCTGTGGAGGGGTTGGACAGCTCTGCTTTTTCTATCAGAAAGAAACATTAATAGACGCATTCCCCGACACCACCTTGACACATACAGTTGCTTCAGATCTCATTCATCCTGACTTCAATAGTTGACTCGTTGTGGAGCCAATCACAATGGCCGTCCTGCTCCACCATTGTTCTTCATATTCACTTTTTCCTAGCTGCTCAGATCCATTGTCAAAAAGTTTTACAAACAATATTCCGAGCCGGCGTTCTAGTACACGAATATTTGATTCTCGGCAAGCTGCAGATAAATCATTGTGTGACCGCTGCAGCACAAACGAAGACCTAGCTATTGTCAGTCAGAAGCCGTCTCCAGTCATGGGCGTCCGGTTGATACCGCTCAAACTGAACCCATATGAAGAGAATCGTTCTCAGGGTACTTCATATCCGTCGAAGACCTTAACTCCCATTTCAACCTCGCCTACTATCCCACAAACACGAAAACGTCGCCCTGCACCTGTCACTGACCTCATCATCGTGCCACACACTGAAGAGGAGTGGAAAGCAGTCATGGAGGAGGTCAAGATCCTTTATCTGAAGGGGCAGTACAAGCACTGTTCAATGAGATGCAAACAGATTCTCGACAGCATTACGGTAGAAGTCTGCCCAGAATGTGTTTGACACACGATCTAACAACATCCAGAACCAAATACACCCTTTATACTCCATCTACCTCTGTTTCTTCACTGCGAGCTCCCTGGAAATGACCGCCCGCTCTCTTCACAATCACTCCAGCAACAAGCTGCCCTTCTTCCAAGAAGCCCTTTCTTTCTACAAGAAGGCAGAGTCATATGTAGAATACGCCGCCTTCTCCGCAGATCTAAATCTCATGCATACTACCCGGCGATCCGCCTCTTCAGTATCGTCCAGCATTCGATCCTCAGTGGACTCAGTGTTCTCTCAACACTCGACCACTTCTACGTCCTCCCGTCCACACTCACCCACAGATGCCGAGACCTCGCCTCCGCTTCCGTTGAAAGGACCTACCTATGTCTCATCTACTTCTCCTTCCATCCTCCGCATGAAGAAGAAAGTTTCCTTCTCCGCAAAACGCTTAACCGTGCCATCTGAATCAGAGTTCTCGTTAGAAGAAACGATAATCGATGCCTTCCCCCGGCCACCATCAGCAGAAGGAGAAAATGTGCCTGTCCCACCAGAAAATGACCAACCAGATCTCTGCACGCTCTCCTCGTACCTCCTCGCCCAATCCATAACCCGCTACCGCACGCAACTTACAGCCCTCTCAAAACAACTCGCTTACCACGTCACGTCCATCCACTCACAAATCGTTATCCTCTCCAATATTAGAAAGACTCGACGTTCCAATCTCCCAGGTGCTTTCTTTGAGGGGAGCAGAGAGGCGAGTGGCGCGATGGAGGGTCTTAGTAGAGAGGAGGTGATGAAGATTGAGTTGAGGGAGCGCATTAATAGGTTGAAGGAGAGAGGGTGGAAGAGAGAGCGGTTTGATGGGGAGAGGTATCGGGTTTTGTGTGAGGAGGCGTTGGGTGAGGTTCAGGAGGGTCTTTGAACTCTCCTTTGACGAATTGCTGGTGTGAATTTCCCTTCGTGTGGAAAGTTCAACGATACAGTAGAGAGGATGGATTAGATTGTGTTCGTTTGTGGCTTCTTGTAAGGGTAATATTGTACCAGATTCGAATTAGGGAGGCTTTCTCTACTTAGATGTGTATAGGTAGTTTAGCGCACAATAATACCAGTCTATTTCCCCACTTCTTGAGGATGTTACTTGAGCCGTTGCCATAGACATCTCGCAACAAATGAATTATAGGGTGGTAATTCTAATATATAAAATGGGACCTCATAAGTGGAACCACCGCCTGGCCCCCTTTATAGGAGAAGCTCGCTCGCGCATCTGATTTACATCTCATTTGAAGATATCTAATTGGTAGACCTGTTTCTAGTTCTGGAGAAGAGTTGGTACGAGGATTTCGGTCTAAGGCCACAAGATTAGGACTGATTAAAGGAGAGCGTTGATCTGCCTGCTGGATTGTGAGCCTTGACGGTGATAGTTGAAAGCGTTATGCGTGATTCCTGAGCCTAAGACGCGTGGGGATAGCAGTGAGAGACCTGGGCAGGATGATAGGATGCTTGGGGAGGGTAGGAAATAAGAGATATTTGCACAAGCGAGGCAAAATCTGTTTGAGGTTCTCTTGAAATGGGTATACTCAATGAGTGGAAAGGTTTGTGAGAATTTTGACTTTTTCCATTCATCCTGACCAGGCCCCCAAACCAAACCAGTCTCGCTATGTAAAAGAGGTTCTGTGATGAGTATGTAATCAACGCAGTGAAAAAAGCAGGCGCGCAACCATTCCCTATTTCGGGTATCGACTTTCCTTCCACTGGCAAATCAACGCACAACGACAATGAATGAAACCACCCTATGACCTTTCACCCGTCCAGCTCTTCCGCTTGGCGGCGTTGGCTTCGGCATCCTTTTCCACCTGCAACTGCTTCTCGACTTCCTTCATCTCTCGGACTTTCGCTAGCACGACTTCTCTGAAAATCGCTCCTTTGGCAATGTTACTAAGTGTCCGTTTACCACCTGGTGCACTGCCTGCCGAACTGCTGCTACCCAGTCCGGGTCTGACTTCTTGCCCAGCTTGGCCAGAGAGAGCCGCACCCGCGGCAGCTTTGGCATCGGCGGGGACATCAGATTCGCCTGGCACCTCGTCGTTCTCGTCTTCTTGCATCTTGAGTGCTTCGATGCGGTTGGCAAGCTTGACAATCTCGATGCCACGGCGAAGACGAGCCTTTGCCATGTACGCGCGGATCTCTGGCAGGAGATTGTGGTCCGTGGCAGTGCGTCCACTGAGCCATCGATGCTGGAGAGCTTCCTGTGGAGGTGTGAGCGTGGTTAACAAAATAGAGAATTTAGACGTACCTTGCTGGTGGACCGATCATCAGGACCTGGTTGCAGGAGATGGCCAATGAAATCCTTTGCGTCGTCACTGACATCCTTCCAATACCGCTCGTGGAAGATGACTCGGGCATTGTTGCATTCTTCGATAAGGTCTTGGAGGTTCTCGCTACGGAATGGAGAGTATCCACAGAGAAGAGTATAGGTGATCACACCCAGGGACCACATATCTACTGGTTTGCCATGGCCCTTCTTGAGCATGACCTCGGGTGCTGCATAGCCAAAAGAACCAGCCATAGTTGTGAGGACTTCGTCTTTTGAGTCGAGCATTTTGGCAATTCCAAAATCTGCGAGAACGAGATCAGAATTAGGAGCAGCGGTCAAGTAAAGTAGGTTTTCGGGTTTGAGATCTTTGATTGTTAGTTAGAAAGACTTCATAATTTTCGGCTCGAATGCCTTACCTCTGTGGACAACATTGTTATTGTGCAGGTAGTCCACAGCTTCGAGGACTTGCCGAATGGTCTGCGAGGCATCCTTTTCTGTGAATCTCCCCTGCTCGCAGATGCGGTCGAACAACTCTCCTCCAGTTGCCAACTGTGTGACGATATAATATTTGTCCTGTATTAATATGTCAGCCAGCGCCTGCCCGAATAAAGAAACCAAATCTCACCCTCGACTCAAACCAGTCCACGAACTTGACAATGTGTGGGTGTTTCATCCGCTGCAACATCTCGAGTTCGTCGTAGACCATCTGCTCGTTCCCTTTGACATTCTTCTTGAGGATGATCTTCACGGCAACCTTTCCTGTTGGTCCTTCTGCCTCTCTCACAATGCCATATGTGCCTGCGCCGAGCGTTCGACCAAACCGATATCTTGACCTGCTTATCTGTTAGCATGCTCTTCAAGATATTTCCGGGGGGCATACTTCTTATCATAGCTCTCTGGTTGGCCGTGAAGCTTGTTGAGCATGTTGGAGACTTGAAGAGGAGCGAACGACATGTTAGGATGTCCGTAGAACGTTAAGAGGGTGTGGATATGAGGAGATATGAGAACGTCCAGCGCTCTTCAGGTGTAATTCTGATCTGCTAATACAGATCTGCACCGACAGAGCGCTGTGAGCCGACTGACGAGGCGGGGTTGAACTTACAACTCATCGTGGCTTCCTCTTATGGTTCTTAACCTCAATTGCCGTGTCCCTTTGTGGCTCTCAATCTGCAACCTGGTACAGATGATTTACTGTAACTCACGCGCACAGAAGCTGCGCTGAGTCGAGTTGGAAAGCTCCTGAAGTGAGACCTAGTGGGGTTGAAGGTGCGAGGCTGTCGTGCGCGATGTATGTAGGAAGATATACGAGCCCTTGTGGAAGTGCAAGCTCGAGAATAGAAGAAATGACTCGCAGACTCGATGCCACAACAATAAATAGTTTCCCAAGGAATTACTCAGTGGTTTGGTCTGCCTTGCCAGCAGTCAGCCGCAGCTATGGAGGGGTGGCTCAGCTAAAGGGGCTTGCAGATCCCTTCACGTGACAATGATTGGCTGCCTTTCAAGCCGCTGAGGACTCGATTAAAGTCTGCAAGTAGCTCTTGTTGAGTTTGATACAAAGGAGTTTAAGTGCCTTTCCTATTTTGCTTCTGCCCAGCCCTGTGCGGCCATTTGATTTTGATGCCCGGCCCCTGTGACGCGAAGGGTGCCCGCTGGAGCCTATCGACGTGGACGTGGTCAAGAGCCTATCGATAAACGATTCCCATCCGCTTCAACCTCCGAACTTCGAATATTCCCGTAGGCTTTCACATTCAGAACTGGGCTCCAAAGCTGCATCAGGCCGGGCCACTCTTTGGGAAACCGAAGTCTTGACAATTTAAGCTCCTTGCAACATCGTTCCAGCTACGCAACAAGACCGGAAACAAGAGACCGCAAGGCCGTCATGGCGGCGAACTTCGCGTCGAAACGTCTGTCCAAGGAACTGAATAAGGTATGGGCATACATCCCCAAGTCAAAGCTATGGTGCTGACTCTCCTTTGTGCTCTCAGATCAATGGCCAACTACCACCCGGAATCTCGCTCGTCAAGGCAGAAGACTTCCAAGAATGGCTGCTTGACATCAAGGTCCTCGACAGCAACCCTATTTACCTGAACCAGACATACAGACTCAAGTTTAAGTTCAGCCCTTCATATCCTATTGGTGTGTACTTGCCTTCTCCTAGCTACTCACTCTTCTTGCTCTGCTCTCCTCTTCTGCCCCTCCAACCCCACCACTAGCTAACATCCCACCCAGAACCCCCAGAAGTAACTTTCCTTCTCTGCCCTGACCGCCCAATACCCATGCACCCACACATCTACTCAAACGGCATCATCTGTCTTGATCTCCTCGGCCAACAAGGCTGGTCACCCGTGCAAAATGTGGAGAGCATATGCATGAGCTTGCAGAGCATGTTGACTGGGAACACGAAGAACGAGCGGCCGGAGGGAGACCAGCAGTTTGTGGCGAACAACAGGAGGCGGCCGAGGGATATTGATTTCTATTATCATGACAATACGGTTTGAGGAAGCTGCTTGATCACCTGGGTAGAGAGAGGATGGTATGGAATATTATAGCATGGTTCTTTTAGATGACTAGAGAGATTGGCAGTGGGGCATAGGATGGATCGCAATTCAATCAGAACAGGATTAAGGGCGTTCGAGGTGTTGGTATATGAGAGGACTTGAGAGTCCATACGGACGGATGAGTGCGAGCTGGGAACTTGGTTGGGATGGCATTACAGCGCGGCGTCTGGATGATTACAGCGAAGGTGTGCATAGAGAATGCGTTTTCGGATTCCAGATATGTTCAGTGGACTCTCCCACACATTCTGATTCCTAGTGATGTTTTCAAATGATCACAACCCATTCCAGTGATGGTGAAGAAAGGGGGAGTATTTATATTTGAGAATTAAATCAAGCATGTCTCGAAGTCGTGCAATAAAGGCAAATTGGATCCGGAAGTAATACGCTGCAGAATCGTGCTATGCTCAGCTATTTGTACATTTTGAAGTCATTTATTTCATGAACAAGCCTACGATGCAGGCACAGCACCAATAGCTTCCTGCGACAATAGTGACTCGTGTGCTGGCTTTTCTGTCTCAGGCACATCCTCTGTCTTCTCAGGCTCCCCTTTGATCCCATCGACTACTCTCAAGCCCTCTGCCTCCTGCGCTAGCTGATCCAGAGTTGTCTTCCGCTTCAACCTCTGTCTGATCTCTGGTACAAGGTCCGCGAGGTTGACTAAGACACCATCTTTCTCAGGGTGGCCTTCTCGAAGACCCATCTCCTTGATCTTGACTTTGCCTTGGGCAACCTCGTCTTCGCCTATGACGACTGCCATTGGTACGCCATTTACTTCTGCTGCCTTGAACTGATTGGGTAGCTTTGGCTTGACTTTGTATAAGAACTCAGCCTGGAAATTTCAGTTAGCTAAGTTTCATTGATCGTGACTAACAAAGACTTGCCTTGATTCCGGCTTCCCATAAGGTAGCACATATGGCTATGCGTTCTTTCACGAGACCTGTGAACCCCTTTCCGCCGAAAGCCATCACATAGACGTCGACTTCATTGTTCCTGACCAATTCCGAGTTTTTGTCTGCCGCCATTCTCGCCTTGGTGATGGAGAAAATTCGGTCAACACCGAACGAAATTCCTACGCAAGGTATTTGGTTCTTGCCTGAGAACATTCCGACTAGGTTATCATATCGTCCACCAGCTGCCACACTACCAACTCCAACGCTAGGATCTGATGATCGGTCCTCATCGACGTCTGCTCCAACTTTGCCACCAGAAGGCTTTTTCGAACCTTTGGGAGGCGCTGCTGTGGCTGCTGATGTCGTTGCAAGGGGTGCTGAACCTTCTGTGACAACCTCGTAAATTAAACCGGTATAGTAATCCAGTCCACGTGCCAAGCTCAAATCGAATGAAACATTGTCCAGACAATTGAAGGCTTCCAAGTAATCAAATAATAGTCCCATCTCTGCCATGCCAGCCTTCATAGACTCGTTCGCGGTAAGTAGGGGGTCGGCCAGTAGCTTGCTGAGAAGGTCTTTCTGTCCCTTTTGGACCACATATTCGCCAATCTTGTCTGCAACACTGCCATCAAGACCCTTCTCCTCAGTCATTTCCTTGCGCACCTCCTCCCAAGGCAGCTTGTCCAGCTTGTCCACCGCAGATGAAATAGTCCGGATCTTCTCTGCTGGTACACCGCAAACTTCGAAGATCCCGTCTAATATCTTTCGGTGGTTGAGCTTGATCGTATATCGCCCATTCCATCCCAGTCCTTCGAAAACTTCAGTCGTAATCCGTACGATCTCGGCGTCTGGCAGCATGGGATCGTAAACACCAGCTATGTCGAAATCGCACTGGTAGAACTCCCTCATTCTGCCTTTGGTCATTGCCGGTTGATCTCGTCTGTAGACTTTTGCGATGTGGTACCGCTTGATATTTTGGACGTCTCGATTCATAGCCAGCCATCTGGCAAACGGGACAGTCAAGTCGTATCGCAGGGAACATATTTCCCCTCCTTGGTCCGCGAGGTCATAGATGAGTTTGCTGTCTTCGCCATATTTTCCTGAAAGAATCTCCTTCAATTCGAAGACTGGTGTATCTATTGTGACTGCTCCATGGCGCTTGAAGACTTCGGTGATGGTAGAGAAGATCTTGTCTCGAATTACCATGTCCTTGCCCTCCCCTGGTCTATGTTAGACTTGGGCTAGCATATTGAGAAGCAAACGTACAATCCTTAGTCCCCTTGGGAGTCTTCAGCTCAAATTTCTGGCCTTTGGGGGCCATGGCGAGGTCGTCTTCTTTCCGCCTCGCTGTGATAGAGAAATTTCGAGGACTTGTGAATAAAATCCGTGCTTTTGCAAACGTGATTGATCTTGAAATGGCCAGTGACGGTCTTAATGATCTCGCAGATCTTAGGAGGTGAGATTTAACAGTCTTCATTCACTTCTCATCCAACTCGGTCGCATTCGAGGGGTGGGGTCTAATATTCAGAATTTCTGAGTCATGGGTGGGTTGTCGTTTTGATTTGACGACGAGGCTGAAATATTTTGGCTGCAACCCCATTAGCGCCGTGAGGCTTGACAAGGTCATCTACACACGACATTTCTGTTAACAAGGCTCAAATATTGTATAGATTTGGTAGCACTTTTAAAGTGAGATTACGTTGCTGCTCAATTCTGGGCATTTAGTCTTCAAGCCTCTGGAATTCCGTGACACCTCTGTTTCTGGAATCCGGCTCAAACAGTGACCTTTGTAGGAAACCCAATTTATAAATTTGTCGGGAAATTGAATTCATGATATTCCTGCTTCTGAGGCATTGTAAGTAGCTTTATCAATAACAGGAGCCGTTCAATGTTGCAGGGTGGTGTTGAACAATTTACACTGCCAAATAGGGTTAGGCGGACACTGGCCTTGGCTGCGCTCGATTCCGCCCCACAGCCTTCTTCTCATTCTCATCGGTCTCGCATCTCAATCAACGTGCGCCCACATGTAGAGCTCACCATGGCTCCTCATGTTGGGTTCAATACGGACCAGATTAAAGACAAAGCACGGAAGGATCTTCTGTACTTACTCGAGGGTGTAAGTAAGGGCTCCCATTCTCTATGATTGCGCCAGGCAGCGACTGACCTGTCCGACCTACAGGTCCGAGGAAAGAAGAACTTGGTACTTGAGAGGGGTCTGGCTGGCCCGATAAACCTATTCGTCAAGTTTTCGACCCTTCAGGAATACGGCGTAGACAAGTTGTTCTTCCTGGAGAATGGCAATGCGGACGTCAGCCAGCGAAATGTTGTGTTCGTAGCTCGAGGAGAGAGTGCAAGGCACGCCCAATCCATTGCTGGTATGTCATTTTTGAGAACAGTTTCCCTGTCCGTTTCTCTGATGATCCAACGTTCAATGGGCTCTTAAAGTAGACTCTGTAGAATACTTCTTCTACTCTACTTAGTCAGTCTTGAGCCCAAAATGAATAAATCATGTAACACAGCACGGTTAATAGTGTCAATTCCATCTGTTCCATATGCAAGTGATGCTGCCATTACGTGCTGACACCATCTAGACCATATAAAACGTATGCAGCGAGAGAGCCAGACGGGGCATGAATTCTCGATATTCTGGGTTCCAAGAAAGACTCTTGTGTCGGAAAAGATTCTCGAGGAGGCGGGTGTATTAGGAGATACCACTACCTCAGAGTTTCCTCTCTACTTCCTTCCTCTGGAAAAAGATTTGTTGTCTTTAGAATTGGAAGATTCGTTTTCCGACTTATACCTCCATCGAGATCCCACGCCAACATTCGTGCTGGCACGTGCTCTGATGCTGATCCAGCAGAAGCACGGCCTTTTCCCTCGAATCACTGGAAAAGGAGACAATGCGAAAAGGCTGGCAGATTTACTAGCAAGAATGCGACAAGAATTGATTGCTGGCGAAGATTCGAACGAGACGAGTAAACTCGGCCTAACACCGAGTACTACGATCGAAAGCTTGATCGTTATCGATCGCGAGGTCGACTATGCCACTCCTCTGCTCACACAATTAACTTACGAGGGCTTGGTCGACGAAGTGGTGCGAATTCAAAATAATCAAGCCGATGTGGACTCTTCGATCGTAGGCACCGTTCCACAGCCTGCGCCAGGTTCCTCAAAGACTGTGGGTACAGCGCCGGTCGAAGCCAAGAAGCAAAGAATTACCCTGGATTCTTCCGATAAACTCTACGATCAACTCAGAGACACCAATTTTGCTATTATTAAGAGCTTGCTGAACAAAGTAGCTAGGCGACTTCAGAATGATATTGACGCAAGACACTCGACAAAAACGACGGCAGAGTTGAGAGAGTTTGTGAACAAGCTTCCGGGGTACCAGGCTGAACAGCGAAGCTTGAAGATACATATTGCGCTGGCAGAGGAGATTTTTAAGCATACACGAACCGATCAATTCAGCAGATTGCTTGAGGTGCAGCAGAATCTAGCCGCAGGGGCCGATCCTTCATCACAACACGAAGCAATCGAAGAGCTCATTTCTCGGGATGCCCCTCTCTCAGAAGTACTGCGAGTTTTGTGCTTAGAGTCCTGCATATCTGGGGGCATAAAGCATAGCCATCTCGAGCACTTCAAGAAGATGATCTTGCAAGCTTATGGCTACCAACATCTGCTTACATTAGACGCTCTCGAAAAGTTGCAGTTACTCCTCTCGAGAAGCTCACCAATGGCGGCGATGATTCCGATGACTGGGGCAGGGGCCGTCGCAGGGGCCAAGACGAATTATACATATTTACGGAAAGCGCTTCGTCTAATTGTTGATGAAGTTAATGAACACGATCCGAACGATATCGCATACGTGTACAGCGGCTATGCGCCGTTGTCAGTGCGCCTGGTTCAGAGCATTCTGCAGAAGCAATATCTAACTTCTATCACTCGTGGAGGTAATGCGAATAACGCGGCTGGGGTGGCAACTGGTGGAGCCTCACAAGGATGGCGGGGATTCGACGAGGCAGTGAAGCATGCACGAGGCGCAACATTTGATGAAGTTCAGAAGGGAGAAGACAAGGCTGTGAAGGCGCGAGCTCTCCTTACTGGCAGTGGCGAGAAGAAGGTCGTTTTTATTGTATTCTTGGGTGGCATAACTTTTACGGAAATTGCGGCCTTGAGATTCATCGCCAAACAAGAAGAAGGCATGCTCAGTTCCCCCCTTTCAACTTCGCATGCTAATAACTCTACTCCAGCACGAAAGCGAATCATCATCTGCACGACATCAATTATCAGCGGGAATAGAATGATGGATGCGGCGATTGAGAAGGGTTCCTTAGGGAAGAATACTGCACAAGCATCGTAGGAGCTGGGAAGCACTCCGTGGCACACTTCACTTCGAGAAACCTCGAAAATAATAATGTAATAAAAGGCACCAAATGACTGTGAAATCACTTCATGAAAGAATTATGAACCCCCTATCGACTTAATAATGCAAGTTGAATGCTACGTCGAAAGAGGCATCGTCAAAAATTGGAACCGGCACGTGAGCTGCCGGTACGCTTTGGCGGCGCATCTTCTCGCTGGATCTCAAGAAGGGCTTGATATCTCACAATCGTACGACTCGACCAGCCCCCCAAATTCTTTCGAGCTTTCGAATATCTTAATCGCCTTTGCGAGCGACGACAACCGGGCTGGAAAGCTCACATAAGACTCGGCATTGGACATACGGTTGATACTGGTCAATACTGAATGCGCCAGGTGAGACGATTACACGTGGTGGTACATTATATCCATATCAAGTCAGTCGAAGGGTCGCTAATAAGCTCGGCCAGGTTATCGAGGAGCGATTAACAAAACATCTCGATGATACTCGAGGGGGCGGGCTTATGGATGAGTGATATCAAGTCGAATGGGAAATCCGAGTAGCATCGCTGACCCCACCGCTGCCCGACGGCCGATATATCTCGAAGCAATCAGCCAAAGTCACAAGACCCAAGGTTACAAAGATGGCAGCAACAATGGACACTCAGATGCCGCTCCGTGATGATCTCAATTTGATGGGATTACAAGAACTGGACTCGCATCTTTCAATATTTGAGTCCTCGAATGGGGGCCGAGACTCGTCTACCCCGAGTGCCATGTCAAACTCCCCCTTTGGTGATTCTATCAACATAGTTGAACAACAACATCATACCATTGTTGTTGAATCACCTGGTGAAAACGTCCCTTATAAAAGCCCCTTTGGACCAGGACCCCGTGCCAGGTTTACGGATCAAAAGTTCAACAATAGCATCCCGTATGTAGTCGCTCCTTCCTTGTCGCAAATTAAGTTTCAGCCCTCGGTCAAGAAAGTACTTAAATAATCTCAAGTTCGAGTTATTAACCTCCTTACTGCAGAGCTGAGCGTCATCGTAAGCCCGCTTCCGATGGCAGCTTGTATCTCAGGCCTGAAAGCGCTCGCGACTCCATGGCCTCATCCATGACGACAGACATCGACGATGGCTCATCCGCCCTTTCATCGATATCGAGTAAAGGGACGTCTCCTACAGGGTTTGATCCCAGCTCGAGAGAAACAGCGAAAGTGGCGTCTCATACAGGAAAGCGACGCGAGAAATACGACATTCGTCCAAAGGTCTCGATACCAACGGATATCGCGCCTTCGGAATATGCGAGACAATGCATTGCAGCTGCAGAATCGTCACGCCTGAACCCGTACAGCTTACATCCCGAGGAGCATGCGATGTTGCGTAAACATATCACTCACCAACAGGTCACGACTTATCTCAATATCAGAAACGGCATCCTGAGGTTATGGACACGAAATCCCATGATCGGCGTTGAGCGAGACGAGGCCATTGGATGCGCAAAGGACCCTCGTTGGTTTGACATTGCAAGCGTCTGCCATGAATGGCTTGTGCGACGAGGCTATATTAATTATGGTTGCTTGGAGCATCTAGCAACCGGAGAGGAGGTCAAGAAACAACGGAGTGGCAAGCGAAAACGAAAGACTGTTGCTATCATTGGAGCTGGTATGTCCGGCTTGGGTTGCGCAAGACAACTCGAAGCTCTTTTTTCTCAGTTCGAAGATCGCTTTCGTGAGAAGGGTGAAGATCCTCCACAAGTAGTTGTCTTGGAGGGCAGAGACCGAATCGGCGGAAGAGTGTATTCTCGTGCATTCAATTCGAAACCAAAATATCCCACACTTGCATACGGAAACCGACATACGGCAGAAATGGGTGGCATGATCATCACAGGCTTTGATCGCGGTAATCCTTTGAATATTATTGTCAGAGGTCAACTCGCTTTGCCATATCATGCTTTGAAACCGGACACTACGATTTATGATGCGAACGGAAGACCGGTAGACATGAACCGAGATCAGTTTGCTGAGAAGCTTTTCAACTACATACTCGACCGAGTCAGCGAGTATAAGTTCAAGATTCCCACTTCTGCTGCCGTTGATGGAGACAAAGACCTTCTCGACGCGGGCAGAGACGTCAGCTCTGAAGGCTCAAAGACCATCAGTGAAGTCGAGGACGCGCCAACCAGTGCACCACCAGCCGGGACAAACGACAAGGCGTCGCGCACTCCCGAAGTGCAGATGGTTCCCGTGTCATCCGACAGGCTTACCGGTCGGGCTCATCTCGAGCTAGGTATACCTGCTGTTCATACGGCTGCGTACAAAGCAAAGGAGATCGGCTGGCTTCTACGACCAGGTGTGGGTATTGAACAAGATTTGGATCTCGAGACTGCTGTCAACTCGAGATATGCAACTCTTGGATCAGTATTTGACGAAGCCATTCGCCAATATACGAGAATTGTCGACTTTACGCCTCTGGACCTACGTTTGATCAATTGGCATGTCGCTAATCTGGAGTACAGCAATGCAATCACTTGCAACAAGCTAAGTTTGGGAGGTTGGGATCTGGATGCTGGCAACGAGTGGGAGGGCAAGCACACTATGGTTACTGGTGGCTATCAACAAGTTCCCAGGGGTCTTCTCAACTGCCCTCAGCCCCTGACTGTACAGAAAAAGAGCAACGTCAAGAAGATTACCTACGCTCCTGAAAATACGGGATCACCATCAAAGATTGAATGCGAGGATGGCACTGCCGTCGACGCGGATTATATCGTCTCCACAATTCCTCTGGGGGTTTTGAAGCAACACAGCATTCTATTCGAACCTGCATTACCTGACTGGAAGATGGGGCCCATTCAAAGAATCGGCTTCGGAATCTTAAATAAGGTTGTACTGGTCTATGAAGAAGCTTTCTGGGACCAGAGTCGAGACATTTTTGGCGCTCTTCGAAATCCTGCCAATCGCTTCAGCTTAAGTCAGACGGATTATTTCACACAAAGAGGTCGCTTCTTCCAATGGTTCAATTGCACCAACACGACAGGTCTGCCAACACTTCTGGCCCTCATGGCCGGTGACGCAGCTTTTTCTACAGAAAGTACACCAAACGATGTTCTCATTTCTGAAGCTACGAAGGTCTTGCGGACATTGTTTGGGCCCAAGGTGCCCAATCCCATCGAAGCAGTTGTGACTAGATGGGGTCAGGACCAGTTCGCTCGTGGTAGCTATTCATATACAGGACCTAACTTCCAACCTGATGATTACGAAGTCATGGCGAAACCTATCGGAAATCTCTTCTTTGCTGGTGAGCATACTTGCGGCACCCACCCCGCCACTGTGCACGGTGCATATATCTCTGGTCTGAGAGCCGCATCAGAGGTACTCGAAGCCATGATCGGATCCATCCAGATCCCCGAACCGCTTGTTCTCCCAAAGGACTCAGGCCTGAAGAGAAAGTCCGAGGCTGTCCAAAGCCCTAAGGACCCAAAACAAGCACGCCTCGAAACCTACGAAATTGAAATTTGGAATGCCATTTACGCAAAGCTTGGCGATCGACCTTGGCGCCCAGCAAACAATTACGCCAACCCTTACAGGATGTACAGCAAAGACAATTGGGAGGAAGCCAAAAGGAAGTGTGAAGAAGGCAGACGACCAGGCAAGGGAAAGCCAATTCCCAACGAAGTCAAGAAAATGGTTACAAAGATGTGGAAAGAAGCTTCCGAGGTCGAGAAGAGACCTTACAATGAGAAGGCCGACGTGCAGAAGAAAGCTTACGCAACTGCGATGGCAGAATACAACGTGAAAGCTGGACAATGGGATAAAGACGCTTTGGCTTTCAGAGCCGTGTACGAGAAAGAGCATCCAAGCGTGCCTGGTCCAGAGGAATTGCTTGACAGTCCTTCGAGGAGGGACAGGAGAGCGAAGAGAGGTGTAAGTGGATACGCTGAGGATTCAGGCTCTGAGCTGGATATTTAACTTCTTTTTTGGTTATCGAATGGTTGCGCTTGCATTTGTATTGTATGATCGGTCACTCAAGGTGCATGGCGTTGCTTCGGGAGCATTCTTAGGTTGGGGCAACTGCATTTGCATACTGGTTGAATGGCCAGTGAAGAGGGTCCTGGGGGTGATGAGCATATACTCGTGTAATGAAAATAATGCATTACCGTAACCTTTCTCTGTTCTCCTCAGACGTGATGGACGAACGTGGTATGCACACATTCACATCTCAAGTGGGCCGGTTCGTAGTTGAAGTGGAAAGCAAACTTAAGGGGTTACAAGGCAGCAACGGATCCAGAGACTGACAGCAGAGAGGACATCAAATGGCGGAAAGGATCCTGACCTTATTCTCAAGTCAGGAGGCTTCCTTTTGAATTTTGAGGGAGTGTATACAGTAAGATGAAATTTCAACAGTAATCAGAAAAGATCACACTCCCAGTGGGCTTCAAGCCAGTACCTCGAGAGGTACAGGATTGTAAAACCATAAACAAAGTGTATATACGCAACACGAGGTAGGACTTGATAGGTCACTAGTACTTCTCTAAACGACCATACCCACGAAGTAACCATTCCCCGTCCGGTATTTTCGATCGCCACGAGCCATCTCACAGTCATCCTCGAAGCGAGCCGCACACCTCGCGATCACCTGCCAATCACCACCATCTCTGACATAAGATATCACAAACACATCTCATAATTACACCGCAATGGAAGGCGGAGGATAGACAAGAGGTATTGGAGTAAGTACGCTCAGATCCCTTCCTCGATATATAAATATGGCTTGCCGTGGGAAAAACAGTATGACAAAACTCCAGCAACCGTCTTAAAAGTTCCAGCACTCGAAAATGGGTTCCAATGCTCAAGATATCAAAGTTTTTAGCCGTAAACAGCAGCTGCTTCCCGAAGCTGCTTTTCAGGAGCTGAAGGGTGCGGTACAGGGTGAAGTCATCATCAAGGGTAAGACTCCAGACGACGTGTATCGAGCTGCACTCGATAGATGAAACAAAGCTTGGATCCGAGAAGCCGTAGGTTATCTTCCGAAATTCCTCCTTTAAATTTTGTGATTAACCATCTTCCAGGCCATCATCATCTTCTGTGAGACCGACCAAGATGTCGCTCCCTCTCTGAAATATGTTCAGAAATGGGACTTGGACGTGGCAATTGCAGCAGGTAGACATAGTCATTATGGAGCTTCATCTACTAGTGGTGGACTTGTGATTGGTGAGCTCTGTTCGCTTGGTGTTGTAGAGTGGCTGATATTGATGGTTCTAGATCTGAGGAAGATGAGGAAGGTCGAGATTGACATTGAGAAGAAGAGCGTTACCGGTCAGGGTGGGTGTGTCGCTGCTGATCTGGAGAAACCGCTTGAAGGTAATCTTTCCGCGCCTTTTTGGTGACCTGTGTCAGCTAAATTGCCTGTAGAAAAGGGATATGTGGCTGTTTTTGGGGCAAACAACGAGACGGGTGAGCTTATTCATTTAACTCTGAGTTGAGTTCTAATCCCCTTTTTCCACAGAAATCGGAGGCATTACGTTAGGAGGAGGAACCCGTTATTTGACCGGTCAACACGGAATGGTGATCGATAACTTGCTTTCTGCAAAGGTGGTTCTTGCGGATGGAAGTGTTGTAGAAGCATCGGAGAAATCCAACCCTGATCTTTTCTGGGGTATTAGAGGAGGTGGATCGAACTTTGGTGTGGTGACGGAGTTCACTTACAAAATCCATGAGCACAAGGGAGATGTTTTCTTGTAAGTGTCTTTCCCCGATGCAACTCTCAAGGCTGATTCGAGGTAGTGGAATCATCGCTTTCTCTCCGGACAAGAGCAAGAAATTGCTCGGGATCATCGAGGATTTGCGGAAAGACATCGAGTCCGCAGATGGAAAACTTGTCTGGATGATAGCACTCGCGAGATTTCCAGGTCAGCCCAAGGTTCATCCGCTGGTGTTAATGTTCTATGACGGGCCGGAAGAAGAAGCAAAGAAGTTTTTAGCCCCAGTTGTTGCACTTGAACCTTTCGTGAATCAGACCTCAATGAAGCCATACACAAAAATTACGGATCCAATGCCTGCGATGGCTCCAAATCACAATCGGGTCTCCTCGAGCAATGCTACTCTAACATCACCTTTCGACGCAGCAGTTGTCGAAACGCTCATCGATGATTTGGACGCCTTTCTGAACAAATATGGGGAAGCTGTTACTCCTTCGAAAGTCGTAATTGAGCTGCGGTCATACAGGGCATCTGCAGCCGTCGATCCAGCTGCTACAGCGTACAGATCCCGCGCCGAAACCATCTTGGTGGTCATGGAAGCAAATCACGATGATTCGGTCTCGAATTTAGTGATCAGGGAGGAGGTCAAGGCCATAACTGATAAGGTGAAAGCTTCGAAGAAGCAGAAAGATCCGAAAAGTGAGGATACCTTCAATTTCAACGTCTCAGGAGGCATAGAGAAAGTGAAGGACGCGTATGGAGAGAACTATCCCCGACTGAGGGAATTGAAGCGGAAGTATGATCCGAATTTTGTGTTCAACAAGTGGTATCCAATTCCTCCTGCTGAGGAGTAGCTAATCACACCAGCTATTGGGTCGGAGGTACGCTGGGAAGACATGTAGCAAGTGATGAGACATTGATATAGTATCTATCTGCAGTATTATTACCGATCCTTGAAGCATAAATCAGCCGCCTCGTGTTGAAATATATATCACCCCAAGTTTCTACAGGCAATGAGTATGAGAAGTCAGCGCGCGTGTCTCACATATGTCTTGAGCACACTGAAATTGGGTGGATGGAACATACCACATAGACCCAAATCAACATACCCGAGCCAATCACGCACATCAGGCGTTCATCGTTATGTATAATAGTATCGCTACCCCAGGGATGGTCAAAGACAGCGCCTTAAACAACGGACTTCTGCTATTAGGTTCGATATCAATACCCAACTCCAACTTCATCAACAGATTTAGGGCTGTGGCCGAGTGTTGATGCCACCGAGGTGAAAATGTTCGTTTGAAGTGTGTGAAGATAATAACAAGAAATATACAAGAACCAACAGAAGAATAAGTCACGAAGACCGTGGCTAAAGACATAGCCATCAGCTTGACCCACGCTTTTCCAAAACCATAATTGCTGCAGTCCATCAAGGCCTGGTCGTTTCTTTTAACCAAAGGCAAGGGCTGATGGAGGTTCCTTCTTTGATTCGCCTTGAACGCGGAATCAAATGTATCCGGTGTTTGGTGCTGTTGACACCAAGTATAATTCGACACTTTCTATCATACCAAGGATATTAGTGTCTGTCTAATAGCTTCTCGAGCTAATTTGGAACAACCCACATCCAAATTTTGGCACCAAGTTTGATATCTCGTGTAATCCAGGGCAGTTCCGGCAAGGCGATTGCCCTCCGAGGTGAGAATGTTCGCTGCCCGTGCTTGATAGTACCCCAAGAATAGAGTTACAAGAGCGATGATGAGTCCACCGATAGAAAGGAGAGGATGTGACCTGATCCAAGAGGCGCAGACATGAAGTTGTGTGCAGAGAGTCTTCCCCTTCGAATCTGTGAGACTCACTTGCTTCACTTGGCGGACAGCCTGACTTCCATTTGGTGACTGAGGAGAGGTCACTGCACTTCCTGATGTTGCTGAACTACTCGTATCCGGCAGCCTTCGAGGACTGTTCACCCTTGATGGTATGGAATCAAGAGGGATGGCTCTAGTGGCGCTCATTGTCGTAGCTGCCGAAGTGAAGTGTGAAAATGACAAGGCTGTGGAATTCTTTGAATTGCCGCCTCGCTTGTGGATCTCGAACACTCAACCCCTCCAAGCTTGCTCCGTACCTAATTCCAACCTCAAATTCCACCAACACTGCTTCCAAAATGTCAGAAGCCGACCAATTTGACAGTGCGCTGTAAGTTTCGAACCCTTTACGTCCAAATCATACAATCTAACAACCAACAGCGACCTCCTCCGCCGCCTCGACCCTAAGCATACCTCCGAACACCTCAACTCCGTCATCTCACTTGTCCCCACCCTAACAGAAGACCTCCTCTCTTCCGTCGACCAACCTCTCACCATAGCCCGCTGCCGCAAGACGGGGAGAGACTATCTACTCTGTGACTACAATCGCGACGGCGACAGCTACCGGTCTCCCTGGTCCGGCGAGTTCGAGACCCCGCTAGGAGGCAGCGGGGCCGGCGGTGTCGATGATCAAGGCAACAATGAAGGCGCTGGGGAAGGCGCTGTACCTAGTGAGAGAGTAAGGAAGATGGAGGTTAGAGCGAACGAGGCGTTTGATGTTTATAGGGAGCTGTACTATGAGGGTGGTGTGAGCAGCGTTTATTTCTGGAACTTGGATGATGGGTTTGCGGGCGTTGTGCTTTTGAAGAAAGGTAGGTTCTTTCAAACCGCCGTTGTAATTTCGGGGGAGACGAGACTGATGGGAAATAGTTGCTACGCCGGCTGGGAAAAGTCAGGGGACTTGGGATTCGATTCACGTGTTTGAGGCTGTTGATCGGGCTCGCACGGCACATTACAAGCTTACCAGTACTGTCATTCTGCATCTCTCTACGGGGAACGATGCGTTGGGAGAGATGGACTTGAGTGGAAACATGACTCGCCAAATCGAGAGTGACCTGCCAGTTGACGATGACACTTCTCATATTGCGAATATCGGCAAGCTGGTCGAGGATATGGAGCTCAAGATGAGGAACTTGTTGCAGGAGGTGTACTTTGGGAAGGCGAAGGATGTGGTTGGTGATTTGAGGAGTATTGCACCGTTGACGGAGGCCAATAGAGATAAAGCGACACATCAAGAGATGATCAACTCGATGAAGCGGTAACAGGAGCAGGTACGGCCTAGCGAGCCAATCGAATAAAGTCTAGTGCAGCTACTTTCAAGGAGCCAGGAGGCTCGGCTCCAGGCTCTTATGTTCAACTCACACGGCTTCCTTTTGAAATCTAGAACTTTCAGACGAAGTCCGATAGCCGACGATGCCCCTGGTGCCGCTGAATCCTTCCCTCAGGAAAGTTTCCTGGCAGAACTTCGGGTCGAAAGTCAGAGATACGATCTCGGCTGGCTCGAGCGGAGAGAGTGCCCCGAGCGCGTATGATGGGATTGTTGCTTTTCCATCACATCCGAATGCGTTGATTTTGATGTAGATCATCGAAGTGACAGTGGAAATCAAGCGGCTATTCTCTAGCATCTCAAAGAAGTAAATCCTGAAGTCTTACTGTAAAGGGACGACAGCCAGTCGTAGCTCATGACTGCCAACTGAGAAGGTTATTCAAGTGGTTCAATTCAGACTCCCACCCGGCTTTCTCTCAACAGAAGTAGTAAAGTCTAACGCACTCCTTATCAGATCAAAGATGGACTAAATGAAAGAGGAGAAAGGCCCTTTATCAGGTGAAAATTGGACCGATTAAAAAGAATAAGAAGCAGCAAAATGGAAAGCTTCCTGGAGGACCTAAATCTCTCTCGCTTTACATTTCGTTTGCCTCTTCGAGCCTCCATTGGAGCGGATCGTACCCTCCACTAAACAGCAAAAAGAGGCAAGCTTCAAAAGGCCTAGCGAGTCAAGGAGACTCACTCTACACTTACTTATGCGGGGTACACTTTTCCTGTCCCGTCTCTTGAAACTTCCAACATCCAATAGCGCAACTCACTGGCCCGGGAGACCCAATAACCCACTACCCGACAACCACAAACGCCCATCAGACCACCAACCACCCTCCACCATCACCTTTTCTTTTTTTAACGCCCCCCAATCTTTCACTGGTTCGAGTCCTATTGGCGGCGGTCTCCCATCTCCGAGCTCCGGGAATAAGTACTGTACCTCGGGTCCTCTTCCCGCCACGTTCGCCACGAAGAAGCAATGCACGGCACGCACAGCGGGCGAATCGTGGAGGGAGGCCCCGGAGATCTGAGACCGTTGAGACACGATTTGGCAGGGCTGATGATGCCATCCCGGGATAGGAATGCCAAATGAATCATTGGGCGGTTTTGTTGATTCCAAAAAAAAAAAAAAAAAAAGGGAAAAGGCGGATCCTGTTTTTTGATACGGGAGGTGGAGGGAAGGATAGGGGAGTGAGTGATGTAGGGAGGTATGGATTTGTCTGACAGGAAAGAATGATTGGATTGTATTAAAGTAGATATGGTAGTCGTGTGGCATGATAGGACATGATGCGATAAGTAAAAGGTGAAGTCCCCTATTGTTACAGACAGATATGTCTCGTATACACGTACAAGCATTTTCCCCATTCGCAATGCTAGACAGACAAAAGAAATGAAATGTAGATTTTTGGCGGTGACAGAAGAAATGGATATCGGATATGAACCTCGCTGGTATCAATCTGTTTCGCGTCCGTTGATCGTCATCGTTAGTCGTCCTGTTGGGCGTGTTGGAATTACGTTGTTAGGTGTTTCGTTCGTTGCTCGGCCGTCAAAGTCTTCTTGGATTTTCCATAAAAGGTAAAATCTTCCCACGCATTACTTGGCCACTGGCCACCACCCGATTCTCGTGTAGCTGTCAATCATGTCCTGCACTAGCTCTGCCGTGATCTTGGGCTTCTCGTATGTGAAGCCCACCACCTTTTCTAATCGACTCCCATCCATACTCAGATCTGTGTCCTTCAACAGCTCCTTCTCCATGAAGGGTGTCAAGGGACCAGGCCTGGTGATTCCAGCCTCTCCGAGCAGCTCTGCCCAAGGTCCTAAAACTTCATCGTTAACGTCATCCACCACGCTATCCATATTCATCCGCGCAAAGGTACTGATCAGCTGTCCTTGGAAGCCAGTCTCGATTCCGAATAGATTTCCAATGATTTCCGCCATGGTGCCTTGAGAGGTCTGCCCTTTGTCGACGATATTGAATATTGGGATCTTGCCCATGGCCTTGGCATCCCAATTGGCCTGCTTTTGAACAGCATACCAGTCTGCAACGGCCCAGAGAGCTCGCGCTGCGTCGGTGATATGGACAGTGTTCACTCGGAGATCCTTGGTCCACAGCCACTTCATTTCTTCGTGTAAGTGCTGGTACACACGGGCCAGGCACAGGGCAGTGGACACGAATTGTGAAGCATAGTCGCCATAGACATGAGCCAGTCGGACAATGATGAGATTGAGTCTGTAGACACGAGGTTAGCTGTTGGGAATGCACAGTGAAAGGGTTATTGCAAGGGGTCCCTGTCCAAGATGTGGGGATATCCCGATTGAGATTGCTCCAGACTTGGAAGGTGTCCATTTGAAGGATCAGCACTTACCCCTCAATCTTGGCCAGCTGTTCCTCTGCCTGTAACTTGACAACGGCAATCTTGCTCCAGGGCTTTAACTTGTCTCCCTCTTTGCTCGGCTGGGAATCGGGCTTGTACACCATTCCCGTGCTTAACTCCACGAATGCCTTCACACCCCGCTTTGCAGCTTCTTTGCCTGCAGCTACACTCAGGGCCAGGGAGCGGACCTTGTAGACTTCGTCCTCTTGTGAATATCTTGTCTCCCCGCCGCAGTTGAATACGAAGTCCCACTCCTTGCCATTGGAGCGGTCGAAGATGCGGGGCAGGCTCTCTGTAAGAGGGTGACTGTCAGCTCACAACTTCAATGACGGAGATCATAAATGAGAAACTGTAAATGAACGGAAGAGCAGCTTACGCTCCTTACTGGCATCTGCCTGCATGAATTTGTCCCTAGAGCAGGCTTCCTCGAACTCTGGTGCCAGCCATGCTAACTGCGGTAACACCTTGTCCACGATCCGGACTTCAGACGCCAAATTGTTCTTCTGAATATGTAGCGCCAGGAAACGTCCAATATAACCCAGGCCGCCAATGATGAGGACGGCGGGCTTCTCGGCCATCGCGCTGACCTGAGCGGTGGGAGGGATTAATCGACGGCGCTGCACAAGCTGCTCTGCGGTGGAACCGTATGGGAAGGCTCAGCTGAGGGTTGAGGTTGTCGACTCCTTTTCAGCTCGGGGATCGGGTAGGAAACGCGGCCGGATGCTGGGGGTCAACAAGAAAGGGCAGTTACAGTTTTGCAGCGAGGAGGAGTGCTGCGAGTCTGCGACCTGTAGACTGACGGGATATAGATAGTCTATAGGTTCTCGGGCCTCTCTTGCAATTTGGCAGGGATTCAGGGAGGGCTCCAGCAGCCCCATAATAAAGGGGGCCTCCAGCGGAAGCCGTGCAAATCAGCGCGGCGCCGTCGCCAACAGGAGGCTGCCCGCCAAGGCCCACATACATACAGACTACAGTACTGTACACATCTCGCCGCCACGGACTCCCTTCCCAATCTCGATGCTGCCTCGGGCTGCAGGTTTTGCTTTGCCATGGCAGGCCATGCCATGCCGGCACCGGCTGGCCTGGCAGAAGAAGAAGGCACATCGACCGTCCAGGATGCGAGATCGAGAGAAAGATCAAGGTGCAGACGCAGTAGGGACGATCAGATCAGATCAGATCGGTTCGGCTGCAGATATCTAGACGCGAGAAGGCTTGCTTGCTTGATTGCTGCTTGCTTGCTTGCTTGCTTGCTGCTTGCTGCTTGCTGTGCGTGCTGTGCGTGTTGTGAGTGCTGTATCAATGGTGAAGCGTGCGGTTACACAATGTCCCGGCGGCAGGCAGGCTGAGGCGTCGACGACTGCAGAACCGATACAGTACAGTAGTGGAATGTGAACTGCTGCCGCCCGCCGCGCAGGAGTGTTGGGCTGGTGGGACAGTACTGTACGAGTCAGATTATTTGGGATCCCTTTCAGGGGCAGGGCAAGGGGAAGGGGAAAGGACTACCGAGAGGCTCCCGCTGGCGCTGGCTGGCCGGGCGGGCCTGGCCTTCTAGAAGCTTTTGCAGTGGGGGTTCGTTCCCTCAGGGGCGGGAGCGCTATGGGAACTCCCACTGCCACTCCCACGGCCACTCCCACCTTTCGGCGCAGTGCGCTGCAAACAATTCTTATTCTCGGCCATAATCTCCGACGCGAAACCCCACAGCCTCACAGGACACGCTTCACTTTACAGGATAGGGGAAGGGAGCCGAGGCGAGGCCGTCTTGCCGAAGCGAGCTCTCCTTCCGCCGTCCCCGTCTAAAAGCCCCCAGCTGCCCTCCCCCCCCCCGATTGCTGGTACGAGTCTGCTGCATATTTTCTTCCTTCCAAAATGAACTACTAACTGCCCCCCATTCCTGCTGGCCCCGGCTGGCAGACCAGGAGTTCCCGGATGCCAAGCCCTACGATGATAAGCATGTGGACTGCTAGGACAGATCACCGCGCTGGAATCCGGTCGTCGGGCCCTGCAGGAACAGAATCTGTTCTCTCCTCTCCCAGAACCAAGGGTTCACGTCAAACGAGTGCGATCAGGAGCGTCATCAGAGGTTGTGCCAGCCGTTTTGGGCTCGCTCGGCCGCCGGCCTTATGCAAGTCGTATGCAAGTCATCTGCAGTCATCGTCCGCGGCTTCAGTTCTTCCTTCCATTTTATCCTTCTGCGCTTCGGCCAGGCGTGGAATATTCTGAAACAATTCTGCTGCGTCGTCTCATGCTTCGTCTGATCAACCAGATCAGCCTATTGTCCTCGCTTGCATACGAACGGACCCCCCACCCTGCGCCTGTTAGCTGGAGGAGAGATTATATGTTTCGCCTCAACCACCATGACAGGTGCGTTGGGACCTTCCGGAGGACCATTTCTTGTGCGATAGTTGAATTCCAAACTCAAAGCAGGCGAAGGTGCAGAATGTAATGGGTTGTTTTCTGACGCCAATGCACGCCTTGTTTCAAGCCACAACCGGGCGATTTCGTCGGTTAACACCGGGGCAGCCCCCTATTTGTTCAATATTTGTCAGGACAACTCGAAATGTAAGCCACCGGGGAAATTTTCTCAGGCTGGTCTGCCCTCTTGCCGTATACGGATCCGAGTTCTGTGTAACTCCTCCGGCTTTGATTCCCTCCGTTTATTTACAGTGCTGCTTGGCCACTGGAAAGGTCCCGAGGCTGCCGATCGTCCTGCCAAAAGGAGCATCGGGGTCACATCCGAGATTCTCAACAACACTGATCAGCTCGCCACGTCGCGGATGATGTGCTGAAAGCCAAGTCTGTTTCGGGTCCAATGTTCCGAATGCAAGGGCAGTGCGACTATGAAAAGATCTTCCCCTTTCCAAGCTGACGACTGTCAGACGGATATCATATCCTTCCACCGGATATCCGATTGCTTCTTCTTCGAAAAGGTTGCACTGGGGGCGATCAAATCCTCTTTTGTCTAGACAGCAAGTCCAGTAGTGTTGAATTCCTAGTTGCAACCTGTCTCTCGGTAGAAATAAGGGGTAGCGAACGAACTCCGCACGCTTGATATTTGCAGCTTACTATTTCTTCGTATCCGTTAGAAACTGACAACAAACGGTATCTTTGCTGCGAGAGTATTGATATAGTGTAGAACCATATCTGCAGCTGTCGTACCCCGCCGAAGTTGAGCGACAAGCTATTATCAGGGGCAGCTTGGCCTGCACTTGGGTGTACAACATGGCCTGGCACTAGTACATCTTCATTCAGTCCGTTGTTGGAGGAAACCAGAAATAGCTTGCGGTACGGCGCCTCACACACTAATATTTGACGGCAAAAATGCCTTCCAATGGAAATTATATTTGCTCAACTTGTCCCTTTCCATTGATTCACTAAGAGATTAAAGGCTTTGTCATAATGCTTTCTCGAGTCGGTTTCAATTGCCTCTCCAAATTTCACGTCTGGATCAAAGACGTAAACGTTCAGATTTCTCTACAATGGAATTATTCACTCGTCTTCCACAGGTTCAGGAAGTCTCATCTTTGTGTATATCACATTTGAGATCAGGCGCAGGCTTTTTTTTTGTGATTTTCTCTCGGTTTTTACATATATCCACTGCAATGTGGCACATTCATGCTTGACCTCTGCAAGATTAAGCAAATACGATGCATAAGCCTAGTTGGGAACCATCTTTATGCCGCCATCCGGGCCTCATTATGATCTCCTCATAACTTCCTAATAGCCCCTCCCCTGCGCACCTCTCAGCATTTATCAACAATCTCCCATCCCACTATCTATTTCTTCAACCCCTCACCATCTCCCTAACCCTGGCTCTCTCAACCCCCATCTTCTCTAACCCTCCGTGATCCTCTCAACCCTCTCAAGCACAACCCTCCTTCCCCCTCCCCCGCCCAGAACCAACACTCCTACCCCTCCCCCTCCCCCTCCCCCTCCCCCATCCCCGCTCTGCTCAATCCGCCCCCGGCACGCCGCCAAAAAGTCCACACCGAGCACCACCCTCCCCTCGAGCCCCTTATACTCACTCACCATCACATCGCACGCGACCTCGACCCTCTCCCCCAAACCATCCTGAAACGCAAACCCCAGCCGCACACCCTTCGGCGTCTTTACCTTGACCGCAGCCGCGCCGACTCTGGCTGCTGGGGGGAGGAGGGAGGGGAGAGGCGGGTAGATATCTTTCAGGTTGAGGTGCAGAGGAGCGAAATGTTGTTTGAGGGTTGCGAGGGTAATGAAGGAGCGCGAGGAGAGAGGGTCGATGGTGCATGGTAGTGGGACGTTGGTTGGCGTGTAGAGGGTCGTTTTGTGCGGGAGGAAGGGATGAGGAGGGGGTGAGGTCGTGGACTCATCCCCTCTTGTTGGTTCAGTGTTGGAAATGATGTGGTAGAGGGCGAAAATAATAAAAGATCACGGAATGAAGTAATTGGAGCGCGGAAGAGGGGGAAGTGGAATGAATGCCCATCTGGAATGGTTTGGGAGAATGTGCTTGAAGGAGCGAGCTGCTTGTTGGAAGAGAGACCTTATTTGCTTTCGGTTCCTGTGAATCATTTGTTAAATTTTGTAAATCCTCTCAGTCATACGTGAAAACATCACGTTACGCCTCACATTTGCTGATTCACGCTCCTGGGGAGCCATCTCCAGAAGCTTCAAATCTCTCTCTTCATATTTTCCTATCCGTGTTTAATCTACTAGTCTCCTAATCCCTCGCCTTCCTCGCCCAAGCCTCTTACCCCTGCCTCTCCTGCCTGTCATAACCCTCCGCATACCCATCTATAAACACAGGCTGTGGAGGCGGACCGTCTCCCTCCTTCCTCACAATAAGCGGGTACTGATGTACACCAGATATCCCAGGAATAATAGCTGGCGGGTGCGGGATGAAGCCTGCTTGTGTGGAGTGGACGATTTGCATGTCGTTGTTGTTGTTATTTTGCACATCCTGGGGTTGGGTTGGTAGAGGGGTTTGCTGAGGCTGGGCTGGCGGAAGGGGCTGGATGGGCTGATAAGTGAGAGCTTGGAGGGGTTGAGGTTGAGGTTGCTGAAAGGCAGCCTGGCAGATGTGTGGAGCTGCATAGGGAGAATGGTAGAAGACGGGCCCGGGAATGGGATATACGGGGACGTGGATAGTCTGGAACTGGGGTGGATAGTAGAAGGGCTGTGGTTGAGGTTGTGGTATGTAGCTTTGTGGGAATGTTGGGTATTGCTGGTAGTAAGCAAGTTGTGATGCTCGCTGCTGCTGCTGAGCTAGTTGGGCTTGCTGGTGCTGTAGTGCTGCTTGTTGACCTTGACCTTGCTGGTATTGACCTTGCTGTTGCTGTTCCTGTTGACGTTGTTGTCGCAGCTGCCCCTGCCGAGGCGGGTCAAGAACACGTGGTGGATCTGTTGAATAAGGAGGTGGTTCGGAGCAGGTAGAACTCACTGGTGACATCCTTTCTATGTTGTCTCCTTGTTCTGGGACTTCTGCTTATTCTTAAAATATTTGTGCTTTATGCAGTGGAGATGAGCTCGAGTTCTTAGGTAGACTAGTAGAGAATTTGAGGTAGGACCGGCGTGTCAAATAAATAATTGGACGAGGGCCAGGAACAATCCCCAACCCAATAGGCGAATCATATTTTTCATCTGATGTTATTCAATACCCTTTGTAAGTTGGACATTTCGCATGATTCGCAGTGACCTAGCTTGAAGTTGAATGTGCCAATTTCGTTTGACCATTGATATATAGGATCAGATAAAGGAAAATAGCTGGATGTTCCAGACCTTGTGAGGCATTCAAGGGAGATGTTTTCGAATGTACAGCAACTCGTGAGATATTGAGTTAGGGAGGACGGGACTCGGCCTATGCTGATAATGGTACCAGCCACTTAGGCACCATCCTTTGAAAGTTGCTGTCAGAGCGGGATTTATTCGAGGCGAAGGGAAAGTGGGAGTTCCCAGTGTCAATTGCCTGACAAGGGTGGCGGGAGGCAAAGCAAGCACTCAAAGGAACACAATAATATAAACAGAAAGAAGCACTTGACTTATGTCATGAAGCACAAACGTCCATTATTATTGGCGCTTCTGGAGTATATTATGTTCAACTCATTTGTGCTATAATCCATTGCTTTCAAACATCCACTTTTCGTGACGCCTGCATCGAACGCAAGAAGGCTAAACAAGACAGAAGAAAGGATTGAGCCGTTTTGACAAAGCCCCCCACCTTCGATTCGGAGACACAAGATACCAGAATTGTTGGGAGACAAAGTATGGTATTTTCTCATGATATTGACTTGAAGCAAAGACCCGGAGTAGTTGAACCCATCATCAATCAGCTGTGAGAGAATCCAAACTTAACATCAATTCTGTCTATCTATCCTTTCGCCTGCCAAACTCAGATTAGATGATACTTACAACTTGTTTGGCTGCGTTTGAGTCGTTGGCCATTGGTATCCGGCAGCATCGCTGAATTTGTACCCGTAAGAAGAGGTGAAGTCATCAAGAACAGCAGGTCCACGCGAGCCTGTTTAGGAATCAGTATTGCAATGTGAGAATAGCAAAACGAAAAACATACCATAAGGGTACTCCATTGGGATGATCTCCTTGTTGTCATCCAAGTAATGCAGCAGCGGGGTGAAGATTCTCCAGCTAGCGTCAAGCTCATCGTCACGGACGAAGTTGGAGTGATCACCCTTGAGTGCATCGAGAATGAGTGATTCGTATGCCTCGGGAATCTTGAGGTCGGAGAATCGTCGTCGGTAGGTCAAGTCGAGTTCGGTGACCACGGTTTGCATGCTAAGGCCAGGAAGCTTGGAGTTCATCTTAATGTAGACACTCTCGTTGGGTTGGATCCGCATAACAAGCTCATTTCGTGGAATGTCCTTGAAGATACCGGAAGTGACGTCCTTGAACTGGATTCGAATTTCGGTCTTTTGCTCGTTCAATGCCTTCCCTGCCTTCAAGATGAATGGCACACCGTCCCAGCGCTCGTTCTTGATGAAAGCTACCATCGCACAGAAAGTAGGACATCTTGAGTCCTTGGGAACTGTGTCATCTTCCTTGTATGATGGCTTGCTTCCGTCTAACGACTTGCCATACTGGCCAATGATGACGTTCTTAGGCTCAATGGCTGGAATACCTCGGAGCACGCGAACCTTCTCGTCTCTGACGTCCTCGGCTGAAAAGGAGATAGGTCTCTCCATTGCAAGAAGAGTCAAAACTTGGAGTAGGTGGTTTTGCATGACATCTCGAATGATGCCAAACTCGTCAAAGTACCCGCCACGTCCCTCGGTTCCGAAAGGCTCCTTGAAGGAGATCTGGACATTGTCGATGTGATTTCGGTTCCAAGTGGCCCCAAAGAACTCATTACCAAATCGCAGAATCAAAATATTCTTGACCATTTCCTTGCCTAGGTAGTGATCAATACGGAAGATCTCCTCCTCGTGCCAGTTGGGTTCCAGTGCCTTCTGTAGCTCTCTAGAGCTGGCCAGATCTTTTCCGAACGGCTTCTCAACCTGTTAAAACCAGTGTCAGCGGATACTCATGTTCCACGCATATATACAGCACATACGATAATTCTAGCAATTCCAGTCTTTGGGTAGCAGTTCTTCTTTAGGTGTTGAGAGACAGTGGTGAAGACGCTGGGTGGTAATGCCATATAGAAGACACGGTTATGTTCCTTGCGTCCCTTCTCAAGCTCGTTCAAGTGCTCGTTCAATTCAACAAAGGACTCATCCTTGTCATATTGTCCAGACACGTATGAGCAGGCACTGCAAAAGTCCGAAAGCTGCTGCTCCATATCCTTCGTCGGAGTCTTGATGTATGATTTGACCCGCTTGAGGTACTCCTCATGGTCCATCTTTGTTCGCGCATATCCGATGATCTTAATATCTTTTGGCAGGAATTGGTTACGGTACTATCGGAGAGCGTATCAGTGGGGGGAAAGTCTTCGTTAGCCACGGGTTTGACTTACGAGGCCGAACAGAGCTGGGAACTGTCATTGCGTCAATTAGTATCAGCTCGAGAGTGTCTAAAATGAGAGCCACCCACGGTCTTCTTTTTTGCAAGATCTCCAGAGGCTCCGAGAACGACAATCACGGTGTTCTCCTTCAACTCGATGTTCCTGGTGGGGCAGAAACAGATTAGTACGCTGGGTTTCAGAATGCAACATAATTGAACCGCAAGAAGCGCAGAGTAGCATCTCCGGCATATCCTGCAGCTACCAGAAACATTTCCAATTGTTCCGATCGTTGTGGGTTTGATGCGACAGGCTTTGTTGACAGCGGGCGGCTTCCTAGTGACGTAGATCGACGGACGAAATAAGACACTCACCCAGCATGGTGGCCCTCCTCGGGCTTGATCATGGTGTCCGCCATGTCGAGAGCTCAGCAAGGTGGAATCGAAGCAAGTGAAGGAGGAGACGATCTGGAATTCGAGAAGAGGGGCGAGAGTTTGGTTGTGTCACGGAGTGTTCGCGAGCTCGAAGAAAATGTTGAGTAGAAGAGTGATGGAGCTATTACCGCGGGGTCGAAGCGGCGGCGGTTGGCACGGAATTACTGCACCTCACACATCCAGCGCTCCGACGTTTTTCTCACGCACGTTTCTCGCAACAGTGGGACGGTCGCGAGGGCGGTTCGAGGTAACTGGCCTAATTTGACGAGCCTTTGCGAATCAGGAGACCAGATATTCTTCAGCGGAGGAATGAAGGATCGCATCAACGTCCGGGCTCAGGGGAATTGGCTTTGCAGTCTCTGACTCTCTGCAGACTGCAGTCAGGCTTTTATCCCCCCATTGTTCTACGGCAAAACTGTGGACTCTAATAGCTCTGCGACTGGCTCGGATTATAAAGCATCTTGCGTCGGTGTCTGTAGTAGTGCTCTAATCACCATGGGAAAGCGAGACTCTTCAGCCTTGCTTATGGGATCTCCGGACGTCGACCTGCCGCGACATGAACGCTGCGCATCCTCGAGCACAGAAATTTTGGATCAGCATCTCCTCGCATAGTCAGGGACCTCTTGGCTCTTGGTTGGCAGGATGTTCCTCTTGCGACCTCATGCTCCCACCGGAATTGTTGGTGTTGTGCTATGTCATGGCTTTTATCAATCAATCCGAAGGGCAGCCAGCAGATGCGGGAGGGTACGAAGGGAAAGCCGTAGGGAAGTAGCTAGGAGCACCAATCAGCGGCTGGTGTTCCGCAATCCTCTCATGGATCAGAATATCCAGACTCGCCAGGCTGAGGATTCACAATATCATGTAGAATCACGAGCGGGCGTGGGTGCCTCGGGCTTGATTATGGATTGAGGCGAAGGTTGTAGTGCTCTTCAGAGATAAGTGAAGTGCGCGCGGAGAGAAGCCAAAGAAAATAATGGAAAATGGCCCTTGCACGTGATTAGCTCGCTTACTTGCAAGCGCCATATGGGACGCCCACCAGCCAGAATTTGAATCTCGAAAAATCCATCGCGACCACCGACCCGACAAATTCGACGACAATCCGCATTCAACGAAGTCTTTTCATTAGGACGTGTCGTTGAACATATCTCCTCCGACTCTAGATTCTTCTCAAGGAACGGGAGATCTCAGTCAAGATGCCTTCAGAAGCTGGACACCGCCGTAAGTCACCTTTCAAGAACAAGACGGGATGGATGGTGGAATCTTTCAGGCTGCAGAATTGAATTCTTGATTCGCAGTAGAAGATTCCCCCTGCCTCCAAACTTGCCCGTCAAGCTACGCTGAATTAATGCTGACTCTGTCTCTAGTCTATGTCAAGTGAGTAATACCAATTTTGAGATGATGGAGGCTACGAGCGCGATTGTGGGAGGAGTAGAGGCGATGAAGGGATTGGGAATTGGAGGCAAAGGGAAATTGATGGATTGATGCTGACATGGGATGGTCATAGGGGCCGTCATCTGAGCTACCAACGTGGAAAGCGCAACACGAACCCAGGCACGAGCTTGATCCAGATTGAGGGTGTTGAGAATACCGAAGCAGCAAAGTACGTTGGGGGAGTCTGCCTGCAAGACGGGGAAGTGCTGACGGTTATCCTAGCTTCTATCTAGGAAAGAAGGTTGCTTTCGTCTACCGTGCGCAAAGAGAGGTTAGAGGATCAAAGATCAGGGTCATTTGGGGCAAGATCACCCGGCCACATGGTATGATCTTAGGGAGAAATTATGGGAGAAGTGAGACTGACTTTCTTCCAAGGCAACTCCGGTGTAGTACGAGCACAGTTCAGACGCAACCTTCCTCCCAAGTCCTTCGGCGCATCGGTTAGAGTTATGTTGTACCCATCTTCGATATAGGGAGAGGGTTCGGAGTTGGTTGCATGGAAATGATGGTGGTTGATGAATGCCTCAATTCGGTCACTGGGTCTGGGCAGCGATGAGTGCATAGCCTTGCTGGTAGTCTTCGAATAAAGCAAATACCAATCAAATCGAAGTCTGGACCGTGAAATCGACAAGTCTGAAGGAGGCAAGAATATGTTGTCTGCTCTTAAAAGTGATATATAGCCGCACGGAGGTTTTGATGACGAATGGTTGGCAATCGGTTGTCGGGTGCCTCCAAATAGTTCGTTACTTGATCTCCAGAGCAGATCTACTTACAAGTTTTGCCCCTTCTTTTATGCGCTCCGTGTGCCTATATTATTCAACATGATAGCAGAGACATCTTGGACCACATTACGCTGCAACCAGATTCTCCCATCAATAAACTCTTCGTCGTACCAAGAGCAAGTCTCCGTCTACTATAAATATGTATATATTACCCAATCAAGTCGATGACACTCAACCTTATCTTCTTGGGCAGCCGAATGGCACTGCAAGGCAGGCTGCAAGGCTGTGGCGACTTGTCTGCAAGTTTTCTTGGTTCTTTCCTGATAACATCATCAGGAATTCGCATAACCACAGAACAACGAGGTGGAAGGTGCTAATAATAGAGAAAGTAGAAATAGGCCTATAGGGCTGTTCGAACTCATGAAACGAAACAGTCAGATGACTCAAGGAGGTCGGCCCTTTCTCCACCTTTTTGTCCGACATCTTTTATCGATACCCTTGTTATCGATGTCGTTATCCAATGCCGCCAGTCTTCCCAATCAAGTAGTCAAAGCTGCAAGTATCCGCCATGATCTGTGGAGCGTCGGACCTTGGACAAGGGTGATGTTATCTGGCAAGCCCTCACAATCGCTACTTTCATTACAAATAATTCAAAGTATGCCAACAATTGAGACAATTCCTGCATGCAGGCGGATGAGGCGCATGATAAACGTGCTTCTGTGGATTATCCGGGGCAGAGTTTGTCACTGGAGAACAGAACGTCTCTAGCTTCACCAGACCCTAAAGTTCAGGGTGCATCTAGCCTGGCACATAAAAATAGCCAAGAGAACGAATTGGCATTTTACCCCTCCAATGGCAATGGGATTCTGGATGAAACCCGAGACTTCCGGCATGTAGGAGAAGGCAGAAGGTCTCACACTCGGCTGGCGGGGGGTGGACAGATCAAGGTACCGGACCGACATCGAGCTACTCGTCCAACATATCGATGATTCCAGGGTACGGCAGCAGGTTTCTGCCCATGCTCTCCTGTTCTTGTTAGCAGAAATGAAACTCGTTGGCCTGATGGAAGGGGAAACTGGCAGGCCGCACCCTGAAGTGAAGACCAGGGAGCTCTGATACATGATCTACGGTGATATACGCGGTAGGTTTCTGGAAAAGGACTTCATCCCCCCTAAAATGCAAATCCGATCTACTAGAGGAGTGTGTGCCGGCCGCCTGTGTACGCTCCACACGTCCACCCTTGGAAAATACTGTAACGACTTTTCCCTCAAGGAAAACTTGGAGGACGGTGTGGACTGGGCAGAGGGCACGATCCAGCTCGGGGTCTCGTCATGGTGAAACCGTGAATGGAGAGCTTGAGCAATGGCGGGCTTCGGGAGGCCTAAAAAGTGGATAGCTGGACAGCAGCTTGCGTGGTTCCGTTGGCGCATCAAGAGTTCGAACTTAGAGGCCGTGGTAGTGGCCCAAAGATGTTGCGCCTCGCGCTCGCGCTCCACACCCATGAACTACCTGGAGCGGCGTCGCAGGCTCGCAGGCTCGCAGCTTGCACACCCGTATTCCTCGTGCTAGTGCATTCAGCATGCCAGAATGTGCGTCCTGCACGAGGCGGTGCACCACTCACAGCGAGGGAGAGCGCAAGTGGGAGCAGGCGAAAGGCCCTGGGTATATCGAATAAAGTGCCGCTTCGCCGTCATCGACACGAGCTCCGTCCCGCACATGTAAAACTCCCGCCTGTTCTCCATTCTACAATAATCGCCTCTTCACTCGTTCCTGCCCTTATCTTCCCATCTCTCCCATTCCCATTGAGTAATCGAATTCGACGGCAAAAGCTGATTCACATCTTTTGTTGCTCACCCTCGTTTTCAGTATACAAAGCACGTACGTACTACGTCAAGCGATGCGCATCCCTCGTTTCCTCTCCAGCCTCAACAAATAATTTCTTGGCCGTCACACCACAACGCGTCCATCCCGACTCATACCTCTCACACTCGCAACCCGTGAACTGATCCAGCTCCGACTCTTCATGCGTCCCGGCGGCAGTTCTTGGATATAATCATATAATCCCAACCTCAGACACTCGAAGTTCAGGACTAGCGCAGATCTACTGACAGGGAGACGGCCAGCCTCCTCAGTCCTCCATCTCCGCAGCGTTTCACCAGCTTATCTTCTCGATTGTTTAATTACAACTACAGCTCGCTTCTCTATCTCCACAACGACCCTTGACACTATCCCCACAGTGACTTAAAGATGTCTTCAAATCACCCATTGCCAGCGCCTCCGGGCCAGCAGCAACAGCAATACCAGCAATACCAGCAGCAAGAGAGGCCTGGGCAGCAGAGACCGCGCGCGAAGTCTGGCTTTAGTTTTCGGTCAAACCATTCACGCAAGAGCAGTAGCAGCAGTGGCCATAAGATCGATCTCCACGAGACTCACGAAGAGAAACAATCACGACGTCTCACTACGAAAGCCGACCCTTCAATGGCCATCACAGAAGCAGAGCCATGTGAGTCGAACTGGCGCATTGCCTTCACACTTCGCTACATGACCGAGACTGACGATTTATACAGCTGCGGTCGCAAGTGGAGTACGATCCTCGTTGGCGCCCATTCGAGCAATTCAACATCGAGATAATCAGGGAAATCCAATCGGTTGGTTACTTGTTCGTATTCAGAGCTCGCGCTGATGCATCTTGTCTACAGCCGACCCCGATCGATCCAACCCTACACGAAGCAGATGGGAGAGGCCTCTTGACACAATCAGATCGTTCGAAGCGGCCATAGATGGAAATTATTCACGTAAATCATACATGCGCCCTGGTCAGACTCCTTGAGCTTCAAACACATGGAAGCCGTACTCTTGGTGGCAAAAACGCTGACTCTTGGTCTCTACAGAATTAGATGGTCCTTCAAGCTACAACCGTCGAAGTAGTTATTTTGGTGGTAAGTTTTATTTTATTTCTTTTGTGCGCTTGATTTTTGAGAGAGGTGTTCACAACTGTTTCCCGATGCAAATGCCACGGTCATTATTTGGGGACACCCGTTTGCTGCAGTGGTTCGGCGGGTGGAAATTGCCAGTCGTAGCGCTGGGCAATGGGCATTTTTGGGCGTGGCGCTGGTAAAGTCAAAAACCATGGAAATGGAACTTGGTTTCCGCTAGTTCTCAGCCATCTCTGTTTGACGATCCCCCGCCAATCCTATTCCAGGCATTGTGGAGACCTTTTATTTTAGCATCCTATCAGGCATGACCCGCTCACATATCGATAGGAACTCAAGTCTCAACCGCAGACGAGAGGCCAAGATATCCCCAGAACAGCTATTATGGACGTTCGCAGTCATATCGCCCCGACAGCTATGTGGACGGGAGAGGCAATGGCATGACTCGACCGGAAAGTTATTACACCGATGCTGGAAATGCTGGTCCAAGCAATGGCTACTATCCCAACCGAGCTCGATACCCTCGAACAGCTCCCGAACCGCATTTAAACAATGGGCAAGGGGTCTACCCAGTGCCTGGGAACCAGCAATCTTATGAGACTGTCACAACCGCATCAGGAAGTGGAAGTTCAGATCCTGCAGGATACTTGACAGATCCTAGCAGCGAAAACAGCTCGGTGGACCGCGTTACCCCCTTACCTCCCGTAAAGGAACCTGGGGAGAGCTATGGATTTACTGGTTTTGGCGCCAACCCGCAACTTCAGCCCCCTGGAGCCCACTTGCAAGAGCAGTACATTGCCAACGGGCCAAATGGAGCACAGCGTCAAGGAAATGGTTACCCAAACCAAGGTCCTCCTCCAGTTCCGAGAAAAGAGGCACCTATTGCACGAGTACCGATCAAGTTGAATGCCTCGAGTGGCAATATCGGTCCCGGTGGACTGAAGCAAGGCCAGCGTCCTGGAGCAGGAGAGAAGCGCAAATCGTGGTTTGGGAAGAGGTTTAGCAGAGCAGGTTAGGTGCTTAGCGATGTAATAGCAGAGAAAGGAGATGATGCTGGGGACTCCCCTGTAGAGATTTTAACGACGTTTATGAGGTGGTTATCGAATCCCAAGTTAGGTTATAATGGGTCAATGGATGGGTGGATCAAGGTTGGATGTTTGCATCAATGGCGTATATGGGCTCAAGTTACCCCGGGATCAGTCTTAACACATTTCGAAAATTTGTGGAGGAGGCTGATGGTAGTTGTTGGATTCACTGTTGATAATTGCTTGGATGCTTGTCGGAACCGCGAAGTTCATGTGGAAGAGAAATATGGCGAGGCAGAAATTCTATGGCATAATTCGATGGCCTCCCATCGTCTCAATTACCAATTTGAATCCCGTATCAGACTTCCCAGACCCTTACACTGCGGTAATCGTTGTTTTTGTATTTTTTAAGAGAGGTACACGCTTGGTAGTTACAACTGACAAAAGCTCCGCAGTCTACCCTAAACCGGAGCCATAGAGATGTCCCCCAGCCACCGTACGCAAGAGTGCCCGCAGCCCACACTCTACAATGCCGCACTACCCTCTATAGTAGTTAGCGGAGGATATGAGGTATCTCAATTGATGCAGGTTTGGGTACGCCGACCCCAGGCAAGCAATACACTAGCCTCCACAATGTCTAGTATATATAGAACAAATAGAGGAGTAGCGTACACCTCGTGCCCCTTCTTTTCAGCCTGCAGGACGTTGTAATAGTGCCCCAAAACTACCTATCCATCCGTAGGATATGCCGTGGCGATGCCAAATCTAGGGAAATTGACAAGAAGGGGACTGCTCTCCCAGACCCTTACAGACCGAACTCCGAACATGCTGTGCAACGGGTATAATCACATGACTACGTGGTTTTCTTCGACTCCTTCTCCTTCCATTCTGCTTCCAGTGCATCACTTTGATCCTCTTGGAATGCCACAATAATAAAGCCAAATAAGACCACATTCGCCATAATCGCCGCACTTGCACCAGCCCAGGTTGTGTTGCCTATCGATCATCAGTCATATCCCTGAAATTTCAGTAAAAGTCAACACCAACCTCCAAAAATCGTGTCCACAGAGAGGAAATAAGTGCCTATAGGAGCTACGATCATTGCAAATGTAAACCCTAAGAGCTTGTATATCACATGTCTTCGCATCCAAACTTCAGTCAGTTGTCTCATGTGACTAGGGCAGGGAAGGGCGAGGAGGCTCACGCAGGTACTGCCGGAGTGATATTGCTCTTCTCGCCTGCCTTTGGCGCGAAATCCTTATCATCTCTCTCTAGCACCGTTTTCTCGGACACGATTCTCCTCGTAGTCATCCTGACTTTGGCCCTCCACCTTAATAACGATTGTGTGTTTTGCGAGCAAGAGGTGAAGGTAGGGTGAGAGGTGTGGTTGGATCGGGCTGTGAGGGCGGCTGACTTCGTGTTCGTCGAACGCGAAGTGCAGGGGCGAAAGAAATCGCGTCAAGTGGATGGGATTCACTAGCGTGAATTTTTGGAACCATTGTCACCACAACCCAACTGTCCAACAAGCTTCCTCCTCTCGAACAAAAGGGCAGGACTTGAGGGACGACGAACTTGGCTTTTCTTTTAAGGGATCACGTTTCGGAAAGGAGGATCTCTATTTCGATGCTGTGCGAAGGCAGTGGCGTACTCAAAGCCAGGGAAGAAGGATTTGGTAACGGAAACGGACGGTCGATCTTTGCGAATACTTCTCCAAAGTGAACCGCACACGGCTCTCTCGAATTTCCTTACCTGACTCCGTCACCACTGCCACGAATCCCTCCTCGTCAGCGACCCGACACAACAACGTTCACGATCGCCACCATGGCTTTCAATGCCAGCGGTGCAAAGGTCATGTCTCTGGTCCCCGACTCTCCTAGCGACTCTCCTGCTGTCAAGAGACAAAGGACTGCTTCTGGCTACAACTCGAAGAGCAACTCTGCTAGCAACACCGGGGTATACAACTCTGACAATGACGACGGTGATGAACTCTTGAAGGAATATGTCCCTGATACGCCTGGCAACACCTACGAGACGCAACCTACGCAAATCATTGATCGATCTGCGGCACCTCCATCAAGCCCGCCAGCGCCAGCTACTCCCTCACCCGCCTCTGTCGTACAGGTTCCAGCTTCTTCGCCATTCACTGGGACGACACCAGTCAGGGGCTGCGACTATGTGAAGATCGGTCCAAGTGTTGGTAGCAATGCTGGTCCCAGGCCAGTGCAGAATGGTGTTGCTCCATCCAAGAGACCCTTGGCTTTGGCTATGGCACCAGCTGGTACAGCATACAGACCTCCGCATGGCATTGTCAAAAAGTCGTCTCCACAAGCCACAAAAGTTATTAACCTCACCTCTGACGACGAAGACGATGGACCGAAGTTTCAAGGGGGAAGCTCGTCTGATGATGAAGCTCAGGAGCGTGCAAATATCAAGCCAACGTCGTTCATCAAAAGCCCTCAGAGTTCTTTCAATTCGGCCAGCGGACAGTCCCCTACCGCAGTCAACGGCAATGCCAGATTCCAGAACGTTGTTTCGAACGCTGCATATAAGGGCCCCGATCAAGGGAAGGTCTTCACCAAACCACGTCCTTCATCAACCTCGAGCGGAGGCGCCAAGAAGCCGACCCAGATGAGACCAGAAAGAGCTCAGCCAATCCAAGATATCTCTCTGGACGATATACCTGAATCAAATATCCGTGACAATATTGTGAACATCCGAAAGATACTACCTATGACGACGATCCTTACCGCGAGAAATGCTCTGATTCAAAGTCATTACAATTGGGAGGAGGCGGTATCGCTTCTTTGCAGTAAAGACCCCGATCCAGTCGTTATTTCGGATGACGAGATCGAGAGTCCTCAGCCAGCAAAGAAGCCTGAGCCTCAGATGAAGCGCACCCTCGACGGACCCGCACAATCGATCGCAAGCAAATACTCTTCAACCCAAGCCCTTCCACCGAGAAAGCCAGCTAATGCAACGCCACCACCACCTAAACCAAGGAAGAGACTCGTCAAAGGACGTCGAAATCCTTCATCGCCTGCAATCCCCGCCATATCGTCACCGCTGAAACCTCAGTCACCTCCCAAGTACGAGTCCTACGACTCAGACTCTGGTGTTGCATCAGAAACTGAGGAAGATCCTGAACTTGAAGGCCGTGTGTTGAAGTTCTTGAATACCTGCAAGGTGGATGATCTGGTAGAGCTCACTAATACTACCAAAGCTACTGCTGAAGCAATGGTTGCTGCTCGACCCTTCAGAAACCTGGCTGTAGCGAGAGCTGTTGAAAACACGAAGCCAACCAAAAGTGGAAAGAAGAGCGCAAGAGCGCCCGTCGGCGATAGAATTGTAGAGGCTGTGGAGAAAATGCTCAAGGGATATGAAGGTATCGACACCCTTGTTAAGAGATGTGGAGAGCTAGGCAAGCCTTTAGGTGAGGAGATGGCAAAGTGGGGATTTGATGTCTTTGGTGCCCAGAAGGATGGGGAATTGGAGATGACCTCGCTGGAGGACGACAGTGATCTATCCCAACGTGATTCTGGGATTGGCTCTCCCAGCAGTGGAGCTGCATCTCACAACAGTGATGACGAGGTCAAGGTCAGCACGAAGAAGAGAAATGCTCAATTTTTGAAGAAGCCGGAGCTGATGGCTGAATCTGCCGTACTCAAAGACTACCAGATTGTCGGACTGAATTGGTTGGCTTTGATGTACCGACACGGATTAAGCTGTATCCTGGCTGACGAGATGGGTTTGGGAAAGACTTGCCAGGTCATCTCCTTCCTGACTCACTTGGTTGAGATTGGACACACCGGTCCTCATTTGGTAGTTTGCCCTGGCTCAACATTGGAGAATTGGTTTCGAGAGTTTCAGAAGTTTTCTCCGGATTTGGTGGTTGAACCATATCACGGTATGTAGGAAGAGTATGAATTGTTGACCAGTGGCTAATGTGTGACATGCAGGTGCTCAAAGTGCCCGGCCAGGAATGGCTGAGCGTATTCTGGAGCATTCGGACCAAATCAACGTCGTTATTACTACGTATGATATGGCGGCGAAGAAGGAAGATAACAAGTTCATGAGAAGACTAAAGCCTGATGTAAGTGCTGCTTGCGATTGCTGTACTTTGGAATTGTGCTGATCAGAAACAGGTCTGCGTTTATGACGAAGGACATATGTTGAAGAACGTCAACTCCCAGAGGTACCAAGGCTTGATCAAGATCCCCGCTCTTTTCAGACTCCTTCTCACCGGCACACCTCTGCAAAACAATCTTCAAGAGCTAGCAGCGCTTCTAGCATTTATCCTTCCTAGTGTTTTCAAGGAAGTAGAGACGGATTTAAATTTCATTTTCAAGGCAAAAGTTACCACTCTGGATGCGGACCACGCTGCCCTCCTCTCTGCCCAGAGAATTCAACGAGCGCGGTCTATGCTCACTCCTTTCGTTTTGCGAAGAAAGAAGGCACAGGTTCTGAAGCATCTACCTCCAAAGGTCTGTAGGGTCGAGTACTGCTCTCTACATCCATCCCAAAAAGGAATCTACGATGGTCATCTCGATCAGGCCAGGGAGCGAGCTCGTATTCGAGTCGAGGGTGGGAAGATTCCTAAGACCGATGAGAATAACCCCTTGATGCAGCTCCGCAAGGCAGCGATTCACCCACTTCTCTTCCGCCGACACTTCACCGACGAGAAGATTGAGAAAATGGCAGATATCCTTCGCAAGAAAGACCCTGTTAACTTTCCGGCCTCTAACAAACGTCACTACCTAATCGAGGAGATGAGAAATGCATCCGACTTCTGGCTTCACCAATGGTGCCTTGATTATCCGTGCATCCGTTCCTTTGATATTCCCGACCGAGCCTGGATGGACTCGGGCAAAGTCGAGTCAATGGTAAAGCTGGTAAACACCTACAAAGCGAACGGCGACCGGGTCCTAATCTTCTCCCAATTCGCACTCGTACTCGATATCCTCGAATCGGTTTTGAACACCTCCCTCATCCACTTCACTCGCATCGACGGTAGCACCAAAATCGACGAACGGCAATCCCTCATCGATACCTTCCGAGACGATGAATCGATCACTGCCTTCCTGCTCACTACCAAGGCGGGCGGTACGGGTATCAATTTGATGTACGCCAACAAAGTCATTATCTTCGACGGCAGCTTCAACCCTCAAGATGATCGTCAAGCCGAGAATCGCGCACATCGCGTTGGCCAAACCCGAGATGTGGAAGTCGTTCGGCTAGTCACTAAGGGCACGGTCGAAGAGCAGATCTTTGCCTTGGGGCAGAGTAAACTGTTGCTTGATGGGCGTGTGGCGGGTGATTCCGAGGATGGGGGGAAGGCCGAGGAAGCAGGTGAGAAGGCGGTAGCGAAGATGTTGCTTGAGGGAACGGGGATGAGCTCGTCTGATGATGAGGCTAGGGCTGAGGACGCGAAAGAGCGTGTGAAGTCTGGGAACTCGAAGGATAGTGTGAAGGAAGAGAAAGTTGGGCTGAAGGAAGAGGTCAAGAGCCCAGAGCGAAAGCTGCCACAGCGCAAGAAGAGCAGCATTCTTGACATGCTGACGCGTGGGGGAAGCCAATCTGAGGCGAGGGAGGAGAAAGAGGGGAAGAAGGGGCCGGAGCTGGTGGTGCTTGATGAGGAGGGAGATGAGATGCTCGTCTGAGCCTTCACTAACCTTTCTCATGCTGGCTGGGTGGTGTTGTGGCGTACGTGGAGTTAATGGGTGGGGTGATGAAAGAGAGTTGAAAGTGACTGAGAAAGAATATTATGCTGCGAGGAGACGAGTCGGTCTCGTGCAGCCAGCCCCTGAGAGATGCTAGATCTTGTAGTAGAATGGATAGAACCTTTGAGATGGCGTAGATAAAGGAGATGAGGAAAGGAATGAAAAGATTGAACATACTGGCTGTCTTCTTTCGCTCGGTTGACTTCAAATCTCGACGTCCCAGCTCTTCCCGTTTTATCCAGATTCGAATTTTGGTTCCGTTTCCACCTCCTTTCTTGAGCACTGCCGAATCCCGCTCTTGCGCCTCGCTCGTTTCTTCATGATGAAACTCACAAAGGAGTATGAACCACAAACCATTTTTCTACTTTCTTTCATTCACCATAACCTCATAACTCAACTACCTACCTACTAACCACCACCTCCTTCACTCTCACCACTTCTCCATCCACCTGCATCAACTATTCTCATGCTCATCCTCTCACGTCTCTCCATAAGACTATGTACATATACACAGAATACTCCAACCACAACCACAACCACAACCACAATTCAGCTGGGCATCCCAAACCAACCAGCCAGCCAGCCACTCATCCAACCAAGCAATCGCTTCTGCGCTCGTCCCTGTGATTCAAACTCTTTGATCTTAACGTAGGCTTAACACAAAAGCAGAGAAGCAAGTGCATTATTATGAGCTGGAAGAAGCAAAGTGCTGAGAAGGCTGATTTGGCCGAGTATTCGAGTTCAAGAAGATAAGATACGAAAATCAAAGCAGTGACCCTTCCTAACGCCGTGGCTGAACCGAGACGTCCTGACTATTGACTGCGTACAAGCGAGCAAGAAAAGCAATAAAAAGCAAATGTCGAATACGGATCAGAATAGGGAGACGGAAAGCCTGCGGGCAGGCATTAAGATATCGCTATCGTATTTGTGAAGTCTTGGTTTCTTGGGAAAGAGAAGTTGGGCTTGGAGGCGGTCTGAAGGATGTACAGCGGAATGTTGAAGGCGGACGGATGAATGCCGTCGAAAACGTATGTTGCCAATGATACTGGCGGGTGTCGTGTCGCGGGAGGGCTCGCTCATTGAAGCTCGGTCGAGCATTTCGGGCACTTGATAGCCTCCTCCCACGTCTTTGGGTCTGCGCTTGGTCGAAGATCTTTAATAATGGCTTTCGGCGCCTCGTCTCCATCGTCCTTGATTCGGGCTTCGAACATGCCCTTGAACCGGGGTTTTCCTTTGCCCTTCTTCCCGTTCGTTCGCGCGATTCCGTTTGTCTTCGTATCTGGTGAGCCGTTATCTCCTTCGACCAACCGACTGTATGTCTTTGAGAGGATATCTTCGACTAGGCACTCCCTATGAAGCCAGACTTTGCACGCTGTGTTGTCACAGATGAACATCGTCTTTTCGGGGTTAAAGTAACCTCCGCAGATGCAGTGCTCCCGTAATTTCTGTTCCATAGTTTAGCTCAGGTGCATATCTGGGGTAAGTTAGAACTTACGGATAGGGCCTGAGTTTGTCGATTAAAGGTTTGGCGCCAGTAAAGCTTGTGGTTCAGATTGTCGTCCTCCTCAAGCCAATGAAATACGTCTGCCTTTCCTGCAAACGAAAGGACGTCCAAGACCTCCATGTAATTTGAAGCAATCAACTCATGTCCACCGTGGTATGTTCTCTTTCCAGATTCCTTACTTTCCATATCTTTGCTCTTAGTACCAGGCGGTGGAAGCTCTTCGGGCCAGTACATCCAAGCAATCTAGACAGTCAACATCTTTTATCTCAAAAAATGTAAGTGCAGTCTTACCAGAGCATACACATGCTGAGCATTCTTTGCCCGCACTTGCAATATCCGCGCAACCCAAAAGTCCTTCGGTTGCCCTTCGGTATCCTTATCCTTTGGTGTATTCTCGCCCCGGACAAAAACAAATTGGTTGTTCTTGTAGACTTCCCCTTGGACTGCAGCTCCCGATTAGCCCGAATTCGATCAGTTGTCGAGCCAGTCTATCCACTCACTGATAAAGTTATTGTACTTCTTCATCGTCTCCCACTCATGATGTGGCACAACCGTAAAATGCTGATCCAGCTCTCCCTCCATCAACGCACCCTTCGCCTCGAATGGGCTGACCTGCCACTCAGCATGCGCAACCAATTCCTCCTCCTCGTCAGGCCGGTCCTTGCTGTCATCCATATCCGGATACTTAACCTCGAAGGGGACCTTGGCGCCTGGATCCGCAGGGGTAGCAGAGCGCGAAGCAGGCGTCGCGGAGCTCTTTGCGCGCTTTGCCAGCTGCTCTTCTTCGCTCTTGAAGCTGGCGAGCCCGTGTTTGGGGGCCATGGTCGCGAGTAGGTTGCTCCTGGGTGATGATGCAGATGTAGTCATAGGCGGATGGGAGCACGCAGACCAGTGCAGCGCGCTATCTGCAAGGGGGGGGTTCCAACAGCTCGAGCGTGAGATGTGAGGTGCAAGGTGCGTGCGAGTGAGACTGGGGGGCGAAGAAGCTCTTGATCGGTTGTTGATCGATGCGTCGCAAAGGTGGAAGGAGCGGCGTTCGCTGCGAGACGCGGAAGCACAGCGCGCGTTATCAGACAAGACCCTAAGACCCGGTGGGAGAGGAAGTCGCGACCAGACAAGTCCGGTTGTGAGGGCGATGCAAAGGAAGGGCCGCTGGCGATTCGGGTGGAGGGGCGTCTATTGAAAGTTTGCACGAGAAGTGATGTCGCGTCACGACTCACAACCGCGAAAGACGCTATGTTTAATCCCTGTTCCGGGTTGCATTTCTGCCAAAGTTTCCCATCCTCATCCTCACAACAATATCCTGCGTTGATATTGGGCAACATGTCAGCCCTATTAATAACCCTTGAGTATATCGCCTTTGGCTATCTTACCAGAGTGTACATTCATTCATATTCACAGAATTTCAACACAGAGACTGCAGCTTCGGACCCGATATCGCACTCTCGGCCGTTCGGACTCCGGATAAGAACTCTCAGGCACGAGCCTGCAAGAAGGTATAAGCCGCATGGGGTATGTGTTCTATTATTCAACGCTTTTGGGTATGCTAGATTTGCTGCATCCAAGAGCAAAGCGCAGTCGAAAAAAGTGGTATCAAGAAATCCTCCCCAACTCCCATCATTGCCCAATCCTTACCCCCAGCGGTCCTCAGCCATCCCCACCATCATAGCCCCTCTATGCAGCGGTCTTCTCCTCCTTCGCAACCTTCTTCCTGAACAGCTTATTCTTCAACTTGTCGGCCAACCCCTCAGGATGCTTCGTGGTAGTCTTCTCCGCAACATGGACATTTCCCTCACCTCCTCGTCCGACGTGGAAGTTCTCGCCCTCCGTGCTGGGTCGCAGCGCTACCTCGGGAATGGCCATCTCGTCTTTGCGTTCCGTGGCCTTCACTCCGGGAGAGCCGATATTGGCAGCGCCTCCTCGCCCGGTGCTGAATGCTCCATCAAGGTGATCTCCAGCAATTCCCTCGCGGACGATTTCTCCATCTCCATAGCTACGGGGCGTCAGTTTTGAGCCAAGAAGGAGGAGGGGCGAGGTGTTGGGAAGACATACGGAGTGGCATCAGCACCAATGTTTCCAGCGCCTGTCAATATATCAGACTCAGCTCAATGGATTTTCTGGAGAAAACCGCTCACCTCCACGGCCGTGGCTGACATCTGTGCTGTTCCGGGCGCTCATCTTTGCTCAATTGAGGTATTTAACTTTCGACGGTAGATCCTCTTCTTGGTGGGGTCTCGATGTCTGGATATCGACTCTCAGCTCAAGCACTGCAGAAAAAGCGATCAAAGACTGGCAGATAAGTACGTGGAAAGGGTTGGGGGCGACCAAGCACGACTGATCATGAGATATTAAAAGGAATGGTGCCAGCAGGTCAGGCAGAGCCAGGGAGGCTTGGCTACCTCTTTCGAGCAGCGTAATCGGCGCCTGCCCAGGCTACTGATTCTTGGCGGCTCCCTTAGCCGGATTGGTCCGGCTGGCTCAGATTCGGGGGCACGTACCTGCTGGCAGTTGGGGGTGACTAAAAAGTATCCGGAAGTGTAGGCAGAAAAAGCAAGCAAGGCGAGAAGTGTACGAAGTATGATGATGATGGTGAGACTGAGCGGCGAGACTGACTGACTGGCGAGACTGCAGGGACCCGCACTCTGCCAGGATCGTCGCAATTGAGTTGCAGGCCAGACGAGGGCAGAAGATTTTCGAGGCTATGACGCAATCCTGGGATTCGTCGGTGACGACCGTCCCTCAGGTACGGCAACAAATGAAGAGCGCTCCAGCTTCTCCGGGCGCTCTCGAAACGCACCCAAACGCACAACGCGGGTATGAGATGAGGTGAGATGTGGCGTGTGATTTGCTGCGTCGGGTCTTGCCTTGCCCTTGCCTTGCCTGCCTTGCCTGGTCTTGCCTTGCAGGCTTGCAGGCTTGCAGCCATATCATTGCCCGAGATAACACGTCCAACTCCTTATCTCTCGGCTCCGCTAGCTGGCTCCACTCGCTTCCTCTCATTCCACACTGTGCTCCACATTCCACTCCATCAGCTCGATGAGGCTGGGCCTGGGCTGGGCTGGGCTGGGCTGGTTTCACTTCCCCGCGGTGACCTGGCCAACCAACTTACCTAAAGAAGGGGGAAATGTAAAAACGACTCCCCCCGGGTCTCGATTGGGGGCTAGGGTGTTAACGACTTGTAATTGGCTACTTAAGCTCCTTAAAGACCTTCAGTTAGATTTTTAATATAAGCATAAGCTAGTATATTATAAGGTCGTGGCAAAACTCCATCCAACCCAACGGCGTGGAAAAGCCTTAGCCGGGACGAAGCGAGGGGTGCAGCCTCGAGGCAGAATAGGATGCGTTTGTTTACATACGGTCCGACGCAAGGATCGTTATGAAAGTTATCCTTTTTGAAGACCCGAACCGAAATAGGGGCTCAGGGGCTGGATCACGTGGTAATTTAATTCATTTGCATTCCTTCGCAGTATCGTTTACAAAATTGGGGACCAGAGAGGAGACTGCCCGTTATGCAACTGTTCCTAAGCCGTGTCTTTCGCTCACCTTTCTAGATCTAAAAATCTAGGCCTTTTCTGCTTTCGGCGGTGCTCCTCCAGTGGTAGGAAGACCCATGAAGATCTTGAAGTAATCCTGAAGTATGGTCAGAAAGAATTCATCATCAAGGAGGAGTTTCACTCACGTAAATCATCCATTGGAGTCCAGTCAATGTTCCGATCATGACAATTCTGACGGGGAGACCATTCCAGAGACCACTAAATCCAATGTCCTTGTAGATCCGTCCCATGGCAGCTCCGAAAGCCTCACCAGGCGCGCGGTTGGCGTTGAGTTTGGAGACCTATTCCATGTTAGCATTATACCCCTGCCGCAATTTTGCCCTTCAGACTCACCATCACATCAGCAGGGTGAGAGACAATAGCGCAGAGAATACCAGCAAGATAACCACCTGTGAACGAAACAGCAGTCTGGGCACCCTTTCCATAATCCGACTTTTGACCAGGAAGACGGTCATAGATCATTTCCACGATCGTCTCGAAAGAGGCGAACTTCATCATAGTGTAAGGAATTTGACGCCCCCAAAGAGGATACAATCCCTTGTAAAGTCCACCAAAGCCTTCCTTGGCTGTGATCGTGCTGATTCCGTCAAAGGTACCTTTTGCAAAAGGAGGGATTGTAGTTTGCATCCGGACTTTGACGGCTTCGAAGGGGCACAGAGCAATATCGGCAATAAATTCGGCAGAGGCACTGGCAGTTAGATAAAGCCAGGTCTTGTATTTGAGGGCGTTCTCGGGTCCTGCAAGATCGCCATAGTATTTCTTAAAGAACTCGTAACCTCCGTATTTGAAGGCGCCTTGGGCTGAGTATCCGAAGAAGGTTGGGCCCCAACCGGTATAAATGCCGCGGAATCCCTCAGCACGGCCAATCTTTCCCCAGGCTTGGAAGTTGCCAGTGTACATTTTTGAGTCGACTTGACGACGGCATTTGACCAAATCGAGAGGGGTGACAGCAGTATGTGTGAGACCCTTAGAAATATTAGAATTTGGTCATAGTAGCAGAGGCATAGCAGAGGCATGATTCGCATCGGAGCCATGATAAGGATTCGGGTAGCACTTACGCAGGCAAGCAGACCTCCAAAAGTACAAGCTGCATAGTACTTGGCAGAATATAATTCAATGTGCCCAGCCTTAGCTTGGGCCTTTGCGCTGGCCTTCTCAAACTCTTTTGTAGCCTCGGCGCTCAAAGCTTCGGCCTTCTTCTTTGCATCATCAACCACAGACCAGGTGGGGAAGAGCTCAGCACGAGCTTGAAGGGGGGTTCGTTTGGGGGCTGCAAGAGGAGCAGGAGCTTCGCGGCGTCCGAATGGGACAGAGGGGTGGAAGACATTGTGAAGAGTGTCTTGGGAGGGGAAGAGGAGAGGCATCTTGAACGTTTCTAGAAGCAAAGACAGTTAGTCTACACAACAGTAGCAGATAATTGAAGCTTGCAGCGATTTCACAAAGAAGAACTAGTAGATTGGATCGTTTCCAGCCGAGGCACGCCAAACTTGACCGAAAAAGCCTCAATCTTGAGGTCGAGAGGCACAGAAAGAGTGGGTAAACGGAGACCATACAGTAAGTCCGTATTCCCGAGCAGAGCAGGCTCAAGATCAGCTCGTCGTCGTTGGCAATGGAACGACTGAATTAACGCTCGCTGATAATCAAAGAAGGGTAAAGGCAGACGCAAGATCAATTGGCACGACCAGCGCGGAGCTCTTCTCGATGATGAGGAGGTTGGCGTTGATAAAGCAGCGAACAAAGATGCGGAGAGCTTGAGCTTGGACAACCTCGCTAAGAGTGACGTATTGTCGCTAAGAAACCTTGCAAGATAGGTTTTGAGAGCATAGACTTCGAATAGGAAGTACAATTCTATTCTATATTTAGAAGAGATAGGAAATATATGAATCGAATTGTCAAAATGAGAAAGATCATAAGGCTAAGAGTCGAAGACTACTGGCACAGTAATCACCTTTGTGAATCTCACCAATCACATGTGATTCCTGAGGCCTCAAAATTTCCAGCAATGAGCCATCCTGAACATGAACAACCACATTTCGTGAAACCTATCAACCATCATGTCAACAACGATGTCGAACACCATCCCAGTAGGAAGCAGCGATGTTGCGTCCAGAATGGGAGACATTGCCTCCGCCCCAAGCCCTCATCTCTCAAAACTGGCTACTCGATACAGAGGAGTAAGACACACTGCCTCAACCGCTTGCTTCAGTACTGACAACCACGCAGGCAACAGTAGAAGATCTCGACCCTCCCTCCGCTCTTTCCTGCTACCCCACAGATCCCATTTCCCACGCCCTTCTCTCAGCCTTCGAACGCGATTACACGCACCTCACCGTCGTCTCTTCCGACACCCGCGCCCTGCTTGGCTACCTCTCCATCCCACACCTCCGTATCCTCCTCGACACAGGCAAAGTCCAGGAATCAGATGAGGTATCGAAAGCTATGGTCAAGTTTAGGAGAAAGGGGAAGGTTTATAAAGTCATTACGATGCAGACGCCGTTGGAGGAGTTGGAGCTGTTTTTCAATGGTGGTGAGAATGGGGAGAATGGCAAGCAGGAGTTTGCGGTTGTTACGGATGAGAGAAGGAGGTTTGTATTGGGCGTTGCAACGCGGACAGATCTAGTAGAATTCGCCCAAAAGAGACCTGCTTGAGGCAGTTATGGGGCGGCTAAGGAAGTGAGGAGATAATAGAGAGCAATCTCTTGGAGGGACTGACTGCTGGAGTTTCGGGGCTAGAGGAAACGAATGGCTTATTACATTCCACGGAGATGTTTAGCATTGCGTGGATACGGGTCACAATGAATTGGTTCGACGAATAAGACCCCGACTCTTCCAGATATTCCGTCTGGGGAGAGGTTGGAGAAGTACGACCTCGAAGGTGACATTGGATTCAATAGCTGCCATTTGAGCAAGTGCCATGATGGACTTCAACGATCTTTCATACGGTCTTCTTCTATTGATCAGCATAAGTATGTTCTTCCTACCGTTTTCCTAACATTCTGTTAAGAGTAAACACTCATACGGGACCTCAATTATCTATGGAGGTAAGTACGACTCAAGCCCACTCAATCCTTCGATTTCGATTAGGACTAACTCGCCATATGAAAACCACGCTTCGGCACATTGTTGCCGGACACCTTGGCCGTCATTTGCTTCTCAACCAATCACCAACAAAACGCTGAGCCTTACGACCCGCTTCCCGGCTTTGGCGTTATGTCTCTCAGTCTCTACCCAGTTACAAAGCTGATACCTGGGTAACGTGTAACCGAAATCGCAGACCGGCTAACTTGTATCTTTACGAGTTCACCTCAAGTTGAGCTGCTGAGTAGAGAAAAGCTCCATATTTAGCCCCACTGTTGATATTTTTTTGGGCTTGCAGGAACCCACCAAGGGTGGGATGAGGCTTCAACCTTATTACTCTCCATTGCTGCTTTCTTTTGATGTATATTTTATCTTTCCAGGTGCAAGATGCATAATGACTCTATACCCGGCGGAGAGCCCTCCTCGGCTGACGCCGAAAAGGGGTTCGCTTCGGAATCCTTGCGCGAACCCGGCCGCGGCATCACAACCCCCTTGTCACAAAGCCAGACAACAGCTGTCGAGCTCCAACGGAGTCATCATAGCCATGCCAAGTCCACAAACTTTCCCCTATCTTTCTGGAAATGGGCAACCCAGAAATCCAATTCGTCCTCAGATATCGACACCAACCCACCTCCAGATGGGGGTCTCCAAGCATGGACCATAACACTAATGGCACACATGGTGGGTTTCAATACCTTCGGGTTTGTCAACGCTTACGGTGTCCTACAATCCTACTACGTCTCCCGCTTTGATCTTCCCCCCTCAACAGTATCCTGGATCGGCTCCCTTTCGGCTTTCCTAGTGCTCTTCATCTCGACATTCTCCGGCCGTCTCACAGACGCAGGCTACTTCCACCAAACGCTCCTCCTCGGCACCATCCTGCAACTCCTCGGATTCTTCGCCGCCGGTTTCGCAAAAACATACTGGCAGGTTCTCCTCGCACACGGTATATGTATCGGTGTCGGCGGAGGCCTGATCTTCATCCCCGCCATCTCGCTCGTCGGCACCTACTTCACCAAACGCCGAAGTCTCGCGCTCGCAATCTGCGCAGTTGGGAATTCCTTCGGCGGGTTAATCTTCTCCGCAATCTTACAGTCTTTGCTGCCGAAATTGGGATATGGCTGGGCGATGAGAGTCTGCGGGTTCGTGATTATGGGGAGCATGATACCGGCGAATTTTCTGCTGAAGCCGAGGAGGATTAAGAGGAATAAGGCGCCGTTGATTGAGTGGAGTGCGTTTGGAGAGCCGGTTTATGCTTGTTTTTCGGTGGGCATGTTTTTTAGCATGGTGGGGATGTGGATTCCTGTTTTCTATGTAAGTCTCCCACTTTCTCCCTCGACAATTTTTGATTAGGAAATTTCAGCTTGGATCTTTTGGAAGAGATATCATACATATTGGGTCGAAAGACGCTTCGTCTTTATTGCTTATAATCAACGGTGTCGGTATCTGTGGGCGCGTCATCCCCGCCATCGTAGCAGCGAGATTCGGACCCTTGAATCTCATGATTCCTCTGAGTCTAGTCTCAGGGCTGATCCTCTTCTGCTGGGCGGGAGTCAGTAACCATACTGAGGTTGTCGTCTTCGATGTCTTCTATGGTTTCATCATGGCTGCTGCGCAGGGAATGTTCCCTCCTTCCCTGGGGAGCTTGACCGAAAATCTGTCGAAGATGGGTGTCAGGATGGGAATGGTGTTCTCGATTTGTGGGTTTGCGGTGCTGATTGGGAATCCGCTTGCTGGTGCGTTGATTACCTTGGATGGGGGGAGGTATCTTTATGCGCAGATGTTTGCGGGGGGGGCTATGACGCTTGGGGTTGCGTTTTTGACGGCTGCGAGGGTGTTGAAGAGTGGTTGGGGTATACGGGTGAGAGTATAGCAAGTGCACAATTCTGAGAGAGCAAGACGGTGTATTCCGATTACCGTTAAAAGTCGTGATTGAGCTGCGGCTCTTCTCAACCAGATGATTGCAAGTTCCCCCATTGTGGTGCGTCGGATAGCTTCACTTCTGAGAGCAACGGAAAGTCTATTCACAGTGGAATGAGACACTCCAATTTGATCACATTTTTCTACAATCCTTTCGGTCAAGACCAAGAGCCAAAGGGCTGGAAGTCCATACTGCAAGGCTAAGTGAAGGAGAGGAAGGTCCAAAGCCTGATTGGACAGCTCTGTTGCCCAACCACTGGCTCGTTATCCAGGCTTGTCGGCTGCAGCTTCCTAAAATGCCCGCTACAGCAGCGCCCACTGTTCAACTTTCTCTGTCCTCATCTGGATATCGCCTCTTCACTTTCGACAACCCTTTCACCTCGACCGAAAAGCAATTGCACATGTTCGTCATTTCAGACGGGCGACAGCGTCACTCACAAGCTATCACATCGATTGTACATTCAGTGAAATACGTAGCACGAGGCTGGCGGTTGAATCTGGAGAGCTGCTGGGTACAACTTCTGGCAGTTTATTCGTAAGGTAGTCGCAAGTGTGTTTGGATCCCAAAAGAACCACAGCTTCTTCGCAATCCATCAGGCTACAAGTCCAAACCAAATTCGATGGACAAGGCTGCTGCTCAAAGCTGGTGGAGTACTGGAGAGAACACGTCCCTCTCACAAGATTCAGGGCTCTCAAATACCAACCATTGAATATCGAGAAGGTGGAGATCCGCTTGATTACCCTACGAAAGAAAAACATTATATGGTTAAAAGCCCCTTGAGAATGTCTCTATGGCGGTCGGAACAGTCTACAATACTCTCTCGTATTGCTGGGGCGATACAAACGAGACAAGAGATTCTGGTCAACGGCCATATTGTTAATGTTACTACCAACCTGGAAGAAGCACCATGTCGCCTCCGAGCACGAGACCCGGGACGTCCATCTGAATGGACGCGCTCTGTATCGGCCAAGAGGATATCGAGGAGAGAGATCGGCAAGTTCTATAGATGAGAGATATTTATTCGAAGGCCAAGTCCGTGATATTGTGGATGGGTGAGGAGATCGAGAGTACTCTCGCTGCAGTCGCCTTTCTGAAAGGGATGGCCTTGGGGAAAACATCGCCAAGCCGGGGACGATGGCGGGGATGATCTGGAACCTCTGTTTAAACGGCTATACTGGGGAAGAACTTGGGTTGTACAAGAGATTGTTCTCGCTACAGACATTTATATCGTTTCGGGATCAAGATCATTCTCGTGGGAGATCTTACAGAGGGCGATCGACTGCTACTTGCCCAACGCTAGGGACACTCTTGAGGTGTAGGTAGTTGCTCAGCTAGTACATATTTGCAGGTATTTTGGTTAAGGCTAAGAGATAGAACTTCTTGATATCTTGAACCGGACGCTTCTTCAGAAGGCTACGAATCCCCGGGGCAAGATCTATGGGCTTTTTGGCTTGACTAGCGACGGCTCTAATCTCGTCCCATCTCCAAATTAACGACTTCCAGTCGATACTGCAGTGGATGATACAATGAGAGCAGTAGCTATCTCCAACACAACATTGGATGCTCTGGCCGCGAAGATGCCATTGGAAGAACTAGTAACCGGTGTATCGAGTTGGTATCCTGTTGGCAGAACCACGCGATGTCGCTCCTCCGAAGAAGTCTTCAAGGCCCTTGATTCATGTTTGCTCACCACGGCGGATAGTTCTCCACATCGCTGGATGCTTCTAGCAACTCTTTTTGCTTGTGACGGCAAGGAGACAGGGGCGGCCACATCGTCGTTGCGGGAAGGCACGGTTGATCAATTTTTAAAAAGCAATGGAGACTTCGTTGTCAGTGGGCGGACTCTAACGACTGCGCAAAAAGCTTTCAACTCTCTAATAGAAGCAGCTCTTCGGCGATCAAGATAGTAGTACCTACATTAGCAGGGTATCACTGGTGGGAGTATTTTTCTAAACTGACGGAGTTGTAGAATTGGAACAATGAAGGGTAATTGTGACATAAATGGGGCATCTGGGAATGGTACATCTGCAGGCCAAGCACGAAGACAAGCTGTGTCTTCTCCCTGCTTTCCGAAACGCCGTTATTATTCGGCCGTTGGTGTGATAGACACAAGATAATCGGATATTCTTACATCAGCGGTATGATGAGAGGGGAGATGGATCACCCACTTAAAGGCGATAATTTGCAGTGCTTTCGCATTCATTAAACGACCCGTATATTCGACACTTGGACGGTAAAATGTTCGTATACGCTGTAGACTTAACAGGATACGCCACTCGAGCAAGAAGCTCCGCCATTCTATCCTCCGCATGTAATTCTGCTCTCGCTTTCTCTCCGTCTGTGATAGCCCTGATTTCTGCCACACAGCTTCTGACGCAGCTGTCGCCTTCTTCTTTGCACTCCTCCGAAAGAATAGAAAGGTGGATATAACAGCAGTGATGAATAGCAGTGGGATGACTTGTGATTCTGGTCCTTAACAAACCAAACGCATTGCAGTAAGTCCCTACTCCCTGCCATAAATGTAGACTCCCTGCCATAAATGTAGACTCCCTGCCATAAATGTAGACTCCCTGCCATAAATGTAAACTCCCTGCCATAAATGTAAACTCCCTGCCATAAAGGCAAACAACCAACTATAAATTCAAGACCGCTCTCTCTTCCAAGCCACAACCCTAATATGAACCACCCTCCTCACAGCTCTCCTGGACCGTGTCCCCGTACGAGTAACCACATACGTATAAGACGTATAAGGAAGAAGGCGTTTCAAATACGGCTCCACATCCTTGACATCAATCGTCCCGCCGTTCCCTCGGTGGACTTCCCTACTCCTCCCATCCACGAACCACTGCTCCACATCTCTCAGCTCAATGCTCTGCTGGATGCCTCTCCAAGACTTCTCCTTTGAACCAACCATGAACATCACTGTCTTCAACTCTGGCATAGACGAAAGAATGCCGTGCCACTGCAACTTCGAAGGAATGCCTTTCCACAGCTCCAGAGGAATGGCAAGATTTTGAATGGTATTCATTCCGTTGATTTGATGCACGAAAGAACTAAGCTCGTTTTGTGGAAAATCGAGAGAACGGAAGAAAATGGTGTCACGCTCTGGATTGAAGTGTAAGGTTCTGTTGGGCTTAGGCTCTTGCTGACGACGACTCTCCGCGCCAGGACCCCTGCTGTTGTGAGAAGCAAGGTCCGGATTGGGGTGGTTGCGTGCTAACTGAAATCGAGTTCGGTAAAGTGGATGGGGTTTGAAAGTCAAGGCTTTCAGAGACTTGATATCTGGAGCTGAGGCAAGTGCAATAGCTCTGCTTTCATGGCATACAGAGACTAAGACAGGCCGATCGACGTAGTTGACGAATGAGGGCTGGTAGAATTGTGTGCAGAACTGCGCTTCGATGAACCTTGGGAGTAGCAGCGCGAGTTCCCAGATCTGGATGCGGATCTCGGGTGGAAAACGGGAGAATTGCGGGAATGGTTTACTGTTCTTGGTTGAAGATATCGGGAAAGGGAAAGGGGTGTGCTTAGATGCAGCGGTCTTGGTGTCCTTGGCCTTGCCCTTGGGACTTGACGAGCCTGCGCCGCCGTTCTGGTCGTTAGACTGAGATGCTGCAGGAGGCACTGATGGTTGGCTAGCCGAAGGAGAGCCAGATTTTCGCTCTTGGTATCGACGAACACTCTTGACGGTGGGCCATCTTTCATGTGGCGGAAGGACTAGATTCCCGCGTTCCAGAGATTCAACACGCAGTCTGGTGAGTTGATTACGTCTCTCGAGCCGATCCATGGTGCCTGCCATAGTGCTTGGTGTAGTGGGGTTGACTTGTTGTGTAGCTGTCTTTACCAATTATCTCTTCACCTGCAATTCGAAAATAATTTTCCGTTGGGCCCTTGTGTTCTTTGAGGAGAAATAGAAAGGGAATTTCTCTTGTTTAAGTCCTCGAATCTCTGATGTTGCTGAAAAGACGAGGCTGGGGATGACTCGATATGCTCATGCAGCTTCTCGGCAAGAACACACGTGATGCTGTCCACACTCTAAAGATAGCCAATACCAAGCGACAATGAAATCAGAATGGAAAGAAATCGCTCTTAAAGTCTTATGAGGCACGAAGGAAGCCAAATCAGAAAAATCGGTGGCAGGGATTTGCAGATTTTGGAAGGCGGTTGCCTAGGCTGCCTAAAGGTAAAGAGTCGTTACCACTTGCAGATGAAGGCAGGAGGATAATGCCTGGTATTGAGAGGTTGATAGTGCTTGGTAGAATAAAGTTTTAAGGAAAGGTGGATGCTTGGAGACTCTATATATTGTGATTGCAGAATCTACTCGGTGTTGGACGTCAATCGTAAGCGAGGCTGAGAAAGGCGCTAAACCCCCCTTTACCAATCAAGGAGGGAGAAATATTTCGAGACAGACTTTGTCCTCAGAGATTAGACTCCGCATCCTAACAACATACATAGTTACTCGGCTCATATGCCTTTGTCCAAAATCAATTCTATAGCAATATCTATAATTTCCATGCAGCGGACTCAAATATGCAACTCCGATGAACTCCACCCAAATGCTTTAGTGCCAAACAATTCTCATTCATCAGAGTCCTCAATCTCTTCACTGCCCCTTCTTGTAACAATGTCCCTGACTTCTTCGCTCAATAGCTCCCCTACTGCAAGGCTCTCAGTCATGATCTCTCTTGCCCTTTCAGGCCCACATTTCATGTCGTCCATAATCAACTTTACAGCAACCTCAGGAACAACAACATATTCGACATAAGGAGTGAACCCTCTTGCAGCCATTAATCGATCAACCACCATCCTCCTTTTCAACAGCGGCGTAAATTTCCGCATCGTGTTTTCTGAGATTGCACGGAGGCCACGAGTACCATAATACCCCGGCGTTGGATTGAAGTCCGACTTCAGAAGGGATCGATTCTTTCCAGCGTTGACCGTCTCAGCAAGACGATTCCGAGAATAAGAATCAGCTCCATTGATCAATTCCTTGATGAATGGGTGATGTTTGGAGATTCTTGAATCTAGCTTCGCCCAATCGATTGTTGGATATTCTTCCTCGTCCCAAGTCTTCAAAGCAGTTGCCCTTCGATGCGATCGACAGAACTTCTCTTGTTTTCGTGTGTTCATGCGACCATATGCTCTGAGCTCTGCTGGGTCAACGGACTCGCTACACATTGGGCACTTAGCCATTTGTGTCATTGTTTGAAAGTCATCGTCTTCGTCTTCATCAGACACAGGTGCTGATGTCGGTGGCCGTTGGGAGTTTTCTGTATGTAGGATTGATTGAGCTTTCCCCACCAAGCCATCATCATCGAAGTTGTAGGCCTTGTATGCTGGCCGTTGGGAGGCTAAGAATGCTTCCTCCACAGTCGTCTCCTGCAACTCCTCTGGAAGACTGGGTTGTGAATTGTCTTGGTTGGACTCTTGGAGAGAGTTATCAGCGTGAACGCTTGACTGTTTGAAGACCGGTTGTGGTATACTTTCTTCCTTGTCCGGAGTTTGTATAAAAACAGAAGGCCTGAATTTCGCTCCTGAGCTGGGCGTCGTGGCAGGACTATCCTCAAGAGACAGTTTGCGGTGTCTGAAGCCTCTCCCACCTGCAGCATCTGGCTTCACGGGACTTTCAACAATTGTGGGACCCTTCTTGAATTCTTTTCTGGGAGAATCTTCGCCAGTATCTAACGAATGTCAGTATCAGTCTACGATAACAAATCTAGGGCTGACGAACCAGATTTGATTGGAGGAGGTCTGAAAGCTTTTTTGGCTCCATACGTATTTGTTTTTATCTTCTTGCCTTTCTTCCTCCCGTACGCGTCGAACATATCAGCACCGAGCTCTTTCCCGTCTTCCTGACTCTTTCTCTTGGGGCTTTGGCTCGACTGACTTGATGCAGGGGAAAACTTTCCTCGCCTTGGTCTCGTATTCGCGTTTGCATTTCCATTAGCAATAGCAGCTCCCGTCTTCCCGCCTCTGGCATTAACAATGTCCTTTTCCTGCTGCTCTTCCGGTTTCTCAGCTGCACTCTGAAACTCAATCGACTGAATGTCTTCCTTACTCTTTTTCCTGTATTCCTCGTCGGATTCGTCTTCGCTTTCCGGTTGTCGGAGATGATCCGGCTCTTCCTCTACCTCTTTCCTCGCAACAACGTCGGTCTTCACCCCAGCGGTTTGCCCCTTGGTAACGGCCCTGGGTCGCATTGCAGCTTGATTTTGACTTGCTGAAGCATTGAAATTTTGCAGGAGACTTGAACCGATATTTCTTGATAGCCCTGCGCGCCTTCCAGGCTGGCCGTTCTGAAGGACGAGATTCATCTGGAAGGAGCGCCACAGACGCGTCTGGCGCGTTGAAACTAAGAAGCTCTAAGCGATTTTGTGGGGCATTGACAGGGAGACATAAATTCCCTCTGCACAATTGAAGCTCTTGATGCCGAGAACTCTCGGGAGGTAGAGAAGGTACGAGTAGGTGATTCGTGATTTGAGGCTTTTCACATTCAATGATTGGCAATGTTCGATTTGTAATTTGCGTGTTCCTTCAATAATTTTGGACCTTCAAAAAGGTCCAAGCTCCAACGCCAACGGTCCCTGTCCGCGTCTCCCCTGAACGGTACTCAAACCATCGTCGATATTTCTTCAACCTGTATATTCGAAGATGGCGCTCAATAGGAAGTATGCCGCATTGCCAGATCTGGTCTGTATCCTTGCTGAGTGTAGAAGATTCTCTGCTAACTCGAGAAAAGGATTCTGCTCCGGACATCTACGAAACTCCTGAATTGACGGATGACAACTCTACAGCTCCCGTGCGTCCTTGAGCCCCCAACTTTGAGCTGTAGTTGACAAACTTTAGACCGGCAGAGCACACTCTCAATCCACTTCCTCCTCATACAAAGACTTCGACGACGATGAAGATGACTCGCCAGGCATATCTCGTTCCCGTCTGCAACCAGATGAAGCGCGTTCCCATTTCTCACCTGCACAAATCGACGCACGGGATGTAGACTTCTCGGACCGTGTTACTGCCAAGCGGAAATCATACAAAGCATCCAGTCGAAGACAGCGAAAGCGGGAAGATGGTACAGAGGAGTTTGGTGATTTCAGTGACGAGGAAGATGGTGAAAGCTTGGAACGGAAACTTGCAAGATTAAAGCGGGAGATTGAAGAGGTCAAGGAAGAATATGGGAGAAGGCAGGCCGAAAAGAAGGGCGTTGTCGGGGAGGATGCGGCCAAGGATCTCGGACAAGACGTCACCGCGTTAAGTAAGATGCTGGATGGGATATCTGTTACTTCAGGAGCGACAACTTCGAGTGCCAGCGCGAAATTTGCAAAGGATCTTGGGACCGGCATAAAAGCCAACGGACCACCACAAACTTCACAGGGGACAGGAGATTCAGCTACATATACGGTGACATACGCACCGACCTACCAGCAAAGCCATGCTCTTGCAAAGGCAGCCGATTTCGATGGACGATTGGCATTGTTGGAGAAGGCTCTCGGGATAAGTCCAGCGGAGCTACCATCCTTGAACGGAAGTTCAACACCAAAGGCAATCTTGCCAACTCTTGATACTCTCCAGCGACAAATCTCAGTCATTTCCGAATCTACACCCTCATCTCTGGACAGCATGAGTCGAAGGGTTCGGACGCTCACTCAAGAAGCAGAGAGACTAGAAGAGTCCCGGAAGGCAGCCAAGGCAGCTCAAGATGTTTTGAGAGCAGCAGGCGGTGACTTCACTTCAGAAGAGGGAGAAGATTCCGAGCAAGTGGCAAAGATCAACGCTTTATACGGAACTCTCTCTACGATTGAAAGTCTGGCGCCACTTCTTCCTTCTTTACTGGACAGACTTCGTTCCCTAAGGGCGATTCACGCGGATGCGGCAACCGCCAGTGAGAGTTTAGACAGGACGGAAAAGAAGCAAGCAGAGATGGCCTCGGACATCAAGAAATGGAGGGAAGGACTCGAGAAAGTCGAAGAAGCGATGAAGAACGGTGAGACAGTCATGAGTGGGAATATGAAAGTTGTGGAGGGATGGGTTAAGGACCTCGAACAGAAGATGGAGAAATTGTGACATAACGTTGATTCTATTGCTGTGCATGATAACTGTACTCGATACCCAAGCGAAAATTGATTCTGGTTGCAATCTTCTGTCAATGGCCGTGAGACCAATATCTCGTGACGGCCTTCCATAATTAGAAGATTTACCCCTGGCTCTCAGTATTCAGCCTCGCGCTTAGGCACGCCAAGCCAATCACGACGCCCCTTACCGCAAGCCTCTCTCATTCCAAACCTCCGAATCCTAACATTTCCAATGAAGACATTCAACCGCCTGTGAGTCTATTTCATCCATTCTCCCTCTCAACGTGGTGTTTCTGATGGCGATCACTGACGATGACGCGGCAGATTGTAACTACAATACCCGAGAATGGGGACTACCGCGCAGTCATGAGGCACAGGGGTTAGGAGGACAGATAAAGTATCGCCAGTCCCCAAGTGAGAAGGGCAGCCGCGCAGAAAGGATTTCGGAGATGGCGTCTTGGGCAGGGCAGCCCTCGGTGAAGGGCTCGACGGAGAGCATGCGGATGGCACTGTTGACGTTCTCGTTAGTTGGGATCCAGTGAGTATACTTGTTCAATTGGGGTTGCGCCGAGGCTGACTTTTCGTGCAAAGATTTACTTGGGGAATTGAGATGACTTGTAAGTATTCTAATCAATGATTGGCTTCCTTGAGAGGAAATGTGCTAATTGTGTGCTTCAGATTGCACGCCCTACCTGCTTGCCCTCGGCCTCACAAAATCCCGCACCTCACTTGTTTGGATCGCGGGTCCCCTCTCCGGTCTAATAGTTCAACCTATAATTGGGGTCCTCGCTGATCGTTCGAAATCAAAATATGGCAGACGAAGACCTGTGATGCTCATTGGGTCAGTTCTGGTAGCAGGTTGTTTAATAACGCTTGGGTGGGCAAAGGAGATTGTGGGGCACTTCGTGGAAGAGGGCGAATTTAGGAGGAGTTGCACGGTTGCGCTCGCTGTGGTTGCAATTTATGCGGTCGATTTTGCTATCAATGCTGTGCAGGCTTGCTGCAGGAGTTTGATTGTTGATACACTTCCTATTCCAAAACAGCAGACTGGGAGTGCCTGGGGTGAGTTTGTTCCCATATTGAGAAGACGAAGCTGACAGTTTGAAGCAAGCAGAATGGTTGCCATTGGTCATTTGACGGGATACGTTATTGGTACGATGGATCTCGTGAAAATTTTCGGACCTTCGTTTGGCGACACGCAGTTTAAACAGTTGACTTTGGTGTCTGCTGTTGCTCTGATAATTTCATGTGGAGTCACGTCCTGGGCTGTGACGGAGAGAGTTCTGATCTCCGGGAGAGATGCAGATGCACCGAATAAAGGGATTATCGAGATCATACAGCACATTTTCAAAACAGCTACCTCACTTCCTCCTCGGATTCAGGCAATTTGCAACATCCAACTATGGAGCTGGATTGGCTGGTTTCCGTTTTATTTTTATAGCACGACTTTTGTTGGAGAGATGTACTTCAGATACGATGCTCCTCATGATGTCAAGCAGTCGAAAGACGCCTTGGGAGAAATCGGACGGATAGGTAGCTTGGCCTTGGTCGTTTTCTCCTCCGTCGTCTTTTTTGGGGCAACCATACTTCCCATCCTTATTAGGTCACCAGATGGAGAAAACTTCACCAAACGACCGCCGGCGGCAATCGCAGCCGTCCTCACCAAATTCAACAAATACCGACCCGACCTTCTTACTGCCTGGATCTGGGGCCACTGCCTCTTCAGCAGCTCCATGATCCTCACACCCTTCGCACACTCCTTCCGCTCCGCAACTTTCCTAATAGCACTCTGTGGCATTCCTTCTACCCTTTCCTCTTGGGCGCCCAGCACATTCATGGGGATGGAAGTCAACCGCCTCAGTACACCCGCCTCCTCCTACCGACGCCTCTCCATCACCTCGCCCCTCGAACTCGCCTCCCCAATCACACCTACAACGCCTACTCGTCTCGAGCAGGGCGCTATAGCCGAAAAAGAGGATAACAGCTCCACGGGCGAACTTTCCGGCCTCTACTTCGGGATCCTAAATATCTACACCACGATCCCACAGTTCATAGGGACCTTTATCAGCATGGTTGTTTTTGCATTGCTGGAGCCGGGCAAGAGCCCAGAGTTAGCCCATGATGCGGATCCGAGTGAGCATCATGGGACGGATGGCCCGAATGCTATTGCTGTCTGTTTGTGTATTGGTAGTATGTGTACGATTGGTGCAGCCTTTGCGACCAGGAGGTTGAGGAGTCTATATCGGGATGGTTGAAGAGAGGTTGCATGGGCGATGAATTTGATTTGGTTTCACTGGCATGGCGGGGCGTTTTTGTAGGGAACTTGTTGAAGTGTATGATAGATAGATTTCGGATAGAGATGGCGGGCGTTCGAATAGCTGGAATAGATATGATACGCTTTACTCGCTTTCATTATAGGGACTCTACTAAAACCACTCACAAAAATTGTCTCTTCAAGTCTAGATAATCCACTTTCTATGTATTGTAGAAGATCGGATCTTCGAAGTCATCATTGAACCCGTCACTCTGCTTCAAAATCTGCCCCGTTTCACAAGGTTGAAATTCTGTAATAAATATACCAATATCAGCTTTACAAATCCTTAACAAGAACCGCCATGCAATCCCAGCAATGGCACAAAATCAAGTTCTGACCAAGTTCCAACGAATACACCCATTGAAGGAAAATACGCCGGTTGACGCTATTACGGCCTTTATCGAAGCTGCCGGCTCTGGGACAAACAACGCTCTCAGGACCCTCGCACTTCAGGCACCGTGGTTTTTATGTTAAGGCGGAGTTTGGAAAAATTCACACAACAATGTTCCCAGGTGCTAAGGAATTAACAGCGTCGGTCAAATGTGCTCCCACTTCGCGCTCTTGTGGAAGATTAGCAACCCCATTACCCTCGACGGAGAAAGCAAAATCTGGGTATTTGAGACGAGAGAATGGGGTTGATAGCAATCAAGACTTTGACAACAAACACGTCTTATCTGTGGTAAAATATCGTCCGGGGATTTTGGTGTCAGTGAGACTACTATTGTCAAACAAGGCGAGTCTGTCGATGTTCTTCAGTAACCTTTATACCCAATGGCTAGCGGGCAGTTGCATGCTCCGTGGCGTATTGTAAACTCCGAGTCGTTCGCACCCGCAATGCGTCCAATGTTCAGTTCGTCTGGTTAACACCCCTAAGTGCAGCAGATCTGGTTCCTTTGCAATGTGGTGTGTTTGCCATCGGGGCTTGTAGACGACACCGTATTTATAGCAGCTCCCTCCCTGAACGGGGTCCTCGTGCTCTCGCTTGACTAAATTCGCTCTTTCCCTTTCTCCTCACTCTTCGCTAGAGCTACATCAAATTCTCTATCTCTGTAGTCAGTGAGAATATATCAAATTCAGTGTCCTCGAGCTTCTTGGGGATTATTTGGCTCAAAAATGGCTTTGCAAATTCACCCCCTCCCCCCCCCCCCCCCCCCCAAAGAAGAATCTGTTTTTCCAGTTCTATGTGCAACGACGTGCTTTAGTCTGGGAGCGAGCTGTCATTGGCCGGTGCAGGGGTCTAGAGAAAGCAGATGTGCAGCAAATCCATCAAAACAGCTGCCATTGGACGCTAAAGAGATGTCGATGTGCAACGAAATCCTTGAGACTAAATTAGAGCAGGGACTAAGCTGCCATTGGTCGGTACAGAAGTGCAGTCAACAAAGGTCGACGTGCAACCCCATCTTGTGAACTTGAGAGCATTTTGAGACTGAGGAGATTCTCACAGGAATTTAGGAAGAGCCAAAAGGCAAAGCACACAAGAAGACTTCTGAACATTGGGTTAGAGGGACCTGGTGACCAATTTGAGAGAGAGGCTGCTTGATCTGTTGAGCAGATTTAGAGCAATGTGAAAGGGATTGAAATTTGGATCATAAAGCATAAGAAAATGAGACGGGACGCTTGAATTCGCAGATGGACAGCCAAATCGCAAATTCCGAAGAAAGCCAGCAACTGGGCAAGTGAGTGCGAAAAAGTGTGGACCTTGAAGTGAAAGCAGCCAGCCGTCACGACAGGCGGCTTTTGCCCATCTCTCTGAAAGTTTATGTTAAAGCAAGGTGTTTGCCCAAGAATTACAGAACCCTCTGTTAGAATTCGACACTTGCTTATTTTAGGTTCTATACTTCTTGATATCTCAAATCTCGATTCAGCGTTGAGTTGAAGTTTGGCCCAACGTCAAAAGGTGGCCCTACCCCACATTCTCTAGTGATCCACCAGCCAGGATGTTGGGAGTGGCATGTCGATCTCCGCTCCACGTGGTTTCAGCGGACGCTGACTCGTCTGTGCTCCTGTTACTGCATCTACCCTTCATCTAACTGAAACTCATCCTCGGGTAGGGAATTCAGCACGTGCTCGAACTGAGTAGGCTTGGCTTTTGTGGCATTTTGATAAACGGGGTTCAGGCAGGGGGCAATGAGGGGTGGCGGAGGTGGCGGAGGCACCACGATGGGAATCGGGATGGAGGGTCCTCTGTCCCGAAAGGCGAGCATCGGAGCGGGAGTGGGGTAAGCGGCGTGTGTCTGAAGAGGGCGTCGGTGCGGGCTGCAAGAGGGAGGCACTTTATCCAAGGTGCCGCATGTTGGTCTTCGAGTTGCATTTGCTGAAGCAGAGCGGTACATAAAAGTATGTTCGAGGAAAGCCAAGAGGATGAAATTCCAACAATTAATTGATTGCGGGACGTTGGTGGTTGGGAAGGCCCAGGGACGCAGATCTAATTTGCTGATCACTGCCCCCTGGAGACTAGGGAGGGGTCCATCGTCGTCATCTCATGAACTTCTTCATGCACAAAGATTTTCTGGAAGCCCGTCAACGGCGGACTGGATCGTAAGCTTGTGCAGTAAGTGAGTGCTCTTCAGGTCAGGGTCCAGAACCGATAGGAGCCGAGGGCAGTCGGGGAGGAGACGGAGGAGAATAGAGAGAGTACTGTATCTCCGCATGTAAGACTTACTCATCGGAGGGCCTTCCTCTCCGGTCATTTATCTTTGCCCGTTGGAACTCTGCAATCGCCCACATATTCAATCCGGACCGAAAATGCAGCCTTTCGTGAAACTGCTGTAGGTCTGATAGGATGCTCTTCTGCTTGGCCTCCGTGCATGCATTCTTTTCGTCATAGTGGGTAAGAAAGCTCCCATTCAAACGGTCACCAGCAGGGCAAAACCGCTCCAATGGTCTCCGCATGCACCCTTGAGCAGAATGGGAAATTCCACGGCGGCTATATTGCTTGACCGTCCTCTAAATGGTGTTGGCAGACCCAAGAATCCAACCAGTTCCCCTTCCCCTTCCCCCTTCCCCACAATCTTGAGCCTTGGTAAGCGAGTGCTGGGAACCACACTGGAGGGTGCATGGCTTGCCCCCATCGATCAGCCTGCCCAATGGCCGCGGGTTGGACAGGGAGAATCAGTCCACTCGAGAGGCGTGGTTGGGCTTCAAAGTTCAGGCCCTTTGTAGGTGGGATGTGATTGGAAGCGTCTTCCGTGCAGCAGAGACATGCGCCGGTGGGGGCAGCGTGTTGGAGAATAGTTAGAGCGCGTTTTTGGAAGGTCACTAGACAGGCCTTTGCAGCTGTCTCGCTGTGATGGCCGCCGTACCTTGCTTGACAGCGTCCAGCAATGAGGATGTGGAAAGGAACGACTGGAGAAGAAGAACGGGGGTTGTGGGACGTTTCCGCAGACGGATCGACCGAGGGGGAAGAACTTTCTCAGCCCCAGGTTCGCCAGGATAGCCTGTACTGTTCTTATTATACACACGTTCGTCAGTGTTTGGCGTGGCTCGAGAACCTTGCACGCGCGGATAAACTCGAGGGATCCTGCGAATCCATCATCCATCCTATGAACCTCGCGACTCGGCTCGACCTTGTCCTCCAGCTATTATTCTCGCCTTCGCACACGCCAGATCCGTCTAATTGGCCCCGGTGCCGCAGGCGTACAGCGTACAGCGTACTGTACTCCGTAGATTGACGGCGTCCCAAACCGGGCAAGTCTCTCCACCCCCCCGAAAGCACCCTACGCACGCACAGCCAGCCGGCGGACTCAAGCCTGCAGACCTCACCCGCCTCCTCCCTGCCTACCCCAAGTCTTCGAGTCCCGAGACCTTATTTTCACCTTCCCCCGTCAATTTTCAACATCAATCGAATCGGCTTCTCTCGTGTTTCCGACAAAGGCACCGCGAATTGCCCCAGAAGGCTTCAATTCCGCACACGAGGCTTGCACCCCGCAGCTACGCCGCTGCGCTGCGTTGACAACACTCCCCATTCGCGAGCGCATCGTGAATTACCAACATCTGCAGACCAGGAACTCGAGCACCGGAGCCATTCGAAATTCGCTGAGAAGCTTGCGCATGACCACGACTTGAACTAAAGTTTGTTGTACTTGTCTGGCTGCCTTCGCAGCACTGCGAGGCAGCTAAAGGATTTGGACTCGTCGAAGACATCCAACCTTCGACACCATGTCTCTCTTCAGCAAGTTTAAGGGGGCGGCGTCTGTGAGTATATCCCATTATCACCAAAATCAAATCTGCGACTCTCATCCGATATGCGGTTGGTGGAAAGGGGTTCCGCTCGGCTTGCGCTTGGGAATATTTGAGGACGAATGTACACTGACGCTGGTTATTCGATAGTCTGCAAGTCCAGGCGTTAATTCTCCTTCGCATAAGAACAAGAAAGATGTCGAACCGGAGCCAGAAATCACACCACTCGTCAAGATGCTACAAAATGCGGGGCCGATACGGAGCGATGGAAGCGATAAGTTCTTTGGGATGGAGAATGTATGTTTGACGTTGGATTCTTTACAAGGATATTTACTAACATCATTTCTAGTTTGGTAACACTTGGTCTGTCCTCGAAATATTTTCCAAAACGTTGGCTAGACTAATCTGGTGCTTCAGTTACTGCAATTCGATTGTTCAGGCCTTATACTACTCAGTCCCCTTCCGAGAAAACGTTATCAACTATCCCCCACATTCTCCTCTCGATACACCGAGTGGGCACCCAACAGTCTTCACTCCAATACGGGCAATTCAAAATGGAGGCGCGGTGTCTCATCCGAATAAACCCAAGGGGATCTCCGCGGCGGAAGCGATGAGGAGAAGAGCAGCTATAAACGCAGGCCAACCTATACCTACCACCCCAGGGCAAAGACCAGAGGATAAGCCAGATTCTCCCGAATACAAGAAGAAACATGCCATGCTTGCAGGCCCAATACTAGAGCTCACATATGAGAGCGCGAATCCGTATGGTATGGAGGAATCAACATTTACTGCCCTGAAAGACATATTCATGGCGCTCATTGCAAACCAATCACGGACGGGAGTTCTTAGCCCACAGCGATTCTTGGAGATCTTCAAGCGCGATAATGAGATGTTCCGAACATCGATGCATCAGGACGCACACGAGTTTTACGGGTTGGTTCTGAACGCAGTCATTTCCAACGTGGAAGCAAATGCGCAACGGATTAAGGAATTGGCTCCACCACAGGACGACAGTAGTCTAGCTCAGTCCATGAAGACAGCAGTAACCTCGGCAGCTACAGCAATGGGCTTGACCTCCGGGGCGAGATCACCTGGAACTGGATGGGTCCACGAAATTTTCGAGGGAGTTTTGACTTCAGAGACCAAGTGCTTAACTTGCGAAACGGCATCTCAACGAGACGAAACCTTCCTGGATCTTTCTATCGATTTGGAACAACATTCGTCAGTGACGTCCTGCTTACGGAAGTTCTCAGCCGAGGAAATGCTTTGCGAGAGGAACAAGTTTCACTGCGACAACTGTGGTGGCCTTCAAGAAGCGGAGAAACGTATGAAGATTAAGCGATTGCCTAAGATCCTGGCTCTTCACCTCAAAAGATTCAAATACACCGAAGATATGACACGCCTACAAAAACTCTTCCACCGAGTTGTTTATCCTTACCATCTTCGAATGTTCAACACTACAGACGATGCTGAGGATCCGGACCGTCTTTACGAGCTCTACGCTGTTGTGGTTCATATTGGTGGAAACGCCTACCATGGACATTATGTTTCAGTTATCAAGACACAGGACCGAGGTTGGCTCCTGTTTGACGACGAGATGGTCGAACCAGTCGACAAGCACTATGTACGGAACTTCTTCGGAGACAAGCCTGGCATGGCTTGTGCTTACGTCCTCTTCTACCAGGAAACCACTGTCGAGGCTATGAGGAAAGAACAAGAGGCCGAAGGACTAGCTGAGGTAGCACTGGCGTCAGCAGAAGCAGGGATAGCTCTTGGGCACCCACAACCAAATGGCACCCATCCGGCTTCGATTTCAAAAGCTGTTTCAATCCCAAGCACGCCTGTGGATGACAGCCAAGAGTTTGTTTCCTTGGACCATGCTGTCACAGCCCCTCTTCCTATGTCGCCTCAAATACCACGATCAGCGCCACCGTTCATTGCCTCCCCATCTGTCCCTGCTCTCAACGTCACTAAGGTGAAGGCGAAAGAAGATAAGGAGCGCGAAAAAAAAGAATCGAAAGAGGCAGAGAAAGCACGAAAAGTGGCCGAGAAAGCCGCCGAGAAGGAGCGACAAAAAGCTGAAGAGAAGAGGAGAAAAGACCTGGAGAACACAAGAAAGGAGAACCAACGGTTGCAAGCCGAACAGGTCAAGCTGGCTTTAGCAGCAAGCAAGCAATCCGCGGCAGAGGACGAAGAGCGACGGAAAAAGGAAGCAATTGGGACAGGAACGCCGTCCGAATCAAGCAAAGAAAATGGCCACCCAGAAAAAGACAAATCATTCGGTGGACTTGGTAGCTTGAGCAGATCTCACCGAGGAAGCAAAAGCATGAGCAAGAAGAGTTTCGGATTCCTGGGTGGTAAAAATGGGGAAGGAAAATTAACAGACGATTCGTCACATACGGCAGTTGAAGGGGAAGCAGGACCGCAAACCCCGGAGAAGCATTCCAAGACTTCGAATGGCCGATTCAGCTTCAGTGGCCTGGGCAGGAAGAAGAGCAATCTAATGAACTCGTGATGAGCCCGAGGGGGAGTCTGGGCATTGTACATTTTCTGCATTATATCAATGGAGGGCAAAAACACACAAACACACATATGTCATGAAGGCAAAATCATATCATATTTGGAGGTTGATGATCATTGCGGCGGGAATTTTGAGCAGCGATAACATTCTATGGGAGTTTATCTGGGCATGAAATGAACGACGACTGAGGTGTTGTTTGATGGATCGAAGCGATGGATGATTGTATAGTTGATGCCTTGAGGAATGAGTGAGCTAGAAGTAATAGCGAGAGGACATAATGGAATTCGATGATGTTCTTTCAGTCCGGAGCCACTCGTTCTCGATGAACGGCTCGTGGAATTGAATATTTCTTGTGGGTGAACAACTTGAGTGTGCTACCCAGCCAATTCTCAAACACCAATGCCTCCTGAACGCCACGCCCATGAGCTTTGCACAACCCAATGCAAACTTCCCGACTGCCATAGCCCTCATCTTGGTTTTCATATCTTCCGACAAGACCAAAGCTGGACCCATACATATCATACACTTCTCCCACTCCCGTTCCGAGTATGCCTTCCTCCCCAAACCCCCTCCTCATTACCCAAGTATCACCTCATACACAATCAAAATCGAATTTATCACAATCAACGGTACTGCTTCCTATTAGCCCACATCCTCTCCTCTCCTCTCCCCTAACCCATGATATAAAGGGGGAAACATACTCCGCATCAATGTCCTCACACTAGTCGTCAGGTTTATTAGCTTGTTCTTTATGCTCGCATCGCCTGCGCTGCCTGCCCCAAATGCGGGCTCGGAGACTGTGTTTGACCATCCCACTATATATCGAACTTCGCATCAGCTGTGTTCTTGTTCGGCTCTTGGAGCAACGAAGGTAGAGGGTGGCGGAAGAACGCACCCCGCGCGAGAAATCGATCTTCAGACAGTATCGCTATCGCGTTCACGAGTAACACAGAGACTGTAAATATCGTCAGTAAAATCTTCTATTCTGCCAGCTATCTCCTCCTCTTGCTTGCGCTCCTTCATATCCCTCCTGCATCTGGATGTCACGGTAGAGACAGGCTGAGGATTCGAGAGGCGACCAAGGGGACGGACGTACTGTAGATTAGATTTCCAAACGCAAAGAACATCATCTTGAATACTGGCTCTGGAAAGAAGTGAGGTGGTATGAGGAGCGGAAGACGAGGCAGACTTGTAGTGAAATGTTGCCAGAAGTTACGGATTGTTCCGTGGCCTTGTCGCGAAGTGGCACGGACCAGGCGAGGCTGCTGTTTCGTTGGGAGGAGAGGTGTGATTGATTGATGTTAGTTGCGTCAATTGTTCAACACGTCTGTCCTTTTCTTTCTTTGCAGATATCCGTTTGCCGGAGTGTTTACAGGATACAGCTTGAGATTGTTATAGAGTGCAAGAGCGGATGTGTTCGGCGCAGCTTAGGCTCCTTCCACGTGGAGCTTTGAATGCAAGCAGCAGCTCTTAGCTAGAGCTTCGACAGCACTCAGACACGGTGTCTGGAGGGTTCAAAATGAAGGGAATTGGTAATTGCCAAATTATTGACATCTCCTTGTAGACATTTGCTAATATAATGATCCAGACATTCTCCTCAATCTCCTCATCCCTACCCTCATCATCCTCCATCTCCTCATCGCTCCTTACACGAAAGTCGAAGAGTCCTTCAACATCCAAGCTATACACGATATTACCACCTATGGCATCCCAATAGGGAATATTACCCGTGTTACTTCAAGTCTGCGAGAAGACTACGACCATTTTTCCTTCCCTGGCGCTGTGCCACGGACATTCGTTGGAGCTCTTGCGCTTGCGCAGATATCGAGGCCAATACTCGCTTTAACTGGAGGGAAATATGCGCAATTTGTTGTCCGAGCAATTTTGGGGCTGTTCAATGCTTTTACATTGCTCTTCTTTAGAGCTCGGTTGGACAAGGCTTTTGGGAAGGATGTAGGAAGATGGTATATCTTGCTGCAGGCAGCACAATTTCATGTGATATTTTATGCTTCTAGGACGTTACCGAATACGTTTGCTTTTGGACTTAGTGAGTTTATCTATCTAAAAGCTGGATACTTTGCTGAGAAGATTAGCAACTTTGGCTCTTCGAGCTTTCGTCACAGATATCCAAGTGGAAGGCGCGAACGCCGAGAAAAGAAGGGGGTGGAGAGCCGAATTAGAGAGAAGACAAAAATGGGGGATCTTCCTCTTCGTTTTCGCTGGCGTGGTATTCCGTTCTGAAATTGCAATTTTGCTGTTCACGCAGCTCGTGGTGCTCTTCTTTAGGAATAGGATCTTCTCTTTCCAGACTGTTGTCTCCCAAGGCCTGACGAGCGCCAGCTTCGCCGTGTGGGTTACATTCGCCATCGACTCGTTCTTTTGGTGGAAGCCCATTTGGCCCGAGCTGGCTGGCTTCTATTTCAATGCCATTCAGGGGAAATCTGCAGACTGGGGAACGTCACCATTTAATTACTACTTCAGCACGCTTCTCCCAAGGCTACTTCTCAATCCTCTCATCCTTATGGTTCTTATCCCGATGGCATTGATGCTTCCTGCTACACGGTACCACACCCGGGACCTCACATTGCCTTCTATACTGTTCATTGCTATCTACAGTCTCCAACCACACAAAGAATCCCGCTTCATAATCTACGTTGTCCCACCTCTTACGGCCACTGCTGCGCTCGGCGCCTCTTATATCTGGACCCGCCGCACCAAGTCTCCCCTCTACCGACTCGGCTCTCTCATTCTCGTCGCCTCCATTCTCCTCAGCCTCGTGGCATCAACAGCCATGCTTCTGATCTCCTCTCTCAACTATCCAGGCGGGCAAGCCCTCTCTCAATTTCACGATGTCATCTCCCTCGCCACCTGGCCTTCCGAAACTTCCGCTCCCTACGAGACGATCTCAGTCCACATGGACATCCTCTCCTGCATGACAGGCGTAACACGCTTCCAAGAACTACCCTCCCGCAACGTCCCCATCTCCAAATTTCCAGTCATCAACAACCGCACCGTCCGACTATCCTACGATAAAACGGAAGATGATGGAGAATTGTTGAATCCGGCATTTTGGCAGAAGTTTGATTATGCCTTGATGGAGGCACCCGAGAAGGCGATTGGGAAATGGGAGGTTGTGGGGACAGTGTTTGCTTATGCTGGGATTGAGTTCCTGAGGCCAGGGGATGGGAGTAGTTTTGGAGAGAATTTGGAGAAGGTTTATGAGGCCAACAAGGTTACCAAGATTGTTGATGGAGAAGAAAGGGCACCCGATAGTTCAGATGTGGTGCATGAGTTGGAGGAGGGGAAACACGGTGCGGGTTCTATGGGTGAAGGAGAGAGGAGGGAGAAGGAAAATTTGAAGGCTAAGTTGATGTTTGGGGAGATGGCGAAGTTTGGCACGTTTAATCTGGTGAGGGATGCAGTGAGGGGTGTCACTGGTGGGTGGTGGATCGGTCCGAGGATGGAACCGAAGATTCGGATTTTGAAGAGGGTGAAGGAACCTCTTCCGTTGTCATAATTTGATGAATCAAATATTCTACCACTCAGCCTATTGGCATTTAAGAGGGACTAGGGGTAGATTCCGAGTGGAACTCGTGTCTTGAACTTTTCATGGATACTTTTCTCCTTTTCATGCAATACTTCGTTTTACCCATGTTTGAGATCCCATTCTTGACAGCAAGAGGTCTCCTGATGAAGGATAATTCTGGTGAAACCTTCAAATACCTACAAGTTTTGTGAATGGATAGATAATTCAGTGTACAAAATCCTTCCAATAATCTGGAGCATTGAGGCACTTGGGACACGAGACAGTTTCTGTGCCACGCCCCTTTCCTGAACGTGAAGTCTCGCCACTTGTTATGAATTTATTGATTATCATGGAATGTATATGAGGTGAAAACGAGTGTACGGAAATTATTTATGGCACATAAGCGCAAGGGATCACTGTCAAAGATGACAGTCAAAATCCTAGTTGGCACTTCATCCTATTCTCATAGAGACGCCAAGAGCTTTCCTTATTGTGCGCAAACTGCTAGCCCACCGTTATTGGCAGCAGCAACGGCAGAAGGGCTATAAGCCTATATTGTTGGCACTCCGAAATTCATCGACATCTGGGCCGACCCAGTTCCACTCCTGTTGAACGATGTCCAGCTAATGTGGTAGCCAATTTAAGCTGGAATTTTCACTTTTCGCGTTGCTGGAACTTTTCCCTGATGGCCGTTTTAGTCATTCTGCAAAGGGCCGCCCCGGAGTTGGTCCTCGCCCAGCAGGATGGATGCCTCGATGGCCAAGCAGCCTTATGTTAGTGAGCCGCCTCAATGCCCGCTCCAGCGGATATCGCAGGTGTGCGAATCCCGCACTGTTCAAGTTCGCTCGATTATTTTCAAACCAGCCCAGCGTCTGAATGAGCTGGAACCCCTTCAAGTTGCCTCTGGCAACACATCCGCTGTTTCGCCTGTTAAAATTGCCACCTGTGTCTTTCCACATAGTGCCAAAGGTTCAGAAAGGATTCTGAGTCAAAGTATATCGTATCCCGTTGAGCATTGTAATGAAGCAGGGGGCCACGATTCAGCTGTAGAACATCTGGTTTGCTGTCCAGGTAACGCTCACGGGTTGCTTTATCTACGCTCAATAGAGGAGATGGATGTCAAGCCTCGCATCGATATGCCCGGATTATATACTCTCCGTTCTCTATTTGTCATCTCCGCAGTTCGGGGTTTTCGATCGAACACCACTTCGATGATGTGTTCGGTGTCCGCGGCCTCATCTAGGACCATGTTTAAGACTTCTACTGGAAATGTGTGGGGGGCTGGCGGTGCAGCCATGACGAGTTATCTAGGTTATTTGTGTGGGTCATAATCAACGATAGATAAGATCAGAATTATTCTCTAGATGTCTTATGTTCATAAAGACGTTTCCAGTTCTATTTCAACAAAGAATTGTCATGGCTGGAAAGGGGAAATTGATATCCCCAAAGTGCGAGTTCTTAAAATATTATCAAAGAAAATTTGCATGCCGAATCTGGACTGTCACAAAAATTTATCAACATGGGAAGGAGGCAGACAAAGAGAAAAATTGGGCTTGAGAAAGGTTGGTATCATCAAGACATAAATCAATTTGATGTTGAATTACCTACTGTGGGGACAATGTTCTTAATGTCTAGAGACAATCACTGAACCGCAAGACGTCTCACGCGGCTTTCATCTCAGGCCTATAGTCGTCACGTTTCGTATCTGGATCTTTTGATTCTCATTTCATCCTGCTATTCTCATCTCATTCTGTCATTTTCATTACAAGGTATGCTCATGTTTTACTTCTTGTAATTTGTGAACGTTATTAGATTTTTAGTGCAGATACCTGTCAACTTTCTCATGTTACGTTCATTATAAAGCACTGGAGCGAGCATTCTGAGCCGAGTCTCACTCACTGGGAAATAGCTCCGTGGAAATATAATTGAATAGTGATTCACCCTTAAAAGAAAATGTCCTTTGAAAGCAAATATGTATCTGGGGCTCTTAATGTTCTTAACATCGTGATCATTTAGTAACTGTTCTATCAATCACGTGCTATTCCCGTGACCCGTGGACCTCTTTCTTTCCGGGAAGAGAAGGGAGTCTATACTTCACACCGACCCAAAAGGCGCTAGTGGGCACAAAACGGATTCTTTTGCCAGCAAAAAAGATTCCTCAATTCAAAGCCTGGCAGCAATTTGACCATGGCCTACCTGTGGATTCAGCACAAGGCTCAGCTTAGGCTTGCTTCATGCCGTTGTACCTGGTTCTCTGGAAAACAACGCCAAACGCGAATATCAAGTGTTATTTGCTTGTGTTGCAGGTCATCTGAAGTTGAGTTGTGGTAATTAAAGGGCAGTGACAACGTGTGTGTCGGATAAAAGAACAGAGGGATGACTATGAGCGCCCGCTGTGGCTTTATTCTACATAACCTAAAGTCAGCTGCCATGGAGTGAGGGAGAATGACAAAAATCGTCCGATATTTCGTCTGATACAATAGATGAAGTTTGCTCACATTTTATAACAATTACTCGAATTAATGTTCTTGAAAGCTTGGCATTGCTCCGACTTGGAGCATTTGGTTAACTATCTTGGGTGTGACACAATTCAAAGGAACATTTACCCAGATCACAAGGCTCCCCTGAAGACTCGGGCGTTGGTTCAGAGTTCGGCACTACCTCGAAGTCCGGAAGAGAAGCGTCTCTGTCAAGGATCAAGCCTTTTGTCACCTTTGTTTCCATAGATGAGGGACCAACGTACGTGTCTTTCTTCAGTAGCTGGCGGGTGATGTTAGTGAAAGGCAAAAGTTTACAGAAATTGCTCACAGAATTCTAGACAATGGAGGTTGGGGGGGGAATAACCTTCTCGGTTACCACATTCCCCTACAGTAGCATGAAGAATCAGAGTAGTTCTACAGTCCATCTACTGATCTCGTTCTTTCTACCCGTTCTATCATTATTCATTTGCGAGTAGTGAAAAGTTAAATACCCTTACCTTTCCGTCATGCAAGCTTTGATAAATCAAGAAGTCACTCGTGAGTTATAGATCTTGCGAAAGCCAGGCTCCTTAACAATAAATACCTCACGAGGCAGCATATCGACGGGCAAACTTACTAATCTGTTGCTCCTTCCTCTCTCTAAGAATGTTAGATAAAGCTCTGGGGCGGTCTTTCTTCCCTTCTCCTAAGTGTTACGAGGGGAGTTTCTGGCTATTCATATTTTCGCTAAAGGGACCAGGCCAAGTGCTACAAATGTGTGGGATGGCGAACGACGCGCTGTGACAACAAACAGCTGAGTGACAAATCGTCTCGTTCAGCATCTAAGTAAAGAGCAGGAGCTAGGAAGGAGGCTAATGTCCTCGATATCTCTGGATCAATGATTGTGAGACGGTGGAAGCGTGAGTAGAGTAATGCCCGTTTCCGCCATTAGTTAGAATTCCTCTACTTGGTAAGGTATTGCATTAGTGTGTGTGAAAATAGCAGAATAAAGCCGAGTAAGGGGTATTACTATATGTGCTTTTTCTTAAGCGAGAGGACAACGAACAAGGTTATTTCTTTGTTCTTGCTTTTGCTTGAAGGGAGGCAGGAAAGTACGATTTCGCTTTCCAGGAGATTTAAATGGGCCACTTTCAACAAAGAGCCGTGGGAGAAAACGATAAAACGGCTAATGCGTATTGCCGTTGGGCCTAGCAGATTAAAGCACGATGGCGTTCCTTATGCACCCCTATCGGATTTTGGAGTAGCAAACAGGACTTAATCTCCGTCTTTATCCACTATACTTCATCGATAAGGTTGTGTGAAGTCACTAGAAATAATGAGCGTACTTTGAGACATGTTTGCTTCGTTTCCGCTTTGAAAAGAATGTCCGGACGAAGTGGTATGTGATAATAAAAAAGAAATTGACAGTATTTGATACAAATAGCTCTGTTTAGGTAGAGGGCTGAGCAGTGCTTAGTGCCTCAGGTATTGCAAAGGAGATTATAGAAACAGCAAATCTAGTTTTAAGCACGATGCTTTCAATCCGCTGTCATCTTTTGCTGACAGTGGTTAGTCTTCGTGCTCGTGTTGTTGAAATTTCTTATTTGCGTGCGTTTAAATCGTCTTTTGCCGGTGAACTTCCTCCTGCTCTCACTTATAGCAGAGGGGAATAGAAAGTGAGATCTACCTTGTCATCACTCTCAGTCCCTTTCCGTCTTCTTTGTAACCGCGGAAAGATTAGACTGCATGCGCCATGCTTTGGTGATCCCTGGATTTTGTTAAAACGGGGAGGAGAAAGACGTGACGAAGGGACAAGCACTAATCGACATTGAAGACGGGCTGAATCGCCCCTGGAGCCAGAGAGAAAGTAATCCTGCTGCGCCACCCGGATCTCAACGGGAAATCGAATGGCGGGTATGTGCTGAATGAAAACCAAGCTGCAGGAGAGGCACATAGTACAACTCGTAGTCAAGTCATCTCGCTTGAGTTGCTAGACAAGAGTGACAGTGAATGAGTCAATGACAACAAGAAAGCATTTGACAACAGACGAATGATATCTCACTATAGTTTGGGAATTCCAAGTGTAGAACTTCGGGACCTTTCAGCATGGGAGACTTCCTCAATTCTTTAGACTTTCTCGGATTATTATCTGCAAGATTCACTTTGTAATTTTGGCATCATCTGCGTCATTCACGAACTCAGGATATTGTTGGAGGCCGTTCTTGCCCGAGAATATTCTGTTTATAATCAACCCAGCACCAACCTTTTAAATTTGCGAGCGTCAGGATCCAGAATTCGGCGCGTACCTGCTTGGTAGACCGTTTAGTGAAATTCTCTTCAACGGCCAACCCCACGTACCCAGCAAGGGAAGTTGTCGCGGTCAGCAGCTCATCTCGTGGCTTGGACAATGGCGCCTGTGGTAAAGTCGCAACTGATTCACACACGCGTGTAGAGGGCTTCTAAGAACTCCACGGGACACATTCCCCAGTAATCTTGATTGGCCCTTCCTCGCTCAGAGAAGGTGCCAAAAGAACCATTTAAATTCTTGGAACGTATTGGATTGTTGGTCCTGGAAAGTAGGAAGGGGGAACGACGCCAGGACCGTGGAGAGCTCAAGGACACAGACTCGGAAAAAGCTTGAACAGATTAGTTGAGTATTGGGTCGTTTTAATTGCTTGGCGGAAGAAGGCAAACAAACTCACGTCTTGAATTGCTATGATTCGAGCGCTCAGAAGTGACAACAAACTCAAATGACAGCAATCTCCATCATTTGCCAAGCTTTGTTCTTGCTCCAGAACGGGAAGTGCAAAGAAGACCACAGATGCTGAATTCAAGGTTTTGGCCAAAGAAGTGCCACGAAGTCGGGTATTACTCATGCTATAATCGCAACTGCCCGTTGGCCATTCCATACCCTGTGACGAAGCACCCTCACAAGAGCATGCTCTGCTTAAATACAAGCGGCTTCTCTGCGTTGCTCAACCATGTGATTTCAATCTACAGAGTCCAGCTTATACTTCGCAGGAAGGAACTCTTAGTCTCGTAGGTTCCAACCATGGAGTTCTGCCCCTAGAGAACCACGTGGTGCTTGACGAGTAGTTTGAACAAAACTGCATCAACGCTCCACGTGATCCAGCCCCGTCCGATTTGAGCTTCGTAAATTCAATTAACAAAAATTTCAGCACTGTGAGAGCTACTAAGAAAATGGGTTGAGTTTATTTACGAGCGGCAGTGGATGGACCAGGCAATGTCGACCTCACCGAGGTCTCATTCCAACGCAACTCGACAATAGATAACTCAGGCTCTCAAATCCGAGAGGTCTAACAATATGATAGTAATGCCCAATCTCAAAGTTCATAGCAAGAAATACCTTTATTTGACCATCAATTTCCTCCACAGGGTTGCTCACTTTTGACTCCCTAGTCAGACTTGACGTCGATTCAAGCTCGCAAAGAAAAGGGGATGATCGATGTCGAGTCCTGTAATTGACATCTTGGTCAGAAGAATTCAATATCAGCACATGTGTGATGTTGGTACATAGACCTGAGCCACTTTGCCGTAGTGAAATGCTGATCTGCGTGGTCGTATTATGAAGAGGATTCGCAGGGAAAGGTGAGGAGAGAAGGGATGGCTTATTCACTTGATAAGCTTGCTCTGAATGTTCCAGAGTTGTTGGCACATTCAATCTCTGAAAAAGTGTACCACAAGATTGGGCACATTCAACAGGTCAAACTTTGGACAGAGTTCTCGCACCATGCAAAACAAACACCCAAGTTACTCGACGACGGAAACAATTCAAAGAGACCTAAGTCATCTCATTCATTAGATACGTTGTGCTCTATTACTACTTCGCACGCATGCTCAATAAATCGCATGACCCGATGATATACGGTGCCAGCCTCATGACTGCCACCCAACGCCGAGTCATAGGTAAAATGAATCAAATCCACGCCGAGGACAGCTGGTCCTCCCTAAACGCCGTCTTAACACAAAATATATCCGGAAAGAGACTATCGTAACCTCCGCGCGCCAATGCTATGCTCCCTGTTTCGTTTCTCCCGCCCAATGACTTTTGTTGCTTAATCGATCTCCACGATTTCCTGTTTGAAGGTTTTGTTCCTCCCCTGGCTCTGACCCTGGATCCGGCCCTGGTTTGGTGTAGGCTGTTGTTGTCTTTGCTGTTGCTTTGGAGCTTGGGGTCGAGCATGCTGTTTTGGCGGCGCAGCAGTGGGGACAGTAGCAGGAGCAGCTGCAGGAGCATCGTCATCGGGAACTGGGAGATTCCGGATAACTTCATCCAACTTCCCCAGTAATTCTTCCACGCCATTGATTTGTGCAACCGCACTAACACGCATACCTCGCCATCCAGGACCTTCCGAGGTCCACACTGGCTTCAGTGCCACGTCAATGTCATCCGTCTCTTTGTTGATCCGAGAAGCTGTGTCGCTTCGTTTGACGCTTCGCTTGATGTACCACCAAGGATCCCCTCTGCGGTGCTGCAGTTTCACCTCGAGCATGACCTTTCGTATTCTTGGGGGGGATTCTGGGGCTGGAACCGATTGCTTCAGGTTGTATCGGATCATGTACCAGTCAATTGCCCTGACGTTGACGAACACCTCTCCCTTATCCGTGTCTGGAGCCGGGGTCCATGCATTCTCGATGCCGTCAAGACCGCGTAGAACTGGGAGTGTAAGAGGAAGGATACTAGCAACGCCATCAAGTCCTTCTGATCCATTCAAGACCTTGGCTAAGAAGTCGGAGATTCGAAGATGTGGGTTGCCCCGCTCAAGAACTAGTGTCATATTGTTCTCCATGGCACTAAAATCAACGGTTGCCTTGTAGGGATGCGCATCGAGCTCCATCGCATCTAGCCCATGACTAGCTGAGATGTTTCCATACGTGAATACGATCTTCCCAAGAGATACGCTTTCGCATTTCAATGCCTTCTCGTGCTTTTGAAGCACTTGAATGAATTCGACAAGGCGTTCCACGCGAACGAGACGCTCAACGAGGTCTGGGATAACCGATTCCCCGATTCGACTGCGCAAGCGGAATGCGAAGGAGCCTGACTCGGGGTCAAAAGCGATGTCCTTGTCCACCTTCTCGTTGATGTTGATAAGAACATTAGGCCCGTTAGGCTCCGGGACACTCATGCGTGCTTCCGTGATCATAACGGCAATCTCTTGACTAGTAGGGCGCCGTAGTACGATATCACCAGGTGTTTGGTTTTCGACGACTGATACAATTGTGTCTGCGGATGTTGGCGGAAGTAATTCCAGACCCTGAAAGGTAAGTCTGACGACATCTCTGGCCCATGGCAAGCCTGTTCGGGCAGATTTACCCTTCGACACAAGGAGTTCACTCAAACGAACATAAATAGATGGAAGCGTGACAGCTTTTGATGGTCTGCTTGGGCGGAGCATATGAGCAGCACGCTTACCGTGCAATGTTCGGAGGTTGCAGTAATGGGAAACAAGTGCTGCGGCAAATATGTTGAGCGTTAACAGATATTCGTAACTCGGAACTGGCGAAGCAAGCTTGCTGGGGACTTGGATGGAACTCATGATTCGGCGGCTTTGGCTAACATTACTGGACGAGGTATTGGCGGGGGCATCAGCACTAAAACAAGGGGTCAGTATCTGAGTAACGAGCGGAAATATGAACACATACGTTTCGAATAACAGCCATTGCTCCCCGCTCTCGCCCATGATAACAGCAATACACCAATCTTCCAGCCACCCAGCCCTTCTAAACCAGAGAATTGTTGGGGGGAAGGGACCTTTCGGTACGAATGGCTGCAGGACATCTGGTTTCAATCCCGGATTGGCTATTATCCATCCAACGCTTAGCGCGCGATTGACGATCTCTTCTGCGAGCAGTTGACGGCGTAGTCTTTCGATGTAAGTATGCCCGTCGAGAGCAGGATTTATAGTTCTGACATTGAGATAGTTCTCCCACTCGGTAGTCACTCGCGATGCTGGACTGAACACGAAGCGACCAGTGATGGGCTCTATCTTGACCGTCAGATGTTGCTCGTTCGTCAGCTGCACCTCCAGCTTCGATTCGGCCGGTTCAGTCAATGAAACCGAAAGAGATAAGGCCAATTCCCGATTTGCAAATAATGGTTTCGCCGCCAAAGTGTCATGGATCGATGTTAGTATATGACTAACGTGTTTCGCAATGACGGTCTTCAGGAGAGATTGAGTAGTGATGTTGACAGTATCAAACTGAACATCAACATCTGGCACTTCTTTCGAGTCCCGGAACCATCTGACGAATAGCCTGCTGGTAGTTTTGGAGTCTGGGCGGCCATCCTTCCGCTTGCCACTGTGAACTCCAAGAATGATCCAACTTCTTGGACCTTTAGGGCCATATCTGTCAAGCCAGTACTGAACAGAAAGAGCCCTGTTCAACGCCTCCACTTTCAGAGCGTCGATCCACTTCGCTCTTGCCAAATCGATTGCTTGTTTTCTAAACTCGCTGATCTTGTGCGTCAACGCCAGTTCATGAAGATACTTGTAGCATCCGGTGAGGCCATCTTTCGCCAAAGCCTCATTTACCCTGCTTTCGATATGATATCGAATCTTCGGGGCCAGAATAGGAACTGAAGGCCAGAACATGAATCGAAAGTCAATGAACCAGAACTGGGCCTCGGGATCCTCGTCTGCGATTGTGAGGTCTATCTCAAATTCTCCTGCAACTTTAAAAGTCACACGACCTGACTTTATTGTGAAGTCTTTGAATTGTAAGGGAATGCTGTCGTAGTCATGCAAATTCAGTCGTATGGAAAGAAGCGTATTCAGATTTTCCAGGGATTTCAATATTTCCTTCGCTGTTAGTGGAGGTGGCTGAATGTAACCAAGCTATGATTGTTAGTGTACTTTTCTAAATGGAAAAGGGGAGCCTACATCTGGCATCCAAGACGCTTTCCCAGTTGTCAGGACCTCCAAAGCAGTTGGCAAATCAGGATTTGGCAGGTGCGCGTGTATGAGCCCTTTCTTGACTTCACCCAACTCGTACACTGCGTTTTCGTAGAACTGGATTTGATCGTCCAAGTGGATCTTCAGATCTATTGTCCTACTCACATCCTCCGCCCTTCGACTCCATCCCGTAATGACTAAAGCTTTCGTCCACTCTGTATGCGCATCTTGTGCAAACTTCAGCATTCGCAGCTTCTTGGCGAGGTTTTCCGCCGAGTTGTCATCCACGGTAGTGATATGAGAGGCGTTTCCGTTAACAGCAGACGAAGGAACTGGCATCTGAGCCAACTCAAGAATCGTGCTTGATAGATCACTGTGAGTTTTCTGCGCCAGACGAGAAAGTAACCGAGAGAGAGGCAGGTAACCCTGCGTAATATGGGCGATTTCGGGAGGTAGCTGATTGATGCGATCTTGCATATCGTGTGGAATCGCATTCCCTCCCCCATTCTGATGTTGTGAAGCGTCCATGAAGCTGCCATTTAATCCATGCGGGATAGTAGGGCTGATGGGTGTCATATTTTGCTGTGGATCTGCCTTTCCCTTCCCCTTCTCCTGATTCCTCTCGGGTGCGTAATTCGCTCCATTAACACCATTCGGCCTTTGATCTCTGTCGTGATTCGTATGCGATCCATTCCTCCCGTTCTCCATGATGACTCCGGGCATACTCTCCAGCTTGGGGTCCCCTTCCGGTCTCTCCACCCCTCTCGACAACCCCCCAACGCCTCCCGCTTCGACCTTTATCCGCTCTGTCGACTCTATCTTGGCTGCTGGGAGGAGAGTGGGGGATCGAAGTGGACAAGGCCAGGCTCAAAGAGCAGTGTCGCATGCGCCTACCGCCGACGGCCAATGAACATCTGCGCGATCGTATGAGCGAACGGGTCCCTCTCAAGCCTCTGCGATGGCTCGGTCTCCTGGAAAAGATAGCTCACGCGGCTCTGCGTTGCGAGAGGGAGAGTGCAGAGCGCGACCTTGCGTCAAAGGGTGGCTGGGCGTACTCGCAAAAGCCGGCTGAAATGGGCGGTTTGTTGAATCGTCTCCAGGAGTGCAAAGGCGGAATCTCAGCGGGCGCACAGTCGTGGATATCCAATTCTCACGTCGTCGTTGATGGGTGGGCGATATGGTGGCCGTGTGTTGTCGTTGTTGCCAGGCTTGCCAGAGCGGCGCCTCCCATCACTTGGATCTTGCGCGCGGAGATGGCAGGAACAGGCGCCGCACGTGACTTGTTAGTCAGCGGCGTCTAGAACTTTACCTAAAGTGGAGGAGGCCGTGTGGCAGGTCACGTGCCGAGTCCAGGCAGGTTGGAAACACCCCGGTCGCTTCTGCCAATCCCTGCGCCAAGTTCGAGACGGGAAAATGAACCCTTCTGCGCGCAAACTTGAACTTGAACTTGAACTTGAACTTAAACTTTGAGCGGATGGCATATCTTCAATATCAGCAGCATCTTTGATCTCAAGAATGGCTGCATGCTTGCACGTGCCGCTCGGCCATGACTTCTCCCAGCTCTGTTCTCCACTGCGGCAAGCCTTGGCTGTGTCAAAAAGCTGGCCGCGACCCTGGTGCCCATCGTTTGCGGGATACCGCTCACTATCTATTGATTGCGCACATGAACCTGGCGTGCCTGGTCCAGCGCTTTCTGCCTCCCTCTCGTCCTCATCGGCGGACCGTGGCGGATGTCCCATCTGATGTCCACTCGTTCTCCTATGGATTCCTCGCTGTGTGATAAGTTCACGGACGTCCTCCGCCAAGCAATGGTCGTGACGAGCCAGAGCCAGAGCCAGTCGGGTAACACGTCGTGTTGAACCCGCTTGCTCACTGGCCCCAGCTTGATCCACGTCAAGAAGCTACCATGGTGCGCACCGAATCGCCGTCGCGACCACTGCCACCGCAACGCGCTCATTCCAACAACAGTGCCAAACACTCTGATCGCTCGCATTCTTCGTCTTTTGAGGCCGACGACGAACGGTCCAGCTCCGAGCACGAGAGGATGGGCGAAGACCAAGGATTCCGAGACAGCCCTTCACAGTATGCAGGTGAAGACACTCGTCTTACAAGCAGGCAAGAGCTATTAGGATGGTATATGTATGGATTTGCAGCTGAGGTCTTCGTGATCTGTGGCATAGGTGAGCGCTGAGAAGCTTCCCTTAGCGGTTCCAAGCTTCGTTCGTCTTGTGGACGCACTCGGAGCTGGAATGGCGTGAAATGCTTTACGTCTGTAGCTCCCAGCCTCTTCCGGCACATGAGTTGAGAGCATCCAGTCCAGTTCAACGTTCTAATTCTGCAGCCGAGAATCACCCAGCTGGCTAACAGTTATCACAGGATCCTTCATTCCTATCACTCTCGAACAATTAGCACGCGAAAATGGAGTCCTTCTCTCCGATGGAAAGACACCTTGCGGATCCAGCTCCTCACACCCGCTGCCGGGCTTGAGTCCTAATCCAGGTGCCACCAAAGACCTCGGACAATGTGTTGTATATATTGGGGGGTGGCAGGTCAATACTGCCAGCTTTGCCATGTACACTTTCTCACTAAGTGTACTGGCTCAAGCACTACTGGTCGTTTCAATAAGCTGTGCTGCAGATCATGGCAATTACAGGAAACGCTTGCTGTTGTTCTTCGCATATTGCGGAGCCGTGGCAACAATGCTCTTCTTGCTCGTCGTTCCTAAGGTATATCTTCTGGCTTCCCTCCTGGCAATAATTTCCAACACTTGTTTCGGAGCTAGCTTTGTTCTGCTCAATTCATTTCTCCCTCTGCTTGTCCGACACCATCCAAAGACCCAGTTTCAAACTCCCGAGGCGACTCCAGATCTGCCGTCCACAGTCATTTCGGGAGAACCACCAGAAGATTCCCTCGATGCACCAGAACCCGAACCAGACGCAACGACAGCTCTTCTGTCAACCTCTCCCAACGATACACAACCCAAACCCCTAGCGAAAAACATTACATCCATTGAGTTACGTCTTTCCACGCAAATATCCTCGACTGGAATCGGCATCGGATACAGTGCCGGCCTGTTCCTGCAATGCGTCGCCATAATCATAGTTTATTTCATGCAAAGCACCACCTTCTCCCTCCGCGTAGTGATATTCCTTATCGGAGCATGGTGGTTTCTGTTTACAATTCCAGCCGCATTATGGCTTCGACCTCGACCAGGGCCTGCGCTCCCGTCGAATGACCCGAACAACCCTAGTGGTTCACGCACATGGTATCAATACATTGCCTATTCGTGGGCATCGCTATGGAGAACAATCAAACTAGCTCGTCGTTTAAAAGACATTGTTCTCTTCCTCGCTGCTTGGTTTCTGCTCTCCGATGCTATTGCAACGGTTTCCGGTACTGCAGTCCTGTACGCCAAGACCCAACTCCATATGGCACCTTCACTCCTTGGCCTCATCAACGTCATCGCCACGACGGCCGGAGTTCTAGGCGCTTTCACCTGGGCTTTCATCTCACGCACCTTCGGCCTCAAGCCCCACCAGACCATCTTAGCATGCATCTGCATCTTCGAGATCATTCCCTTGTATGGTCTACTTGGTTACGTGGATATCGTCAAACGCTGGGGTGTAGGGGGACTTCAGCAGAAATGGGAAATGTATCCCCTCGGCGCGGTTTACGGGTTTGTCCTGGGCGGTCTGAGCAGCTACTGCCGGTCCCTGTTCGGCGAACTCATCCCACCGGGATCCGAAGCTGCATTCTACGCTCTCTATGCCATCACAGATAAAGGCTCCAGTGTCTTCGGTCCTGCAATAGTAGGGGCTATTGTGGACCGAACAGGTGAAATCCGACCAGCATTTTGGTTCCTGGCTGTTTTGGTGGGATTACCTGCTCCATTGATATATTTCGTGGATGTGGAGAGGGGGAAGAAAGAGGGTGCTAAGCTTGCGGAGGTCATTGAAGGCTTTAGAGGGGAGAGTACAGAGGCGAGTGAAGTGCAGAGTTTGTTAGTGAGTGAGGATGAGGGGGAGTATCAGGCGAGGACACATGGGTAGTGAGTTTGTGTTTTATGGTGTTGGGTTGGTGCATAGGGTGGCGTTGACGGCAGCCTAGAGGCGTTTTGAGTATCAGTATCAGGACAAGTGGCAACACTAATTGAAGTTGCTTCAATCTTGCCTTGTTTCTAGAAGTCGTGATCGATGTCCTACCGTAGACCGGAATCTTTGGAGTCAAGTGGCTCGGTGGTTTTGGACGCCTTCTAATTTCAAATTCACTCAGTTATCAATTCTGCGGATGTATATGTACTGATGACAGATGACGGCCCCACTACTGATGGAAGTTGCGGAGTTTCTGACTGGTTAGGTAACTTAACCATGAACGAACGAACCTCTGGACAAGATCGCCATATATAAGACAGCAAACGAGGCTATCTTGAAGGATACCTGACTTCATGCACCTGTAGCCCACTGGTGTCAGGAAGTGGAGTTCCGAGTACGAAGGATTGTTGCCAGATTCGGTCCCATTATTGTTGTTGTCATTCGCCTTCCATCTGTTGATCGAGTTTCTCGTACTGCTCGAAGCTCTGGATCCGCTCTGTATTAGTACAAGTGGTCTGGGGGGTTAACGGCTTCACATTGCGTTGGCGAGAAATCATGGAAGCTCCGAATCTCAGCCCATGACACCAGATAATCAAGTGCAGTTTCGGATTGAGGTTTGGGATTGTATGGATGGGCCTTATTTATGTTTCGGCTTCGCACCTGAAGCCGTGAGAGTCAAGTGAGTATGATAGAAAACAACTGTCTCAGTTTCTTGCTCTTTCAGAGGACTTCGGAGTACTCGCTCAATATGGCAGGCGCCGGCGTGCAAGTTCATGGCCTCTACTTGCAAATGAAGGGTGAGCAGTATCTTATTGAGCAGAACAGCAGGTTCTTGAGAGATGTGTATATACGGTCCTCCGAACAGACGATCGTGGACTGCTCAGCCATATGACAGACAAGAGGAAATAAACCAGTCCTGAGCACCTCAGAATAGAGCCGTGGGCGTTATATATGCATTTCGTAACGAAGCCAGCAGAGTCAAGTGATTGTGATCGGAGATAATATTTGGAGTTCATGCTCGATTCATGGATGACCTTGTGACGTTGAACAGGCGAACCGTTGCTGTAATGGTCTTCTGCCGAGAATCAGGGGGTTTTAAAGACATAATAATGGCCCTCGGGCGCGGCCATGGTTGGATCATGTCATGGGCTTCTTCTGGAGAGACGAGTGCGACCTAGTCCAAGACAATCCAACGAAGTATGAAAAGTCTAGAGGAAGTACCTTTCGCCTAAGCTTCTCAACCGAACCGGGCAATCTTCCTTCGGGCATCCACATCTCCAACATTGCCCAGCAAGACACCGAGGAAGGGAATGTGGTGGTCCGACAGTAAAAGACTCCTATTGGCGCCGGAAGAAGGTCTTCTCAATAGTTTGATATAGAAGGAAGAACTCTTCGAGAAGGAACGGTTCCGCAATTAAGAGGGAAGAGGCTCGCTGTCATCTGTTGTCATTCTTCTATCTGCTGTCAACAGTTGGTGAAATATCGTCCCGTTGTTGAATTGCTGTCAACAAACTTTCAATTCCAAGCCAACTTCATTGACTTCCGAGAGGAACGCCACTAATTGTAGCTGATGGATTTGGTTGGCTCTGTGTCGTGCGTCACATAAGTAAGAAACAGAAGGAAAAGCTTAAGCGCGTGACGTCGCAGCAGGGAGCACGATAGAATTCTGGCCACACTAAACCAATTGCTCGGGGCGAGACTGGCCAATGGCTGTAGTTTATATTCACTGGGAGGAGACCTCCAAGTATGTTAAAAAGACAGAGGATGTCGCATGTGAGCTGGAACTTTACTTCGATCACGTGTCTCCAGCCCGCAAAATTATTACCCAAGATTCCGCGATGGCCTATGAACTCAAGCAGGTTGGAATTCGATCCCAGAAACGGAGAGAAGGATTTAATTCTTCTCGGCGATAAGCCCCCTACTTGATGATCTCAGTCGCCTCACAAACGGGGCAAGAATCCATGAACAGTAGCTTGCTGCAAGAGGAAAATGTTTATTCGTGGCTACGAGGCCGCCATTAACAGACGACGTTTTCTTGACGGCCCAACATTCATTGACAGCAATGAAGTACATGATCTGTCAGACCTCGACTGCTGGTTCTTCACTCCCCTTCGAATCCAAATTTGGTCCGAAACAGTATTCTCGAGGGGAGGAGACCATTGGCGGCTGCGGGTACAGTCTTACAAGTCAAGCCTTGTAATGCTTTATGATGCTTGTTAGTTTGATGGATAGAGGAGAAGTCCTTACAGGTGGCGGGACGTTAATAAATAGTGATCCGACGACACGGAAGGGTTCAATTTCCGCCCATGTATAGAGCGGTGAAATGAAGAGTTTGAACATTCCTATCTAAATCTTTCATTGTACTTGCCATTCATGGATATTGAAATCACATCAAGAAACTTTTTAGCCTCTGCAAGTAATAAATTGTGCAGCTATATGCTATAAAGCAAAGTGAATTGCCTCATAGCTGCACGAAAAGGATATACAGTTCAAGAACATACGGTTTTGCAACAATTCATTGTATCTGGAGCAAAAGTTAAAGATCGCTCAGGAGGTAGGCTTTGTGCTTAGGTGTTCCTTTAACCATCTCTTACATCCAAGACTGGGGCGCTTTTGGTAGCGGTACGGAAGTAGAGAGATATAGGATTTAGTGGAAGAGGAAGCTTTGATGACTGTGAAGGCGGGCTCAACAGCAGTAAGAGTTAGGAGAAAAGGACCTTTGAGTCGTTTTGTGGTATTTGTGTATAAGTTTTCGATTGTTTGTTGAACATCCTCCAGCCGGGCTCGCAGCTGGTAGCGATCGATAGCAGTGGCTCATGGTAATCCCCAAACCGATTCCCCTTTCCAAGGTCTTCTCCGCTCTGAAACTTCAAGTCTTGCCTTAGCGATTGTACTAAATTGCTTTGAATACTATCTTTTGGGAACTGCAGCAGTTATACAATTTTGAACATCTATATTGTTCGCATCTTGATTATGGGCCCGTAATGCTTTTCATTCCGCTATATCCCCTGTCTGAGGACGGGATCACGTGCCTCTCGCTTAATATAGGGGGTTGTTTTGATTGTCCCGATTTCCACTATACATTTAGGGAAAGTAGCATTTGAATGTCCTGGGAGAGCTCCTAAAGTCGTCTTGATGCAGTGCATGAGGAAGCGGCGGGAGATCCGGAAGAATATTTTTAGATGTTACAGGATCGAGTGAAGGAATGAATGAATTCAATGTGCGAGCTATTTTTAGGCAATCGCATTGAATGTTGCAGAGGATGAAATGGATCCATTGATGAAATTACCGTCACGCTCAGCTATTATTGGAGCTGGATGTTCAAGGATTTGCAGGAACATTAGAGACCACGAAAGGTCAAGAACATGTAGAACATTGAGAAGGAAATGAACTTGAAAGCTCATGGCCTCGTAGGAACTTTTAGGGGAGTGTAATCAAATACCCATACTTGATCTGATTCATAATAAACTTCCCTTTAAACTGATTGACTTGATGTTTTCTTTGCATGGGAAGGCGCCCGATCTCGAACGCAGCTATTCACTCTTGAACGAGGCCAGTGTGGGCAAAAACTACTCAAGCTACTCAAGCTACTCTAGAGTAGTCTTGAGTAGAGTAGAGTAGAGTTTGAGTAGCGTAATATAGTACTTGAGTAGAGTAGAGTAGAGTACTACTCTAGAGTAACTCAAGAGTAGTCACGTGAATGTGGTAAATCGGTATTTATTTAATTATTAATAAATAAATAAGGTACCCATTAAGTAGCAGTATATAATTTAAACTAGAGCTTATATAAGTCTATTTAAATACTACTCTTTTTTTTTATAAAAAACAGATTTCCCTCCTCGGAATCTTTCTTTTCCTTCTTTTGTCCTTCTCTCCTTACTTCTTCTAATTCGTCTTTAAATAGCCCCCAGCTTTTTAAGCAAGATATTATCTTAATAGTACTCTTATTAAGTCTATTATGTAATTTAGATATAATAAGAGCACCTTGAGAGAAGAGTTTGCCCTTAATAGCCGAGGAAGCCTAAGAATATATTATGGTTCTACCTTGCTTACCAAGCCTTGCCACTACTTGATTGGGCAATGTAGTGGCGCTAGACTCGGGCCACCCCGGAGCCTTACCCAATTAGGCCAGCATGTCACGTGTCGCATCACGTGTAACGTCACGTGCGCACTACTCAACTACTCTAAAATATTCTAGAGTAGTTGAGTAGAGTATTGAGTAGAGTATGAGTAGTGAGAAATTTATTTGAGTAGAATATGAGTAGGGCCCACTACTCTACTCTACTCTACTCATTTCCCACACTGAACGAGGCCGTGTGATACTCTCTCTGCTTCACGGCACCTTCGCAGATTTCTATAAAGATCTCCAAAATATTCAGCTACAATTTCCTTCAAGGCTATTGGAAGATAAATGAAGTGTAAGCAAATGATACTTCGAGTTTTACTGTCGTTCCCCTTTGTTTACTGTGGCTTTCATAGTTCTCTGGCTCCCGACTAAGAATCAAAACCACCATCTCCCATCTTATAAAGGCAGCTCGATGAGATAGATTGCCCTTGGTACTGGCCAGGTGAAATAGGTTTGTTCTTTCCAGGCAGGGGAGGGTAGAAACTGAGGCAGCACAAGTCGTTTGACAATAATCAAGAGTATCGGTGATTAGGAAGTCGCGGGGCTGAGTAGCTGGAAGCATAGTGGGGCCATAGACAGCCTTGAGGAGCAGATTTTCGTGGGAACTAAGAAAATTTGCTGTCAAATCTCCAGTTGTTGTCATCCCTAACACCGAGAAATCGCAGCACCAAACGCCCTCAATCGGTCAGGCTTCATTCAATAGGCCGGGAAGAACATTGTTGAAAATTTTCAAAGCGAGCAAGCCAATGATGCTCTATGAAAATGCACGAGTCGTGGTTCTGGTCCATGGATGCCGATCCAAAGAAACCATGCAACTGCCAGAGTTTTGCGGTTAGTAGAAAATAGAGCCTTTCATGCTTTTATATATATGCTTTCTCTAAGCTGGGAAGCAGGGCACTGGCTGAACTGGGCCCGCATGATGTTCTGAACGTGAACATAACGATGGATTTACAGCATTTGCAAGATATCTATTAGAATAAAAAGATGAATTCTACTCGGGAAGCATGGAAAATTCCAGATATTGAGGTCAACTCATCATTATAATCTATGCATTCCAAAAGATCCATCTGGACGCCTCGCAAAATCAATATTCAGTCTTGCCACCATGATCAAAACGCCCCCCAATTTTGCACTAATCTCTACTCCACCTAGTGTCCAAAAATGTCACGAAGTGCAATCCCAAATCTCGCGGTAGCCTCGCTCATCTTATCTGCCGAAGCAGCAGCGAATGTAGCGCGGAAGAATAGTTCAGTATGGACGAAGTTCTCGCGATCGGCAGTGAACCAGCTACCTCTACTGACGAGGACGCCTTGCTCGACGGCGGCGAGGAAGACCTCTTCTTCGATTTCGAGGATGGATTTGGTTTTTGCTGCGGGGTGCTTGCGCCAGTCGACTTTGAGCCAGAGCTGAGGTACGTTAGCTAAAGTAGTCCAAAAGGAGGCGCAAAAACTGGGGGTAATCGTACAAACATGCCTGCAGCAGGCGGATTCCAGCTCACAAGCTCCCTCGGCAAATATTTCTCACATGCAGCCAGCAAGATATCTCGACGGCTAGTATACTCCATCCTCAAATTGATCAACCACTGCAAATAGCCACCATGACCCCAATGCTCATCCAGCATCTTGAACAACACCATTTGCGAAATACCGCTCGGGTTTTGGACAGAGACTTCGTTGGCGCGGACGAAACGCTCGATGATTTGCTCGGAGGCTGTAATCCATCCAACTCGTGTACCGGGCGCAATGACCTTGGAGAAAGAATCCAGGCGCATGACTCGGCCATCAATATCCATGCTTAGGAATGTTGGGACTAATGAGCGGAGGAACTCTTCGTTGCTGGAAGGAGGTGGAATACCAGGTGCGTTGGGACCTGTGTAAGGCTGCATTTGAAGGAAGTAGTACGGCTCGTCTTCGAGGATGTAGACATCGTGCTTTTGGGCGACTTTGTAGATTGCTCGTCGTCGAGCTACGCCCTGAGTTGCGCCTGTTGGGTTCTGGCCTGATGGGACGGTGTAGAGAACGAATGGTTTCCGAGCTCCTCGAGCTACAACATCCCAGTTGCTCAACAGTGCGTCCATGGCCTCAGGAATCAGACCTTGGTCGTCCATCTTGAGCCCGATGAATTTTACGCCCAAAGGAAGTCCGGTCTCGACAGCAGAGGAGAACGTGTATTCCTCAGCCAAGATATAATCACCTCTCTCGCAGAGCATCCGGAATGCGTGATCCAAAGCAGACGTGCTGCCAACGGTGAGAGTACATTGCCAATCAGCATATGGTGGGTTGCAGACAATCTCCGTATGTTCAGTGACCCAACGAAGCATCTGTGCCGCACCCGTTCCCAGGCAGTAATTGAGCGCAATTGACAGATCATAGACACTCTTTCCCTCCGAAACGTCGTATTTGCCAGCACTCAAGGTTGTTCCCGTCTTGATTGCCTCTTTCTCCTTGAAGTGGGGTGGTGTTGGTACCTTGACCGAGATTTCCTCAATGGGGAAGTTTTCTGCGAGTGGTAGGCCTCCTCCAAGGGATATCAATCCGGGGGTCTTCAGGTATTTGGCAGCTCCTTTAAGACTAGAGGGTTGTCTTGATTTGGTCTCGATGCTGAAGTAGTCTGAATGCGTTAGTGGGTGAAGAAGTGGGGGGTTGCCTGACTCACGATCCCATCTCTTCGCCTTTGGCTTTCCAGCGGTCTCCCCGATGTTAGTATAATTCTTATTGAGTGCTAGGGACAACTTACAGAACTCTTGAAGAGGTCGCTACTAGTGTATGCCGCTGTTCCTGCAACCAATTTGCCTGCCTTTGCTCGTCTGGAGGCTACGCCATTGACGGTCAAAGGGTTAGGTAGCACAATGGCTTCAGTATCAGTGACAGCTTCGATGTCATACGAGACCGCTGAAGGTGGTGCCATGATTGAGTGTGTAAGAGAAAAGAAGGTAACAGGGAGGAGATTGGACTTATGAAGGTGACCCTGCTAGGTGTTAAGTTAATTTAAGGGCGCCATTGACTAGTTTGCAAAAGCGGTGAGTCGGAAACAGCACATGATAGCAAACAAGGAAAGGCGAACTCAATTAGAGCAACAGCAAAATCGGCAGCCAGTGAATTTGGTTCTTTGTAGTCATAACTTCCAGGAATCCACACTCCATCGGAACGTACGCTTTCTTATCAGTTTGCCGTATGTAGCCGTGAGCCGATTGCGGATAAGGGGCACGTGATGCATATCCTCTCCTTAGCCTGTATTCTTTCTCGTGGGCTACTATTCAATCTTGTTGAAGAATAATACTGGGGAATGCTTGGGGCACAAGGGGGTTTTTGTCTGCGACCAATAATGGTGTGCCTTGCGCCTCTCGTGCATGAAAACTTGGCCAACCTGCATGGAAGATGTCAACGAAGGGCGTTTGCACTTCTGAACACTCGAGATTGGCAGGTGCATCCTTTCTTAGACCAGTACCTTTGTGGCAGAACATCACATTTTCTTGATATCAAGTAATTGGACGAGGCGTGAGCTCTGTTTAATGTCCAATAAATGCCCACACCGATTGCTTCCTGTTAGCTGTAAGTAAAGATGAAGAAGCTAAAGACGGGGAAGATGGTAGGTAGAAAGAGTCAAACTTGAAACGGAAACAATACTCAGTGTAAGAAACTTTGCTTTGCGTATCTAACTAACAATTACACTCGTCAAAAAGTTAATTGATTCCTCTGATCAAGAAGCAGTTCTGCCTGGCCCTTATCGGCTTATCGGCGGCTTTGCTTGCTCTCGCTTAGCGTGGGCAAGATCTCCGCTAAGCGCACAACTTTGGGAGACAAAAAGAACTTCCAAAAAAAAATGCAAAAATTTATTGATGAGGTTTCCATTACTGGAAGCACTCGGGAATTGAGCCCGAGGCGGGGCTCGAACCCGCGACCTTGAGGTATTCTCTTGTGATAAGAGCCACACGCTCTACCGATTGAGCTCTGGAAGAAATGTTAGATGAGAACAATTGGTTGACTTGTTGCTGTGTCAAACTTACACCCGGGCTGAGTTGTTTTTGACGGAAATGCACTATTTGAATACTTATCACTCATACAAAAAAGGGGGTGGGGGATTATTATGTGACTCGGCAAGCGCTCGGCCCGCCACCCGAATTTCCGGAGTCTCCTCATCCTTTCCTTTCCAGCTTTCTTCTCTTACGACCTACCATCACGACTATTCTTATGGAACAGGCCACGAAATCATCAGAGTTCCCTAGCGATTATCAATTTTCATTTAACAACAAACGGAAAACATCTCCGAATATCACGAAGCCGTGGAAGCTTCGCAGGTTCTGGCCGAATTGCGACATGACGGCATCATCGTCGAATTTGCAAGGCCCCGAGACGATGCTCCGGAACAACAAATATTAACATTGTTCAATGCCGCCGAAGCCTGTCTACTATTTTTGCTGGTTTTGATAAACCACACCTTTCCCCACATCCGTTCCAGTCCTCATTCCACCACTTTCTCTGTTCCCAGATCTGGCTCCACTGTCACCAATCAGCTTGTCGCCATTCCTACGGCCTCGGCCAACCAAAAACAGAGTACTGGATCAAGCCTCGAAGAAGTATTCTTCGGACACAAGATCCGGATCTCACAGCATTCAAGTTGCTTTGGGGCCCCAATATCCAGGAACCCCATCTTCCCTCTAGGTCCTATGACGTCTTGGTACGACATTGGCCTTTGTTGGTATGAATGCTGTTGAATTATATGGCAACTATATAGCCTCTCTTCCTGGCTGTAAGAGCCATGAACTGCTTGAGATGGCTGACTCGGTAACTATCTTTTACTTTCCGACTGTAGAGAAGAGGCCCTCGAGACTAGTTCCAAGCCTCCTTACCGCTCGCTATCTCTCCTACTCCACAGTAGCACATAAAACCTCCCTCCCCCCACAATGCTTTGTCTCCACCAGTATTCAAAGAAGCTTGTACCAATTTGAACCCAGACCTTCAACCATGAACATCCCAAAATCGTGCAAGTCCTTAGTGGAGAAAATCACATCGCGTTCGAGATCTCATAGATTCCATTTCCTAATATGTCGCCAATATCGCACAGCAGCTATCCAAACAACCAACTCCTCCTCCTTCATTTTACCGATCCCTATTTCTTCTCCCCAGCTTTCCCAAAGAACCCAACCCTAACTCCCTGCCCTGGCTGCAGCACAATCTCCGCCTTCAAACACGGATTCCCACCATCTACAGCCTGCATATGATTCTCAATCCTCTCATATCTTTGCAGCAGCCTGACAATTGTATACCCCATCTCGGTCAACGCAAATTGCTGACCGATACAGATTCTCGGGCCGCCATTAAACGGGATGTAGTTCCATGGTTTCGGTTGCCAGGTCTGCCATCTTTCGGGGACAAAGTCTAATACTGATATTTGGGAGGATGGGTTGGTAGGGGAGGGGGTAGAGGGAGTGAGGTCCGGTCGTCGTTGCATGACGAGCGACGAGTAGCCGATTGGTGTGTCTTTTAGGATACCGATTGGGGAGAGGCCGTCGGGGCCGCCGCCTGTGGGGAGAGTGGTGTCTTTTAGTGCGAGGCGGACGTTGAAGGGGACTACGGGGTAGAGGCGGAGGGTTTCGGCCATCACGTTCTGATACTCATGTCAACTTTATATTCATTGTGATGGGAGAGGGGGGCGAACTTGGAGGTACTTCATGTTCTTCAGATCGCTGTAAGTGGGTGGTTGCTCTAGGCCTACTGTCTGGATGATCTCTTCTCGGAGCCTCTTCCAGACTTCGGGGTGTCGAGCCATTTCGTAGAATGTCCAGGAAAGGGTCGAGGCTGTTGTGTCGCGGCCGGCTAGGAGGACGGCAACGAGTTGATCACGGAGAACGGTGCGATCGCGTGTGAAAGACGCGAGGGCGTGGAGGAAGGTGTATCCTTCCTCCGTTTTGGTCTTTGTAGATAATTCTTCCGGTGTGAAGCGGAGTGTTTCCTCGATGTAGGGGTTCACGAACTCGTTGATGACTTTCAGAGACTTGTAGAGTGATTTTCTCGGCACGAGGGGATTCAATGGCCTAATTGTGTCAACATTAAAATATTAGAAGAGAAAGGAACGTACCCTGCTCGGGTGATGATATTCTGCACCCTCTGTGCCTCCCCAAAAGCGATTGCAAATTCTTGGTCCCCATTCTCCAGACTTCCGACACTCCTCCCAAGCAAGAAGTGCGTAGCAGCATCCAACGTATACCGGAAGAACAAATCACTAACATCAATCTCCCCGCCCTGACTGCCATCCCATTTCTTGCCCGTCTTATCAATCTGTTCCATCAATATCTGAACGTGCTCTTCAAAGACCTCCAGATCCGAGACTCGATCCTTAATGAACTGCGGCCGGATCAACTGCCTCGAAGCATGCCACTGGTCTAAATCAGTAACAAAGATCGAATCCCCGAGGAAGTCCTTCCATTCCCGATGAAACGGTTCCCCCTTGCCATAGTCAGTGAACTGGGTAGCAAGTATGGCCTTGATGTTCTCTGGCTCGGCGGTGAAGATGCATCGACGGCCAGCAGGGGCGGCTTCAACGGTGTAGCGGTGTCCTTTGGGATGGATGAAGAAGCGGTTCCAGACTTCGAGGTTCTTGTGGTGCATTGTGCCACTGATGGCACGGGCGACGAGGTCGACGTCTGAAACGAGATGAGTTTATTGATCTTAGAAATATGTGAGGACAATATATACCTCCTGGAAGGTACGTCCTAACTCTATGAGCATGGCCGCCCAGAGACCGGATCTTCCACTCCGCAGTAATCCACTGTGTGACCTTCACAAGGGTGAGGATAGCCACGACAGCAACGACCACCAGCTTGGGCGAAGCATGTTCGAGGATTTTTTCAATCATCTTTGCCTCACGTTCCCCAATATCAAATATTAATTTGAGTTAGTAGAACAGAACAAGAGGGGATGTGGATGGGGCGCGCTCGTACCCAATGGCATGAGGACAGTATTTGTATCCTGGCCCTCGAGTCGGTGCAAAATTGAGCCTTGTCGCAACTAGCAAGTTCCGACCTACGATTGTGGGGAACTCTCCATGAACAGCTCCCGCACTAGCGACGGCGGCCATAGCCTGAAGTAGGAAAGCGGGCTTGTTTCCCTGCGGGGACGTCCTGGATGTGGTGGTGATGGCCTCATTGCGGATTGAGTTACCGAGCTTTCACATGCGAAGTGTGGGGTAGGCGTTGTCCCGCCATTCCGGCTGAGTTCGACGGAGGCGGTCGAACAACAAACGAGGAGGCTTGGAATGGGTCACGTTCGCAATTGTGACATGACGAGAAGAAAAGGGGGAGCAGGAGAGGCCGAGTGGATTTTAAGATGCATGTGATGTGAATCATGACTAGCTTGATCTCTGCTGCAACGGTGGTGCAAGATCTGTGGCTGGAACCGCTGTCCAACCGTTGTCCATGCCAATGCATCCGAAACGCCATCATGAGAGGTTAAAATAACGACCTCCGTGCAAATAAATAAGAGGTTCGTGTCAGCCAAGCTAAGCATGTGTGAAAGCACACTCAGTAGCGTCGCTTTGAGTGCAGAAAACCATCTGGACTGGCCCAGCCCGAATCCCTCGATTGACCATGCGCTCCCTCATTTCAGCTAATCGAGGACTGGCATCAATTTGGGTCCTGTTGTTTCCATTTGCATCCTGCCTCCCTGACCACAAAACTTCTCCTGCAGCGCTGGCTCTCGGCCATACCATGTCATCGAGGTTTACTGGATCCGTCTGCTCAGACCAGATATGTACTTCACCCCCTAACACCAATTGTTGGTTCTCAGTGGGAATTCCGGCGAGAGGATCATAGGAATACATTAGTCGCCAGCTCTTATATGGTGAGCAGTAATCTGCGAAGGGATAGTAGTGGTTGTAAGCATCACCTTCGGTGAAGTCGAGCCATTGGCCTTTGCCGCAATCAAGGTACTACAGAGGTGTTAATATTAGCGCCAAAAAGTTGTAGATTAAGCTTGCCCAGAAATTGTAATCCCCAGCAATGACCTTATGGCCGTTTGCTGTTATGTTTGCAATCGCATTGCCACCTTGCCAGGTCTGTACCACGACATCTCCTCCAAGCGTCAAATTCCAGACCAAGGCCATCTCCTCCCAGACTATTGGGGAGAGGCCAGCTTTTCTGATTAGGCCGTGAGTATGGTCAACAAGCTTTTGTATCAGAGGCTGTAGAACTTTGGTATCATTCGATTTTACCGTTTCGTCGAAGAGATAATCCTGGATGTTGACCTCGTCTCCGCCGGTATGGAAGTAAGAGGAATATGGACTAACTCTTGGAAGAACATCGGCGAAGAGCTTATCTAAGAAGCTGTAGACGGCTGATGAGTTCAGTTTCAGGGTTCCGCATGGAGGCTCGTTGCAGTAGCCATCGTATGGCTGCATATCATAAACGGCGATTAGCTCCGGATGAGAGTAGGCGATTGAAGTCGTGTGGCCAGGCATATCGAACTCAATGAAAACCTCAACACCACGCTCAATGCCATACGTTTGAATTCTCTGGATATCTTTGGGAGAATAGGATAATCCCTTCTGATAAGCTCCTTTCTTCGACAGTTCGGGGATAGCTGGGACATCCATTGGCCAAGATTGGGAGTCCGTCATATGGAGATGGAGGCGATTGAATTTGTTCCAGGAAATTGCGTCAATGGTTCGCAAAATGTCTTTAACTGGGAACCAATTTCTCGAGACATCCATGTTCAGCCCTCGATGTTGAAACTTGGGTGAATCAGTAATGGTGACAGGGGCCGTGTTGGTGTAGATTCCTTTCTCAGAGTGCTGGTAGAATAGTTGAGTGAAGGTCTCCAGTGCATGAAGCACTCCGATATACGATACGGCATTGATCGTTGCTTGTCCACTTGTGGTGATGGTAAGGTTATAGGATTCATCCACCTGGCCCGCCAAGGGCTTGAAAGTGCTGGAGTCGTCCTTGCCAGTCTGGATGATGGCCAGGCTTTCGATGTGGGGCTTGTCACAGTCGCAATCCTCTGGCTCGAAGTTGGAATTGCGAGGCGAAAGTTTCCATGGAACGAAGTTCTGTTTAAACAGTGTGTCCAGAGTCCGAGAAACCGCTGCTTCTACCAGGGAATTGCTGTCGAATTTGGTTGCTGAGGAGGAAAGAGAAGACTGTCCATGGGACACTTGTTCAGTATGAAAGCCTGGATAATCAAGAAAGGAAACTCCGCGTACATTTGAACAACTTGCACCATTGTAAGTTACCTTCAACCCCTCCGAAATCCACAGCATCGAATTTCCCTTTTCGAAAGATACAGGCTGAGGCCATATTGCAAGGACTTCGCAGGAGAGGAATAGTAGAAAGTAAATTAGAAACCACATGGTTGCAGTCGACGAGATGGAGATCTGTTTCATGCACAAGTAATATGATGTGAAAAAATTAATAAAATATGAGATATTTAGAAAAGAAAAAGATGGACTATATACATGAATGGCCTTGTTATACAAATTTGGATGTGAACTGATCAGAGTGAGTAACAACTTCTAGTCGAGATAAAAATGTGCACCAAGTAACAAGGGGCGGGAATGAAGCGGCCGGGCCCAGGTGACTAAACGGTCTGGGAAGGAGTCCAGTAACACCAGATATCCAAGCCGAGGGGAAGGAAATTTCGGAGATACTGTCGAGGTTTCAAAGCCAAGTAATAATGCACGTCACCAATTGAGCCCTCGCTTTCTCCTTTTCCCAGCCGTGATCGACGGCACAGAATGATCGAACTTTGATAGCCTGTACTCCTACTGCTCTTCCACCAACCACCTCTCTGGGGGTAACAGGCGGGGTACGGTTCGAGTCGAGAGGAGGCACGCCTTGGTGGTCCGTCGATGGTCGGATGGATCCAAATTCTCTCAAGTGTACCAAGAGACAGGATGGTGCCTGCATACGGCGTGTCTCCAATGATGTTGGACAGTGGAACAGTTTTACAAGTGAGCGTGGCCTATTGACGGCCCATTGCATTCATAGTGTCTGTATGCTGCTAACGATCTCGCCTCAATTCTCGAAGACGGTCCAGTAACAGTTGTGGCTGCTCAATTTGGAGCCACCGGAAGTGTTCCTGCAGAACTGAATACTGAAAGCAGATTGACAACTTGCCAATGGAAGCAACCTTTCCAGTCAGAAAGGACTGGATGCCGAGAATGCAAGAAAGTATGATCCACGATCTCTCGAGAAAGATATCTCTCCAGACTTTCCTGGTCTGACCAAATCTCGCGTATCTGAGTGCAACCCTCACCGGCGAGATTGGAGGACCTGAGACACGGAAAGCTGCTTCACGATATGAGGAGACCTGAGTCTGGTAACATTGGAACGGTCCAACAAATTGGTAATGGCTGGGTAAATCGATCTGGCGCTCTCGAAGTTGATTCACAGTACTCGATGGGAGAAGACGGTGGTTGCCTGAAGAAGAGTCGGATGCCTGAGTCATGACAATCGCTTACGTCATAGCGTGGTTTATCACGTGAACTAGGTCTTCATCCATCACCTACAGCCTCAAAGAAGATCGATGGCTCGTCTTCTCAACCTCCTTTGACAACGACGCTCATTATCTACCAAACGCGTCGAAGTTCTACGAGCGCAAGCACAAAGATAATCTTTCTGGCTCTGCGACCCTTCTCACGACTCTCGCACCTCCACCAAACACCTCGCGACACCTCGATCGAATCCCCATCCTTTTGCCTCCTCCATACAAAGCTCATCACCGACTTCCAGTATGTCTGTCGAGGTTATTCTGGATACGCCCCTGGCGCACGCGCTGAACTCTGCTATCCAACCGAAGTTGGTAGAGGTGGGTTGGAGTACAGGCGCTGAGGGATCCGACCTGTCTGAGTACATCATTCTCATGCTCGCCAACGGCAAGACGCAAGAACAGATCGCAGCAGAGCTTTCAGGCGACCTTCTCAACCTTGGCCCCGACGATCCAGGAGCAAGAGACTTCTCTCAGTGGCTGTTCCATCAGGTGGAAGCTCTGAATTCGCAACAAAATGGTGGGAATGAAGGAACCCAGGATGCAGGCATGACACTGGCGGACACGTCAAATGGAGTTCAAGATGCAGATATGGATGATGTCTCTGAAGGGGTAGATGGTAATGTGTATGCAATTCAGTCTGTTGATCTGTCACCAGGTCACAGCCTTCCCACTAAACCTCCTCAACTAACAAACCATAGACCTACGGGTCCAAAGTCAATGCGAAATGGTGCCACTCGTCCAAGAGACAAGCGTATGCTTGGCCACTTAGCAAAGGCAATGGACAGAACGAACGAGTCGGTCCTCCATCGCGTCCGCCCTCAAAACGGAAACGAGCGCATCAATACACATTCACGAGGCGCACCTCCGACCGGTCCGCGGGGACAACAAGCACCATTTCCAGGCCGAGGCGGACGTGGATCGATGAATTCCCGAATGAACGGTCCTGTTGGAGGGATGCCGATGCAGCATGGAGCAGCAGCAGCCAACATCATGAATATGACGCCCCAACAGCAACTTGAGTTGTATGCCATGCTCGAGCAACAATCGAGACTCATGGCGCAGATGCTCAACCCACAACAACAAATGCCAATGGGGAGTGGACCAGCGAATGGCTTTCATCAGCAGCAACAACAACCCGGACGATCACTCTTTGACCGAGTTCAACGACCGCAACAAAATGGTGCCCGCAAGCCACCTCAGAACTCCAAGTTCGGAGACCAACGTCAAAATCACAGCGAAACGCCTTCCTCGTCAATGGATGTTGAAATGTCACAGGAGAAGAAGGAGATTGATCCAGAGAAGACCACCTGCCGCTTTAACATAAACTGCACGAAGGCAGATTGCCCTTTCGCACATCAATCTCCTGCAGCTCCTGAGGGTACAACGATCGATTTCGGAGACAAATGTTCTTTTGGTGCAGCGTGCAAAAACCGAAAATGCACTGGCAGGCACCCATCTCCTGCTCAGCAAGCCGAGCAAGATTGCAAGTTCTGGCCAAATTGCACCAATGCTCGATGCATTTTCAAACATCCAACCATGCCGCCTTGCCGCAACGGAGGTGACTGTAAGACACCCAACTGCAAGTTCTCGCACAGCAAGGTCGAGTGCAAATTCAACCCTTGCCTGAAGCCAAATTGCATTTTCAAGCACGTCGATGGTCAGAAGCGAGGAAAGTTCGAGGACAAGGTCTGGACAGCAGACAGTGCGAAGGAACATGTTAGTGAGAGGAAATTTGTGGATGAGAATGCACCGGAGGAGTTGATTGTGCCGGCGACTTCTGATGGGGGGATGAGCCAAGCTTCAAGTGCTACGGCTGAGCTCGTGACATAGAGCATGGACTGGGATAGATTTCTGAATCGTATGGGAGCCTCAAAACTGTATACCACTTCATTATTTGGTGACGGAGGGTGGCGCTGGCGTTTGGGTTGTGTTTTGTTGGACTTAAGGTGGTTATGGGTTGCTTCAAATGGGGAATGCACATTACGTAGAATGGATTTCCGTCTCATGGTACCTCAGAGACAAGATCTCTGAAGGAACCCTCCAACATTACAGTCTCCTATGAATGTTATATGAAATAAGCAACAGCTTCTCAAACTGGCGTATCACCGCCTTGTCGGAAGCTCTGCCTAGGGAGGCGCTAAGCGAGGAACTAGTGAACTTGCGTATTTCCTGCGGTTCAGTAATACTTCAGTTCCGACTGTCGTTTCTTCAGGCAATGCCTTCTCAATTACCTGAGCATGCTGTGGTGAGCTTATTGAAACAATGCTTTGAGATTCCCAGCTGTCAAGCACCTCAATTACGCCGGCATGTCTTCACGAGAAGCTCCACAAGAGCTGTGCGGCCATCGGCTTCCTACATTCAACACCAGCAGAAATGCTACTACACACAGAACAAAGCCACATATGAGACAGAAACCTCTCCCCGGACTAATAGTTTGGGCATCAGTCTAGCACATCGACAAGGAAGATCCCAATCGCCTGTGTTCGCCCAGCAACAAACCAGAGGCTATTCGCAAGGAAGTCAACTTCCAGAAAGACGATTTGCAGTACTCGGAGGTGGAGTAACTGGACTCTCCAGCGCCCATTACCTGGCACAAGAGTTACCCAATGCTAAGGTCGTCGTCTACGAGAGCGGGGATAATCTGGGAGGATGGCTAAAGAGCAAGTATGTGAACGTCAAGAATGGCAAGATACTTTTCGAGCAGGGGCCTCGAACTTTACGGCCAAGCACCCCAGCTTCTCTGGTCACGTTAGAGATGGTTTGTCGGGCCCTCGGTTTTCCAATTGGTACTGATTTATCCTAGGTCGAGAAACTCGGCCTCGAAGACGAAGTCCTCCTCACATCGAAGAACTCTGATGCTGCCAAAAATCGATTCATATACTATCCAGACCATCTCGTACGCATGCCAGGTCCTGGGCAGGACTTATACTCTATGGCATGGTCCGTTTTGACGGAGCCGGTCTTCACAGGTGCTTTCCGCGCGATGTTGGAAGTGACTCGAGATCCTCGCCCACCAAGTCTCGAAGATGAATCTATTGCCTCTTTCACGAACAGGCGGTTTGGAGGTCCACAGATTGGAGACAATATTGTGTCAGCTGTGATTCATGGCATTTATGCCGGTGACATATATCAATTGAGTGCGAAGAGCATTTTTCGGAGGCTGTGGGACTTTGAGCACCAACATGGTAGTGTGACAGAAGGTGCTGCTGTCGGGATGCAGAGCACGATGGCAAAAGCAAAAAGAGATATCAATTACCCCGAAACTGACATATCTCTTCGAGGTCGGTTGAAAGGGGCTAGTGTGTATACTTTCAAGGAGGGTATCGGCCAATTATCAGCAGCGCTAGAAGCTTCGCTGAGGACAAATCCCAATGTCGAGTTCAAGATAGGTGACAGGGTCACTTCCGTTGAATACGACACCGAGAGCGACGGAATCTCAGTTCGTATCTCCTGTACACTTCACTCAACAAAAGCTAACACTAGACAGATCAAAACAGCCCTCAACCAGGCTCCTGAAACTTACACCCAAGCCATCTCAGCCCTCTCCGGCAAGACTCTCTCAACCTTGACCCCCTCCGTCCTCTCCCTCTCAAGCATGCATGCTGTAACAGTTATGGTCGTCAACCTGTACTACTCCGATCCCAACATCCTCCCAGAACGCGGTTTCGGCTACCTTATTCCCCGCTCCATTCCCTTCGAGCAAAACCCGGAGTGTGCCCTTGGTGTAGTCTTCGATTCTGACGCGGTTCAAGGCCAAGATACAGTTCCAGGTACTAAGGTCACAGTTATGCTCGGTGGGCACTGGTGGGACGGCTTCTCCTCCTACCCTGATGAAGATGAAGGCGCTGCCATGGCGAAGACGGTTCTTCGTCGTCATTTGAAGATTGATGTTGAGCCTGATGCTGTGAATGTTGGGTTACAGAAGGACTGTATTCCCCAGTATGTGGTGGGTCATGAGAAGAGGATGAAGGCTGCGCATGGAGAGTTGATGCAGGGCTTTAGGGGGAAGCTGAAGGTAGCGGGGAATAGTTATATGGGTGTGGGACTGAACGATTGTGTGATGGCGGCGAGAGATATAGTTATGGCGATCAAGAGGGGTGGTGGTGGTGGAACGGGTTTGGAGAGCTTCAAGGACTAGGTGGTAGAGAGGGTATATGAAATGAATAGGTAGATGGGAAGACAAAATGTACAGTACATATAGTGTTAGACTATAGGCACAGCATATATAGATCATGACAGGTTTCTGGGAGAAACTCCTTCCCTTCAACTATTCCTGGAGACCCTGACATACTCTCTTATGCCTACTCTTCCAAGCGGAAGAAGGAGAGAGACACTTATATTTCTATTCTGAATACACCTCCCCTTTCCCCTTTGCAGGATGTAACTAAAATCAGCATAAAATGTGGCAAGCAATTTCTAATGGTACTCCATTACCACTACAAAATATATCGAGAGGTGCTATTTCCGTGGCAAGCACTAGGTTTGAGCTCATATCCATAGAGAAAATCTAAGTCAACGCTCGCATACGATAGAGGCATGCGACCAGCAAAGTTGCTCTCACGAAAGCTGGTGTTGTCAGTCTCTGCGAATTGCCACTTCAGAGAGTGTCGATGTTTATTCTCGTCGCAAGTGCGGTAGCTTTCGCAATCATACTGAGGGTGGTTGCTGAGGGACCCGCAGTGTGCCGCGTCCTATTCTTCCCTCACGCGGCCCGAAAATTGTTAACGCTTTCATCAGAATACCTTCTTCAAATCACTAAGTAATTCCTTACTTACTGTAGAAGTTCCTCTCACGACATAACTCCATCAAGGCATGTGGAATTACGAGTCTAAGGTTACTGCAGAGTGAATTGGTGTAGGGCCCAATTTCTCGGCGAACCGGTCACAAGCTGGCTCTTATCTTGGACTCGGCAGCAGCGGATGAGGGATTTTTCCGATTGGTCTTTCTGAAGGGGGTGATAGAAGCAAGCTGAAGGAAATCGGGCTAGACGTAAAGGAAGCGTGGGGTGAGGCTTATTTATGAAGAAGCGGGGTCCGCCCTTCTCGAAGTCGACAAGAGTGCGAATATACCATGCTTCATTCACAATCTCAAGTCGAGCCTTTCCTAACTTCCCCTACGTCTCCTAATGGCGAGCAAAGACGGACTTGACCTTTCGAAGTTTTACGATTCCGAGCAGCGGGAACAATCGTCTACCCAGGATTTCTCAGCTGCAGAAATCGCTCGACGACCATGGAAAGCATTTTGGCCACCGAGATCGGAAGAAAGCTTCAACATTTGGCTTCGCTCCGAATTTCCAGAAGTTCTTTCATGGCGTTTCGACCCCGACCAGCCTTTTGATCAACCTTGGCGAGATTGGCTTAGAAGTATTCTGATGAAAGATGAAGATGGGAGCTGTCAAAGAAAGTATAGTTGGAACGGAAACCAAGGTACTGATTAAACCAAGTGAATTTCAGACCTCTGTGAGAATCTAGACATTGAATAAATCACTAAAGTACTGTGTTGTGTAGCTGAGCCCAATAAATCTGATCTATCGTCAACTTCAACTATGGATATTGGCGATCAGATCACTGGACTGCCTAAGATCCAAGTGGACTCCTTTAAGTATCTTGCTCCTTTGGATATCTATAAAACTGAGAAGCCATTTTTCAGCCAGCTACCCTGTGGAACTCAGCTACCACGGACCAACCTTGTTGAGAGCAATCACCCAGTCGAAATACATGATATCTGTGGCAAAGAAAGTCTCTTCAAACTCGACGAGGCGGGCTTTCAATTCATGCAAGTTCCAACCAGGATATCAGAGTGGACGGACGAAAGTGTGCAAGCAGAATATCTTCCCGAATTATCAGCCTGGCTGAAGGAGTCCTTTAGTTGCGAGGAGGTTTTCATTTATAACTATAACGTAAGTTAAGTTCTCCTCTTCACATGCGTCGTTGACTAACATTGACAAGCTTCGAACTAACGACAGAAATGAAACGGGAAAGGGGCCGTGGAGAAGTCCTATCTTCCGAGTGCACTGTGGTAAGCAACGAAAGACTTTCTAAGCACCCAGGCGAGTTTTGATTTCTAAAATTTTGCCCTTGACAGGGGCTTTCCATAGTCGCACTATTTCTAATATTTTGCCCAAATCTTTAGATAACACGCCTGCTTCTTGCGCAAAGCGCCTAGAGTTTCAGTTTCCTGACAAAGTGGAAGCAATCTCAAGCGGCCGTTATCGGTATATAGAGTAAGTGGGCTTATAGGGAGCATCTCTGCATGAGCTTGGTACTTATAATAACATTTATAGTATATGGCGTTGTGTAGCTGGTCAGGACGTTGACTCTCCGCTTGCTTTGTGTGATTACCGATCCATAGCAACGACAGACCTATGGAATATAGATATAGTGTATCCGCACTTCAGCGAGGAGGGCTACGAGCTTACGTATAGCCCTACTCACCGGTGGTTCTATAAGAAAGGAATGTCAAAAGACGATGCGGTTCTCTTCAAACTGGGTGACAATTTGACGACTGCAGCTCAGTGTAAGTGCTTCGGTATAATGTGTTAATTGTCTAGCAACTGAAGTCTACGTATCAGCTACTCCGCACGCGGCTTTTATCGATCCATCCGCCTCTGATAACTGCAAGAGGGCGAGCATCGAAGTTAGGGCAATCATCATCGGTTAGGGGTATCAGCATAATATAAATAGCCTCGATATGTAATGAAAATGTAGGTAATCGCGGTACTGGATGAGAAACTATCTGACGATCACGTAGTGCATTTTCGGCCTATCCACTTAGTCCAGAGAACCTTTCATTCCTTATTAGCAAGTTTCTCTTCTCTCTTCAATCAGCTACAAGATCACGTGTTTACTAGACCTCATTGTTCTATCATCACATGACTCAAATCAAACTCAACGTGATCCGACACGCAGCTAGTCCCCCAGTCGTTGATTTTTCAGTGCTAGCACACCATCAACCAGTATGAAGTTACCATATCCACTGCTAATCCAGTCTCTTAAAGTGTCATTGTGAATTACAATTTATAACAAAATGTTTCAAAATATCCAGAGAGCATGACATCAAGAATGAGATACGTGTATAAGCATAACGAGGAGAAAAGCTCATAATCAAAGCACTACAGTCAGACCATCTGTAAGGAAATTCTACCGTCCCCGTTGCGCTGCGACAGCGCCTGCCATTCTGTGATCAGAAGTCTTCAATCAGGAATTAGAGATTACGATTTGCTTAAAAAAAGTCGCTGTCGCTGTCGCTGTCGCAGCGCAACGGATAGCATAAATCATACCCCACTACTTATTCTTGTCTATCATTTAGGCTTTGCTGAGCCGACGTAACTTCTTCATTTGCAACAGCTCCTTGCGCTCCGCCTTCAGCTGCTTCGGCCTGATCTCTCAAGAAGGTAGCGAGATTTAGCTCACGTTTCTTGGTTTCAGGGTGCAGGCCCCCGAGCTCTTCAATACTTCCTGCTAACTCTAGTCTGTAACACTGTTCCGCCTCGATATACTTGCCCATAAGAGTATATAAGGTGGCCGCATCGTGGTATGTTCGAAGCATGTCTGGATGTCCAGATCCTAATCTGGTCTTACGACGCTCTAGAAGCCTCTCGAACAATGCGATCGACTTGATGTAATCGTTCTGGTCTCGGTAGAGATTCGCTAACTTATGCATTTTCCGCATGACGCTTGGATGCCCATTTCCTAGGCTTTCTTCATTGCCACGTAACGCTCGGTTATACAGGTTTATTGCTTCATCAAAGCGTGATTGCTGATGGTAGACATCGGCGAGGCCCTCTACTGCGAAGAGAGTTTGCGAGTGATTATGGCCTCGCCGTTGCTCATTGTAGACGATTGCTTGTTTCCACATTACCTCGGCCTCGTTCCAGCGACCTAGACTAGTATATGCCGATGCGATGTTGGCGAGTGTCCAGATGGTCTGCGGGTGATCCTCTCCCAATTGTAATTTGCGTCCCTCGAGAACTCTTTCGTAGATCTCCACTGCTTCCAAATGTCGGCCTTGAGCTCGATAGTTAGTTGCAAGACTATCAGCTGTCCACAAAGTGTCGAGATGGTCTACGCCTAACTGAGCTTCTCGATGAGCCAATGCCTGCTTATGTAGACTTTCGGCTTCAGCATAAGCTTCAGCGTTTTCAGCTTCAGCGTATTCATTAATAGTCATAGCCAGATATTCAATCGCCTGAATAGTATCAAGGTGGTCTGGTCCTAGGCTCGTTTTGCGACTCTCGAGGACACGTTCTAGCATTGAGCGAGCTTCTGCAAACCGGGCTTGCGACCGATATACGAGTGCCAATTTTTCTACAGCATGTAGGGTATCAGGGTGATCGGCACCAAGTCGCGACTCTCGAATCTGCCGTACTTCGTCATAGAGCAATATCGATTCATCGAGTTTGCCTAGGTGCCAATTGACTTCCGCAAGACCAAGCTTCCACTGAGTTTCGATATCGGCATCATGAAGCACATTGCTGCCGATCCGTAGTAGTTGCTGATAAGCCTCGCGAGCCTCGTAGTATCTACCACGGTTACACCAGTACGCAGCTATGGCTGTACGTGCTGTTAAAAGGTCGACGTTCTTGGGGTCCACCAACTCACTGTACTTTATCAACGATAGGATGTGCGAGATCAAGCCTTCGTATCGACTCCAAGACTCGGGCAGAGCAGGGTCTTCAATCTGACGAAATGCTCCGCAGACAATTCTGACCGAGCATCTAAACCATTGTAGATATGTACCTTCCGATTCAAGAGCCACTTGAACCAAAGTCTGGGTGAGATCATGCATGCAATATGCTCCTCCCTCGTGCGCCGACCGCCGTTTGATAAAGGAGAGCATCTGAAGTTGCTGTAAAGCGCTTTGGAGTTGTACTTCAGAGGACACCAGTTTGATCAATGATCCCTGCTCTGTAGATGGCAATGCAGTTTTTCCGGGTTTCAAGTTTGAAGCATCCGTCGCTGGGGTTTTGTTGTTGAAAGCGAACCCAAAATACAGGATCCTCATCAGACTCCGCGCAAACCACTGTGTCCAATGCCGATTTTGTTCCGATTCTGAAGGCTCCTGGGTCGGTTCAAACAGAGAATGCAGGGATAAAGCGCCGGTTTTAATAGTTTCAAATTCGATTCCATCAGGGTCCCAAAACACGAGTATATTGAGCAAACCAAGGACCTCGGGATTCGACCGCCTCAGATCATGAAGATGGGACGTAAACATGCCCGAGACCGACTTTGCTTCGTAAGCTGAGAATAAGCTTCGCCAATTGAGAATCTATAAAGATTAGACGCTTCCGTTGGCAGTAAATTCAAATAACGGTGTAAAATCGAACATACATGAGATTTTTCGTTGCCTCGGTACAATCTCGTAAAACTATCGATGGTCTGGGATGACTGAGTCATGAAAGACGCAGCATGCTCTATGGCGAAGGGTAGACATCCAAGAAATTTCATTAAGTCAGTAACTTGGTGTCGGCTAACACTCGACATTGAGTTTTCGCTAACCCCTACTGATTTGAGGAAGAAGGTAATTGCGTTCTCCACTGCTGGTGGTTCAAGTTCCAAAAATAGCTGCAACCTTCCAGAAGCTTTGCAAACAACATGAGCAACAGCTTCGGTCCGCGTAGTGATGAGGATTCGACCATGTTTGCCTTGTCGCGGTAAGTTTTCGCGAAGAAAGTCAATTGTTGATATGTCAACATTGTCGAGAACGAGAAGCCAACGGAGTATTCCACTGACTTCAGGCTGTTCCAGCCAGCGACGAGCCGCTACGACTCGTGCGTTCTGCTCCGGTTTAAATTGATCGGGATGGTCGATAAGGTTTAGTAGTTTTGAGAAGCCTTGATGCAACTTTTCTACATTGGTGCAGGACATCCAGAACACAGCTGATACTGTTGCGTCTTCCAAGAATATTTTTGAATATCGTATTGCAAGCTGTGTCTTACCGACACCTGGTATACCCCAAATAGCACAGCGAGCGGGCGCATTTTCTTCGCTGGCCTGATGAGCATTTCGAACGAGACCCAGCTCTCGCTCACGCTCCATGAAGTGGATTGGGAGCAGATCAACGGGTGCATCATTAAAAGACGATGTGAAGGTTTTGAATGGCCGATTTTCACTCGTTGCGAACAAGGAAACCGTTCGAATGTCTTTGGACAAGACTGATGGGGGATTCTGTGTCTCTTGAGCCTCTTTCTTCAGCCGAATTAGCGCCTTCTTGCGACCTTCACCATAGATGAGCGGCATATGAATATCGAAGATGCCCAATAGGCAGTACGCTGCGTCCTCTTGCCGTGTTGTCTTGCGATCCTTTGCCCATGACATCCGTTCATCAACACTAAACTCATGTAAAGGCCGGTTTCGAAGGGCATCGAGAGGAATTCGTGTTATCCCAAGAATTACTTGTTCAAGCGATTTCTTGTCGCCGAGAGGACAGCGCTCTTTGGAGAAGAACTCGACTGTTCGTGGAGCAATAAGTTCTTGGAGTGTCCAGCCGCGAGTGAACCATCTACTTGCTGCAAAAGCTAGCAACCATGCCTTCCTAGAGAGCTGACGGTTTTCGTCAAAGTCGAATGCTGAAACGTCCGATAAGTATACATAACATTTTGTTGCGTCGCGATACCAACTGAACATAGAGTTGATGGCCTCTTGGAGCTCGGAACTATTTGATTTATCAATGCAACAAGTGTCTACCCAGAAATATTGCAGGCCGTCGCGTCTAGCTTGTTCTCCGCAAAACCGGATCTTGTCATAGCCAACCTTGGCCTCGCTGGTACCATCATTCATATCTCTAAACGTGACCTCCTCAGTCATCGCTCCCCATGTATGCGAAAGTATAGCATACTGGGGTTTAGCGTCGCTCAAGTGCTCTGTCAGGCTGAACTTGCCATCGTTGTTGCCTTCCAGAAGACGCATTGTTGAGACTAGATTCGAGAGGACTTTCAGGAAAGGGATCTCAGTTAATATCGAGTCGCAGGGACGATATGCATACAAAGTTGCGTGTTGAGTTGGGGGTAATGGTAGGATTCGGGTTGTCGCTTTCGTCAACTCAGCTGAACGGCAGCCTCGTGGAATCTTTGGGCATCGGTGCAAACTCGCAGCACTAGCCAATCGCTCGAAAACGACTGAAATTTGAAGCGACCAAGCGGATCGTATATATAACTCCGTAGCTGTCATGGGTCGTCTGAAATTGGTGATGGTGATCAACTATGTATTCTATGTCGCTGTATAGTATCGTTAGTTTCGTGAGCAAGTATCGCAGTGGCCAAACCTGACCCTTGGAGGTCGACATTGCTTACTAAGTATGCTGTTTGTTGGGGGGCGAAAATTTTAGAGGGTCGACGTTGAAATGTCAGTCAGGGAAGGAAGAGGCTATATCCGAAGGAGGAGAATGAAGGAAGGAGAGGTGGAAAGAAGCGACGACATGATTTGCCAGCAAAATGATACCTTTAGGTAAGATTCCTTTAGGAACTGATCAAAAGGTCCGGGGGCGCCTTGCGTTGAGAAAATAAGTGGCTGCTTTTATTTGTCCATTAATCTTCCATCCGCGATTGAGTGGACTTAATGTAGGCCATGATCGTGATTTGGCTCCGTAAAATAATCGAAGTCTTTTGAGATTGTTGGAACCAGAAGCAAGTGCAAACGATAACCTGGCAAAATGACCGTTTGGATGAAATGAGAGTTCTGTCATACTAATAGCCTGAAAGCGGGGGACAAAGCGGCGACTCTTGCGCCACGCCTGCGGCTTCACCTATTTTGGAGCCCGCCGCTTGAACCGGGAGTTTCCGTAGCCTCGCTGTCCGTATCTATGTTCGCCTTATGGTCCCTCAAACTGCTTCGATATTGGCCCTGAACAACAGATTTGAATCAACGACCACACCCAATCCACACATCTGCCTTTCACCTTCATGGCCAGCTCTCCATGTCTCAAACATGCTCGCTCCAACCGCCCAGACCCCTTCTTGAATCCGCCCAACTTGCTAGAGCTATTCAACCCCTCTGAGCCATGTCTGCTCTAGAGCCTCCGGTCACAGTCTCGCTGACTGAGCGCTTCACCAGTGATGAACCATCCTTATCAGCACCTTCACATCACACCCGACGGCCTGGATCCTCTATCCGATCAGCTGCCAAAAGCAAGGGATTCCGTGCTTATATAGGTCTCGAAACTGTGGCTCGCAGAACATTAGGAATAGTTCTCCTTTTTATCACGGTTCTCTTATTCACGGCTTCTAGTTTTCTTGGAAGCGTTAGTCCTCCTCAATATTAATATACGATATCCAGCTAACAGAATCTAGTACATCTTCGCCGACAACACTTTTAGCAAGCCATTCTTTGTCACATTCCTCAACACAGCATGTTTCGCCTTCTCGCTCATTCCGATATTTTTGAGAATCGCTCACAAGCATGGCTGGCGCAAGATTAGATCGTCTGCTCTCAGCTACTGGAAAAGCAGGTCCGATGGGTATCAAAGACTAAAATCGAAGGCTCGGGAAGAAAACAATGGCTATGAGGACACTCCGAGCGAGGAATCCTCATATACGCGACTCCTTGTCGATGATGATATCGAGACAATACAACTGTCAAGAGTATCAACAAATGCCTCGAAGGATCCAAACACCGTTCTGAGCGTCCGAGAAACGACTTGGCTATCGCTGGAATTTTGCTTGCTCTGGTTCGCCGCGAACTACCTCGTTACTGCTTGCCTGGAGTACACAAGTGTGGCCAGCTTCACGGTTCTTACCTCCACAAGCAGTATTTGGACTCTCCTCTTAGGCGCCATATTTGGCATCGAACGGTTCAGTGTTAAAAAATTCATTGGAGTTCTGGCTTCGCTGATTGGTATCATTCTCATATCCTCAGTGGACTTGGCAGGAGATAATGACGACAATCGGGGGAAGTTTCCTCACAAATCGCCACAACAGGCTGCAATTGGCGATGCTATGGCATTTGTTAGTGCAGTGCTGTACGGGATGTATGCGATCGTAATAAAGAGCAGGATCGACAATGAAGACCGTGTCAACATGCCTCTTTTCTTCGGTATGACTGGGCTCCTTAATCTCATATTCCTCTGGCCAGGCTTCTTGATTTTACATTACACGGGCGTGGAAAAGTTTGAGCTTCCGCAAACGGGGAAGATCTGGACCATCGTCCTCGTATGATTTATCCAGCTTTCTGCCCCTATGCAGCGCTGACGCTCATATAGCTCAACTCAGCTGCGTCGTTAATCAGCGACTATGCGGGGGCATATGCCATTCTCTTGACAACACCGTTGGTTGTTTCAGTCGGGCTGTCATTGACCATACCATTATCTCTGATTGGACAGATGGCCCTGAGCCAACAGTATTCCAGCGCTTTGTATTGGGTTGGGGCGTGCATTGTCTTGCTGTCTTTTCTTTTCATCCATCACGAAAGTCACGATGCCGATGAAGCTTCAGCTGTAGCTATGTATGAGGCGCACGAACATGAAGGGACGATATAGAGTATATAATGTAGCGGCATATACGAATACAACACTTGTATGAACGAAAGGAGGAACATTCCATGACTATCTATGTCTCATTTTGCACTGATCGCAATGAAACTTGTCGCCAATAACAGTAGGAGCAGTTGCTAGGATAAGTTGGGATATGACACATAACATAAATAAGAGCATGCCCGATACGGTAATCTAGATCTGTGGGAACTTAGAGGCCTACGTATTGCTAGATACTTCCTGGAGCTTCTGATGATCATTCTCTCTTATATCTTCCGTACTGTCGCGGCCGAGCAACGGCTTGCTGAAGAGGCACTGGGAGGCCAGGGCTTCCTGTCCGGCAAGCCGTGAGCATTCAGCAGTCTCGGCAGAGCTACGGCGCTCCATGTCGTATATTTCATCGAAACCGACAGGCACTGCAGATCTCTTTTTGGTATACTCAAGGGCGTAACATTGAAAGTACTGAGCTTTGAAAGCGCTGAGTTTTTCTGGTACATTCAAAAGTATCAAATTTGAAGTGGCTGGAGCTTTCTTGCACATTTAAAATATCGCAGATGAAAGCTCATCAAGAATTAGGGAGACTTTGACGTAGCTGTATGGGTTATAATCTAATCACTGGAATAAGAGGCCATATTAGTATATAGTTTTACTGCATTGCGCAAGATGCGGAGGAGATTGCGAACTTCCTCTGCTACACCCCGCATCACATGACTTGGTATCTCTACCCCCCCACTCTCAACGTCAGACTTATCATCTTCAAGTTATGTCTCTTTTCTGCAAATATTTTCGCTGTTCATGAAATTGAAAGGAAAAGATTAAATTTTCAGAAGAAACGAAATTGTCACACTCACGTCTCAACTTATACTCAGAGTCTTCACATCATCGGCGCCGCATCGCAATCGCAACCTCACATTTCCGCTCCGATGCGGGCTTAAAGCTATCGCCGAGCGACATACCCTCTCAGAACTTTATTTATATCAAGCCCAGATCCTGATCTAACGTATAGTTCTAACTGCATCTCATACTCAAAAGCGAATTACAACAAGGAGAAAAATACAAAATGGCTTGTGAAGCGTGCAAAACAATCCCTCCCGTCGTGGCTGAGGGGTATGTCGAAAAGGGGAACTGGGAGGACGTGGGTGGTTTAAAGACCTGTTTGAACCCCCTTCTCACCCTCTCATCGCTTTATAGGCTGACACGAAGAACAGACGTCACGGGTAACCTCTTAAGCAAAAAAGCCATCGTTGATGTTTACGACATCTTCGGGCCGGCACCTCAGACTCTACAGGGAGCTGATGCGTTAGCCACGGCTTTGGATATCCTGGTTGTGGTACCAGATTTCTTCAAGGGGAGTCCGATGCTGGGTGAAGTATGATTTTCCCTCCTCTTACCAGCATCACCCGCAAAATTGAGAGAAATGTTGACCGGAATCAGTGGTACACAAGCCCAACCGAAGAATCCGAGAAACTCAAGGCCGCTTTCTTCGGAAAAGCCTTCGATTTCCCGCAAGCCACTAAAGACTTGCTAGACTTCACCGCCGCGGCGAAAAGCAAGTGGAGTCAAGTCTCGAGCTGGGGCGCTTTCGGTCTCTGCTGGGGAGGCAAAGTCGTGGTTTTGACGAGTGCGGAGAGCACGCCTTTCACTGCATCAGGACAGGTGCATCCTGGGAAGATGGAGATTGCTGATGCTAAGGCGCTCGTGATCCCGCATATCGTTCTTGCGAGCAATGGGGAGCCGGAGGATGTTGTTAAGGAGTATCATGATTTGCTTGTTGGGGAAGGGAAGCCGAATGGTAAGTTATTTCCAGTTCTAATGGGGGGGGGAGTGAGCTTGCGATAAAGAGTGAAAAGCCACCTGCTGACTGGGGTATGGGATAGTGGTTGAGACTTATGGGACGATGCACCATGGATGGATGGGTGCGAGGGCTAAGTTGGAGGAGGATGCGAATTTAAAGGAGTACACGAGGGGGTAAGTCTTGATCTTCTTCTCTGCGAGGGTGATGGGGAAAAGTGACATTACTAATCATGTGAACAGGTATAATCAACTGGCTGCGTTTTTTGAGAAGCACCTTTGAGTCATGATACCTTTATGGGGAAGAGTTTGAGATTGAAATTAGCTGATGAGATGCCATCAGCATAGAGCGCTTTGCAGGAGCTGAGATGAGAGACGCGGTTAGGTTTCTCTTGCTATCTTGTCCTATCATGCGAGGGAAATGATATTCTTTTCACTTGAGGTCACGGAAATGCAAAGTTGCACAAGGAGTTGAAAATTGGAACCAATGCTTTCTAATATTGCGCAAAATCTAAGAGCATTTCTTGCTCGTATTCTAAAGTCCAAAGAGGCCAATTAAACTGAAAACAAGTGCTCTCCTCCACATTCAATCCAAGATGACTCTCGCCGGATAACAAATCGAGTACCGTCCCGCTGCTCACGAGCCTTCTAGCCCGCAATACGAATATACCACAAAGCGAGGAATGGCTACCAAAGCAAGTAACGGGAACCACAACCAGCTTCGTCCCCCTTCTCCATCTCACGATTCTCCATCCACTGCGTCCATTTTGCCTCCTTCACCACCTTGTCATACTCAAGGGTCAGTTTAGTTTTCGTCGGGTCTCTTAAAACTTCCTTATTCCACTTTGCAGCAATCTGACCAGCGGCATTGCACAACTTCTGCTCAGCCCCACAGTCCCCTCTTATCAAGACGTTGTGGTCTGCGCCAACGGCGAACAGGTGTGAGGACCAGCTCGGTGCACATCGAGATCGGGGCGATGGCTTTGATTCAGGATGATGTCTGATTGTGGAAGGAGAATGAGTTTCTCGCCTGGGTGGAAGAAAGGGTCGATGAGGGCTTTTTGGAGGGCTGAGAAGGAGTTGTTTCCATCGGTCGGAGTGTAGTACAGCCGGCACTCTGATTCGCCGTTCGAGATGTCTTATAGTTGAAAACAATGGTCTCAACTTGTGTCTCGGGTTCAGCGCGCATGGTAGCCATGGTGGCTGGACCTTGTAAAGACCCATTTTGAAACTAGTGTACTTGATCGATTAGTAGTCGAGGTTGGCTATTTAATGTTTTTGAAAAGGTATGGATCAAGATCAGAAGTGCGAATACGTCAGATAGAGCCGTACTAGAGCGATACAGGAACCTCTTGTAGAACTAAAGAAAACAGAGTTAATAAGCTCTTGTGCGTGGTACATTCACCGCGTGACACCCACGGTTGGTGAAAATCACTCAAGACCCAAGCGACCAAATAATGAAAGATTATCGGGATAAAATACAATTGAACTGAACTGTTATCTTTATCGTTGTCAAGAATACAATATCTTTGTTCTTACTCCATGATCGACAGACAAAAGAGGTCTGGCTTCATCAACTGGCCACAATGATTCCACAATGCATGTCGGTCATCGATGGAGGGTAGTCAAGCGAGAAGGGATACTTGAATTGTCAACCGGATTTGAATATACAGCGACGCCGAAAACAAAACTCTCCTCCTTGAGATATCCTTGCTTAGCAAGGAACGAGCTATTCTGCCTTGCAGGACAGTCATGTGAATGGGACAAGAGGACTTGCGTTGATTTTGAATGCTTGTCGAAACAGAAAACGTACGCCTATCAAAATTTTCTCAAAACACAGAAATAAAAAAAATATTGAGGCTTCATGACATTCCCAAGCAATTGAGCACACTCAACAATCCAAACCTATCAGCCGGTCACGTGTAATAGTCGGTTACTCTCTCGTAATCTGAAACCGGGATAAGGTTTTGTTGCATATCGGACAAATTGACGTTGACATGGATATGCCTAAATGCGGCAAAAAAATATGGAAAATGCTGCGTTTGCTCATGTTTGCCGGGCATCGACTTCTGCAATAAACTCCGGGCCGGTGTCACAATCCCCCGATTGCCGCCAACACGGTGGCTTCCCTTCTAGCATGAATGCCCAGAGGAGGAGATTGGGCTGATCTGGGTTGTTGCACGTCGATATTCGCCTAGCCTCTGGTCTGGAGCTGTCTGGAACGTTTTCTTGGTGATGTTGTTCCAGATGTCACCAGATGGAGCTCGAGAGGAAGGCGTGGAGGCAAACTCCGTGGATTATGTAATGTCATGCTGCCTAGACTTTGAGGCACTCGGGCCTTCGGGCCAGGCAGCATTCGGGGATTTCAAAACTCCGGACGGGTTTCACTTCGGTCTGCTGAAGTGGCAACAACAACGAATCAAAATGACGAGACAGTTCTCGGTCCCGAGAGAAGGCATGAGGTGGAGACTTCTGAGTCATCAAGGAAGGGAAAGGGCATTGATTGCGACGACAAGTGGCAGGGGTGAGCCACAGCTTCCCCAGCTGTGGCGTAAACGGCCCCTCCCTCCAACGCGCGTCATGCTCGGGGCCTGACTATCGACCACTTATCACACGCTTTGGCGTTCCAGTCCATTCTTATCAATTCTGTGTGACTGCGTGTTGCATTATTGTCTGATGGGTTGCTTTTTGCCTTCGTAACCCGACTTGCTGCCTATGAGCCTTGCCTACGCGGCAAAGTTGCCTTTAGGGTTGGTGTGGTGTTTGCTATAAATCTCATGACCTGTCCCCCACCTCCTTTCTCTGCAACTCACACACTTTTATCTTTCCACAAGAAAAGTATACTCTCCTACACACAAACACAAACACATACTACAATCATCACACACACAAACATAAAACATGGCATACAACAACTATCAACAAGTCCCTTTCTGGGATTTCCTACGAGGCTTCGAGCAGAACGGAGCAGGTGTTGACCACACGGCTCCTGGACCTGGAGCCCACCCTTTCTTCGGCTCCCCTCCACCACATGGCGCTGGTCCCTTTGGAGCTGGGGGTCCTCCCATGCATGGCCCCGGCTTTCCCTTTGGTGGAAGGGGTGGATGGGGAGGCAGAGGTGGAATGGGCGGAATGGGCGGCGGATGCAGGGGACGGCACTGCCGTCGCGACCGTGATGGAGAAGAAGAGGCCCGCGACTCAGGTGTTGAGGGGGAACACACCGAGGGCGAGGGCGAGGGTGAAGCTAAAGAAGGAGAAGAGAGCAACGAGGAACGCCCTGAGGGGCGTCGTGGCCGCAGAGGTCATCATGGCCATGGAAGAGGTGGTCCACATGGGTTTGGAGCAAGAGGCGGATGGGGACATCACGGCCGTCATGGACACGGGCCTCACGGACGCAGAGGGCCTCCACAATTCGGTGCTGCATCAGGTGGAATGGGAGCATTCGATCTGAGACCCATCTTTGAGGCTCTCCAAAACCACCCCATCGGCCAGCACCCCTGGGCCCAAGCACTCCGCAACATGGCTGAGCAAGCTGGTGCCGGCGCACAAAGATCAGGTGAGACACTTGTCCCCGAGGAGGCCGACAGCGAAACCTTTACCCCTCCCGTCGACATCTTCTCTACTGAGAGATCATACATTCTCCATTTTGCTTTGCCAGGTGCAAAGAAGGAAGACGTTGGAGTCAACTTTGATTCAGACAAGGGTGTCTTGAACGTCGCAGGTGTCGTTTACAGACGCGGTGACGAGGAGTTCTTGAAGACTTTGACCACCAGCGAGAGGAAGGTGGGGATGTTCGAACGCACTGTCAAGCTACCACCTGGAGATGAAGAGAAGGAAGAGGTCGATGGAGATGCGATCACAGCAAAACTTGAGGATGGCGTGTTGGTCGTTACAGTACCGAAGATTGAGAAGGACTGGACTGAGGTCAAGAGAGTTGACATTGAATAGGGTGGAACCGTAGCCAAGGCCAGCTAGCCTGAGCTGGAGTTTTGGATTGGATTGGATTCGGCTTTCTTTTCTCCTTGTCTGTATCACAACACATTTGGTAACATAATGACCTGAGAGGTCACTGAAAAATCCCCCAAAAAAAATGCCATCTGGCAATTAAAAAACTCTTCTTGCCCCAATTTGAACGTGATTGCATGACTACTGTAACTCTGTGAAAATGAAGAACTTGGCGTACCTCAGTGAACCTAGAACCTATTCTCGCCTGGTTTTGTTGCCGCTAAACATGTGAACATCGTGAAATTGTAATCAGGAACTTACCCTAACAACAAAACATTTCTTGTGGTTCCACGTTCGAAGATCCGTAACCCACCTCAATATCAAATCTCCTTCTTTAAACAAACAGCATTCCAATACCATACCCTTCCCACGCTATCTACCTTCGAGAAGGCCTTCTCCACATCCTTATAAACCTTATATCCCCTCCTCTCATACCACTCCTGGTTAGAAAACTATTCTTCCGTCAGCACATCCCTCTCTCATTCCCTCCCTCTCCCTCACCCTCACCCCTCACCCCTCACCCGTGTCTCTCTCAAAACACTTACCGGCGGAATCACCAACCCCAACGCCCCATACTTCTCCTCCCTTTCCCCATCAACCTTACAAATAGCATTCAGCGCCAACACCCTCGCATTCAACGGCTCACTAATCGCCATCCCTTCCACGGCATCCATGGCCGCCCTCCCCAGTCCGGAACCCTGCAGAGCACGACTGACGTAGAAATTCGAGATCCAGAACCAGCCCGTTTCGGCGAAGTCGGGGGAGAGGTAGTCCGGGTTGACGGAGGTGAGGGACACGGAGCCCAGACAGATGTGGCCTATGGGCGTGAATGACTTTTGTGGCTCTGGAATTGAACGTGGTTTTCCCCCATAGGAAAGTGCGGAATCAACGATGGGGGTGGCTTCTTCGGGATACTTGGAAGTGTGGGAGAGGAGCTTGGCGTCGTTCAAGGGGTCGGAAGCGTCAAGAACCTAAGGGAGAGATAAAGGAATGAGAGGGGGCAGGGAAAGGAGGAAGGGGACAAACGAGCCATTGGAGGTTAAAGAGTCCGCTTGATTGTTTTTCTTTCCATGTTTCGATGTATTCCCAGTCCCATCCGCATGCGTGACGCTGCTGCACTAGTCGCTCGATGTGGGCAGGAGAGGTGGGATCCCAGGGGATGAGCCGGATTTGGGGTGGGGACTTCAAAGAATTGGTAGGTGGGGAGGGAATATCGGAGGACATATTGAAATGTTGAGGATGTGAGGAAGAGGAGTGGAGAATATGAGGAAGGGGACTGGAGAAGCTAAGAGAGGCCAGGTAATAGGATATACTTGGTACTTGTACTTGGGAATGTCTTCTCCATTGCAAGGTTACATCTCGTTCAGATCAACTTCGTAAACGATGACTCATACCTTTTATCTTGTCATTGAAGGGCGCGATACCAAGACATGTAAGATTTCTGTATAAGGGAGGTGGTTACACCCCCAGAGATCAAATGGGCGTGATGAGCGATTTATCGGATAGAACTCACACAAAGACTCTCGATATGCCTACGGTGAGATACTGTCATAACACGTGATCATGGCATTCTGCCAGGAAATTGGCCATTTAAACAGGAGCCTTGAAATACCTAACTTGAAATCCCAACAGCCAGTTCCAAGTGCTGGAAAGAAAGTATTATGAGTCTTCCGCGAGAATGTGTCGTGGAGAATGGCAATAGACATGTCGCTTTTGATCCTGCTTCGCTAAAAGGGGGGTTTATTTACTTCGTGTTGCGTGACCCACCTTTGATTTGTGGTGGAGCCGTATATAACTAAATTAGCCAAATTTTGATCAGAACCCAAAGGTTCGTAGTCGTATGTTAGTTCGCTAGCGCAGGAATTAAGCAATTGAGTATGTCTAACATCTCAATAAGTCTTAAGAACTTGATATCGGACGGCTTTAATCGGTCAGAGGGATGTTCTGCCACAAGTAAACTGAGCGCAAGCCAAGTTTCTTGGTTCCCGGGGATTTCTTTTGCCTCTTTTGACTCTCTTGCAATCGGTCTTTTGATCTTTGGTGGCGTTTCATGGTAGTTGACACTTTTTTGGTCGACATCTCACTTCTTGACGGAGTCGAGTCGCCACCTTGCCGACCCTCAAGGTCTAGAATTTTCATTAGGGCTCATAATCTACCCAACTACTATCCCCCCCCTTGAATACTTACAGTGGGTCCTTTAGTAACGCCACCCTGAAACCTCGTTTATAACCCCCAACTAGGAAATATCAGGTGCTCTCCAGAATCGCTATTGGCCATACACCCTTGAGTTGGTCAGTGCAGGAGTGGTGTTATCCCAGGACCCACTGTAAGTATTCAAGGGGGGGGATAGTAACAACAACCTTTTCACCTTTCTCTTCCCATTTTGCCACCCAGGGGAAAGTTCCCTTTGCCAAACAACTTCCTTGGTTGCTCCCCTCAATGTGGCGCAGCACCGCCACAGTGGTGATGCCTGCTGAAAATCGCCGCTAGCCGCTCTCCACTCCTAGTTGCCCAAACAACGAAGCTATCTCAGGCCTTATTTCCCCATCAACTGCAACCACCCAACTTTGCTTTTTACATCTTCAAATACGCTCCTTCGCTGACCTCAAAGTTGCCATAACTTTGGCCTTTGCTTCGCGCGAGCTCTGTGCCGCAATTTTGGCATTCTTGATAACAAAGGGCGACTGTTTACGATCAGCAGCTTTTACGTCATTGCGCCCGCCGCAACTTTGGGCTGACATTGCCTCTTGCGCAGCATCGAGAGGGCATCGACCCACATGTGCTGAGCAGTATCCCCTTTAGCAATCTTCTTCATTGAACGATTTCGACCTTCCTGCGATTCTCATCGCCGAGCAAAGCTATCAACATGTCCGATACCGAGAGTCTTGACTACCTGCAGGCGGGTTTCGACCCCAACAGTCTAACCGTCCCTCGCCTTCGATTCATCCTCGTCTCCCACGCCGTCGACTACCCCTCCGGCGCCAAGAAGCCCCAACTCATCCAGATTTTCACCGACAATGTCTTACCCCAGTCACGCAAGATTCTCGCAGCTCGAGCTCGCGCCAGAAGAACAAGCAGAGGCATCACGGATGCGGATTCTCAGGATAGCGCTATTGGGGTCGAAGAGGAGTTGATGCCACCGCCTCCGACACCACGGGCTAGGTCTGGGAGAAAACCTTCGGGCAGAGTCAAGGCTGAGGAGAGCGAGTCAGATGGGCCATCTATGAGGAGTCCGATGAAGAGAACGCCGAGACCGAGCAGCAAGCATGCTAGAGCTTCCGAAACCGAGTCTGGGACGGATCTTGATGGTGTTAAGAAGTCTGGCCGGAAATCCCGGAGGAGTGAGGCTCCCACTCCTGTTGCAGCTGCACCTGCACCTCCTCCGCAGATGAAATTAGAGCAGATGGATGATGGAACGCGTGTGTCAAGGAGAGAATCTGCCTTTACGTACGACAATCCGTTTCAGAGTGGCAGCTCTCCTCCGCCGGAATACAGCAGTGGGGAGAAAAAGCGAAAGAGCTTAGGCTCCAGTGCCAGCAGAGATCCCGCGCGGCGTCAGAGCAGCACGGCGAGAAAAACTACCCCTCGGCCGAAAGCAGAAGATGGTATTCATCCGCCTACCTCAGCGACATTCGAGATTCCAGTCAGCACACTGAATGGCATGAAAGACGTGGACGAGAACGGTGTTGAAGCCAACGAGGAGTTCACACCCGAAGAGCAAATGGAGTTGGTGCGAGAGAGAGCAGCCAATGGAATCAATGCCGTTGGTCCACTCAGACCCAAGAGACGACAATCTCGTGGCATCAGCAAGAAGGGGCCTATTTGGATGGCTATTATTACTCTGCTTGGTGGTTATGCTACTTGGTATAGGCAAGAAAAGATTGCTGTGGGATACTGTGGCGTTGGTAGAGATGCCAAGGCAATCATTCCCACGGAAATCGCAGGGACGCCAATCGTGGTACCTGACTGGATCAAGGTTGTCGCAGAACCAGAATGTGAACTCTGCCCTCAGCATGCTTATTGCTTAGAGAATTTCGAGACTCAATGCGAAACCGATTTCGTCCTCAAGGCGCATCCTTTCTCTTTGGGTGGATTGGTTCCTCTTCCGCCTACCTGTGAACCAGATGGAGAGAAGGTGCGCAGAGTCAAGGCAGTCGCTGACCGTGCTGTGGAAGAATTGAGAGAGCGAAGAGCGAAGTTTGAGTGTGGTGAACTGACGGATTCGGCTGGATCTCCGGAGCCGACTGTCGAGATTGATGCAGAGGAGTTGAAGAAGGAAGTCAGTAAGAAGAGAAGAAAGGGGATGAGTGAAGCGGAGTTTGAGGAACTTTGGGGTGGTGCTATTGGAGAAATCCAGGGGAGAGATGAGGTTGTCAGTGTTGCTGATGGGTAAGTTATTTTCTCATACTCATTTTACCCCTTGCTCTTGGCGGATGTTTTGCCTTCTTATCGCGCTGTACTTTCATCCTCCTACTCCCCGCTACAACTACATACAATCTGACACAGAACCCACTAACCAGGTTCCTTGTCCCCTCCACAGACACCGCAAGCTCCTCATCAGTACCTCACTCGCAAGACTCCCCCTCTCCTGCGCCATCCGACGATCCTTCCGACTCACTCTGGCACGACATCGCCTCCAAATTGCTTCTCTAGCCGCCCTCTCCTCTCTCATCCTCTACGTCCGCCACATCATCTCCTCTCGCTCGGCTGCTAATGCCGCTATCCCTCACCTCGTGTCTCTCACTCTGGACAGATTAGCTGAACAAGCAGCCCTCCATGCTCAAGATAAAGAAGGCTACGAATCTTGGATCAGTATCGGGCAGATGAGAGACGATGTCCTGCGTGATGAACACAGCATCAAGAAACGTGAGGCGCTGTGGAACCGAGTCAAGAAAGTAGTCGAGATGAACGCAAACGTGCGAGCATCTCAACGTGAGGCGAGAAATGGCGAGATCTCTAGAGCTTGGGAGTGGATTGGCGCAATAGGTAGCTTTGGCAGTGGTGAGGGTGCGAAGCGACGAAAGAGTGGAAGAGTTTCCTTCTACGGTGATGGTGATATGAGCTCGCCCGTCTCGGGAATGGATGATGGACCAGAAGTGGTACAAATGAAGTGGCAGGAAGGGCGACCGATCTATTAGGAAGCGTTTCTTTTGTCGCGTTTGTCGGCTTTGCCGTATGAGTACTTTCTTGATAGGCATGTTATGTGGGAAGGAATTAACGGCCGAGCATGGATGATACCTGGAACCTGGCTGTCATAGAGTGCCCAAGCATCCTAGCGAGCACGTGCGTGCGCGTGGTCCGTGCGCAAGCCCATAAGGCTTCGCACCTCCCACGACTCACTTGCTTCTTCAAGTTTCAGTCACAATACTACTTTGGATTGCTCCCTGACTTGCTGCCCTTTTGGTGACCACTATTATACTGGCAGATGGGGGCTTTTACTTAACTTTTAATTAAAACCCATGAATCGAACAATCTCAGTGCGACGTGATTCCAACGCTCCAAAGTTGTCACGGTGGTAGCCAGAGCCGAGGCTACTTTTCGAAGTCCGAGGAAACAACAGTTGTAAATAAATAACGTCCATCCATACGTAACGAGAAACCAACCGTGCCGAGAAGAAAACACAGAGTATGAAATTTAAACTCCGCCTACCTAATTTTTTTTATTAAAATTGATATTACTTTATTCTTCAGCTAATTCTCTATTGGTATTCGATTTGCAGTGGTGAAAAATTACGGTTGTGGCAAGCTAATGGGTCGTGCCGTGTGAGGCACGTAATAGCAGGGTGATGCACAAGTAGTCAAGGTAAGTAAGCTGCAGAGTGACGCTTGCAAGTGTAACTGATTCCAAGAGTTGATTCCAACAAAAGACTAATTGATGCCCCTTTCCAAAGCTAGGAGCGTCTCCCTATATATTCCCTAGTACTTAGCCAAGCCTGCGAAGCACTTTACTTAACTAGGAAATACGATCCCATGCGATCCGTACGATTCCGATCGCCCGTACGATTCCGATTGCAAGCTTTACCTAAAATAGGAAACTAGATCTATAACATCTGATACCTGTTTATATGCCGTTACGTATACCCATTACATTAACCCCCCCTCTGGGCCCTTATCCCCAAGAGGCCTGAGAGAACTGCAAATAGCTTTATAAATAATCCCCTGAAACCTTTCCGGCCATTAGTCCTTCCTAAAGACTCTCTATAATTGCCCCATTATTATGCCAGGTAATAGACTTGAGGATATAGTTTACTAACCCTGCCCAGCTAATCCGCAAATTGCCTCTGGCGATTCCCTCTCGCAAAGGTAATACGGGTATAGTATATACTATTAGACAAGAAGCTCTTCCGGTCTTCTAATTAGTTCGTAAATCCCAACTTAGCCTCTATTTGCGAATAAATTATTACTCTATAGGCCCAAGAGCTTGGAAAAGTTAATCCGATCTTCTAGTTCGTTTATAAATCCCTTTTTTAGAATTTTCTGGATATTCCTAGTATAGAGCCGGTTCCGAATTCGTAATTACTATTTGGGGAAAGGGTATTATAAAAAGGCCTCTCTTTTCCTATTAACTAATCTTCCCTTTCCTTAACTATAATACTATACCCAGCTTCTTCTCGTTTCTTGCCTTCCTTCTTTAAGCCTTCTTCAAGCTCTTTTAAGCTCCTTTAAGCTTTATTTAAGCTTTATTTAAGTTCTCTTCTAATTCCCTCTTCTATTTCTTTATCTATTAAGATAAATACTTCTCTTGGTATTTATTAGCCTATTACTACCCGTTTAGCTAATACTCCTATATCTTTAATTTGCCCTTACTACCTTTAATATTCCAAGAATATTACTAAGTTTTCCGACCTTACTTATATTAAGAGTAATAATTACTCGGTATATAATTACTACTATTCTAAGAATAAGAAATATAATCCTATAAGTTATAATTTCCTTTATTTATTCCCTATTCTAATACTATTTAAGGTTCCTCAAATATATATAATATAATTAAACTGCCTTTTTTAAGCTATTAATATATATAAGTATTTTTTCTATTCTTTATCCGAAAAAGAGAAGGCTATTACTACTTTTCTTCTATACTAAACGGTATATACTTCTTATATTAAAGCTATTATTTAAAGCTAATAGATTCCTTTAATAATTCAAGAAATAGATTAAGTAATTCTTACTAGCTTAATATAAGTATAAAGTATTTTTAATAATATAATTAATATTTTTTAATATTAAATAAATTTACTTCTTTCTTATTTCTTACTAATAGCTAATAGCTTTATAGGCCAATTTACTACCTATTTCTCGAAAGAATCCTAATAAGAATAATAATAAGAATAATAGAAAGTAGTTATAAGAATAGAATATTTATAGGATATAGAAATTAGAGTTTTTAGAATTCTTAATAATTTTTATATAGTTTTTAATAGTTTTCTAATAAAAGTATTTATTTTTTATATTTTTATTTAGCTAATAGTATTATAATATTATTCTTTTCTAAATATTCTTATAATTCTTGAGTTATATTTTCTAGATTATTTAATAGTTCTTATATATTATTTACTAATAAATAGTTCTTTTAATAAATAAAATACTTTCTTTCTTTTTTATCTTTTCTATAAACTATAATAGATTCTATCTCGAATTCTTCTTTATTTTTAATCTCGACTAGTTCTAGTTCTACTATAATATTAGCTTATAAATACTATAGTTCTAAAAGAGAAATATAGAAAATATTATAAATCTAATATAATAATAGTAATTTCAAGTAATATATCTATTTATATATATCTATAACTTCTAGAATTTTAAAGGAACCAAGATATCTATTTACTAGCTTTATACTAGATTATAACTATTAAATATTCTTTATATAAAATATAACTTTATTATATATATTAAATTCCTTATTAATATATTTCTTATTATAGTACTTTTTCTATATATTTATTATTTCTTACTATTACTTTTCTAATATCTCCTATTTTATTTAAATTCTCTATATTCTTTTCTATATTACTAGTATCTCTCTTTCTAGAATATTATTTTTAATATATAGTTTAATACTAGAATAGAATTTATATAATATATAGAATAAAGAAATTCTTATTATTAAATATATAGAATTATTATATATAAATTCTATAAAAGTAAGCTTTACTATTTAGTTATTCTACTAGTAGTTAGTATAGTACTTTAAATACTATTCTAGAGTTTGGTTTAGATTCTCCGTTTATCTATTAGTTTATAAGTGAAATACTATACTTAATTATTATTAAACCTTTAAATAAAAATATAAACTTAACTAAAACTTACTTATAAAAATAAATCCTTTATTAAAAGTTATATTTATAGGTATATTAAAGTCTTTAATAATATAATATATAAATAGCTTTACTAATTCAAGAGCCGAGATTTCCTTAATAATTGAAATATATTATACTATTTTTATATATTTATTAATAATAATAAGTATAGAATTATATACCTTATTATAAAACCTAAAAGAGAATAGTTCTATAATAAAATCTATAGTAATTTCTTACTATAGCTTAAAAAAAAGGGAAAACAAACTAAATATACTATATAATAAATATTTCTTTATTTTAGTCTATTAATATATAAAGCAAGTTCTAATATAATCTTTTATATTTTTTTATATATTTTACTAAAAGTACTTTTTCTAAAAAATCTCTAATATCTTACTAGTATTAAAATACCTATTTATAGGATTATTATAATTAGTTTATAGTAATTCTTTTTTAAAAACCGGCTTATTTAGTATATAAATAGTATCCCGATATTTTAATAATCTAGATATATTAAGTTCTTAAATCTTAATAGCTCTAATAAAGATTTCTTTTAAGAACTATTTATATTACTAGTATTATACTAATAAATTAAGCCTTTAGTACTATAATAATAGTTTAAATAGTATTTTTCTGCCTTTCTTATATATTATTTCGAATCTAGCTATTTATATAACTAGAATTCATAATATATACTATTTATAACTAATTATATTAATAATAGGCTTAAGTAATAATATTTCTAATACTATTTTATTATTAAAATAAACTTCTCTTTTGGAATTTCTTAATATCTTACTAATTAAGGAATATTTATCTCCTTTTTTCTAGATCTTAAATTATAATATTATAGGAATAATATAATATCCTATTATTATTATTTATAAAGCTTTCTATTCTATATTCTATAGTTTATTATAAAATATAGGTAATAAAATATTTTTATTTATATTTATTATAAAGTCTAGCCTTTTTAATAGCCTATTAATAAAATTACTATATTCCGGCTAGTATTTTAAGATAAAATCGAAAATAGCTAGCTTCTCTATCTATTTTATCTATTAACTATTTAGTTTTCTTTTAGTTATAAAATATTTCAAGTTATTATAATCTATTTTAATAATAATAATATACCAGATATATATTAGATAATACTACTAAATATAGAATACTAGAATAATAGCTAAGAGCTTAGAATTATATATTTTATATCTATTCTCAATTATTATTAATATAGCTATTTCTCTAGGAGTTATATATATAGTTATAAGATACGGGATACGAGATATAAATAATAGATAATAAGATATAGGTAATAGAATATAGAATACGGGATATAGTTATATAACCTTATATCCTATTAGTAATTTAACTAGTAAACTAGATTCTTTTAGATTTAATAAATTTAGAAATTATATATTAATACTATAATACTATAATTCCTATTTCTAAATAATAACTTTACTAATTTTATATAAATAGTACTTCTATACCTATATAATAGTATTATATATTTCTAGTAAACTAATACTAATTAGTTTATATTTAGATTAGAATAAGATCTATTTATATATATAAATTAGAAAGAATTAAGCTATATTTACCTAAAATTCGGTTATTTAGGAATAAAGCTATTATTCTAATTAAAGAAAAAACAATTATTAATTCTATTATTTATAATTTAGTTATATAAATAAGAAAAATACTTGATCTTACTAAGGCCTAATTATATTATATTAAAGAAGAAAATATCTATTAGTCCTATTATCTATAATTCGGTTATATAAATAGAAAGAGTACTTAATCTTACCAAGTACTAAAATAGTTAGTTATTTAACTATCCTATTCTATTTCTATTTAACTTCTATAAAACTCTTTTAAAAACTACCTTTTTTTGAATTTCTGGAGTTTTTAAATTTTAGAACTATTAAATTCTTCCGGAATCTCGATATTTTATTTTTTAAATTTCATTTTCTAAATTTCTTATTATAGATAAAATTTTTATTTTAAATATAATATCTATTATAAACTATTTATTTTATAAACTACTCTTCTTTTTATAAACCTATTCTTTTTATAAACTACTATATTTTAAACTAGATATAAGCCTATAGAATATATAATAGTAGAATATATTATAATAAATAATTCTTTTAT